CAACAATTCATCATGATCACTTTCAACCACTCACAATCACATGAAACACTTCCACAATGATGACCACAACGTGTCATGATGATAGAATGAATGACATGAACAAGAGAGGAGAGTTGTACCCTTCCTCAAGAAATGATCATTTCCGAGAAAAGCGAAGTGCTCCCATTCCATGAAACAATCATGCCAATGAATAAAACTGATGATCTGTTGTTTGAATGATCAGAACATCCATCCATATCAATTTCATGAAGTTCTGTGAAGTGCTTGTCTCGATCGTACTTTTCAGCTCTACCATAGAGCCATCAGCACACTTCACTTGAATACCATTCATGACATGACCATCACTTTGAACTGAACCAACGATCAATTCCATGGTTTCTGATCACTGTAACAACATTCCGATCATCAGATTCATTCCATGATCATCACATCCAACGGAACCAGTTCACTACAATTCTAACCGCTACTATTTGATGATTATCATTTCCATGTGTATTCATACACACAAAATATTCCTGATGAATGTTGACCATGATGTACACATTCGATGTGATCAATATAAATATGACATGATGATGAATGGAAACATGACCCGATGTTGATGATGATCCTGTCAAAAATGCAGGGAGTTTTGGCTTCATTTTTTTTTAATTTTTTTTTGAAAAATTTTCATTTCATTTTTGACCTCGATGAAACTCCTTTAAACTTGATTTTCTCGAAAACTACCCTAAACCTGATCGAATGCTCTATCATGACCCCATTATTTTCGTGAGATCTACAAAAAAGGTGTCGCTTAAATTCTATCAAAAATTTGACACCTGTCACCATTTGTTGAACTACTCAACCAACTTAGCTCACTATCCAATGATGTCGCTAGCACGAATGTACTACTCTTCAAAATCTATCGAATGATGTGCTTGGATCAAGCTCAACATCAAAGATGACGAAAACCCCGACCATGCACGAGAGGTCTACTTTAAGCGAGTACAGTTCAATAATTACCCATAATTAACGGATGAAAGTCATATCAACACATAGATATACCTCCATCCCCGACGATTTCATAAAAATTAAAAATCCCATGATTAAGCATGTCGAAAAATTAAGATTACAAGTCAAGGCGGTCACCTATCCAAACCCAACCTATCCAAACCCAAGAGTAAACCCAAAGTAAACCCAAAGAGTAAACCCAAAGAGTAAACCCAAAGAGTGGAATTTTTATCAAACCCATGTAAAAAGACTAAGACCAAGAAGGTTTGTTAATTTTAATTGTCCTTAATCTTTTTTAATTAACCCTTATCTATGTTATAAAATCTTAATATAATTAATTAACCCTCAATCCATTAATGACTGTAACTAACCCTCAAATCCTTAACTATTTTTTATGAACCCTTACTATTTCAAATCACCATTTTTCAATTTACTCAACAATTATAAATACACAATAAACCAAACTTTATCAACATGCAACACTCACATCAAAGGACAGTTCATGAGTGTTTCGTGATACCATCACTCTCATGTATCCATATATACATTTATGCTCACAATTTTTTCGAACACTCATACAACACCATACATTCAACCATTCATAACACTTCAAAATGATATGACATGTACTACAACATGAGTACTTCACGATAATGATAGAATATTACACATTCACATCAAAAATCTCATCCATCATACCATCGTGTTTAATGCCAATAGTCGGAACTTTACTCAACATATACAACTGATGAACCAACTCGATCACTGTCATATAATCACACATCATCATGGTAATCAAATTCAGCATGTTGAACACACAATTGGATTCATTATTGTATCACTATTCGCGAACAGTATTATTCATCGCTTTGCTGAAAATGAATATTGAAAACAATCTGAAATGACATGAAAAACGTTGAGGAGACAAACACTTCTGTCGAAGGGCTATCTATGATCCTAAACACTTCAGTCATTTCAACATCTATCCTTAAATAGAATAATACTTAACAAAGACTTACAACCAATTTTTAATTTTAAAAAAAACATCAACAATGCTTCCATCAACATCAAACAACAAACGAGGAGTAAAACGTAAAGCAACTGTAACGGAGTCATCAAGTTTGAATCAATTGACAGAAGAAGATGAGTTTAATTTGTTGTACAACGATGATCCGTTCAGTTGGAACTTATCAACCACAAAAAAAATACATCGACCACCATCAGGAGCTGGTGAGAATATCAATGACCCTGTAATCATTGACGATGAGACGGACATGATTGATACAAGTGACGAGGACGATTTGGAAGAGTTGATCGAAGAGAATGATGATCAATTTGATGATGATGATGATGATTTCGAGGAATTTAGCACAACTGATGAGGAGAGTGCTTCCGATTCTGATGATAATGAATCTTCTGATGCTCATAATTACAAACACACACTAGAAGCAATGAAGTTCATCATCAATCACAAGATTCTTCCATCAGGGTTCAAACTACAAGGAAACAAGCAAGTTTTGTACTTGTTTGTGCTCAAGAAAGACGGAAATGCTCGATTACCAAATGATCAACGTCATCGTTATTTACCTTTTTGTACTCCATCGTATTCGTTCGCATGGATACACTGTAAAACCTGGAAAAATTCTCAAGGAGTGTACGAAAAATATTATAGGTCCAATTTAGTACCATTTCGTGCTATTCATGACCCACAAAAGAAAATGAAATTATACATTGAACAAGAAATGCGTGAAGAAGTCATTGAGTGTGATAAACAATTGAACCACATGACATGTCTTTCAACAAGAGTACAACTTCACTCATCCAACAACAGAAACATTAATAACCATCTCAATGGATCAAGGGAGAAGTATCAATATCAATACAGGCCAATCCCTAATCCTCCAGGAGGGAAGTTGATAATTCAGCCGTCTCAAGAACTTATTGGCAAATGGAAAGATAAATTCAAAGAAGACTTCCCTGATGAAGATTTGATATATGAATTCAAATCATCGAACCAAGAAGCCTCGTTGAAAATTAATCATTTAGATCCATCAGAACACAATGACAATGAGAACGAATCTGTGAAATTAATTAGTAACAACGTTGCACGGTTATTTTTGACCGGACATATAGAAAAGTGGTTGAACAATCGAAGCAACAAACAGAAATCCAAGACTCTTAAAATGAGATTCAATCAGCATGGACTAGCTCACATTGAATGGTTGAAAGAACAATTTCCTCAAATTGATGACATATGCACTTATGTATTCAATACAGTCAACTCTAAATCAAGAAAGAAAAAGAAGAAGAATGGTTTTTTAGAAAGTGAAGAGACTTTCCTATCAGGACTCTCAATATTTCTGAATTATGCAATCTTTGTACTCAACAAGCTTCTCATTCCAGAGGATTTCTTTCAATATTTTCTTGATACAACCATTTTAGATTCGTACTTATTTGCATTGAACGATGATGAACAACTTCAATATCTTTCTCCTAACACTAGAAGAAGAAAAGTAGAAGCCCTTTCTATAGTGTTAAATTATTTATCTCAAACAAGATCTTTAATTCATAATTTTGACATTGGTTCAAAATTAATGGAAGCCAAGAGTACTGTTAATACATACTACACCAAAACGAACAAAGAACGAGATGAATGGCTCGCTATGACACATGCAATGTCACATCTACAAAGATATGGCAAATACATGACTCCAAATAACTTTTGGAAATGCATTAAGAGATCATATCATATAATCCTTGCATGGACTAAAATGTTTTATAGTGAACAATTTACTCAAGAGCAGAAACTCAAGCTTGTCACATCCAAAGGAAATCAATTTATGGAAAATTTCATTTTTTGGTTCAGCATGTACACTTACGCGAATCGTGCACAAGTTTATTATCAAAGCTTAATGAAGGATGTAAAATGTTTTGAATTCAAAGATCCTGTCACACAAGAACAGTATTATCAATTCTATTTCATTTTCGATACAGTTAGAAATGCTCAAAAGATGCACCGAACACCAGATGAAGCTTGTTTTCCTTTAGGTATTGCTAATTGCTTGCTGATCCACTTCTATACTGAATTCCTACCAATTTATATTGATTCACATGATCATGAAAAACTAGCATTAGCTTATACTCCATCAAAAACACCCATAACAATTCATAATTCAAGAGGAAAAGGCTTTCGAGAGCTGTTGAAGCGAGTAACAAAGGAACACGGTAAAGTTGCACTCAACAACCAATTAATAAGAACACATTATAACTCTCACATAAAAGATTTGAAAAACCTATCAGCCAAAGATTTGGTCATCCTAGACAAAGGAATGAATCATTCTAGAATCACAGCAGACAAACATTATAGAATTTTTCAACAACCATCAACTGAAAATGGAAATTCAATCATCGACAACCAAATCAATGACAAAAACTATTCTACAATCCATCACAAAGAATTTCAAAAAAGGTTTATCACAAACCTTTTAGACATGAATTTGACAGAATCCGAGATTTTACATCTCGAACACTTTGTAGAGTTTTTAAAATCTAAACGAACTAGCAGTAACCATGACGAAATTGAGTATGAATAAATTGTGACAATAAAATATGATACCGTCCTTAAATAAATGCAATCAATTAATCGTTTTCCAATGATTCAGCCACTTGATTTTCGCAAGAGATCCAAATCCGGTAGTATGAGTTCAATAATTCTGGACAAAATTCAAAAACTAAATGACCTGAACATTGACACATACCATCCACATATACCATACATTTCAGATGCGCTGATCATGAAAATCATTGAATTAATTATTTGTTATCAATATAGCCACCATGAACCAACATGCTCTCTATGAAAAAGAACAAAACATGACATGAATGAATTCTTCAATCACACAAGGCATCACAGCATTCCACAAAATGAATAACAACACTATTGAAGAAGGTCAACACAGGGATCATTGCAACAACTCAAGAAAAAAACTATGTCTCACACTGTAATGCTCTTCATGACGAAATCTTCTCAGGTGCTCAACAATGATGTATTCTTGACATGAACAAATACAACAATTAATGTCAATGTGTTGTCCACCGTGTCGTCTACCATAAAAAACTATCTATATCATTCTCAACCCAACTCTTCAAAAATTAATTAATAATCATCTTCTTCAGTTCTCAGGTGGCTCATTCCAAAATCAACTCGTATAGATAAATTCCCCAAATTTCAAAATAACAATATCATACTATATAATATCTTATAAAGTCACTGTGATATTCTTGTAATTATTCAACATCGTAATATCACGTGAAAAAGAAAAATGAATTGAAAGAGTGAAACACCACTTCCACAAGTTGATGAATCAGTGAGTGCAATCAACATGGATGTGTCATACTCATCATGACGAACATGTTGATATGTATTGTTCATGACAAACTCACTCTCGGAAGGACATGGTATTAAACCACCACAACATTCATCATGATACTCCACCAATTATGATCATATCCATCATCAATAGTCATAGAAATACTCTCCACAATGTATTATACAACATTGCAATCATTGGTTTATCGAAAAACTGAACCAGTCAATTGTTATAAAATGTTCATTCAATCATACAACAATACATACCAACAACAATTCATCATGATCACTTTCAACCATTCATAATCACATGAAACACTTCTACAATGATCATCACAACGTGTCATGATGATAGAATGAATGACATGAACAAGAGAGGAGAGTTGTACCCTTCCTCAAGAAATGATCATTTCCGAGAAAAGCGAAGTGCTCCCATTCCATGAAACAATCATGTCAATGAATAAAACTGATGATCTGTTGTTTGAACGATCAGAACATCCATCCATATCAATTTCATGAAGTTCTGTAAAGTGCTTGTCTCGATCGTACTTTTCAGCTCTGCCATAGAGCCACCATCACACTTCACTTGAATACCATTCATGAAATGACCATCACTTTGAACCGAACCAACGATCAATTCCATGGTTTCTGATCACTGTAACAACATTCCGATCATCAGATTCATTCCATGATCATCACATCCAACGGAACCAGTTCACTACAATTCTAACCGCTACTATTTGATGATTATCATTTCCATGTGTATTCATACACACAAAATATTCCTGATAAATGTTGATCATGATGTGCACATTTGATGTGATCAATATAAATATGACATGATGATGAATGGAAACATGACCCGATGTTGATGATGATCCTGTCAAAAATGCAGGGAGTTTTGGCTTCATTTTTTTTTAATTTTTTTTTGAAAAATTTTCATTTCATTTTTGACCTCGATGAAACTCCTTCAAACTTGATTTTCTCGAAAACTACCCTAAACCTGATCGAATGCTCTATCATGACCCCCATTATTTTCGTGAGATCTACAAAAAAGGTGTCGCTTAAATTCTATCAAAAATTTGACACCTGTCACCATTTGTTGAACTACTCAACCAACTTAGCTCACTATCCAATGATGTCGCTAGCACGAATGTACTACTCTTCAAAATCTATCGAATGATGTGCTTGGATCAAGCTCAACATCAAAGATGACGAAAAACCCGACCATGCACGAGAGGTCTACTTTAAGCGAATACAGTTCAATAATTACCCATAATTAATGGATGAAAGTCATATCAACACATAGATATACCTCCATCCCCGACGATTTCATAAAAATTAAAAATCCCATCATTAAGCATGTCGAAAAATTAAGATTACGAGTCAAGGCGGTCACCTATCCAAACCCACAACATTGAGCAACACTTCAAAATGATAGGACTCACACTATGACATGAGTACTTCATGATCATGAAAGAATATTTAATATACAAAACAAAGATGTCATCCACCACAACATCAAACTTTATTGTAATGATTGAAACATTGCTCAACACATACAATTGATGGATCAACACACTCACTATCAAGTGATCACACCATCATGACAAGCATGTTTATCAACTTGAATGAACATTCAAACAACTATGTTTCATCTCATCACTCTTCATAAACAACTTTGAACGCTCATCGGTTGAGTGATCGCATCGAACATGATAGACGTATCCAATACGGTTGAAGGACACATCTACGATCACTACAAATGATTTCAATCATGATTCCGTCATCACAACACCAAACAACACTGATCAATCACAACAGTATTTTTTTGGATAAATTCTAAATGCGGAAGTATAGGGTTAGTAAATCCAGACAAAATTCAAAATCAAGATGACATGAACATTAACGCATATCAACCACATATACGATACATTTCACATGCACTGATCATGAAAATCACTGAATTAACTCTTTATTTTCAACATAGCCATCATGAATCAACACAGGCTATCCATGAAAGAGTGTCAAATGTGACATGAGTGAATCCTTCCATCACACAATGAATCACAACACTCCACAACATCAATAATAACACAATGGAACAAGATCAACACATGGATGATTGCAACTATTCAAAAAAACAACCATGTCTCACATTGTAATGCACTTCATGACAAAATCTTCTCAGGTGCTCAACAACAATACATTCTAGACATAAACAAATACAACAATTAATATCAATGTGTTGTACACCATCTCATCTACCATAAAAAACTATCTACATCACTCTCTGACAATCTTCAAAAATTAATTAATAATCATTTTCAACACAGCTCATGTGCTCATAACAAAATCAACTCATATGATAAATTCACAAATTTCAAAATAACAGTATCCTAGTGTAACAATCATAAAAATCACTGTGATATTCTTGTAATTGCTCAATATCGTAATATCATGTGAAAAAGAAAAATGAACTGAAAGAGTGAAACACCACTTCCACAAATTGATGAATCAGTGAGTGAAACAACATGGATGTATCACACCCATCATGACGAACATGTTCATATGTATTCTTCATGACAAACTCACTCTCGGAAGGACATGGTGTCACATCACTACGACATTCATGATGATACTCCACCAATCATGATCATATCCATCATCAATAGTCATATAAATACTCTCCACAATGTATTATACAACATTGCAATCATCGGTTTATCGAAAAACTGAATCAGTGAATTGTTATAAAATGATCATTCAATCATACAACAATACATACCAACAACAATTCAGTATGATCACTTTCAACCAATCACAATCACATGAAACACTACTATAATGATGATCATAACGTGTAATGATGATAGAATGAATGACATGAACTAGAGAGGAGAGTTATACCCTTTCTCAAGAAATGATCATTTCCGAGAAAAGCGAAGTGCTCCCATTCCATGAAACAATCATGTCAATGAATAAAACTGATGATCTGTTGTTTGAATGATCAGAACATCCATCTGATACAATTTCATGAAGTTCTGTGAAGTACTTGTCTCGATCGTACTTTTCAGCTCTACCCTAGAGCCACCATCGCACTTCACATCACACAAAGCCATGAAATGATCATCACTTTGAACCGAACCAACGATCAATTCTATGGTTTCTGATCACTGTAACAACATTCCGATCATCAGATTCATTCCATGATCATCACATCCAACGGGAGCAATTCACTACAATTCCAACCAGTACTATTTGATGATTATCATTTCCATGTGTATTCATACACACAAAATATTCCTCATAAATGTTGATCATGATGTGCACATTTGATGTGATCAATATGAATATGACATGATGATAATGAAACATGACCGATGTTGATGATGATCACCTCAAAAATCAGGAAGTTTGGCTTCATTTTTTTTAATTTTTTTTGAAAAATTTCATGTCATTTTTGACCTCGTTGAAACTCCTTCAAACTTGATTTTCTCGAAAACTACCTAAACCTGATCGAATGCTCTATCATGACCCCCATTATTTTCGTGAGATCTACAAAAATGGTGTCGCTTAAATTCTATCAAAAATTTGAAACCTGTCACCATTTGTTGAACGACTCAACCAACTTAGCTCACTATCCAATGATGTCGCTAGCACGAATGTACTACTCTTCAAAATCTATCGAATGATGTACTTGGATCAAGGTCAACATCAAAGATGACGAAAAACCCGACCATGCACGAGAGGTCTACTTTAAGCGAATACAGTTCAATAATTACCCATAATTAATGGATGAAAGTCATATCAACACATAGATATACCTCCATCCCCGACGATTTCATAAAAATTAAAAATCCCATCATTAAGCATGTCGAAAAATTAAGATTACAAGTCAAGCTGGGCACCTATCCAAACCCATGGATTATAGTCAGAACCGAAAGAAAAAACATGTTATTACCAAATGAAACCAAACACAGCTGTTTCAATTCATGAATAGTATGAAAAACAAAAAGACGTTTGTTGTTAAAATTTCATGGCCACCGAAGAATGGAAAAAAACGATATGAATTGCGAAAAATGTGTGACAATGAGTCTTGAAAAGTTCGAAAAAGCAAGGTTACAAGAACTTGTCGCAACTAGTCTCGAAAAGAAAAGTCGAAAATGAATGTTGTAACCTCGCAAGACTTGAGTGTTTTTCATTCTTTCAAAGACTCTGGTTGCATGTTTTTCGTAACGACAAAAAAATGGCTCTCTCTCTTCAATCATCATCGGAAGCATCTAAATCGCAAATGATGGCAATCCATGCACAACTCTATCGTCCAGAGAGTGTTTTTGTTTCATCCAATGATGAAGTTTACATTGCAGATACTTTGAATCATAGAATTAGAAAAGTTATGACGAATGGAATGATCACAACCATTGCAGGAAATGGAACTGAGGATATAATGGAGACAATCAATTGGCAACAAACGCACAGCTGAATTGTCCAAAGAGTGTTTTTGTTTCATCCAATGATGAAGTTTACATTGCAGATACCTTTAATCATAGAATTAGAAAAGTTATGAAAAATGGAATGATCACAACCATTGCAGGAAATGGAACTGGAGGATATAATGGAGACAATCAATTGGCAACAAACGCACAGCTGAATTGGCCAAAGAGTGTTTTTGTTTCATCCAATGATGAAGTTTATATTGCAGATACCTCGAATCATAGAATTAGAAAAATAATGAAAAATGGAATGATCACAACCATTGCAGGAAATGGAATTGAAGGATACAATGGAGACAATCAATTGGCAACAAATGCACAACTCAAAGAACCATACAGTGTTTTTGTTTTATCCAATGATGAAGTTTATATTGCAAACTATAACAATAGAATTAGAAAAATAATGAAGAATGGAATGATCACAACCATTGCAGGAACTGGAATTGAAGGATACAATGGAGACAATCAATTGGGAACAAATGCACAACTCAATTATCCATACAGTGTTTTTGTTTCATCCAATGATGAAGTTTATATTGCAGACACCAAGAATCATAGAATTAGAAAAATAATGAAGAATGGAATGATCACAACCATTGCAGGAAATGGAACTCGAGGATATAATGGAGATAGCCCCTATCAACCATCCCTTTCACATTTCTCTCCTTTCATTTCACACATTTCGAAGCATGAAAGAGACATGATTCCCAACACCAAACTCATTGTTTTTCAACCACTTTTTGAAAAACTTTGTCCTCATTTTCATTCCACCATTTTGAAAGATTTGAATTTACTTTCTGACATGTCTTGTCGTGAACTTGAATTGATTCAAAATGTCATTGATTTTGTTTTATATGATCCAGATACGATTGTGGAACCTATAATGATTTCTGAAATTATTGAATACTTGTACATTTTGGGTCTTGCTCACGGTGAATTCATGGAATTGAAAAACTATTTAATTTCGATATTATTGAAGAAACACATGACTTCTGATCATGTCATTGATACGTTATTGATGATTGAACAACACTTGACAAAACAACCCTCTCATTCCATCATGACTAAGTTGAAGAAATATTGTTTGGAATTTATTCAAATCAAATTAAGGGAAGGATTGAATATTATGACAGACCCAAGACTCATTCCTTACAATGTTGAAATTCTTGAAAAAAGTTCAATTACAAAGATATCTCCCATCGTTCTTGAAGAGTCAACTGAAAATACAATATCACCAAACGAAATGATCAAGTCATTGTGGAATGACAAACGTACGAGTGACATTCGAATCAAACTCTCTCATAAGAACGACCATTCATTTATTTATGGTCATCGAACCATATTGAGTTCTCGTGGAAAACTTTTTGAAGCCATGTTCAACAGTGGATATGAATTGGAAGATCTGAAATATGATGAAAAAGATGAAATTTTGACACTCATTCCTTCCACACCTGAAGATGCAATGAATTTGGAATATATTGTCAAATATTGTTATGATCAATTGGAGCAGATTGAACCAGAACATGCCATTTCACTCATTTTAACAGCTTCAGCAAATGAAATGTCAGAATTAGTTTCTCTTGCATTCAAATCCATTCAAATTGATTGCAATAATTATTTTGAAATTGCCAATTCATTGGATTTTGAAAATGATTTATTTTCAGAAGTGATTCAAATCATGATTGATTTTGGAGTGAATCACAGACATGAATTATTCAAAGAAAATTCTGATCTTGATCAATTACCTGCTTCTCTTTCACTCAAATTGTTGAGAGAGTTTGAAAACTTGTAATTATTAGCTCTGACATCTCGGCTCCACTAAAAAGTTAACTTGTATATATATTATATATATAGAAAATGTTATATATTCCATAGTGTGAAGCAAGCAAGCACCAACTGTGATCAAATCAGTTGTTATCACAACTTGTCTGGTCGTCACAGAAGGCAATTCTATAGGTGTTCGTACATCAAGCTGAAACATGAAGGGTTGAAATAAGGTCGATGTAAAAAGTACACCTTATTTCAACCCAAGTTCGAATACCAATCAGAATGTAAAATTCTTTTTGAATTGTCTCCATCTTGTTGATTAACTTGCCTTTGAAGAAATATCTGAACGTTTACACCTAATTGCGTAACTACTTTTCCATTAAATTGAAGCATGGTTTTGATGCTCCATCTGTGAATATTAAAACCAAAACCTTATTTCAGCTGATATTTCTATTGACCTCATCATGGAAGTTTTTGTCACCGCGAGTTCTCACTGAAAATGTCGGCGAGTTTTCGTTTTCCCGCCGAAAATTTCGGCAAGCACATTCGACAAACGATTTCTCGTTGAACACAGAGGTTCAGCTGGTACAAGCATAACCAACACTCCAAAACATGCACCTCTACAAGTACCAACTATTGTTTGATTGTAGTTTCTTGTTTCAGTAGAGTAATCATCTGTTTGAGGCCTGTACGAGCAGCTGAAGCTTTGGAGAGCAACTTTGCACTTGGACTTGGCAACCACTTCCCCCAACAACCTCGGATTTGTTCATCTTTGATGATTGTATATTGACCAGTCTTGTTGTTAAATTTTTGAATAGTGTGATGCACAGTCATGTAAACCTCTCCTTGCGAAGTCACGAACATGGACGAAGGAGGAGGATACTCCATGCCCGGAACTGCTTGAGAAACTTTTCCATCCTCGTATGAAACCTTTACAAAATCATTCAGAGTTGCAATGTAGAGTAAAGCACCAACTCCACCTCCTTGAGCCATGTGAACATAAATGGGCTGAGAATTGATCTGCAGCAGATCCATATTGTCCTTGACTTCCAGAGGTTGGGCCAGTCTTTACCAAAACATGTACCACTCTAGTTGCCACATCAAGTTTGTTGATTTGTCCTCTACCTTCAAAAAAGACATCGCCATTCGATGCAACCCAAAGTCCACCGTTATAACCAACAGTGCATTCAGGTCTGTATTTTGGACATACTGCAACAATGGTTCCATTCACAAGTACTTTCCGAATTCCTTCAAATGTGTCAGAAATATAAATTTCATTTTGCCTTTCAAAGACCGATAAGGGACTACTGAAAGAAGTATTCACAGCAGGAACTCCATTCTTTACATCGTCCTCAGATAATGGATAGATACCGTTATCAGCTACTGTGGAAATAATTCCATTGTGAACTTTTCGAACTCTATAATTACCTGCATCCACAAATAACATATTTTGCAACCATGGAAATGAGGATTCCAATAAATGAACCGATTGAGGATGACTAATTAACACTTGAAGCCAATTAGAAGGATAACCATCTCCTCCAAATCCATTCAAACTTCCAGAGGGTTGTCCCACCACTGTCAACCATGTTCCATTTGTCAAAATCTTATTGATTCGATTTTGTTCATCTGAAATAAACACCTCGTTGCTAGTGACCTTAGTGCGACGGAGGGTCTTGGTACTACTACTAACATGTTGGTTAATACTATTCTTTTTCATGATCTTGCCGCATGCGTTTGTTCTCTGTAGTTGCGGCAAATGATCCTACTCGCACCTCGATTCCAGTGTGGAAATGCGAAAATTTACTAACTGGAATGATGGTTGGTTCGAATCTCCCGAACATGCACCGATTTGCTGCTCATGCCCGGCAAATCACTAGTAATTTGTTGTTAGTAAGTTTACCAAGAGAAATACTTATTCTAACACTTGTGTACTTGATGTACGATCATATTCTTACTATTGCACCTTGTCAGTTCAACACACGATTCATCTTCCCAATTCTCAATATTGGTAACGAGCAAAGTTTTCAATTTAGGAGCACTTAAGGTTGAAGGCAAATGTAGAAATAGATTTCCAACAGTGGTAATTTTCATAAATACCAAGTTGGAAAGATGTTTGGTTGCCACAACTTTGCATTTTTCACAATTACTAATTTCTAAATATTCTAACAGTGGAAAGGTGTCAAGATTTAACTCATCAACAAAACAGTTACTTGTATCAATATCTTGCACCGCTCCAAGAGTAATAATGTCTCCTTGTAGACGGTCATGGTAAAAAGAGGAATGGTTCATCAAAGTAATTCTATTCAATACCAAGCGTGTTAATAGAGGCATGGATGACCATTTGATAAAACAATGATCACTGAATCCAGTTGCGTAATGTGTTCTCTCTATTTCCAATGACGTCAAGTGTTGACAGTGTGCAATATTATACGCATTTGAACCGAGTAAAAAACAAAGTGAAGATACTTGGTCCGAATAACAATCAAAAATTTGTGGAGTGTCTTCAATTGGAGTCCAGAATTGTTGCTTGTTGAGGAATTCATTAATATCAATCTCTAAATGATCACTCGCTGGAAAAACAGCTTTTCCATGATATGAAGTAAAGTTGGAAATATTATTCACTTCCAACTCTACGCTTTCTGTGATCACCAATAATGAAAGAAATCTCATAAAATTACTTCTCACACTTTCCTGCATAATTTCTGCGTCAATACTATAAATTTTGAGAATCTTAACAGTTGATCCTTTAAAATTCGTTTGCGAGAGAAGCGAAAAGAGTTTTGTCGAAAATTGGAAATGCAACGTTCCAATTTTGCTAATGTAAAACCTTTCTATTAGTAAATCCAAATATCCAATCTCAAAAGTATCACATTCCTTGAGTTCAATATTTAGATATGTAATTGTTTGGCCATAAGGTCCGAGACTTATATTTTCTATGCGCTCCTGATTTTTGATCACTAACTTCTGAGTGTTTCCACAAAGTTTCAAATTCTTGAGATTGGAAAGATTATCAATTGAAATATCCGTACAATGGAGAGTTCTAATAGAATGAATAGAAGAATTATCTGATAACGTAATAGTTGCATATTGGAAAAAGTGACAGCTTTGTAGATGGGTGTTCATACAAAGCTGTTTCAATGGAAAATCTTGAAGGCAAACATGTTCTAACGTTGTAAGTGGTTTTTGCTTTTCCGTAACTGATATGGTAGAACTTGAAATTAATCGTCTAAGGTTTGGCAATTCAACACCATCCAAAATCAAGCTGTTGCAATGTTTGATCACCAGGCTCGTTAAGTTTGGAAAATGAAAATCTTCTGTGAGAATAAAGTTACCATGTTGTGCAGATATACATAATTCTTGAATGGTGTTGGCTAAGTTGAACATTGCATTCTTTGAGAAAAAATCATGAAAAAAGGTTCCTGAATGAAAGACATTACAGTGATACTTTCTAATCTTTGTAAAATGATCTTCAAAATAGTTAATAAATGCACGACACTTTTTCTTTGAAAACCCCGATGCATGAATGTCCATTCCAAAACATCCAAACGTCTTTAACTGAGAACATGAAGAGAAAATATGTCTCACTTGTTCTACAGTGAGCTCAGAATCAACAGTAAAATGTTCAATTGTATCTTTTCCCCAATCTAAGAGAATATCTCGAATGAATTGAGAAATTTTTGATCCTTCTATTACCAGACTCTTTAAATTTTTCAACTTTGGTAGAGAGATTTTGGCCAAAGAAAGATCAAACTCCTTCTTGATCTCAGCTTGAAATCGTAAACAGTCACTAAATCTAATTTTCTCTACAATGATCAAGTGTTCAACACATGGAAACTCATCAATAAAAAGACCCAACATTTCAAAAAATATTTTCTCATGAATACATGGAATAACCAACTTTTTCACCATTACCCTACAATTATCTTCTCCAAAAACACACTTCATAAAATGAATGAATGCTTTGGCTACCTCGAGCTCCAAAGAATAGCAATACATATTTGAACGTTTTTTTGGTTTCACAAAGGTTGAAGTATTTGAAAAGATTTGAGAAGACTCTACATCGAGCACCGATGAAAAATACTGATGGTCATATGGAACTTCAAGCACAGGAAGACCAAAGGAGGATTTTTGTTGATCATTTCCACACATAACGAATTTGAGCATATTTGCAGTGTAGGCTCGTATATGATATTGCAAAAACATGTTTTGTCTAATTTTGTTACGGAGTTTTTTGTTGACACCACTTATCGGAATCAATCGATGAGCCAACTCGAGATCATTTAAATTTAAAAAAGAATTCTTGGTTTTAACATCATTGTAATGTGAGAAGCCAATATACTCTAAAGTATCCACTGCAAAATATCGATCCTGATCGGTGGTATTCAGCATGGGGATGGCATTTTCTTCGTCGTGATGATTGTCTGGTAATATCACCGTCCCGAGCAAGAAGCTGCATACATGAGCTAAAATTTCTTCTGGTAAGTTGTCGAGCGAGTAATCGAATGGAGGATGTGTTGTGAACATTTTTTTCAAAAGTTTAATGAAAGTTGCAAACGGATTTAAATTGATTCACTTGTCATTTCAAAATTTACTAGTTCCAATTTGAACGTGTGTGAGGCAGCATTGTTGGCTAAAAATTGTTCTTTATACATGAATCATTCACAGAAGGAGGTCCCTTGAAAATTGAAGGTATTTGGAAAGATGTACGAATCTCTTTGCAAGAGCGACTGTTGTTAGCCCAAGATTGCAACAACACAACGGTTGAAGTTCCATCTATCAAATCAAACACACCAACGTACTCTATGGTGAATTAATGAGTGTCACTCTTAATTTCACAAAATCTTTACAAAATTAAAAAGACTTCACAACAAAACACACCAGGGGCGAGACGCAATCAACACACCAACAAACTTGCTGGAGAATTTTGGCTCGAAGTTAAACCACTCGCAAAATACGTATCTTTGCAATCCAAAGGCCACGCAAGCAAAAAAAATCACAGGAGGCTGTTTTATCTTCATCATCTTCCGATCTGTTGTGATTGTGCTCACCGTCTGGTTTCTGTACTTGTACAAACACAACAACAATAACAATGAATAACAGTACACAACAACAACATTTCCCACTACAAAAACTCGTGTTGGGAGAGGTGAATGCTCTCATTTTGGGCATGCGGAATGTACATTCCATGAGATTTTCCAATCGATATAGATTTGTAAGTGTGATGATGATTGCTAGCAATTCGTTATTTACAGTTGATGAATGGATTACATTGTGCCCGATGTGGTTTACATGAAAATATTCATATGCAAATCATCATCATATGCGTAATATTACATTCAACAATAATAATACCTAAATGAATAATCAAGCAATATGAAAATATAACAAGACAACAAGGAGCTGTAGGAAATGAAAGTTCAATCCTCATCGGAATGAGAAATTTACGAGAGAGGATCAGCAGCAATTTGACGTGGCAAACGTTATCAACAATGGACATATTGCAACCGTTCTTTGCCATCATAAAATCCGAAGATACAGAAGGCAGACTCACATCAATGGCTTTGCGATCACTTCAAAAATTCTTGGAATTTCCAGGTTTTATTGGTAGGTTTGCATCCTTCTTGCTAATTATTGTTTCGCTCATTGTTTTTTTGTGAATAATTTTGCCAAGAAACAGGAGTATCACAATCTACTCCGAACAACAACACGGAAGACTCAAAGACGATTATTGAAGAAATAGTAACAAGCGTACAACAATGTCAATTTGAATTTAATGCAACAGATGCTGGATCTCTGTCTGAATCAGGAGGTCCAATTATTTTGGATCATTCATTGGGGAGTGGTTTAGGATCAATTGCATCTATTTCTTCAGAAACATCTCTCCTTGAATCAGTTCTCATCCAAATTATCAATACATTTTTATGTTGTATCAAAAGTGAGGCAGGAAAATTATTGGATGAGTCAACAATCTTGGAGATTTTAAAAAGCGTCTTGAGGATTGGAAGAGAAACACGTCCCTCCACAGGTAAGTCAACCAAGCACAATATTTAATTTTAACTGTGTAAAGATTCTTTGAGAAAAACTGCTGAATTAGCAATTCATGAGATGGTAACAATTGTGTTTTTGCGAAGATTAAATGAATGTCCCAATGAATCATCCACAATGGGAGAAATAATTTTTGAATTTATTTGTGAAATGTGTGACATTTACAGTACGTCGTCTGTTGTGTCGGATAACACTTCACAGCCATCCATGAAATTAGGATCAAGTACCAACTCCATATCAACAACAGTGAATAGTATTGGAACAAGATATTTAGGCATTAACCTGGCTTGTCATGTGATTGAGCTATTAGGAGATCGTTTAACGCTCTCCAGTTACAAGAATATATTAAGTATGATCTGCAATCACTTATGCCGAGCATTGTTACGAAATGTGAACATTTCTTATCAAACAATTTTGTTCTTATCAAACGGTGAAATGATGTTTAGTGGAAGTACTCAATCTGGACTTGGCTCAAGCTCTACCATAACTTCAAGCATTCTTGGTGCGGCAAATGGAGGAAATCTCCAGCCTACCCACTCTAATTATGGAAATAATCTCATGCTTCTTTCAGCAGCTTTGAAGTGTTCAATTACTTATTTGTTCAGTTTATCTAACATTAGAAGTTTTTTACACGAACAAATTGCAGCTATTCTTCTTTCATTACTTCAACACCTCCCTCCCTCTCAACAACAATATGGATCAAGTTCAAAAAAGAGTCAATTTTCTAACTCACCAATTTTGGGAAATAGTTCAATATTTTTACCTTTTGAACTGCAAGAATTAATTTTAGAATATCTTGTAGAAGTTTGCAGAGACTCCAACTTGATTGCATTCTTGTATCGTCATTATGATTGCTATGGATGTTTTGACAAGAATCAAGCCAATATCAATGTAAATACGGTACCCAATCTTTTTGAGCACATTTATTTATATCTCAACAGCTATATTGGATTGAATAGCTCTGTTACTGGAAACATGACGGGAAGCCCTTCAACTCAAACTAGCACAGTTGGAAATACCATTCAGTTAGGTCAGGGTGGTTCAACTAATTTAAACAACTTTGGAAGCAGTGTATCTCTTTCTTCTTCCTCTCAAGGCAATCCCAATTTGCATACATTACATGTTTTAGCTTGGCAAGGTCTATTAAGTGTTGTACGATGCTTGGCAGAACGATGTCAAGAGCAACAAGAACAAAATATTAGACAATCTCTAGATATGCATGTCGTCAATAACATGACATCTGAAATCAAGCTACACAAAAAACAAAAACATAGAATGATGGAAATTGTCTCTCTATTTAATAGCAGCCCTTTGGAAGGAGTAACACAATTATTACAAATTTATAATATCGTTATTCCAAAAGATTTAACCTCTTTCATTAGAAATGAAAATAGTGTGGATGAAAATTCTGTAACTGTAGATTGGAACGAGGCAGTTAGTTTATTACAATGTGCAGCCGAAAAAATTTCCAATTTCCTTCTCGAATATAATGTTTGGCTAGACAAGCAAAAGATCGTCGATTATTTCAACAGCTTTTCATCACCAGCAAACACAATCGTCGATATTAAGATTAAGGAATGTGCATCCACAGAAAATAACAGCACACTAACAGAGAATAACTACTTAATTCCTATCCTTAGCAAATCAAAAAAAGATCCTCTACGGAATGTATTACCACTTGAAGTCATGAGACAGTTTATGGATGGCTTTGATTTTTATGGAATGAGAATAGATGAAGCAATGAGGTATTTCATTAATAGATGCAAAATTTCTGGTGAGGGACAACAAGTAGAACGAATTGTTAAACTTTTAGGAGAATGTTATTACAGAGATAATAACACAAATTTTGCAAAAGAAAGAAACATGTCATGTAGTGGTCGTACAGTTCCTGCTGTTCCTTATTTAGCAAACGGTGAACAAGCATGGATTTTGGCTGTAGCTATCATGATGCTTCACACTGATTTACACCATCATCACAATAGAAACAATAGAATGAATCTAGAGGGTTTCATAAGGACTGTTGGTTATCATGAAGAACTTCAAGAAATGCCAAAGGACGAACTTCAAAAAATTTTCCATTATGTTTTGACGAATGAATTTGAAGTGGTGACAGGTTTGATTGATTCATACAAAAGTGAAACAGTATGGAACGAACTTATTGTAAGAAGATCAATGGAATACTATGAAAGTAATTTTATTCAAAAACCTTCCTCATTTTCCAATGAAAAAGACAATCTCCTTCCCTATATTTATGACATGGAAATGTTCCAGAGCATGTGGGGACATGTGATATTGGCTACAACAATCATTTTAGAAAATTCAGATGATATTCATTTATTAGAATTAGCAATTAGAGGATTTCTTGATAGTGCTAGAGTTGCTGCAACTTATCATCTTCATCATGTTTTTGACAACTTGGTCATTACTCTTTGCAAATTTACAACTCTATTAGATGGAATTACTCCTCCTTCTATTTCAGTTGTGAACTGTACAAACAGTAACAGCAATCAACCATCTTTAGAAAATACTACTGGGTTAACTTGGCCAACCAATGCATCTGTATCAACTACAATAGTTTCTCACGATGGTGTGGTCATTTCAACAATTAATGGAGGTGTAGATGGCATCGTAACATCTCCAGCTTCACCTTCAAGTACTAATCAAATCATCAATTCTTCTTCGTCGTTTAATTCAAACATTGGAAAAGTTAATTCAACATCAAGAACAGATAAAAATAGGTCCATTGTTATGTTTGGACATAATGAGAAGGCAAAACTTGCTTGTAGAACTGTATTTGCAATTACTCGAAAATATGGAGACAATTTACGTGAAGGATGGAAAAATATTCTTGATCTTATTTGTAGAATGAGAGAACTCGAATTACTGCCAGAGTCACTTATAGAGTCGCGACTTGTGAGACAGCTCAGAGAATTTCAATTTTCAACACCAAACGAATCTAAACTTTCTTCTCCAAGGAAAGAAAGTGGTGATCAGTCCTTGTCAAATCAAGCTTCTTCACAACTATTGACATCTGGATCTTCTCTATATGGACATATAATTTCAAGCATATCTAAGAGCGCTACCAAAAAGTTAAAACCTAAATCTCAAAACCAAGCACAAACACAAGTTAAAAGTGCAACATTCTCACTCTTATCTAGTGTGTTTGGAGGTTTCTACGGTAGTAGTAGCGACGAAACCAATGAAAAAAAGAAAAATACCTTGGATTCTGATGACTCTGACGATGATCACGAGTCTCAAGCTCTTGGAGGACAAGACACAGAATTTGAGCACTTTTCAATTGAGATTAAGCATGCTTTGGATGAAGCTAGGAAATGTATTGAGCAATGCCGTATTGTTGAACTATTGATGATGGATGCCAAAGAATTGAGTGGTCATTCGTTAGAATATTTGCTTAGCGCTTTGATTAGAAATGGTAAACCAAGTGGTGTTGTAATGTCTATACATATTCCTGCTCCACATCTCTTTGCCCTCAAAACCAGTACATCACCCCAACAAAAGCAATCATCTACTTCCCATTCCAATGTTACCACCTATTACTATTATGAACGTGATATTGAAACTTCATTGTTTTGTTTAGATTTACTCTGTGACGTGCTTATTAGTAACAATCTAAACAGAAATACCATCACAGATAGATTGAAACTCATTTGGAACTATGCCTATGGTCATGTATACAAGTTGATGATATCAATTTTACAAATGTACGAGCCTATTAATGTTATACAATCCATTTATCAGGTTCCTTCAAGCCCACAAAGCGCTCCTTCTGCTCTTGTTTCATCAAAAATTGGCAGCAATACGAGTGTAGCTTCAACAGAAAGAGCTAGCCCTATTTCTACTTCCGCTCAAACAAATTTGCGAACACGAATGACCAAACAACATTACCATATTCTTCAAAGATGTATTACATGCATTTGGAGATTGTGTATGGAATTATCTACTCCTTCAACCTCACTAAGTCAAGTTTCTGAGAAATCAGCATCAGAGCAGCAAGAATGGACTTTTATACAGAAAGAAATGTTATCTGTGCTTATTGATCATCTTGGAAAGCAGTGGAATGAAGGCCTTCTTGGAGTATTTCACATGAGCCTACTTCCCATGATTCACATGTTTCTATCTAGACATAGTGAAACTTTATTATCACCAATGGGCAAAAAATTTATTTATGAAAGAACAAACATGACAAACAACACCAATGTTGTCAACACCTTAACTCTTTCCTCGTCTTCACAAGTAATTGTTGAATTTTGGGATCATTTAGTTTTTAAGATCTTAAAAAGCATTTCAACTGCCTCAATTAGTTGGATCAACAATAATCCAAGTAGTACTCTATTTACTTCGCTAAAGCCTTCCCAACAATTACAACTCTTATCAAGATCACTGGATATTTTAACATTGAGCTTACAACAGAGTAATATTAACTCTCAAGAGAGTAGCTTTAATATTTGGTTTGTTGTTCCAGACAATATTCCAACCTTTGTGCAAACCTTCATTTCCATTCTCAGTGCTTCCATAACTACCAATGTCAATATTCAAAGCTCAAACTCAAACCATGCTCAATTTGTTGGAACACTTAAAAAGCTGATGACACTCGCTCAAGACATTTTATCCACATTAGAAAATTTAGTTTCTGAAATTTTGAAAAGAATTGTCTCAACTGCATTTTCATCTGTTAGTGGGTCTCAGAATGTAATTCGGCTAGACAACAAATGGATCAATGCTTGGCTCTCAATTTTAGAGGGTATTTCAATTTTATGCTGCACTGGAGGAATTAACAGCTCGTCGAGTTCAGGAAATTCGTTGAATTTACTCATGTCACAACTTAGTAGCAATCAAATTCAAATGCTGTCCCAACTTCAAAGAGACATTAGAACACAAGCCCTCTCAACACTTCAACGATCTCTAATTGTTAGTTGTGACTTTAAATATGCCTCATCTCTGAACCAACAACAATTAATAGGTGGCTCTGAAAACGAGAATCTCAAGTATTTGCTAAATGATCAATTATTAATGCTATGTATGGAAAAGGTATTGGTCAAATCCTTCCTTCAAACTCTATTAGGCTTGAAACCAAAAACAACAGAATACCAATCTAATCACAATACTGAAATGGATATTTCATCTCTGGAAGAACTTCGTGTCCGTGCAAACAATTTATTAGCCAGAATATTCCTTCACTTTCTTCCAAGAATGTTCAAAATTTCAGAGAATCAACAAGAGAATGGCTTTCAATCATTGTGGCTTATGATTCTTCAAGTCATGTACAGCTTTTTGTTGGTAAAACCAAAGAGTGATCATTTAAGGGAAGCCTTACCTGAATTGCTTAAGAACATGATCCTTGTCATGAACAACATTGAGGTCTTCAAGTTTAATCCTCAATTATGGACCGTCACTGAGAATGAGCTTTCCCAAACAATGCCTTCACTGGTTGAGGATGTGAAACCACGTATTATTGCTTCGATGAATAAGGATCAATCCAACAATGGTAACCTTTCAAATGAGAGTACTGTTACAGTGGTTGATTCTCATGTACCACCCTCAAGCTCTGTGGTGCCAGGAGAGTCCAGTCAATTGAGGGAAGAAGAAACACCAAAGGACTCAAGGGCTGAGTCAAGACATTAGGCTGCAAATTAAATTCCAAAAATAAAAAAATTCAGCCATTGCCAATTTCATCATCACCCAATAACGGAGCGTGGCGTCAGTTCATGATTTCAAAAATTTAAAAAAGCGCAATTACATACGGTTAACAGAGAGAAGAATTGTGTTGTTATAATAATTATTGTTAATGTAAGTTTGAGCTTTTTATGAAGAGAAAGTTTGCGAACTCAGCCGTGTTTGTACCAAATTGTTCATCACATTATCATCATTTATTTTCTAAAATAATCAAAAACAAAAATTTGAACAACAACACCATCACCCAATATTGAATCGAAAACAAACATACCTGCTTTGTCTGCACAATCACTTCTTTCTCTCTGGTTGGTGTTGTTGACGACGATACATTACGTTTTTGACCAACAACCACCATTGATGTTTTTATTATTGTAATCTCTCATTGATAATAATTTGTAGACATCTACAAACACTTGTTGTGGAGTGTTGGACTACTCATTGACTATTTATCATCATTTACTTGTGAATAATATTTAGTCATTGTTCTACTTCTATTATCCATTCAGAGACGTTTAACACAGTACTATATTCATACAACAACAATCGTGTAGTATATTATAACTTAACATATTGGAAAGATCATCAATCCGAAACTACCCATCACATTCTCCACATTCTCCTCCAATAACACACACAATTCTCATTTCATCAAAATGCTAGACAATAATGAATCAAATTCAAATTCATCCGGTGTTTTAACTCTCTCTAATCCTTCCACTACATCTTCGTACATTCATTCAAACGGAGTTAATAATGATTATTACCTGCCACCCTCCGGAGAAAGAGAAGACATGAATAATAGCAACATGTCATCATCGGAGGATGTTGAGCCAGCTGATCACATGGAAAACTTTTCAGAGTCGGGATTGGGTGTTCATGAATATGGATCTTTTACCTCTAGACTGCATGACTTTTCTTCTCCCATCACTACAAAGCCTCCATCCTTTCCAGAAAAGAATTTACAAGTTGCAAAGAAGGGAGTTGTTCAAGCACCACCACGACCTACTAATCCTTTTGCATCCATTCCACCAGCTATGAATCATCATTCCATTCCTCCTTCCAATAATAATGTAATTAATTCCATCACTGCCACCACCACAAATACGCAATCCGAGCCATCAAGTCCTTCCAACACCTTTAGAGAATTTCTAGAGGGTGAAGCCTATAGGAGACCAATACTTCTCTCACCACTATCTGCTGATAACGTTATTGTAGAGGAACAACAGCAGACTCTCACCAATAAGAAACAGCCATCATCATCATCAACTAAAAACTCATCAACAGCAGCAACTACTAAACAACCTACAAATCCTTCCGTAAATATTAATTCATCCAAATCCACAGCAGCATCCTCATCTACAAATGGAAACAGCGTTACTGAACAAAAAGTAGAACCTCCTCCAAGACCAACAATTTCAAATAAGACACTTTTATTAGCGAATCGAATGACTGCTCAACCTCCAAAACCACAACAAGATGAAGAATCTAATAACGAATCAAGTGATCATGAAATTTCAACAAAAAAACCTGTTGTCAGTAAGAAAGAATCAAAGAGACGATCAAGTCATGAATCCGATTCCGAAAACAATATGGAGGACATTTCTCATGAATCATCAGAGGAGCACAGTGATAAAAAGAGTAAAAAGAAAAAATCCACAACACAACCAGAAGCAAAGAAAAAGGCTGAAAAAGAAACCAAGATCAAGGGCGTCAAATCGCGGAAAACCACAAAAGCTGAAGTTGGGGAAAGCAGCAGTAGTAGTCAAGGTAAAAAATCATCGGATACTAAAAAGACGGCATCTTCCCCTAAGCGACCATTAGAAGACGTTGTTGAGTCTAAACCTAGTGTCAACGAGGAGCCAAAAACAAAAAGAAATAAGCAGCCTACATCCATGGATAACAAGAATGTCAGCATGAAAACTGAGCATAGTATTGCTACAGCAAGTAGCAGCACTAGTACACATACCAATAATAGCAGTACAAGGTCATCATCATCATTGAGCAGGGACATTAATTCACTTCAACAAAAGCTAGAAAGTAAGAGAAAAATGGCCACCTCTTTAAAGCACAAGGCCGATGACCTCAAGAAAGAACATCAAATTTCAGAGGCAATCTCCACCTATTTGGCTTCAGGTATGCAATATAGCGAGGCTGCCATGTATTCCAAACACATTTTTGAAAACACTCCCAAAGAAAAGAATCCTTCAACAAGTGGTACGGCCCTGCTGCTAAAACAAAATATTGATTTTTTGAAATATGTTGCCTCACTAGCTCTCAAGTATGCATATTATGACAAGGCCGTCCTCGCCAACATTCTTATATTTACAAATACCAAGGCTCTCTTTAATTTCAAGACCCAATCCATTCAAAGATACCGTAGATATTTAATAGGAAAATTTAGTGAGTCTAATTCAACATCGATGGGATCTTCAAGCATTACGTCTCCTGCAGCAGTGGCATCTCCTTCCTCTCAGTCCATTTCTACTCCTTCTCCCGTGCACAATGGAGGAGGCTCATTAATCAATTCTGTTGATTCTGCAGAATTGACAAATACGATAATTCGTTTGTGTACCGAGTTAGAAATTATTTCGATGACTGTTGACAATGAAGAAACATTATATCATCAGTTGAAACAGCACGAAACATACAGAGAAAATTATGAACTCATGCATGAGGCTCACAGAGGAAATATTGACTTTGTTGTGAAGTTTTTAACTGAAGAACTAGTGCGTCTTGATCTAAAGACTGAATAATAAATATCAAAATTGTATTTATTTAATTCAACATTTTATTCAAAATCGAACACATGGTTCAAATCGTCACTAGAAAGTAAATTTGCAGAAATAATGTCTTCAAAAAGCAAGAAATTCTGTTCTGGCACCAACAAATCTCCGCCGCCACTTTGTGTGGCCATGGTAGGCTGATAACTTGTTTGTTCTTCCATTACGCCGTGTTGAGGGTAGATGACATCTCGTTCTAAACCCAATGCTATTTTTGCCTTAATTAGAGACACACAATCCTCTATTTCTCCAATTAAATTGGAGAATTTTGAAAGAATTTTGTACCGTTTGCGCAGAATGTCAATACCTCTCAAGTCTTTCTGTAAAATTTCAAAATAGTTGTTTCCATTGTACATAAAATCAGCCGAGTCTTGTTGTAAGAGCATCTTGACAATTTGAATATGAATTTGACTAGCAGCAATGACACAAGCCACAACTTCTACAGGAAACAAGGGAAAAGCTTCATGTTCTGTAATTTGAGTGATTTCTAAAGCACACTTCTCAATTACTCCTCTGACCAACGGACTGGACGACTTGGCAAGAATGGAAATTTTAACGCTGTGCGAAAATAATGTAAACACTGGCTCAATCATGCTGCTATACTCTTTTCTGTAACCATAACATGCAGGAATGATCTGCTTCGTTGATGGGCTGTTTACATTAGCAATCACTGCTTGTTTCAAATCCTCGATAATTACTTGTATGACACTCCATATTTCAAAACAATTTTCTGATGTAATTTCTTGTTGAAGTAATTTCAGCCAATTACTTGGACATTGCTTGCCTGTGAAAAAGGAGAATACTTCAGGAATTCGTTGCACTACTTGTTGAATGCCCATCTTTTCAAAATTATCGCTAATAATTCGATTAAAATAGAAAACTACAGATTCCAAATTTCTTTCATAAATATTCATTTGTTCTCTCTTTGTCGCATCTGGGAATAAACTGTTGACACAGTAACTGAGAATTTGAACATAAAATTTAGCATTTTCAAACCGTCCACACCAAGCTTCATACGTTGCTAAATTTCCATAGACCACAGCTACATGATAATTATTGAACTGATCAAACATTTTAGAGAGTAGATTCTTTGCTTTCTGAGCGCTTTTTTCAGCCAATTCCGTGAGCCCATATCTGCATTCACACAAGGCTCGAATGGACAAAAAGATGGCCAACCATGCCTCACGTTCCACTGAATTGGAATCGTTGAGTTCTTCACTGCTGTTTGATGAATTGCTCGAGTCAAATGATGATAAAGAGGGTGACGAAAATAGAAATTTTTCAAATTCTTCTCTCGCTATACATGGACATCCATCGCTTGCAAATTCATAATAAAACTCAATGACATTTCTCTTATTTAAATGACCAGTTTCTTCATCAAACTCGGTGCTATTAAGATTTTCATTTTGGCCCACCACATCATTCCCACGTTTATCGCTGCTTTCAGTAGATGCTTTTTCATAAGGCTTGTATTTCAATTTTTTGTCTTTGACACTCGTAGAGTGTTCTTTTGTGTTTCGTTTCGAGTGTTTTTCTTCTACTGATGAAGATGAAGAGGACGATTTAATTCTTTTTGATTCTCTATATACACATTCTACACCTCGTTGCTTACATTCCATGCAGCTCGGAAGATGTTTTGAACATTTTCTATGTTGCTTTCTACATGGTTCACAAGCAATAGCGAAAAATTGAGCCTCCGATGACAATGGAGAAGATGAGGAAATATTAGTGGGAGTTGCGGTTGGAATGATCATTGAATATTCATCATATGCGGTAGGTACTATAGTAGAGGAAGGAAGGGCAGCAGCAGTTAGGAATAAAGGGGGATGATGATTGGTGTGGTTCATCATGAAATAATTCATGTTCATGGGAGGGTTGTTATGATGTTGTGCTGGATGATGATTAGAGGACATGATGAATGGAGGAATATTTGTAGGTGGTTGAGTATTGGAATAGGAGTGAATGGTTGTGTGATGGTTGTGGGATTCCGAGCCATTATTCGTGATGATTGGAGGAGTGTGTTGCATAGACGAGGAAGTAGGTGACCATGTGGATGCATCATATTCCCGCAAAGAGCTACCAAACGAGGATGATAACGGGTTGAAATCGTCTGACGAAGAACCAGGGTAATGATTTTGCATTTTTTTGTTTTGGGTTTCGCATTCCGTGGCTGCTTCCGTTGAGAAAGGTTAACAAACTCCATCGTGGAATTTCCATCTCGTGTTTGAATCTGTAACGAGACCCTGTCAACATGTTTCTTTCAAGAATGTCTGGCAAACAATGATTGTTTCACAAATCAAGAGAATTTCCATATGGTTTTATTGGAATAGTAATTGAGATTGACCTCGTGTCATTACATGAACTGATTCAATTCACCTTCTTCAAAATCTCCATAGGTGGATGGTGAAAATATTTGTTGCAAATCTTCGTGCGTGAAAAAAGGATCAACAAAATATAATTCTTGTTGCGAGGGTGATTTGGTAGTGATAAGAGGGGACAGTGAGGATGAGCTTGTATTGTCAGAAGTGCCCAGAAGTTGTGAAAATAGAGATCTGTTTTCTGTTGTTGGAGGTTTTAACACATTAGGGTTATTAGCTGCTGTTTCATTGACATAACCAATGAGGAACGAAAGTGGTGGCAGTCCTGCATCAAAAGTGCTGGGCTGCATGGCTTGGCTGACGTCACAAGTTGGTGCTTGAGGTTTTGATGGAGATTGATTTGTGGATAGAACGTTCAACATTGCATTGTCTTCAACGTTATTGTTGTCAGAAGTGAGAGATGCTGAGCGCTTCTTTAACATTTGACCAATTTCATCCATCAATGATCCATAACATAGAGAGACACGTTTGAATCGTTTGCTTAATACATTCAAAGCTCGATAATCTTTGGTTAAAATTTCAAAATAGTCCACAGGGCCAAAACTCTGACCATCCGATAATAATCCTTTCTGATTATTTTGTCTTGTGCCACTCTCAATCTTTTTACATATTTGTAAGTGAATTCTTGACGCCAAAGCAACATGCGGTATCACAATAACAGGTAGGAATGGGAAAAACTCGCTTTGTGATGAGTATGTAATGCGCAATGAACTTTCTTCGATCAATTGTTTTCCGTACCCGGCCTTTGTAAGCACTCCTACGCGAAGTCCGTTGAGAAGTAATGACTGACAAAGGTTAGATCCTCTATCATAAATTTCCATCTCTCTATCATTTCTGTTCTTGGCAGCCAATGAGCGGAAGTATTTGTTGAGATAGGATGCAACCATTTCAATAATTTTCAAATAGTCAAGACAATTGGAAGGACTCACTTCTTGTTGAGTCGCCTTTACAATTTCCTGAGGCAAAGGAAAACCAGTGGTATTCTCAAAAACCTTTGGAAAATTATGAATAAAAGTATTAATTCCTAGCTCGCTGTCAGCGTTAACAATGTCTATCGATGATAGGTATTTTTGTAGAGTTTTTTCATACTCATTAAGATTTTGCTTTTCAGTATCGTCCATTTCCTCAAAGTAAAATTTTGCATTTTTTAAATAAAACTTGGAAAGCTTAACCCTTCCACTTCCAATTTCATAAGCACCTAGTGTAGCATATATACACGCAACAACATAATTTGAAACTTCGTCAAACAATTTAGACAACATGTCACGTGCTTTTCTAGCTGTTTTTTCAGCTTGATCTCCCATTCCTAAACGTTGTTCCACGAGAGCTTGGATCCCAAAATAAAAACATTGCATCTCCTTCTTATATGGAAGTTCTTCTTCAGCTTCTTCGTCAGAGCTCTTATGTAGTATATGTTTTTCAAGAAGAGCTCGATCTATAATGATAAAATGATCACATATCATTTTATAATAAAGATCAATAACATGTTTCTTGGTTAGAGTTTGAGGTATTTTTGATGTCCAAGTTGTATCGACAGGTGTACTAAGAGAATCTTCAGATGACTGCATTGGTGGTTGCGACACTGTTGATTCATTATTTTCTTCAGGAGTCTTCTTCTTTTTCTTTTTAGGTTGGTCGTTTTCTTCTTTCTGCTGTTTGAGTTGAGGATTGGGATATCTCATTCTTCGTGGAGTTTTGTACTCACAAGCAATTCCTTTTGATTCACATCTATTGCAGCTTGGAAGTCTCTGAAATGTCAAAACATTAACATTTTGAGAATTTGAAATTAAACGAGTAGATAATGCAATGAGTAATAATCAGCAGATAAAAATGCATTATGAGTCATTTTGTTAAAATTTTACACTTTTTTAAAAATACTAACCTTGTCACACTGCTTATGTTGCTTCCGGCACTGCACACAGGCAATAGGATGAAATTCAGAGGACATAGGTGGTTGTTGAAGTATTGATGTCTCATTATTGTGAGGAGATGGATGCAATGGAGTCGTTTGGAATGAGGTCATTAAATTATAGGTATACTGTTTTTGTGAAGGCGGAGTTCCGACCTGGTTCATACCTTGTTGTGCAACGCTTCCGTTACTCGGCATCACTCCTTGATGAGAATTGTTGGATGATGATGGATATACATTATTAGCAGCGTTATGGGAGTAGGGCTTATTGTTATATTGGGAACTCGTGGAGTAATTTCCATTATAGCTCATTTGAGAAGAGGCTGTGTTTTGGTTACTATAGCCTTGTGAATGTTGCGGCACTGAATAGTTGGAACTGTTATTGGATGTGTTGTAATAATTATTTCCATGAAAGTTTGGATATTGATGTTGCTGAGCAGAGGAAGGGTGATGTCCTGGCGAATTTACATTTAATAAATTAGAAGACGATGATGGAGAAAGTGTTGATGATGACGATGGTGTAATGGGTACAGAAAGCGTTGGTGGTTGCTGTGCTGGTTGCGGATAATGTTGATTGGAATTGTGATGGTTCGTCCATGCTTGCCCATGATGATGATTATTACTACTACTACTGCCATGGTATGGAGGTGATGGTTGTGTTTTCGAAAAACTTGTATTTCCTTGTGAAGCAGAGGCTAACCCCGATGCGTTTGAAACAGTCGGAAAGTGTCCATTCATTTCAGCGATGATGATGACTGTTCAACGACACTAGGTAACCGATTAAAACTTTTCAATATAAATTCTTCACAGTTATCAATCAGTGAAGAGCGTGTTTTTCTGTTGTTGATTGAATATTTAACAACAACGACACTCAAAGTGAGCACCAAACGTGGTGGGGATGGTACTAGTCGTCCAAGAAAAATATCGCTCCAGGAGATACTTTTTGATGGCAATAACGCGAAGGGAGTGACGCACTTATTTTTTTCGTTTCGCTCCTCCTCTCGAGAGTGCTATTGGAGTTTTTGAATTCATCCACAACGCATCAAAATGTCAGTTTCATAGAGATTCACAACAGTTTGAACATGTATGAAAGAACATGAACCAATGTTGTTTCATTCTTTTTCATTCTCCATGGAGGGTGAGGGAGATAGGAAACGCTTCGTGAGCAACTCCCTAAGTGAATAATGTTAACAAACGAAAAATCAACACGATCATTGAATGAAAAAAAAGAATATGTTTGTGGTCTGGATGACAACTATTGCAAAGGAACCATCTTGTCATGTAGAACTGTACTATATCGTGCACTTTCTCCTGGGAGATTACCTTTTCGAAATAAGGAGCATTTCTTTTTCCAGAGTTGGGAATTCTCAACTCTTGGCCAATAAATTTAGAATCTTCTATTTCCATTCATTCCTCAACTCAAAAACAAAATTCACATTTTCATACCTTCCTCACCAAAATGATTCCTCTCCTCGCAAGTGCTTCTGCGTTCGTTGGAGCCTCCGTTTCCACCATCATGGCCAGTTAAGTTGTTGGTTTTACCAAAACAGGAATCGCTGCTGGTTCCTGGGCTGCCAGTTGGATGTCTTCCGCTGCAATTGCCAACGGAGGAGGAGTTGCAGCAGGCTCCACTGTTTCTCTTCTTCAACACGCAAGTATGGTTGGTGCAGCAGGAATCGTAACAGGACCTGTGGGAGCAGCAGTCCTTACAGGTGCAGTTGCGGTTGGAACCGTTGCTGCCGTTGTTATATTGATTTAATTTTTTTAACCTTATTTCAACCTTTTCAAAGGAGTCGATCACCATCACAAGTTCATTTTCTATAATCTCATGTTCAACCATTGGTTTTGTAAATATTTAATAACTTCAAATACTAGTAAAGATTCAATAGCTCCAAAAAAAAATTATTCATTGCTGAATCAGCATTCATGGATATTTTCAAACCCTCGAATTTACGATCCATAGCGGGAGATGAGAAACTGGTCGTGTATTTTCAAAATGACTCCTCCTCGGAAACCATCAAACTGTACTGGATCAATTATGAAGGCAAGGAAATAGAGGTCGCTACCATATTTCCCAAAGATATGGTCGGGCAACAGAGCTTTTTGACTCATTGCTTTTTGATGAGAAGTTTGGAACAGCCTGAGAAAATTGTAGGACTCTTTGTATTGGACTCTTCGTTAGAGAATGGTTGTGTGTTGAAATCGGGTCAGGTTCATAACCCATCGCTTGTTCCTTCCACTCCGGTGCCTCCTCCTTTGGACAAGAATTTCGTTAAGGTCTGCTATGAATTTTCAAAGAAAGATGATTTTCCTGGATACAGTACTGGATTGAAATCATTGAGTGGATTCAGTCAAGCTCCAATTTCGGTAAAGAATACGACACAACACACCCTGGACGCATACTGGGTTGATTTTGAAGGAAAATTATTACCGTATGGCCAAGTGCAACCGAATGGTACTTTTTCATCTTTGAGTGGTGTCAATCATGCCTTTGTTTTCAAATCTTCAGATCGGTCCTATGAAAAAGTGGTGATTGTATCACAAAGTAGGCCACTCGTGGTACTGGAAGATGACACCATTTCCATCTGTGCACATACCTTAGAAGAACCGACTGAGACAAGCTGTCACCAAATCATTGCTGCACAAATATCGGAGAGAACAGCACATAGAAATATGGGATTTTCATATCCTGCAAGCATTTCTCTCGTTCAAGGCCTTGCATCTCATCTTCGAATGGAAGGTAAACGATTCGTCGATGAAGATTTTCCTCCTCAATCCGACTGGGTGCGAGCCTACGATTTCTTTCATGGAGATGTGGCAATAGTGAAAAAGGGATTTTCAGCCACAGCACCAAGACAAGGCAGTGTTGGAAATTGTTGGCTCATTCAATCCTTATCTGGAGCTGCCATCCGTCCCAAGGAAATTCAAAACGTCTTTTGCTTGTGTGAATCAGTGGATCCAAGCCTAGGTCTGTATGCTGTCACGTTCCACTCTGAAGAACCAGGAAAGAAATATACCGTTCTTCTCGATGATTACTGTCCAATGCATAGTGACTTTGTGTATGCCAAGTCATACGCAGCGAAAGGAGAGTTATGGATACCCCTCATTGAAAAAGCTTTTGCAAAAATGGTTGGTGGATATATAGATCTTGCGCCTTCAAAACATTCCTTTAATCCAGCTCATGTGTTGGTAGCCTTATTGGGCGGTAAGGCAAAACATTTCGAATGGTTTTCTGGAGAAAATTCAGAGGGTAGAAGGTTAATGAACGAAAATAAGTTTTGGCCTCTAATTGAACGATTACTGGACAGTGAAAAGAGCGTGCCAGTTTGTACAAGTAAGGCTGTGAATGGAGGGGATGGTGCAGTAGACTCGTTGGGAATTGTGCATTATCATGGATACAGTATTCTCGAGTATAGGAAATTTTCTCAACACAATCTGAATTTGATAAAAATACGAAATACATGGGCCAACACAGAATGGGGAGGAAGTTTTGGTGACAATTCTAAGGAATGGCAGAAATATCCTCAACTCTCAAAAGAATTGAATCATGAAGCGAAAGATGATGGATGTTTTTGGATGACCTATGACGATTTTATCAAGAATTATTGTGTCATCTGGTGGAATGAGCATGAATAAGCGCGTTGTAAATTATGGGAACAACTGTAAATTAATCATAAAAATTTAATTAATACACGAAAATTTCGATAATCTTTAAAATTCATTTCCTACTCCTTGATAAATGGAATTTTGACTGTATCTTCATGGAATTTAATCGCCACTTCATCAATTTCGAATTCAAATTTGTCGTTAAACCGATCAACGATTTGTTTTAATTCCTCTACATGAGTCTCATCAGTATAAATCAATGATACATGAGCTTCGTTCTCATTATAAACAATTTTTCCACCAGTAATTTCTGCACATTTTCTTCTAGCATGTACAAATGACATTTGATCTTGCCTCAATGTTTCAATTTTCAAAGCGGCAAATAAACAATACACCTTTTTGTTTTTAATTCTCTCAACAGGAGAAATCATAAAATGTTCAATGGTTGCTTTGAATGGATACAATTTCTTGCCATCTGCTCCATTTGTGACCAATTCCTGCAAGGCTTTAATCGCTTCCTCTTTCTTGCTATTCGGAATTTTTCCAACAAATGTGGAATGAAAATTCTGTCGTGGTCGATCCGTACTGTCATTATTATTCAATGACGACTTTTTAAATTCCTTTCCATGATTATCCAATTTCCAATCATCATTAAAAGCATCAAACATTTCTTGAAATTTCGAAAAGGCCTCGGAAGGCATGACCAAGAATGAATAACCATATCCTGGTTGAACAGACATTTTTTTTTTGAAACGATTTCTGAAACACTTGAATCACTTTTGAAAATGCATGCAAGTTCATTTTTATTTTCAGTATTGCAGTCATACACGAGTCTGTTACGATAGAAATGATTTTGGATTGCTGATCTTGGAGTCAAATGGACAATGACATGCGCAATGGAACCACACACGAATTATTGTCTGTTGGATGGTTTGATCTTTGTTGAAAGTTCCCATAATTCATCATCTGTTTTTGTTTTCAATAATCGTTGCAATTCTTCAGTAAATACAAATTGCAAATAAGGTAATTCTTGAAAATCATAATTAAGACATAATTGTTGCAATTCTGAAACTCTTCCCAATGTTTTCATTAAAATTCTCATCATTCGGTAATTAATGACCTCTTTGTGTTTGGCATGTTCGAGAAGAGGTTTGTTTCCTTCTTTTGTGAAAAATACTTGACTTTGAAAACTTCCTAAATAAGGAATGCAAGGTTGCTGTTTTTCAGAGAGATGGTCATACAGTTGATTCACTTCTTTTGCATTGATGACTTTTTTCTGACTCTCTTCCAATTCGAGGAACAGTTTGTGTACTTCCTTATTGTCTTCATAGAGATCTTTGAGTCTAAAAACAGAAGAACTTCTCAAACCTCCCAATATGGACATGAATCCAAAATAATTACCTGCTTGGAAACATGACTGAGCAATGCAAAGAATTTTGGTAAAGACCTTCTTGCGATCTCTCTCATTGGGTTGAATGAGAACAGTCTCGCTGGCCCAATGTTGTACTGTTTTGAAATGTTCTTGCATGAACAAAATGTTACTACTGTACTTTTCTCGAATTTCCTTATCTTTGCTTTCAATATAATAAAATTCATAGGGCTTAATTTTCAAAAAGAATTTTGCTTCCAACAAGGTCAATTGATGAGCTAATTCGGCAGAAGGCCAAGAGAAGATGTCGAATTGAATTTTGAAAGGATTTGAAATTCCCAATCGAACATATAAGTCCTTGTCGTGATTCCATTTGGACATGGGAATTTCTGGTGTGGAAACTTGTTGCAGAGTTAATCCTTTGGGAATTCTTAGAGTTTTGTCTTCTGCGGATGCTGAAGAGTCACGCCCTGGACTGGTAATTCCACATCGAGTTCCGGACGAGGCCTGAATGGAAAGCATATTCAGAACGAGAGCGTTTTGAATTTTGGCAATACTCGAAGTGCTGCTTGACGACATGTGTTCAATTTCTTTCATAAAATTAATACTTTTTGCAATACTTAAATTATTGAATGCATAGAAACCGTCCTTGATTAATCGTGCTGCAGTTCTTTCAAGATTAATTTTTGCAAATAGCAAGTCATTCTTATCTTGCTTGTCCTGATTCAAGTGTCTGTACTTGGCAATTAAAATGTCAATAATTTTCTCTGGAGTACTGAATAAGTTATAGGTCAAGTAGAACATTTGAGAAAATTGTTCAGTATGTTCCTTGTCATTGATAGGATTATATCCAAGAATTTTGTTAATGGATGCTTGCAAAGTAGCTGCTTTCAGACAACACAATTCAGAATCCACAATATATTCATCTTCCGCAGCTTCGTGAGATACATTTGTCTGTGAATCATCACCATTGGTATATTCAGTCAAAAGTATTTCCGTACAGTTGAGACAGTGAGCTCTGAAAACATCAGGATCATGATCTAAATCATTGGCATCTGGACAGAAAATGAGTAGACTGTGTGACTTTTCCATGAAAATCAAGAGAGCAATGAGTATTCTAAATTTGCTTTCCTTCTTCAAAAATTTCATGGATAAATCTCGAGCATTCTCAATTTCATGTACACTAATGAGCTTCTTACAGTGAGTGACCAAGTCTGTGATTAATGATTTTACAACCAAAAAGCAAGTGTTACCATCATGTCTCAGCAATGAATGGATGGTAATGTGGCGAATGACTTGAATAAGCTTGTAGAGCAATGAATCGACATAATCCTCGTCGGCTGCTGTGTCAGACAATCCATTAAATACAGAGATTAAAAAGGTCATCATGCATCCATCCTTGCCAATAAAAAGGGCGTTCAAAATATAGACTACCACTTGATAGGCCTTACTCACAAAATCAATCTTCTTTGATTGTTGCTCATGTTCTTTTGTAAGTCCTCTGAAAGCGAATACAATACTCTTCATAAACTTGAGCATGTAAAAAACAATACTCAAATCATTCAATTCGTTAGAACAGTGCAATGTTTTTTCTCTCCACCAACGAATGAGCGAATCTCTATTGTAATTTCTCATGGTCCATAATAAAAGAGTGCTCAAAATGACATTAATCTCATTGAATTGTTTGAGTTTAAGCAACAATTCTTCTCCCTTATTGAAGAAGGTATCAACGAGACTTGTGAAAATGATAGATGTGATTCGTTCGCGTTGCTCTCTTGGTTGATATCTCTCATCGAAATCCAATTTCAAAAATATGTCCAACAAATATTTTCCAATCTTGTACATGATCTTTTCATTCTTCATCTCGATCGCCTCGAAAAATAATGAAATAATCTTGGTAATGAAGATATTCGTAGTGGAAAGTTCCCACATTTCGTGGTAATCTGATATAATTGCGAGAGATTCGCTGAGAAGTCTCATACTGATTTCTTTGGACAAGCCGGTTGTGACTTTTCTGCAATAAAATTCAAATATTCCTTTCACAGATTCATATCCAATCGTTGGTAATAGATCTCTGATAAATAGAGAGATGTTTCTATTACAATAAATAGCAAGGTTGTGATTGCTGTTATTGTTCGATTGTAGCAACTTTTCCATGCACATGAACAGCTCCTGTATGAGATTTTTTGTAAGGACCAACAAGTCACTCTCTAAATAATTTGAAATACTCTTGGATTGGGCAATTAAGAGAGATTTGATCACCATGTCAAACACAAACCAAGAATATCTACAAGATTCGGATGACTTTTCCTCGTTGGCTTCTCTGTTAGACGTCAAATATTGGATAAATACTCTCATCAACTCACAATGTAAGGACTCAAAACTAAAAATGAATTTGATAAAACTCGAGAAGAAACGATTACCTCGAGTGCTGTTGCCACAAAATTCATGGAATTTGCTCAAGCTCAATAATAGTGCCTCGAATAACTTGGTTTGAAGATCCATTTGAAGCTTTTTCATGTTAATTTCCTTAGTGAATTGTTCAGAGGATGAGTAATTCAGTAATTCTAGTAAAATGTCAAACAACAGATACATGAACGGCATGCTGCTACTAAAGTCAGTCATATGGAATTTCAAAAGTAAATGATAAACAATATACTCCAATATCGAAGACTTTTGCAAAGAGGTACTTTTTGTAAATGCGTCATAGGCAGCGAAAAATAATTGCAATCGTTCATCGGGTGGTTGTAATGTGGTAACCAAGTTTGCATCAATTCTCAGCTTGGATTTTTCGCTCACTTTAAGAGAATCCAAATCCTTTTCACTAATGGACATGTATCCAGGAGGAAGTTTTGAATAAATTGGAATCGTCTCATTCGATACCGATTGTCGAAGCGGCATGTATCCAGATAAAATATCCCCATAGAGTTCCTTATCTGCTTCATAGACACTATTCTTTGTATAGAGAGCCAAAAAGCTATATCCAACAATATTTCTATGAACACCTTGACCAAAGTGGCCACTTCGTAGGTCGATTTCTAAAATTTTCTGTCCTTTTTTCTTCAAGTCCACTGTGTCAATGTTGTAAAATGTGAAAAGTAAATGATGCCCGTTATGAATATTCTCTGGAGTTAAACCGAGTAAGTCAATCTTAATTTCGTCAACGAAATGTACATTCTTTTTGGTATTGCAAGAAAGACTTGAAAATTGATATCTTTGCAACTTGTTACTAAACTTTCCTATAAATCGCTTCAGCATCTTTGTACTGGTATTTGCATTCAAGATGTAGTCGTCAGGGGTTGGTGTGGATTGATCACTATCTCTTACTGACACCTCAATAAGTACATTTTTGCAATGTTTCAATCCTGACAATCTTGCAAGCTTTAAATTCAGAAATAGTATGTTCTTAAACGAAAGATGTGGATATCTAGATTTCATCCATGGAATCTCTTCTACAACATCCTCAATATCTTCCTCAACAAAGGTATTTCTAACAAATCTTCTTCTTGCATAAGGCGATTCCACTCGTAATTGGTCCACATCCAAATCATCCAAAGAAATTGGATTCTCGGGTTCCTCAACAAAACTTGGTCGAGTCACACTCGTCCTTGAAAATGATTGAGATTTCCAATCGCGCATAATTTTACATTCCACAGCCATTTTTCCTCTAATATGGTATGCTTGCATGCTGGAATGTGTTGCTGTCTGAGTATCTAAATGCTTTAACAATGTAACGATATTGAAATTTTCGATATTGCTGTCCACAATAATAGGATAAAACTTTTCAATAATAGTGGAAGAGAATGCCAAGTCTACTTTTGGATCATCTCCAAAATCTAGAACGCTCGATGAGCTTGATACATTGACGTGGCCATGAGGTCGTTTTGAACTGAAAATTTTACAATAGCCCAAGAGGAAAGATTGTTCAAAGTGATATAGAGCCTTGCGTGATTCTTCCAATTCTGGTTGTGGTTTCTTTTGTGAAATGCTTCCCATCTCTTCTGCAGCTTCTTGAACCGTGGTGTGAGGAGCAAGTCTACGAACAATAACTACGCAATATATTTGATCATGTGGATAACTAATGCTAAATACTTTTTCTTTTGTGACGCTTGGCATCATTCTTAGGATGTCCTGAGCACTAGTTGGCAATGTTTGCAATTGCAATTCAGATAAAAAGTTAAAGTACCAATCTTCAGTGATCTTCTTCTCACTTTTGCAGTCATAAAGGGCAACAGAAAAAGTAAAAAGTTCCTTCTTTGAGGCGTCCCCAATAAGGGAGAAGTCAGAAAAACCTAGATTAATGCTAATTCTGTTTTTTGTTGGATATTCAAGAGCATGTAAAGTTCTATGACATAGAACCAAGTCCATTGGTTTGTATTCGTAGAATGGTTTGAGAAGCATTAGCAAACGCTCTTCCAAAATTTCATTCTTAATCGACATGTCAGCAACAGTTGGAGCACTGTTCAAAATTGCATTACCAAACTTTGCCGATAGTCTTTTGCTACCATTCACTGAATATGTCAACTCATTGATAAATGTGACCAACTGCTCGTTCAAATGCTCCTTTGTGACATCTTCGAGTTTTCTTTCCTCTGTGTTGATATCAATTTCATCATAGAGATCTGTTGCTTTAACATCGGTTGTTGTCATACTTAAATTAGCGCTGTTACCACTAGAGTCTGATGCTGTAAAACCAGAATTATGGTCATTATTAGCGGTGAGATCGTTTTGGCTCTGATTATTTTTCCAAAGCCCTGTAATTCTCATAGAGAGCGTTTTTAACCTTCGCTCTTGCTTGTCTACTTTTGGGATGTCCAGCTTTAGATTTTGTTTCAAATTTTCTGAGCTTTTGTTGAGTTCAGAGGAGGAGAGAAGATCACTTTCAGATTTCTTTTTTTTCAATCCCATCAAACCTTTGAGTGTTTTTCCAATAGAACCATTTCTCGATCGAGCATGGGACGATGACATTTCCATAAAACTCTGTGGAACAGGGCTAGAATCTGAATTAATTGCTTCCAAAGATCTTTCATCCTCCAAGTCTCTAATTGCAGACACATGTTTCAAAATATCCGAGTTGTAAGCAGATTTTTGAGGAATATTCATTCCAGCAATAATATAAAGGCCTTGATTTGGTGGTGATGTCAATTTTGAGTCTGAGGAGTGAATGGTGTTGTAGCTAAATGACGAAAAATTGCTATTGTTTTCCATGTTCAAATCCAAAGATCCAGATAAATTCAACATGCTTCCCACTCGTGACTGATTTCCAGAGACAGCAAGGAATGGAGGTGTCACTTTTCGATACAATAAATTTTCATTTACATCCCAAACATGACAAAACATGGTATTGTTACTTGAGCTAGTTGTTGCATTCACGTTTCCGATTGTGTTATTTACATTTGATTTGCAATGGTTATTTGAATTGTTATTGGTGAAAGGTGAATTGTCTTGAGAAGATGATGTGTCACCAATGGCACGTAAATTTTGAGGATTTAGCACTGAAAAAGTTGCGTCATGATCGGAATCATTTGTTGTGAATACTCCTCCTAATGATTGATTCGATGATGAATTTTTCATTGCTAATTGCTCAAGCGCTGATGCTGATGATTGCATGGTGTGACCATACAAAGAGAGACCTGTCACTACTGAAGAATTATTATCAGTGGGGGATGTGAGAGAACATAAATCTTCCTCACTACTCCGACTTCCAAAACTTGTCAACTGAACTCCATTAATTGCATTGTCCAGATCTGTACTCCCATTGTTGATCATGGAGTTGCTTATTGTTGAGCTCAATTCCGATGTTGGAATCAAGGAATTGAGAGGGACTGATGAGCTTGACGTTGATGGTGGTAGCACTCCACGGTGGTGATGATAACGAGGACCACTTGTAGTAGACGACGATGATGCAGCTGTTGAAGATGAAATTGACAGAGGAGTGGCGTTTTCATTGAAAGATTTTGTTCCTACACTTGCTGTTTGAAGTTGCTGAGTGCCATGTGCTTGAGAAACCACTGAACTAGTGGAAATGAGCAGAGTACCACACGGAGTGGTTGGCACTGTAGCAAGTTGATGATGTGGTTGTTGATTCGGAAGGACATAAATCTTTTCGAAATGAGGTAAGAGACCTTGAGGAACCGCATTCAAGAGTCTCGATTGAAACGAGTCGTCATCATAGGGCATTGCAGTATCACAATAGAATGGAGACGATCCAGAATTTACACCACCACCACTCGTTTGTGAATAATTATTAGTATTTTCAACATATTGTTGTTGAATGGTCATCGTTGATGTTGTCGTCATTGTATGATTATTGTTGACAGAGTTGACATTATTTGATTGCAAATGATGATGAGAAGGTGGTTGTTGAAAGAGTGTCGTTGGTGAATCGTGGTGGCCATTCACAGGAGAATAGGTAGCAGTGGTACTATTCGGAGACACTCCACCTCTCATCGACCGATGATGTTTTGTATTCGAAGTGTTGATTGTGAGTGAAGTAGCAGAGCCACCACTTGTGGGTGATGTAGGTTGATTCTGCCATAATTGATGATATAAATTAATGTTTCCTCCTCTTAAATTGCTATTGGAGGATGAAAGTGAATATCGTGGTGGCGGTACTGATGATGTGAGTTGTGAATAAAACGAGGGATATGAAATGGATGGTTTAGGGCGTATGTCAATCGTGTAGAAAGAGGAGGGAGAACAAGTTGTTGTGCTGTTACTGCTCTGTTGTTCTTGCTGTGGTGATGTTGAAGAACTGATACCTCTACAACGTTGCAAGGGATCCGAATAGGTGGGAGAAGTCACTCTTTGCTGCTGAAGGTGGTTTGCTGACATTTGTTTTATATTAGCTGTGATGGGAGATGTATTGGCTCAGCAACAAAACCAATCATTGAGACCATGAAAATACTTTCTATACACGTCATTTGTCACTTGATAAAGAAAAGTGGCAACACCAAACAGCTTCATGCATCTTCTTTAAATGTTTGTTAGGAAATTGTCGTAATGTTCCCAGTGCGTATTTTGTTGATTCTCATGAATGTGAGAAGAAGGTTTCCTTTAATCCCTCAATGACGTATTCATACAGGTCTCTAAAATTAATCGACGAGAGAAACAAGAAGAGAACATGGAACAACCAGTTCCCGTCCGTTGTTGAAATAGCAAAGCCCACTTCATTTCCAACACAACAAAAAACAACAACAACAAAACGTTAGTCTCATTCCCAACGTATCATCATGTCATTTCGACCAATAACCTCCCGATCTGCCATCACAACACCAAACATGATTCTCACAAACAAACCCAATGAACAACAACTCATCACCCTTCCTAAAATCAATATCATGACCTACAATGTCAACTTTGGAGGTGTTTCATGGGACGGAGTGGCAAATCTCGGAGGCCAACGAGCTTTACAAGCCATTCATGAACACTCTCACGAGTTGGACATTGTATGCTTGCAAGAAACACATCAAGGCTGGGAATATGCCTTGAATCATTTCAAACCCACTGTATCATCATCATCAATAACAACCACTTCCGTTACCACACCCTCCTCACTCCGATCCGCCTTTCCTCATCAATACTGGGATCATACCAAAACCAATCATTATTTAGCGAGTGGAAGTGCTGTCCTCGCGAGTCGCCATTTCGACCTTAACGTTCAAATGCTTGAGAGTCGAGTGCAAGGCTCATTTTTTGATGCCATGCATATCGTCGTTAAGGATTTGAGACGACGAGATTTCTCTTCTTCAACATTGCAACATGAAGAGATTGGAATTTCAGAAATGGAATCAAATTTGGAAGAACATGAGGATTTCATGATGGAGGACGACGACTCCACAGCCACCACAAGCACTGCTGCATCCTCTCCCATTTTACAAATTCTGAATTTACATTTGAGGCCGCCTTTATCGTTTGACAGTAGCAACTTTCTCGACAATGCAGCTGCGTATTTGTGGAAAACGACATCGGTGCGGAGAGATGAAGTGAAAAGTTATGTGGAACAAGCTCTCCAAAAGCATCCCAATGTTCCATTGATTTTATTGGGTGATTTCAATGAGAAGAGTAGTGTGGGTGTGTTGTCTTCGAAAGACTCTTTTGCTAAATATTTAAATGAGTTGGAATATATTGATGCCTTACAAGATGCCACGACGTGGTATTGGCCATTGAAAGGTTCTTTCAGTTTGTGGGGTTCCTATGATCATGTGTTTTATAGGAAACAAGAGTGGAAGGTTGAAAAGCAACACATTTTGCAGGAATACAAAGAGTGTGCATCGGATCATTTGCCTTGTATTGTTACTTTAAGGAAAGTAAATCATTGATAAATTCTCTGAAATCTAGTGACTTGAATATTCATGTTGCAATACTATAGTTCCAGTAATTTCTGTTTCACATTTTTAAAAACCTTTTTCCGCACCTCTTACAGAGCTAACCCATTCATGACCTGATGATCATCATCAATCCAGTGTCCTTAATGAAAAATTGAACAATTATTTTCATGGCTTGTGATTCCATCACCACAGTTACACACTCGTTTGAACAGGTTTGGAAATCGAAGATAAATTCCATTGAGCCACTACTTCCTTAATGTCTCGATCTTGTCGTTTCAATCTCTCAAAAATGTCAGTCATGTCGTTCAAGCAATGCAGCTGAATGTTCTTAAATAAATCCAATGGAATCATTTCATTGTTGTTGGAGCAACGATTGATGACTGACATGGATTCATGAAACACTTCGTTCACTTTTGGATAGTTCAATTGGAGAGGAGAATTTTGTTTGAGATATGTGTTTGCAATGTGGAGTGCTAATTTTCGACGATTTTTAGAGCTCGTTGTTTTGGTAAATCTCTCAACATCTCTGTAACATAGAACTGGTTCGGGGCAAAATGATTTTCTCGCAAATTCTAATATAACGTTAAAAGTTTTTCGTTGTTTCAAACATTGTTCCAATCCAGATTCTTCTGTTGAATTGAGAGCATTGAGAGCGGCAATTTGGTGATTTTGTTTTCGATCCATCATGATGGAATACAGAACGGGAAGCAAAACACTCAAAATAACGTCACAACATGAATACACCAGCAGTACATAGCCGTACGGTATGAAAAAGTCCAAAAACTTTGCAAATATTGGAACAAATCCAAAAACAATAAACAAAATGATGGCTCCCAATTTAAGTCCAATGAGAGTTGCTGTTTCTTTCCAAATAAACCAAGTGTCTCTTGCAAAAATTAAACACAACACAAATAGTATAGTCTCCACGATGATATAGAAAAAAGTTAAAACTCCAACCAAAATGAAAGTTGAATTTGAAATTCCACATCCTGACACCTGAAAGACTCCCTTATTTGTGAAAATGGTAGCGTTAGTAGTGTTGATCTGAGCATATTCAATTCCTCCCAAAATGAGATAAATACTCGCATGAAAAATGAAGAGGCTAACATAAGATCCAATCACAAACTTGTCACTCACCAAAATGACAAAATTTTCACCTTCCTCAAGTCTTGAGCTGAAGGAGTGACTATGGTCAAGACATCACTTCTCATATCGTCGTCAATGGTTCCAACTGACGTAACATCTGATACTTCAAAATCTACCTTTTTCTCGTTCGTTCCTACAGCTTGTGTCACAAACTCTTGCTTCAAACTCTTTCTTGGATCCGAGTTGGTGGTTGTCATGACGACCGATGAATTTGTTGACATGACATCTTGAAGATTTGGATTCACCAATCCACTGTCAACAAACATGGATTTATCATAATCTCTCACAAACACTAAATTTGTCTTGTTTAAATTCAATACATGCAGCAAATACAATCGAAAACATCTAAAAATCGAAGGTAAAATCAATGCAGGTGGCAACACAAAATACGTAATTGCATAAATAAAGCATGGATAATTCTTTCGTCCAATAATATATCGCAAGCAAGTCAAAATTACAATAAAAGCACTCGCCACCAGTGTCAACACCATATAGACAATTCCTCTCGATTGAACATGTCTCGATTTTCGTTTCCAAAATAATCCAAAGCAACACAATCCCAGTAACACTAAATATCCCAACAAGAAGAGAAGAGAAAAGGAAAAGGAGAGCCAAGTTTCGGGACATCCAGAAGCTGTTAAAACAGGTCCATCACGACTAAAGTTTCCTAATTGAAATAAAATTGGATTACATCCTTGCAATTGTGAGGTATTGGAGATGTTGACAGGAGTTTCAAGAATGAAATTCGAAACTAAGACATTGAATGTTTTGAAAAATAATAAAGGATGATTTTGATGAAGAATAGAGTCTGCTGCTGATTGTTGCGATGATGGAATATCATTGAAAATTATTTCTGAAATTTTCATGAAAGCCGTGTCACCGGTCGAATGCATTTTTCTTGTGGTTGTCAAACTTGTTGAAATTTCGTGATGGCCAACAGACATGTCATCGCCGTCGTAATCGTTCTGCTGAAATCCATCAATGATTGGTATCATGTTCATAATGAGTATGAAAATGAAGGTCCAATAGCAAATAACAAGAGAGTGCTTGAAGAGAGAAGAGAGAATGTTTGATTGATACCTCTGACTTGTTGAAAGAGACATGGTTTTCATAGGAATTTCCATTCTGAACAATACTGGTTGATGACGATGAACCTGAGGTGGATCTGATCTCTTTGACAACACCAGGTTCATGCTTTGCAATTCTGGTGTGGTGTTGAAGTCGTGTTGTTGGGTAGAAAGCAGGCTGTGATTGCCTCAGAGATGCAGAAGTATTTTGTTTGAAAATGAATCAACAGATCAAGGCTTTCGTATGAGTAAGGCCTCACGAGGAAGGGCGTGTGTCAAGAATATTGGACCAGATGATATAAAAGGAAACTAGGAATCTAAGAAACACTCCGAGCGGAATGTACAAGCGCGATTCGATCTGGATTGAATTCATTGAACGAACTTTATATTTTCAAATGGTAACATTAACAAAGGATAGGTTAGAAGAACGTTGAGAAACTACCACATACGTCATCTCGTTGTCTTGTTCTTTTCTCTCAACGCGTTTTCAAGTGTCAAAAAGCACAACAGAAAAAATGTCTCAAAAACTACAGGAAGCCGAAAATCTCGAGAAGGAAGCAAAAAAGTTGTACGTTTTTTTCTTCATAACAAAATCGGTTGGAATATATTCTATCATCATCGGAATGAATATTTGGTGGTCCGAAAATATTGAATCAAATCATTATAATTACTGAAATTGAATGATGATATTGTTGTACTCACTCTAATTGAACAGATCTGAGAGAAGTGTATTCAGATGGAGCCCCGATTGGGATGGAGCTGCTTCAAAATATGAAAAGGCTGCTATTGCCTACAAGAATTTAGGAAAGGAAAACAAAGCTGTTGATTGTTATGTCAGTGCTGGTATGTAATTCTTTTCAAACTTTCCTACTTTAACTGATGGCAATATTACATACTTTCCAATATCATCATTTATTATTCATCACACGATAATTTCTACCACGTCCGTAAAAAAACAAATCCAAATGATTATTATTACTTCAGGTTATTGTCATGAAAAGAACAAAATTCTCTATTCTGCCGGAAGATGCTACGAATCGGCAGCCAACATTTATCAAACGTCCATCAAAGACTTTATCAGTGCATTAAAAAATTATAAAGATGCTGCACGAGTCTACTCCGATGATGGAAAGAACGATCGTGCTGCTGAGGTACTTGTGAAAGCTGCCAAAGCAATGGAAAAAGAACCAGGTGGATTGGAACAATGTTTTGAATTATTTAAGGAAGGAATTGAAATGTCTTGTCTCAATGGAAAGTATCACAACACGACCGACTTGTTGCGTCAATATAATACCATGTTGATCAAGTATAAGAGATTTGATGATGCAATCAAGAATTGTGAAACACAGCTCATTGCTTATCAAAATTTGAATCAAGCCGATAATTTGAGAAAGACCATGCTGTCCATCATTGTTTTGTATCTCAGAAATGATGACCCAGTCGCTGCCGAGAATGCTCTAACAAGATTTACCAATGAAAGTGGAGCTGCTAATTTTTCAAATAGCGACGAAGGTGATTTGGCAGTATCTTTTGTGAGTGCCTTCCAAAATAGAGATGAAAAATTATTAGAGTCCACTCGACAAAATTCTTTATTGAAATACCTCGAAGGACCCTTTGCCAAAATAGCCATGACATTGTCATTGAACCCTCTCTTTGACACAACACCACAAGTGAAAAAAGAGAAACCTAAAAAGATCTCAACACCCAATGCACCAGGTGAAGGAACTGCAATGGCGAACAGCAAGAAGAACATTGCTAGTAAAAAAGCCTCACTCTTCGCTGTGGATGATGACGAGGAAGAAGACGATGGTGACAACAAGAAACGATCAAACAGACCTACAAATACATTCCTAAGCACTGGATCAAAGGCTTCTGCAAACAAACCAAAAACAGCATTTCAACCATTACCTTCAAAGGAAGAAATGGAAGAACTCAAACGAAGACAACAGGAAGCCTATGAAGAAAGACAACGTCAACGACGAAATGGAGAACTTAACGAAGAAGATGATGAAGATTTGGGAGATGACGACGATGACGATGATTTGGAGTTGACTGGAGCTTCAAAATCAAAAACTCCAACAGCAAGCAGTAGTAGCAGCACAAACGTGAAAGCATCATCCTCTACTTCAACACCTACTACAACAAAAACACCAACTGTACCCATGCAACCCACTCAACCTTCACACCCATCATCTCAAACAAATAATGAAGATGAAGACGATATTCAATATGTGTCAACAAAACACAGTGAAGCAATTGATGAATATTTCAATGACGATAATGATTACCAAAAACCTCCTTCAACTATTAAGCCACGTCACGAGGATGATGAGGACGAAGATGAGGACGGAGGCGATGTCTTTGACCCTAATGATTTAACTTAATTGTCACGACGTCGTGTTCAAATGTACACATCTCATGTATAGCTCTTACTATTCCCATAATTTATTATGTTGATATGAAATAATATCGCAAGACTTTTTCTATGAATTTTACCATAATTTATTGTTATACCTAATGCAGGAAATCAGTCCGTCTTAACTAGTCAAACAATTTACAGACTTGAGCAAACACTTCTTCTGGAGTTCCTGTACTATCAATAGTTCGTACTCGATCAGTCTTTTTGAAATGCTCCACTACTGGCAAGCTTTGAGAAAGGAAAGTCTTGAACCTCTTCTTGATACTCTCAATGTTGTCATCAGTTCTGCCAGAAGTTTTACCTCTCTCCAACAAACGCTTCTCAAGAACTTCCTCTGGGCACTCAAAGAACAGAACAAACATGCCCTTACAAATGAATTGCTCAAAGTCATAAGCTAATGGGTGAAATATGAATGTATCAACAACATCCGTACGTGAAAAATACTCACCTTGATGCATTTCACGAGGGAATCCATCCACAAGGAAGGTAGTGTTCTTGTTTGGATGCTCCAAAATAGCTTGTTTCAACAAATTAATGGTCACTTGACCTGGTACGAGCTTGCCTTCTTTCATGTAAGAATCAATCATTCGTCCTTGCTCGGTATCCTTCTTAGATTCTGCTCTCAGCAAGTCTCCAGAACTCAAGTGAACGAATTTATACTGTTCAACCAGTTTGGCGCATTGTGTTCCTGTTAATCAGTCAATAGTACAAAAGTTAGAGCAATTCATGAAACTCTATCAAAATACTAACCTTTTCCTGAACCTGGACCTCCTGCTCAAATGATATCCATATTGAAATGCGCATATTTCACCAATAGAAGACACAACGACGATTCAAGTACTTACCTAACACAAATACGACCTTTCTCCAGTTCTTGATAGATTCTTGTGCTGCAGCCAACCTTGCAATAGGAATTCTGAATGGTGAACAACTGACATAGTTCAATCCTAATCGATGCAAATACTTGACTGATTCGGACTCACCTCCATGCTCACCACACAGACCCACAGTGAGATGATTCTTCACTTCACGTCCATTTTGAATGGCCATTTGAATACTTCTTCCAACTCCTTCCTGGTCCAACACTTCAAATGGGTCATGCTCGAGCAAGTCGTGCTCAATGTAACTTTTCATGAATTTGCCACTATCGTCACGACTAAAACCAAAGGTCATTTGTGTGAGATCATTGGAACCAATAGAGAAGAAGTCAGCAATTCCAGCCAACTCCTTACTAATGATTACTGCTCTTGGACTTTCGATCATGGTTCCCACACGGTAATGAACCAAACTCTTCTTGTGATCGTTCAAACCATAGTATTTGGTTGCAACTTTTTCAATAATTTCCTTTTGATGCAACAATTCTTGAATGGATGAGACAAGAGGAACCATAATGTCAACCTTAACTTCATTGCTATTAGCAGCTTCAAATGCAGCCTCAAATATTGCCTCTACTTGCATGACTGTAATTTCAGGGAATGTAATGCCGAGACGACAACCTCGATGCCCAAGCATTGGATTCTTTTCTTTCAATTGTGCCACGAGTTGAGAGACTTCATGAACATTTTCTTCCAAAGCTTCAGCAAGCTCTGCAATGTCCTTTTCCTCTTCTGGGAGAAATTCATGGAGTGGTGGATCTAGCAAACGAATGGTGACCTTTCTTGGTCCCATCTCATGGAAAATGCTGAGGAAATCAGCTCTCTGGTATTCCTTTAAGGTGCTGATGGCTTGGTTACGTTTTTCTGGAGTTGATGCGACAATCATTCTTCTCATATCAATAATTCGAGTTTTTTCAAAGAACATGTGCTCAGTTCGACAGAGTCCAATGCCTTCAGCTCCAAACTGGAGGGCCTTCTTTGCATCTGCAGCACTATCGGCATTGGCGTAAACTCCCATGGTTCTATACTTTTTCTCAATGTCCATAATTCGAACAAAGTTAGCATTGGTCAAGCCAGGCTGACTTGTTTTTAAGGCCTCTCCATACACATTTCCTGTTGATCCATCAATTGTAATGACGTCTCCCTGCTTGAACAAGACGCCATTGATCGTACACGAGTCCTCTCCCGACACATAGAGCAAACTGCATCCAGAGACACAGCATTTTCCATGTTGACGAGCCACAACAGCGCTGTGGGAAGTCATACCACCAGTACTTGTCAAGAATCCTTGAGAAGCATGCATACCAGCTAAATCTTCTGTAGATGTTTGCTCTCTTACCAAAATCACGTCACCAGCCTCCTTTCTGTCAGCGGACATGGCAATTGCTTGCTCGCTTGTAAAAGCAATTCTGCCGACCACAACTCCAGGAGATGCTGGTAAACCTTGAGCCAAAGGTACATGTCTACTCTTTTCCTCAGGATCCAAGTAGGGATGCAACAATTGATCGAGCTGAGAAGGATCAATTTTCATAATGGCTTCTCGTTCATTGATCAGACCTTCGTCAATCATGTCACAATATATTTGAAGAGCTGCTTCTGCTGTTTTCTTTCCATTTCTACATTGCAACATGTAGAGAACGCCTTGTTCAATGGTAAACTCCATGTCTTGAATGTCCTTGAAATGCTTTTCCAATTTGGAACTAATTTCAGTAAGTTGCTTGTAACATTCAGGGAAGTTGGTTTCCAAGGTTTCAATTTTCTCTGGGGTTCTTGTTCCTGCAACGAGCTGTTCTCCTTGAGCCATGGTCATGTACTCGCCATAAAACTTGTTCTCACCAGTGGATGGATTTCTACTAAAGCAAACACCAGTACCGGACTTTTCATCAACATTTCCAAACACCATGGATTGAATGTTAACTGCAGTTCCTTTGAGCTTGGTAATGGAATGAATTTTTCTGTATTGAATAGCTCTAGAGTTATGCCAACTGTTGAAAACGGCAATAATGGCTCTGTACAATTGTTGATACACGTCTTGAAAAGTTCGTGATGGAATTAAGCATGCGAGAAACAACTGAGTGCGATCACTTACCTTGAGGAAAATCTTCACCAGTTTGCTCAAAAATAGTGAGCTTGTGATCCTGTACAATTTGCTGAATTTCTTCAAGATTTAATTCAGCGTCTGATGAAATTCCTCGCTTTTCTTTTTGTTTCTTAATATTGTCCTCAAAACATTCATTCTTCACGCCCATCACAACTTCACCAAATATTTGAACGAGACTCTTATAAGAATCCCAAGCAAATCTCTCATTTCCTCCAAAGTTTTGAATTAATTGATGAATATTCTTGTCACAAATTCCCAGGTCAAGAACTGTATCCATCATGCCTGGCATTGAAACTGCAGCACCTGATCTGACACTCAGTAAGAGAATCTTTTCATCACCCTGTTGAGAATCTCCAAATTTCTTACCCGAAACTAGTTCCAATTTCTTCAAATATTCATCAACCTCAGTTTTGATTTCATCAGGAAGATTTCTCTCTTTGCCCTTTGAATCATCGCCCTCATGGATATTGTTATGAGAGGAGAACTTCTCACAAGCCTCCGTGCTCACAGTAAATCCAGGAGGAACATTAATTCCCAAATTTAACATTTCACACAAATTAGCTCCTTTTCCTCCCAATAATTCTCTCATGTCCTTATTACCTTCAGTGAGGTTGGCCTTTGAGGCAGCATCAAGACCAAAGAAGTAGCAATAGCCCTGTTCCTTCTTTCCTTGTTTGACACAAGTTGTTGAAAGATGTTGTTGAGGATCTGATGCAGCAGAAGTTGGAGCATCATTGTGCCGAGGAGTTTCTGGTACCTGTCCCTCATTCTCTGCTACTACTTTGATGGTCGATTTGGAATTTCCGCAACCCATGTTGTATTATGAAGTGTATGATTGTGATCTTGGTGTTTTTTAAATTTTTACACGATGAGTCTATGGAAAAAAACAATACAATATATTAAATTCAAAATCCAGACAAGCGTGTGTGTCTACTGCGATAAAGCGTTATTTTTTCTTGTTATGTACCCATAACGTACTTGTAGTAGAAAATGGCGGCAAAATATTTTCATGTCTCTTTCTGGTCGATCAATTGAACGAAAATAATTCTTATTGATCAAAATATTGATCTTTAAAATCAATTTATTGACAAAGAGAGGATTGATAATTGGTATCAACGACACAACCATTCGTTCCACAGGCATCCACAGAAGTACTGAATACATCGGATCGGGATGGGAATTGCAATTGATTAAGGAAATATTGCACACTTTGCATTTTAACATTCACAGTCATGGTAATGATGTTACTGTTGGCTTTTGATAATTGACACATGACTTGTCTCATGGTAGAGACAGGTAATGTATTGTCCCACGTTAAATACACTCGGTAGTCTAAATGAAGAATTGTTAGTTTCGTAAAATAATAATTATTTTGTGAAAATCAGCAAGTTTTGTAATGATAACAAACCTTGTGTAGTTTGAGGACCAAACGACATGGTCGTATTCACAGCAGCCACTATACTCGAAGTATATTGCAAACTTGCTTGAATACTATTCAATATGAGTATCAATGATTCAACAACAGAAATAATAAATTCAAAATTGTCAATATTCCAAATTTCAATTCACGAATCGATTATTATCAAAATTTTCTTCGTCCTTCCACTTACTTATTCGCAGTAATATTAAATAAATTTCCATTGGCCACTCTCAATGTAATATAAGGCACAACATTCATATTATTGGTTTGATACGTAAAAGTACATTGATTCACGTCACAACATGCAGAATTATTCTTTCCTTGAGCTGGACAGAAATTCACTGAAAATGCCTCAAATCCAAATCCACTATTGTGTGGTATTTTTTTCGGTTCACATAATCGAAATGTGAATTTCCAAATTTATCCATTCGGTAAAACATTTAAAATTTTTTGAAAACAAATATTAAATGAAAATAATTTTTCAAATGATTACTTAAAAAAGAAATATTCAACCTACACAGTGGTAATATTAGGTGCTCGAGGAATGAAAATTGCTGCCAATACAATGGCTGCAATCACCACGAGTGCACAAGTTCCGAGAATACATAGACCAACAAATATTCGACAGCCACTGTGATGAGACAGAAAAACATCGGACATGAGAATGATGATGACATTCAAAATAGTTGACAAGTGTGAGATGAGATGTTTTGAAATGAGAATGGATGCTTACACTTTTTTCTTACTTTCTTTCTTTTCTACGGCAGACCACTGATGGTTGAAGCATCATGATGATGACAAGTGACAGTGTTCATTCCGATGTGGCAAAGTGTTTCATAGTGTTGTTAGCAGAGAAGAACTAGTTTCAAACCTACATCGTATTCCATTTTCAAAAAAGATGATGGCGTGTGGTTTGAAATGTTTCTAATTTTTTTTTGTTATTATTTTCAACAGTTGTCAAATGTCGATTTTGCTAACACTTCTTTTCCTTTTCTGATTCAACATCAAGTCATGATAAAGTTCCATAGCGCCTTTTGCATAGCATACTGTAGTGATCAATTAATATCTTCAACCTTGACACTTTGTCTTGAATATGTATAACTCTTTTTATATCCTGTATTACTCAGTCCTCACTTGAAACATCCAACATGACATGTCATTCAATGTTAGTTTACATTAATATTTTATTACAAAAATATTTTGGTTTTACAACGCCAGGACATTACCGGACAGTAATAAAAAAAATGTCCGAATTTGCAACCCTCAACGCGTTGAATTTTCAAAAGCACACTTTCGGCTTGGACCCAAATTCTTTATATTCGGATCGAATTCGAGCGATTGATCTTTTGGATCTTATCTGTGTTTGCCTTACATTCCATTTGGTGTTTTTTCTTTTTTCAAGGCCGAAGAATTATGAAGAAAGGCTTGTTTGAAACTTCTCAATCTTCAGCACAGAAGTGAGTGCTTGAAGAGTCATCATCATCAACATTTGGTCCTCCCACGCTCGATTGCGCAATCTACCGTTGAGAGAGGTCAGTGTGTGGTGGGTTTCGGTAGAGAGCTGATCAACGTTGTTGTTGTTGTTGAGGAACCTTCAAGAACCTTGAATTGAAAGAAAAGAAAGCCACCACCACTCATACTACACATTTCAACAACAACAACCAACAGCAAGAACCACTTCAGCCTTTCTTTGAAACTCATTCTCATCCTTTCTTTTACAGCCTAACGAACACACTCATCAACAACTTTAGAAAATGATCATTGATGGAATTCTCTCACTCATTCCTCATCCAGTAGCTTCTCAACTCTCCGATCTTATCAATTCTCATGAAACTCTACCTGAGAAGGTTCCTTTCCTTCATTGGCACTATCCTTTGGCTTTCAGTTTGATCTATGTCGTTTCCTTGTTTGTGTTGCCCTTATATATGAAACACGTGCGTAAGAATGAGCCTATTCGTTCCGTATTATTAGACTCGTTCATTAAATTCCATAACTTGTTTTTGAGTGGATTGAGTCTCTTGATGGTATTAGGATTTGCAGGAGAAGCCATCAACGTGATGAATGAAGCCAAAGGTGAAACCTTGGGACAAGTCATTTCCTCAGTCACTTGTGATGCTCGGGATCGAATGGGACGAGGAGCAATTCCATTCTGGCTCTATGTGTTCTATTTGAGCAAGTATTATGAATTGTTGGATACTGTGTTTTTGATGGTCAAGTGTAAACCATTGACTTTTCTTCACACGTTCCATCACGTCTCGACTTTGTGTTTGTGTTGGTATGTGATTTTGCAAAAGTCTCAAATGATGTGGTTCCCTTCCATGTTGAATGCAGGTGTTCACGTGATCATGTATTATTACTTTTATGTGTGCACTTTGAAGGGTAGTTCCATTTTCACTCCTGGTTGCTTGAATGTGGTCAAGCCATGGATTACGAGAATGCAAATTTTACAATTTGTTGCAGATTTGTTGGTGCCTAAATTGTGGCTCTATTTCAAGTATGTGGATGGTCATCAATGTACTGGTGATTATCATGCTTACTTGTTGGTCGATGTGGTTGTTGGATCTTTCTTGTTGTTGTTCTTGAACTTTTACTTTAAGAGTTATAAAAAGAGTGGAGGAAAAGGAAAGAAGGAAGAATAAGAAGTGACCCACTAATTCACACAACAACCCATTCACAACATTTTTCAATAAATCACAAAATTCAATAAATCAAGTGTCTACTTGAATTTATATTCTTTCTCAAATGTTCCGTGCTCAACTTGATTCCCTTATTCACATCATCCCTTTTCCTTTGAAATGAAAGCTATTCGAGCGCATGGTATTGTCTGTTCACATACACGTATGTTACAAAATAAATGATCAGAGTTTCTAATATTTGGAAAATGACAATCTAATGATGAACTCCATGAGCCATAGAGCTTGCTCCCACTAATGCAAAGAATAATCCCAATGCATAACTCCTAACCAAGTAGAAGGTGTATCCACGATAAAATCCTCTAATACCTTCTTGTTTCCAAATTTGTTTAAAAGCATCTAAGCCTCCCTTATAAAATACAGGTTCTTCTGTGGAAAACGAGCTCATGAGTCCAGTGTTGCTATTATTGAAACGGAATCCAGCCTGTGTCATCAACCTGCGACTAATTACTAAAAATGGATAATGTACAGTTCCAGCTGTAAGAACCACAGATTGTGACAAGAGCATCATTTGGAAAAAGTTCAATTGTTTCTCAATACCAGTTTTCCGAATAAAATCAAACATGGCAAACTGTACGCCACGATAAAGAGACACTCCTGGCATGGCTGTCCAAAAACCACGGAATAATCCTGAAAAACCTTCACTCCTAACCAGTGATTTCAATGCTGGCCAAACTCCACTAAAATTATCTCGATGAATAATTGGTGAGAGCGAACCTTCAAAGCTCATGGCAGTTTCCTTAATAGGAATCATGTTGGCTTGCATTCGGGCTGAAATAACAGCCATGGGATAAGTGATTGCCAAGCTTGCTAAACCTCCAATACCTCCAGAAAGTAATACTAGTCCCAAGTATTTTTGAATGGATGCTGAAGGATTTTCCTCTCGAGAAAGCATTGGTGACAGAGCGCGTTGGACTTGGTCTCCCACGAACAATTGAAGATATTTTCCAAAAATTCGGCTAGTATTTGAAAAGATCAAAATTCAATCATTGGTCAAAAATTCATATGAGCATTAATATGTAAAAAACAAACATTTTTCATTAATTAAAAAATTGTTAAATAATTAAAAATTAATTTTGAATTATTTGAATCAAATGATTCCAACCATCCATGGAACAAATATATATAGATGGCCACAATGCATATTGGTTTTCATATTTTTTTCTCAAGCACTTACCCATAAATATCAGGCATTAAGCCTCTCCATAAAGTTCGATCTTTTGGTAATTGTTTAATAGCATCAATGGCTCCTCGGAATGGAGTCACAGAACTTCTTGCAATTACCTCTCCCGATGCAGAATACGTAACTTGAGTTACAAGGCTCTTGTAAGCCGATGGTAAAGAATGTTGAGTTTGAAGAATGGTCAAAATACGATCAATAGGATGAAGGAATACACGAGCACCTATAACTTCTGCTGCCATCATGACTCCAAAGATGGATTGTACAGCTCCCGGAGGTATGGATTGTAAGGTTTGAATTGTCTTTTTTTGGTTCTCTGTGAGAGTGATTGGTGTTGGTGGTTGATTGTTGTTTGGTAGAGTTGAGGATAGAGATCGATTTTGAATATCATCCTCACGATGATCATCCTTGTTTCTGGATGGTGATTTTTGGTCGTCCGATGATTGAGAAGACATTTTTTTTCGGATATTGAAATTCTTAAAATGCCCATATTTAGAATTGCATTAATATTGATTGACCAAAAGAACAACACATTGAATAATAAATAATTTACTGAATCCTCTCAAAAGGGTTCAATTGTCTTGTGAATAATCCGTATTAAGACTGGATGAAAGAATGACAGATTTTCTACCATTAAGATTGATAAATTTCTCGATCGTTAAAACACTGTGGTTGACAAATGGGTGAGACTGCAACTCTCGAGCTCCAGGACGTTGTTTCCAATCTTTGGTCCAACATTTGTTAATAAAATCGAGACAAATCGGGCTCAAGTTGTTAGGCTGTGGTATAGGAGGTTTTTCGTCTTGTACCATGTGATACATGGCAGCAACTTGATTAAATTCATTGTAAGGGCGTTTTCCAAACAACAGCTCAAAAATCACACATCCAAGCGACCAAATGTCAGCTGTGAAGCTATAGGGTTGAACTGAAATGACCTCAGGTGCTGTGTAGTGGGGAGTGCCTACTGTGGACGTTCGAATAGCTTCAAGATTTAGTAATTGTGCACTCACACCAAAATCAGTAATTTTAACACAGCCTTTTCCGCTGATTAAAATATTTCCAGGTTTCAAATCACGATGAATGATTCTCTTACTATGCAAATATTCGAGACCCATTAGAACTTGAGAGACAATGGCGCTTACTGTGGACTCATCGAGGGGACCATTGTTTTTCACATATTGTTCAAGAGTTCCTCCGTCTACATATTCCAAAACAATGCTATACTCTTTCATTTTGGGGCTATATTTGCATCCAATATATTGCACCAAGTATGGATGATAGAGTTGCTTCAAAATATCAACTTCCAACTTGATAAACTTTTTTGAAAATCTGCCTGCCTTAACGCTTAGCTTCTTAATGGCCACTGGGTCTTGGTATTGGTAATATAGTTGGGAATGAAACCTTTGAACACTTTTCCGTGAGCTCCAATACCAAGCAATTCATCGAGTTCAATAATAAGCTTCTTGGATCCATCAGGAGGTAGTTGAAACAATTGCTGTTGGTCAGAAGTTATCGTCATGTTAGGATCCTCTTCAATAATGTCATTGTCATGTCTCGTGTTTGTAGGAGACTCTGGTCTTGATTCATCATTGCGAACCGTTTCTATTGACTTGACAGAATGTTTCTTGTGTTTTTTCTTCTTCTTTTTTGTCTTTTCACTATATTCCACTTCAGAATTCAAATGCTGCAGCAACTGATTAAATTGGAATTTTTGCTTGTCTGCCTCTCCCATGGTTTGTGGTGAGCTCAAATCATCAAACGTAGCCAAAGATTCAGTCATGATTACATCACCATCTTCGGCTCTCTTTGTTTTTTCTTCATCGTTCATGAGAACCATATCATCCTCATCGCTCACCTTCTCGCACACGCTCGTTCTCCTCTTTTGTTGCATCATACCTGCTTCTTTTTTCCAGTCAATGGTGCCGTTTTGCTCCAAGCTTTCTGCAAGGAACGACGATTCATTGAGCAATTGATCTGATGACGTCATGACGGATGAGCCTAAATTGGTGTCTTCAGTAGCGTTAAATGAGGATTGTCGTAATCTGCCGTTTTCATTAGTGACCATTGCAACTTCTCTTGATCGTCGTACAAGGTCAGAAGCAGAAGGCGAGGGGGCTCTGTGGTATACTCCAATCTCTCTTTCGGAAGGTGGTTCCAAAGACGATAATTTTTGAGGCATGTTTTCTTCAACTTCCTTTCCATGGTATCTCGACAAGTTGTTTGCAGAAATTACCCTTGATTCTCTTACATTAACCTTCATCACAAAATTTTCGTCAACAGTAGTACGTAATGCATCTGAAGATGAAGGTGTGAAATCAAAGCTCATCCCAGCATTACGTTTCGGTGAGAGGCGCGGCAAAACTTTGTATTGCTCGTGCTCTTTTTTAGGTACAGAAATGCTTGGTGTTAGAATGAGGGGTGTCATGCCTGGTTGTTGTTTAGCTTGCAACAATGATGGCTTTGTCAGAGCGACTTTGGCCTCTTTTCTAGAGGCATCTACAATTGCTTTCAATAATTTTCTGGAATCGACTTGGTTCAATGTTTCATTGGAGAGGTCAGAAAATGTCGAAGTTAAAAAGAATCCATCTTCATCTTGAGGCTCCAAATCATTAATTATAACAATTTCAAAATCGTCATCACCTTCACCATCATCCTTTTCACTCTCGGAGGTACTTTCTGACTCATATTCATCACCTTCAGAGTCAGAAAATATCGAGTCATCTGATGAAGAAGTTAGCTCTGAAAACGATTTCGGCGATGTTGATGCTTGAGCAGATCTTTTTGGAGTGGTGGCAGGCGACCATCGTTGTTTCCATCTTGAAATTTCTGCAGTGAGCTTTTCTTTTTCAACGACCTTATCTTCTTCAGATTTGATCTTATCAGATCTTGAGAACAGGTTTTCAAGAAGAGATGAGGCCACTTCATGAGGGTCCACTCTTTCAACAGCTTTGACGAACTTGGTGGACATTTCTGGGTTTAAACGCTGCTTGAATCTTCTATATTCATCATCGAAACGTTTAATTTCCACTTCTTCTTCCTCTTTTGACATTTCAACATTTGAGAAACCCTCCTCAGCTAAACTACTTCGTCTTAATGCGACATAGGAGTCCCTTTCACTTTTATAGTCACTCCATCCAGATAGTCCGTTCTTTAGAATTTTTCGATAGTAATTTAGACGTTTGATTCGCTTTTCCATCTTCTCAACTTCGAAATTGTTAATCTCATCCATTGCAGGATGATTATTTTGGAAATGATAAAGATTTTTAAAGCTATTTTTCTTTCCACTCTCTGTTCTCTTTAGCATGACAACTCTATTACTGAGCGTTTTGAGTTCATTAACAACATCTGTGTATGTCAATTCCTGATCAGATGTTTGTTGATACTTGATTTTCTTATTGGAAGTATCGAAACCATTAGGGAAAATGTCTACCAATGCAATTTCTTTCAGTTGCTCCTTAGTCATTGGCTCATTATTAACTTGTTGTGGCTTGTCGTCTAATTGTGAAACAGTTTTCTTGGATATAATAAGAGGAGTTTTTGTTTTAGCTGGAGAGAGGATTGTTGAAGAAGCCGAATTTTGTACATGAGTTGGAGTTTGTGGAGACGTGGAAGAAATGTCCTCTGAAAAATGTCGAATAGTGTGAGGTACAAGATCTGATGATGGACGTGTGGTAATTATTTGGTGGTCTGATTGTGTTGGGGCTATTTCTTCATCATGCAAAGATGTGTTGGTAGTAATTGGAGCTGTGATGTCACTTGTGGTATCATTCTCTATTGAGGGAGTTAAAGGAACTTTGAGAGAACGTTTTCCATGAAGAGGATGGAGGACAGGCTGGGGCGATTTGGTGGAAGGAGATGCTTTCTTAACTTTGAACTGAGTCAGCATATTAATTTCCTGAACTGATAACGGTGACGATGATTTTTTAATTTGGGAAGGAGTTCTAGATGAATTTGAAATAGGTAGTTGTACAGGTTGTGGTGTTGTGGCTTCTTGTTGTTGTGTCGACAATATATCTGACTTCCCATACACCGTTGATTTTTTAAGGGAAGTCGGTCGTACCGAGGGAAGTTTATGGTCGGTCGAGGGTGAGGAAATAACAGGGAGACTGTCAGGTGTTGAGGAGTTGTTAGTTGTTGTGAGCTGATTGTCGAAAGGATGAGGTGAGCGTGTAATGGAGCTTCGTCTGCTTTGTGAGCTTCGTGTACCACCTTCTCTTGTAACTGATCGTTCGGTGGCAGTATTAAGCGGTGTAGACGCAACAAACGATTCATCTTCTTTTTGTTGATGGTCTGTGGAGTGGTTGCTGCAAACTGAGGCAGGACGAGACACACTCGACACGGTATCTACCATTTCATATAATGTCGGGGAGGGAGTTTTATAAGCAGACGATGAGGATGTAGATATGGGCGTGAGGGAAGTAAATTTGTTGACAGAGGCTATGGACTGCCTAAGTGAAGAGGAACCATTGCTGATGGAAGGAAATGACGTGTTACTTGATTTTCTGGTGAGTAAAGAGGCCTTTGGTGATATGTTGTTGGATGTCGAAGCATTGGCAATATTAATTAGGGAGGAGCTTAATTGCCTTGAGCTTCTCATGTTGTTGACATTGGTATTTTGTGAAGATTGTAGTTGTTGAAGAGCTGTTGTCTGTGATGTTTTTCGGGAAACAACCTCATCTTCCCAAACCGTTTCATCTTCGTGATCGAAAATGTCTTGATTCTCCTCTTTGACGTTACTCTTTCGCCCATCAACCAAATCGAATGTAGCAGACGAAGGCCGTAATTCAGATTTCAGATCCAAATCGAAGGAGGAAATGTTGTTGAGGGTTATTTTCTTTTGCTGACCATGATGAGACGGGGTGGTATTGTTGTTGACGTTGCTAATACTAGTACCAACTAAAACCACATTGTTTGTGCTTGGAAGAGGGCTTGTGTCAGTAACATTTGTATCTCTCGTGAGAATTGAGGGTATGTTATTGGGATTGTTGATTCTGAGAGGGTTTTTTCGGACAGCAGTCATTTGGTGATTTTGCCGGTGGCCCTTCTTGATGAGCGTTTGCCCCAGCATTTTCCACTCCCAATGAAAAAGTATTGTTGTTGTTGTTGATAATATATTTTGGAGATGTTCAATTTTACAATTCTGGTTGATGATCTGTTGTTGATTACGGCATCATCGGAATCACCACAAAATTGAGTTCAACAATAATAATTCACCTCCTTGATGGTTGAGTGATGATAAAGAACAATGATAAGAAGAACACTCGACTTGTTTCGTTACGTAAAAGCTCGTTTTGTTATCTCCTCGAGCGAAACTATCAAAAATTTCAAAGGCTTGGCGAGTCTGCTGCTCGTGAGTGGAGCCAAAATTTACAGTGTTTGAAAGACCCACACACTTGCCAACGGCTTTTTTAAATATTTTTTGACCCTTTTTCAAGCAGAGGTGCCTGAATGAAAGATATGAAAACGGAGATGTTGTTCTCTTCAAGACGGGAGATATTCATTGGACCAATTCTCTAAAAACAAATGAATGTCAGACATTAGAATCTTGCTGGCAATGTTTGTTACTATCAACTTACAAAAAAAATAACTGTTACATCATGAGCCGACCAACTGCACAAAATTCATCATCATCATCATCGGGAGGAGGAGGTCTCTTCTCAAGTCTCAAAAGTATGGTGAATGATTTGACTTCAAGCTCTCCACAGCCATCTCAACAACAATCATCCTCTCAGGTCAAACGTCCTACTGGTTCTTCTTCATCATCATCAGCGTCCAATAATTTATTCCCAAGTCTTTCCGTTCTTCAAAATAATTTACCACAAGAAATTCAGCGAGTGAGATCTGTGTTGCAAGGCTCCAATGCGAGCCTTTCTCAATTGGAACAGGGAGAACGAGCTCTTGATGATTTGATTTGTGTATTATCGGGACAATTGGCTGAGTTGTGTGAGTTGAGGAGAGAAAATTCTCAAAAACTCATTCATAGGCTCAAACAAAATGTTTCAACAACATCAGCAAATCAGACTGCCACAACGAATCAATATGTGCCTCCCTCAATTTCACAACAACAATCGCCACAAACGACATCCAAAGTGTCAAACTCACAAACTCAACCACCCACATCCAAGGCTCCACAAAGCACAGTTAACAAGAGCGCAACAACAACACCACAGTCGCCACAACAAGGTGGTTTCGGAACACTGGCAACACGTGGACAAAAAGCACTCACAACATCGTCCACTAAAGCACCATCTCAATCAAATCCATCAACAAATAACACCTCACGAGGAGGACAAGTGGATTCCATTGACTCTATTTTGGTTTGGCAAGAGAACGAAGTGCCTGTGCAATCTGAGTCAATGTCAACCCCTCCCGCTACAAGCAGTAACATTCCTACTGCACAATTATTGGACCCTTTTGAAACTACTGTTACTACCACCACCATGTCACAACCATCAGTTCAAGCTCCTTCTACACCATTCGCTGATTCAGGAATTTATAATGCACCTCCAGGATTGGATTCGCTTCTTCAACCTCCATCCGTCTCCGATATTTTAGGTGGTGATGCTATACAAGACGACTCAAACAAACAACAACAAACAGGAAATGATTTTAATCTGGATCAAATTTTGGGAACCAAGAAACAGGAGGAACCAGTTGGTGAAATGTTAGACTTTTCAAATGAAGGGCAGAAAATTTTCCAATCCAATCAAATCCTTTCAATGTTTGACAAACAGGAGTCGCAAGATCATGTTGTCGGAGCAACCATTGATGTAGAAGTTCAAGATGACACTGGAAAATCCAATCCTTCTGATGATTTTGATTTTTAATTTTGATGTGGAAATTTTGTGTGGAAATATTTATCAATAACACTATAATTACCTTATAATTTAATGATGGAAAATTTATGTACATTATCTAATGTTTGTATGGAACAGCTAGGATTCATCGTCATTGACTTTGGACGTTTCGATAGAATCACTAACGTGACGACATTCCGTTGGAGAAGTCTGTTGTGAACAGTTTACTCGTGACTTCATTCTTCTTATTGGAACACACATACTTTTCTCATTTTCCAATCTAAGTATGGTCTCTTCTCTGTCCCATCTCGTTTTCTCGGATTGTTCTAACAGCATTTTCAATTCTGAAATCATTCTCTCCTTGCAAGCCATACCATGTACGACACTCTTCTCCTTTTTTACAGCTTGTTGCAGTGACTCCTCTAGCTTGACAATTTTCTCCTCCAATTGTTGAATGGTCGTTTGATATTGTCGAACCATTTCAGATTCTTCTTGTTTTTTCCGTTTAGACTTGAATGGTGGCATCCATTTTTCATGCTCGTCCTGTAGCATTTCATTCAATAATTTCAAATGAAGACCTGCCAATGAGCTGTCAGATTTCGAATTGAAATCAGAAATTTCAGTTCGTGCACTTCCAACAATGTTCACTTTGGATTCATCCAGCAAGAGTTTAGACATTTCATTGGCATACTTGTCACCACATGATGATTCATGTTGTTGATTGAGAATCGTATTGAAAGAGAGAATTAATTTAGACAAGGTCCTACTCCGATCATGCCATCGTTCACACCACATTTCTGCCAACTCTTTTTCTTGTTTCATTTCTTGATGTTTTTTAAGGAGTGTCATGTTTTGAAGTTCCAATTGTGTCAGGCGTTGCCTTAATATTGCATTTTCCGCTTGAACATCTCTTGTGGCGTCATTTTGAGCACACAACGAAGCATGAAGAAGGTTATTTTCTCGAACCGATTCACACAATTGTTTTTGAAATTCATGTTCATAATGCTTCTTTTTGGATTGATATTTGTGCTTGGTGCGTTCAAGTTTTCGTTTGAACAGCTCCTTATTTTGATCGAGAGCATATTTCACGAGTGGATCGTTGGGCAATAGAGATTCTAATTGATTTTCAACAGTACCATGCAACCGTGGAGAAGATTCTGATGAAGAGGATGATAAACTTTCCGATATTGAATAATATTGTTGTCGTTGACATGTTGGACGGGAGAGTCGAGTCAACCAATCTTTCCTTAAAGTTGTGGAAGAGTGAGGAAAATAATCAGTATGATGGATGCATGCATTGGATGTCATGATCGGAATCGCTTTGAACGATCGAAATTCTCCCTCATCATCATGATGGATATAATATGACATTTTTTAAACTAACAAAAATTACCGTTCGACTTTGGCGCCAAATGTGTCAGTTCTTAAAGAATTCTCATTACATTTCAAAATCAGAAAACCACAAATGTCCTCTCAAAATGGCAGCTCTGTTTAATGAATTTGCGAACTTTAATGATTATCATTGTTATCACTGGACGATGAGACACCAGCTCTCATCTCAGCCAATCTTTGGAACTTGTAAATCACAATTCCAATTAATGTAATTCCATAACCAATCACACCTAATATTCCAATACGATCTCCAAATACCATCACACTGATCATAATTAATAGTAATTCCTTAAAGATCGACACCACTGTGAGAGTGAGACTTGAGGTTTGTTTGATCAATAAAAATTCTGAAACATTCAAAATAACTCCCAAAAACGAGCCAAAGATGATCATTCCAATAAATTTCAAAATAAACATGAATCGAAGATATTGAATGGAAGTGTTGGTGTCAACAACAACAGTATTGGGAGTTTGTGTAATGTTCACAAAATCATACAAAATTCTCCAACCTTCCAAAATGAGTGCAAATGGTAGAACGGTCAATCCAATGACAGGACTCGAGTAGAAAAAGACTTGAACGGAGGAAATTTCAATTTTTGAAGCTCTAAATTCTTCTCCACTATCTTTGGCATAAAAGTATTCCAAATGTTGCTCTTCTTCAGAATGAATAGTGGCATTGATGGGTGTGTTTGATTCTTGAGCGTTTGATTCTTGAAGTGGTTGATTGTTACTTTCTAACAGCAATGTGTTTCCTTCTGTTTCGTGTTCTTCATCTGAATTTTCTTCTTGTTGGTTATTTTCATTTCCAACTTCGTCACTACTCAATCTCGTATACAGAACTTGAGTATTATTATGATGTAAAATATATTGAGCAAATACCAAACGAATGGCAGCAAATATCACAGCTACAATTACCAAAATAAATCCAAAAATATCAAAATGTATAGAACCTCTCGAAGTCATTCCAATTCCAACTGAAATTAACACAATCGATGCGATGAGTATCAATTTCACCTTTTCTAATTTGAAAATAAACGAAATGATCATTACAAATACTGGAATGGATGACTTTAACATGGTATACAATGACACGGTAATGTATTTCAAACTCAATGTCGAACATCCAAAATCAAATCCTGTCAACACTCCAAACGGAGCCAAAGTTTTAAATGTTTTCCAATTAAATAAGTGTCCAAATATTTCTCTCCAATTGGGTATGATCGTTTTATGAATCGAATGGGTTGAGATGTTTCTTTTCGAATAAACCACACTCTCCAATCGTTTCTTAATCAAAAACCATGAAATCACTCCACAAATGAAACAATTGACAAACATTTGTAAACTCAAAAACATTAACGGATATCTCAATCCACTATACGAGACTGTATATTTAATAAAGAGAGTGAGTAAAATACTTGCTAAAAAGTATTGTAATGTATATTGTATAGAAAGTAATAGAGAATGATAGGATGAAATGAAATTTGATAAGAACGAATTGGAGGATTGTTGTTGATCATGTTGTTGATTATTGGTAGAGATGGTGGTTAATGGACTGAGATCAAAATCAGAATGAGCATTGGAAATGGAATCACTCATTGTTTCTCGTTCATGTATTGGTTGTTCTTGTTGTTCTGTTGTTCTTGTTGATCATTGAGTTCAATTTCTTCATTCCGAGAAGACTGAAATATTGATGATGAATTGAGATCATCATCATGGGATGTTTTTTTTTGGTGGTTGGTTTGATTCAAAATTGGAACATGGGCAAGTTCCAATAATTCTTCATGATGATGATCAGGAGGTTGTTGTAGATTCATGAATTTTTTTTTAAATATTTTTTGTAATAATCATAATTCTTGCCAAAACACTCTTTCAAATGTTTTTAATATAAAAATTCAAATGAAAGGAAAATCAATGACATTCTGTGAACACATTTAAAATTGATTCAACTTTTTGGCAGCAAATGCAGGTAAATTAAATGCAGCACGATGCAACTGTGGAGTATAATACTTCAAACTGTCACGTGTCTTTTCATCCAATTGATTGAACCAACTCTCAATACGACGTGGCTCACGAGAATCCACTCCCGATTGCATTTGACATACCAAATATCCCAAAATTCCTCCTGGATAAGTTGGAGTGGAAGACCATGCATAATTCACATTTCCGAACACCTTTTCCAAGTTTTCCTTCATTTGTGCAATTAAATCCAAATGGAGCCACAAAGTTTCGGATTGTTGTGAAAAAACTCCATTTTCTACCAATGCTTCTTTGCAGGTTTCGAAAAACTCCTTCGAAAAGAGGAATTCTGCAAGACCTACTGGATCGGAACAATCGTTAATCACAACATCGAAATACTTTTTGTGTTGACGCAAATATTCAGCTCCGTCGGCGTTGATGATTTTCACACGAGGATCGGAAAGACCACAACTCATGGTTGGGAGAAATTGTTTGGCAGCATTGATGACATCGACGTCGATTTCGCACAAGACAACTTCTTCGACGCTTGGATGCTTGAGGACTTCACGGACACAACCACCGTCGCCACCACCAATGATACAGACACGCTTTGGTTCGTGGTCGAGAGTGACAAGTGGCAAGTGACAGGCCATTTCTTGATAACTATTGGAAGAGTGAGTAGTGGTATGATTGATTATTCACACGAACATTCGAAAATGAAACATTGGTTATGATGTCAATTTTCCAAATTTAGAAATCAATTCACACTTACCTGCATTCATCCTTCTCAGTAGCTTGAATAGCTCCATCCAAAACCAACACATTTCCATAAGACTCGGATTCAAAAACCAAAATATCTTGGAATTTTGATTTTTCGTGATACAAGACACGTTTCACTTTGAGATTCTTTGATTCGCCATCCCAAAGGCCATTTGAAATTTCAGTGAACCATCCTTCTTGCCAAGCGTTCATTTAGTAATGACTGTTATAAAACTCAAAGTTGTGTAGAATTGAGTGTGTTGTTTGGAGTGAGTAATTGAATTTGTTTTTTTTCAACAAACAGAAAATATTTTGAGTTGACAACAGGCAAGAAATTTAGGTCTGCCTTTCATGTCCGCATATTATTGAAGATAAAAATTGTCCAATTTATAGTCAACGAAACCTCAATGCCCCTCCGAATTAGTTCATTCGACCAAATGCATTCGAGAGATTCGCAGTGAAAAATTCGCCACAATTTCCCATAGATGCAAATTTTCATTGAAGAGTGTCGGCCTTGTCATTGTAAATTTACAAGTAGTTTTCTCCATTAACCACGTCAATGCATTTCATTCGTATCATTCATTCAAACGATTCATGTATTTACCCTTTGCATCTTCCTTCGTTGAGGCAAAGTTTACAGTAACTGTTTTAAATTGGGTGAGCTTGAGAATAGTTGACGTTGTGGTAAATCAAAGAGGAACAATGAACTAAGGGTTAGTTATTTGGGACGGTTGTTTGAGGAACTCGAAAAAACAAATTTCGTCATAGTTCTGCTTGTTCCAATGTATCTCGAAAGCGAAAGATGATTTCAAAGGATGGAAATGGGAACTGTCAAATGAACAAACATCAAAAAAATGTCATCAACACCACAATCAGCTAGGAAACAACCAGAATTTAAGATCGCCGTTGTTGGTATGTTTCATGATGTTGTTGATCTATGACTCACTTGTAAAAATTAATCATCAAAATGTTGATCATCATCATCGGAATACAGGCGGTGGAGGAGTCGGCAAAAGCGCACTCACCATTCAATTCGTTCAACACTTCTTTCAACCACAATACGATCCCACCATCGAAGATAGTTATCAAGTAAGTTCTCATTATTAATCGTAATATTCATAAAAATTCATTCGTTCTGATCATCTTTAGAAACAAATGAAAGTAGATGAAAAAGTTGTACAATTAGAAATTACAGATACTGCCGGACAAGACGAATTGTAAGTGTTTCTCGGATCAGCATTTGAAATTTTTAAAGGATGGCTCTTTTTCAAAATGTTCGGAAATTACAACATTTTCAATAGTATTGGTATGTCACATCTTTTTCTTTCAACAGTATTACCATTCTCAACATGTTCGTTGCATACTAAATACCACAACAGCATTGAGAGACACGTACATGAGAAGAAACGATGGATTTGTTCTCGTTTTCGATCTCACTGCAAAAACCACATTGGAAGAACTTGTTAATTTTGTCGAAGGTATTAAGCGTGTGAAAGAAGAAGATGAAAAATTCTCAACCATTCCATTCGTATTGGTTGGAAATAAGGTGGATTTAGGGGATCAACGAAAATTCACGAAAAAAGAAGTCTTATCCTTTATGGTGGATCGTTTGGAATTACCTGAGGACACGCCGTATTTTGAATCGAGTGCTAAAAATCGAGTGTTGTGTGATGAACCATTCGAAACCATGGTGAGAAGAATGAGAAAATTACAAAAAACCCAACCAAAAACTAATGAAGGAGGAAATGTACAAAATTCTTCGAATTCTGGTAAAAGTGGATTATTTTCGAGCATGTCTGGAGCATCCGAAAAGGATCATGATTTGCAAACCTTTAAGGAATTACAATAAATTCAATAGTGTTGTATCATAGGTTACGTGTGGCCAATTGTGGCACATGTTTGATATTGAGCAGTTCAGATACCTCAATGGACATGCTATACCCGATCTACGTCATTGGTTGGCTTATTGAATGTACAAATAAACTTGGCTTTGCCAACAATACCCTTCGTGCTGATGACAAGTGCGTTTTTTGGCATGGTATTATTTTCCCATTCACAAAGAACCAAGTACTTGTGAATAGCAATGTCATTAATCCAGTCAATGATATTAAACGAGAAATAACAATCTAAAATGTTTCCGTCCACACAACTTGGTCGTAATGATTCCAATGGACGTTGTTCCTTGTTGTAATTGGTAACAAATCCGTCAATATGGTTCGAATTGTGATCATGAAAAAATTGAATGGTAAATTCTTCTCCTGTGTCCAAGATTACACAATTCCACAAATACTCTTGTAGTGTCTTTGCTGAAAGTTCTTCAAAAGTCTTGTCATATTGCTCATAGTTCAAACGCTGTAATTTCTTTTGCAACAGTTCAGAATCAGTCTTGTCAATTTTGTTATTATTAGCATTTTCAGATGTGAAATATCCAGCCTGTACATGATTTCAATTTCAATTTGATATCATCATCCATAGTTCAACATAATTCAACAAGGTTGACATAAAAACGACATTTCACATGTGTACACTTACTCTACCAGTGAGATCAGACCAAACTCCATGAACAGTAATATCCAAATTACAACCAAGCTTTCCTCGCATATTCTTGGAATAATTTTTTGATAGCGCCCATTTACCTTCTTTTCCTTGAAAATCTTGTCGTTTCTTGAATGATTTATAGGGTAGCTTACGTCCAAGAACGTTCGTAATCAAGTCGCAAGATGGGTACCAAATCTGAACCAAGTTAATATACATTCCAACAGAGATACCAAAATAGTAATATCTTGAAATGTCTGGATCATTGATTTGATCTAACCCAGAACATTTACCTGTAAAAAACTCAACACCAGGAAATCTTGTTTCAATGGCATGATTAATATTGGTTTTCAGTATTGAAAAATCTTGACCATTGAGTGAAAATAGATTGTCTTCTGCCTCTACAGATTTTACAGAGCTAAAACATTCGATATCATTGTGTAGAAGGTATGAATAAGGCTTTGAGACTCTCTTATGTGTTCCTGTATTAAATAGCATCAATCCATATAATTTTCCATCCACTTAACAAAAGCACAATCAGGTTGTACATCATCGTTGTTCACAAAAGGTAATCTACTTGTGGATAATTTCCACTATAATATTTTCAAACCTACCAAATACGTTTCTTAGTAATTTCTTGTAGCTAATGTCTTTAAACGCAACCTTTTGTAAGGCAGTTTTGGTCAATTTAATTTTTCCAAACAAACACGATTTCCAAACAACCTCAAACAATTTCAATTTTTCCAAATATGCAGATTGGCACTTTGGGAGCAACAAATAAAACTTCTCTCTCCAACATTCATTCGCATCCACAATATTCTGATAATATTTGTTCAAAGATAGCAATGAGAGTAAATCTCTAACCGACACGAATGGCAAAAAAGAATGTTGAAAAACTTCGATCGGAATCAAATCTAGGCTCGTACATTCTTTTGAATCATTGATCAAATTAGAATGATGTACAAGTTCATCATGGTCCAATCTCAAGTTTTCTCTTCCAGAATGGCTCACTCTTGAAATTGGAGAACTTTTTGCCCCGATCGTTATTGAATTTTCTTTTTCATCATCACCATCGACACGTTGTTGATTTCCATCACCATTATTTTCTATCCTCATTATTGAAATATTGCAGCTACAATAATCGTTAATGCAATGATGAACTTTTTTTTGATGATTTTACAAAAAAAAATGTCTGTTCCTCCACCACCTCCATCCCTAGATCAAATCGTCAAAAATCAAAAAGTATTTTTCAAAGCTCAATATTCATTGAAAATTCAAGAGCCGCCACCAATATCTGGCAATCACACTAAATCATCGAATGATACATTTGTGAAGACTGATGGGAAGGATGTTCTCAGTAAACGAATTCAAATCGCGACACATTTTCATACTGGATTGAATTGTGGAAAGGGATGTATGATTTTCTTGGATCATGAAAATGAACTCACTCATGCAAATACATTGTTACAATTCGGAGGTACTCCTAATGAGAATCGATCTTTGACATTTGGCTGTGATGATATTTGTATTTAATTTTAACCTCTCATTATAATACTACCACTTGTCATGAATGGCAAAAATTACAAATTCCTTCTCACTCTCATAATTCACAAAATAAGGCTGAAGCCAGTGAAGAGTCCTCTCTTGCATATTCGAAAAGATTACAACGAATTTTTGTCATGACCTATTTCAGTCGTATTCATTCGTTGTGTTTAAAAACTTTAACTTGGGACGTCCTTCATCTCAGTTTACCATGTAGCTACAACAATTGCTTGTACAACTATATGGATCAATACCTTCTCGTTTCGTACTGCATAGGTTATGGAGAGACTCAGTTTGTTCAAGTCCATATGGATGAAATTGAAAAAGTGCTCAACATGTCGAAAAACAATTCCACAACGTCTTTGAACTTGGATTTTAAAGAATTAAATGTTCTTGTGTGCAGAGAAATTGCACGAGGAAAATTTCTTGCAGTACCAAACTCAATGTCTGACCACCATTCACACCTCTCAACTACTCAACAAGATCAGGATTACAATATTTATGTTTGTGGAGGAATTGATCGAAATGCTTCCATTGCTTCTGAAATTGAATCCTTGTACCGTGTGAATGCCATCAATAATTCTGATATTACAAAAGAAATATATTTGATCCAGAATTATACTCTGATTCGAGAATGCACCATTTCATGTCCATCATTCCTCAACATTCCACACAACTCTTTGCCTCCAATAAGGACGAAGAATTTCACATGGACATCATCATACGCTCCTCATTACGTTTTTTCACAAACCCTCAAAAAGTATCTTATTTTATGAATACGACATTACAGCAAATTTTGACGATATCGAGTTTGGGAATAGTATAACTTTTGGATCTCATTTGTATAATTACAAATATGGAACATTGAAGAGATTGGTACACAACAAAATTCCAATTCATCTTCTTGTTTCGAATGCTGTTCTGGGAAATTCCGTGCGACCATTCCTTCATTGTTATGTCAATGAAAAAGATGGAAGAAAGATGGGAGTATTTGTTGCCAACAACCGATTGTTGTATTTACTTAATTTGGATTATATGAATCCTAGGTTTTGCTTTCGTTTTGCAGACACAACGATGAAGGATCAATTACGAACGCTGTGTGACATTACAATACGAACAGGAGCAGCATCATTGGAACATTATGTGGTTGACAAGCAGTTGGGAATGCTTCCTCAACAAGTACATGCTCAACCAGGCAATGCTCAACACGGAACAAATGGAAAGAAAAGAAAGAGTACTAATAAGAACGATTGTGAGTTGCAATAAGGCCATTCAAGAAACAACACTTTAAATGACGAGAATCAAAGAATTTTCAACTACCAAATGAATGTGACACACACGGCATGCATGGTAAGATCCATTCTATACACTCATGGTATGAACTTGAGATGGCCTTAAATGGTTCATGGATGAGGTCCAACTGTAGAGAGCCACCATGGAATTACAATGATCACTGTAAGTGGAGGGAACGAATCTGTCGTTAGACATTCGGAAAATTAGCACCTTGCACAATGAATAGAAGACGTCTCATACACAATCACAACAACAAGAAGATATATGAAAATAGGAGAGAATGCAAGTACGACTCGAAGTCATGACTTTTAGAGAGCACATTTCTGTCCATTCTCCACTTCAATCAAATTCCTCCTATCCATGTTCTAATTTAAGTGTGTGTTGGCCAAAGTCAACAACGATGTTCGAAGGTGACTCATAGATAATATAACCCTCTCGAAATACAAAAGAAAGATACAACAATGAGCATGTTAGTGACTCTTGGACTGACTCCAACTGCAGCATCATCAACACCATCGAGTAGTGGCACTAGTAGTGGCAGTGGTTTGATAAGTAGTAGTACAAATACGATGGTGGCCTTGAGCAGCAGTATGATTCCTCGATCCATTGCACGGCCACTCGTCTCATCATCCGTTGTTCAATTCCATCCAAAAAGCAGCTCAACAACAACAGTTCTACCACTTGGATCTAAAAGTAAGGTACCAAATAGTGCCATCATCAATTCCAACAACAAGAGTAGTAGTAGTAGTAGTGGTACTCTATCTCGTCGGAACAAGCCGAGCAGTCATCAGAACTCTACTAACTCCCAAAAACAATTTTCTAAGCCTATTAACAGCACAGCAACAACAACGTTGAAAAGTAATCATCCTACGAGCACATACGAGTTCCTCCAATGCAATTCCAAACGTTTAAAGTATCTTGGCTACAAGCTCCATGTGTTCCTGCTCTCCAGTATTCGATGGAGCGTGATGATTCTATCGGGATGTATGGCTGGTAATATGATTTCAACATTCCTCCCTCTCTTTTTCATTCTTTGCTTATGTGTGGGTATTTCCATTGTATTTGTTGCCATTATGAAGACTTTGGCACCTTAACCATGATGATGATTTCCAAAAACCCGAAATTATTAATCTTTATTGTCCAATCATTTTCTTCTAACTTGTATAAAATTGAAAACAAATTTGAATTCTAACTGTGAGCTCTTCCACCATACAATTCCCAGGTGGAATCATCCTGCTACCACAACTCAAATTCAAAATGCCTTGATATTAATAAAATAATTTAAGGTAAAAGTTTTTGAATCAATCAGAACAAAACAATAAAATCATTGGCCAACAACAAAAAAATGAGCCATCTTCAAGGAATATCAGCACATCGAATATTGTGCGTTCATCGGCATCGGGAGTGCATATTGATGGTACGTGGTGCATGAGGATAGTGTGTTTATTGGTTCTATTTCATTGAAACGATTTTTTTGAATTCAATAATTGGATGATGAACAACTTGGTTGTTAAATTAATTTTGAAATTATTGTACCGTGATGATGATTATTCATACACCACTACTATGGAATGAAATAGATCACTCACCAGTAACACATTCACCTGCAGGAGCCTCTCCATTTCCGCAATCATTTCCACCTTGCGTAGATATCAGGTCTAAATTCCATGAAATGTTAAAGAATAATACTACCGATTTGGCAGTGGTTGGAATTTCTCTTCTTACAAGCGTGATTGAACATAGCAAGGCATCTACCATGTTGGAAATTACTCACGAACTCAACAATGCGACCCAAGAAATTCTCAGAGTTGCAAGAAATGATTTGAAAGAATTTCCACACTTCTTCTCATCGAGCATTACACTCAGATCTGCATGTGATATTTATCAACGCTTTGTTACAAGACAATTTTTGGAAATTCAAGATTTTGGAGCTTGTAAAAAAAGATTAACAGAAAGAGGAAAATATATTCAAAGTTTAAGTGCTCAATCCAAGGAGAGCATCAGCGAATTATTCAGACCTTTTTTCTGTAGAGACAATATGCAAATTATGCTTGTTGGAGGATACAGCGAAATGATTATTACTATTTTGGCCTATGTCACTACTCATGTGAATCATCAAAGTGCATTCCGTTTCAAGAGCGTTCTAGTTCCAGAAGGAAGACCTGACGGAAGCGGATATCGTATTGCTAAAGCTCTATCGGCATATAACATTCCTATCACAATTATTACAGATGCCAGCATTGCATATCACATGTCTAGCAGCGATCTTGATTTTGTGTTAAGTGGTGCTGAGGGAGTTGTTGAAAGTGGCGGTATTATTAACAAGATTGGAACCTATCAAGCTGCAATTTTGGCAAAAGAGCACAAAAAACCGTTCTATGTAGCAGCTGAGAGTTTTAAATTTGTCAGGCAGTACCCTGTTAATCAACAAGACCTTATTGAGAAAATGGAAAATGGATCAATTTATTATATCAACCAACCTGAATACAAGATGATCCCAGCACTTGGATTCTCAGACATGACTCAAGAAGAAGTTCAAAACACATTGTTGTGCGAGGAGTCTGTTCAAATCAGCAATCCAATTAGTGACTTTACGCCACCAAAATATATTACCATGTTATTCACAGATTTGGGTATTTTGACACCAAGTGGAGTCTCTGATGAATTAATCAAATTATACTCATAATTCGCTCAAAATTCATACATAAAACTGCAACAGTGTTTCTATCTATTAACTGCGACTTCATTGTTCGAAATGGTTTTCTCGCTGAGTAATTGGGACCTGGATTGTAAATGAGTGTGAATGAACAGTCTTCAATCCTTTTTCGATTTATTAACTTCAAAATCCTCAACTTGCCAACCCCAATTTTCTCGCTCAAAAGGAGGTGTGACATAAATTGGTTCATGTATCGTTTTCTTTGCTGTTGTGGTAATGGAAGAACTTGCGTTGTGCTCTGTCTCATCATTGATATCTTTTTCAAAATTAAGCAGAAAAGGTAAGTTAGGGACAAGCTCATCAATCAGGGAGGAGGCACTACGGGCCACCTTAAAATTCGAGAAGGAGCCAACCAATAACATTTCAAGCAATGGAAATCGCCATAAGCGATCAATTTGATTTTCATCCAATAAATAATATTCTCCCATGGAGTCAATAAAGGCCTCATCAATTTTTTGACCAATAAATTCAACAATTCTATTTGAAATGTCATGTTTGATATCGAGAAACGATTGAGATTCTCCATTAGCTTCATCGAGCCTCTTTAATGATTCCGTTGTTGTTGATTCATTACTATGATCATTCAATGTCACCTTTGCGTGTTGTTGTTGCTGTTGTTGCAATAAATTGGGTTCCTTGTGAAGCAAATATTGCAACTTTACAAATTTAGTAATTAAAATTTCATATTCCGATCTTGAAAGACAAGTTAATGTATAAATATCTTCTCTTTTCCCATGATTTAAAGATGACGATGCAATACTGAATTCATCAAACACCTCATCTGTGTGTTCGCTAGTTCCGAGCGTATCATTCAAAGCCTTTACACTTCCAAATCTCTTCTCCAAATCCCGAAATAAAAATCTACTCAGCAATACATTGCCATTCACTGTTCCCAAAGATATGGGATCTTTCTTTGCCAAAATTCTTCCCTGAATGATCGGAGTGATGAAATCCTTGTTAAATATTTCTCGAATGTTGATCTTGCTCATTTTTTTTTGTAAACTATTTAACAATTCTTTACGAAATTAAGAATGTGCATGGACACTCCAAAATATATTCGAATGATTCCATCTGTGGTTGTCATAAGCATTACAAAAATTCATCAATGTCAATATTCGAAATGACAATATCCAATAAATTCTTCTTTTGTCGTTTGTTTTGCATGTTTGGTGCATTCACATTCTTCACAATAGGTCGATCATTCTCATCGGTTGGAACATTCTCAATCGAGTGAGCTACTTCCATTCCTTTGATCACTTCTCCAAAAAGTGTGTGCTTATCATCGAGCCATGGTGTTGGTACAGTCGTGATAAAGAATTGAGAACTATTGGTATTGGGTCCACAATTGGCCATGGAGAGCTTGCCTGGACGATCGTGTCTCAAACTTGGAGAAAATTCATCTTCGAATTCTTTACCAAAGATGGAAGTTCCTCCTGTACCGTCACGATTGTCATTGTCACCAGTTTGTATCATAAAGTTCTTAATTACACGATGGAAGATACAACCATCATAATATCCATTAAGGGAGAGCTGTGTAAAGTTTTCGACTGCTTTTGGACAGACATCAGGGAATAATCGAACTTGTATGTCTCCAAACGAGGTGTGAATGGTGGCGATTTTGGCCATCTTGCCGACCTTTTGCTTGCTTGCCACCGATGATGAGGCCTCTCCAATCGCATTAGCAATTTCCATTTCTTCTTTCGATGGCTTCTCGTTGAAAATGTCTCTTCCAAAGGTGACACTGGAAGTAATGTAGGCATATCGTTTGTGAACAGAACTGGTCAACTCTTCATCTTCAGAGGGTTCTCGTTTAGTGAATAGATAGAAACGATTCTTCTTGTAGGCTGAACAAAATAGAGTGGGATCGAAATATTCAAGCTTTGGGCCGCTGGTATCATCTCCAGAATCTGACATGGTGAATATTTGGGAAACTGCAGACCCTTCTGATTTCTTGGCATTGTTGATTTTTGAAAGCTCTGCTCTGGACATTTTTATAATGGCTTGGAAGAGTCCAATATGGAGAAATCGTTCAGTGCTTTCAACTTTTCCTAGTAATCGTTCGACATGATCGGTTCTCAAATTTCTAATCTTGATTCCAAATATTGTCGGATAAATTATAAAGCTAGAACTTTCGTCAAAAAGAATATTAGGTGTAGCGTGATAGTCTCGTAAAGATGCATTCGCTGTTTGTTTGTTCGATGAATGTTTGCTATCGATCAATTGCTCAATTTCATGTTCTATGGCAACTCGACGACCAAAATCAAAGTTTTCCAAAGCATACATTTCTATATCGTTTGTTTCTTGTCTCACTTTTGTTAACAAATCTTTAGATTTAGTAATCTCGTCAGAAGGAAATTGAGATGATTCAGGTGAAGAAGTAGCAGCTTCTTCCAAGTGGCGAATGAAATTTGGATTGGTTGCTGCTTTTTGTAGATTTTCTTGAAATTGTAATGTTTCATCATAATCCTTAATTAACTTTCCAGAAAGAAAATTAAAGACTCGAATGTGGCCATCTCGGCACAAGACAGCAAACTTCTTTCCATCCTCAGAAATGTCAATGCTGATTGCATAGGTTTTTGCCTTAGCCAACTCAAAGAGAGAAGTTTCAGACTTGTACTTGAATGTGAATAAATTACTAGAGTGGCCTTTGGCCAGGTTCATGTAGCTAGAGCTTTCTTCTAGGGTTGGAAACTTTCCAGTGTGAGGATTCCAATACTCGACCATTCCCTTCTCGTCACAACTAATCATGACTCCAAATACCGAATTATATTTGCAGCATGTAACGGATGATCGATGAATCATAACAGATCCAGAAACATTATACTTGTAAACGGGAGGCTTCATGGATGAGTCTGGATCAATGGGATCATAAAACTCAATGGCTCCATCCTCAAAATAAACGCCAAGCAGAGTATCTTTAGCACTACCTTGTTTTTTCGACACAAAACAACACATGTGCAATTGGCGTTTAGATGATGTTGCATCATTCAACGATGAGGATGCAGCTCCTGTTGATGTAACGTCTTTGGCGAAGCTAAATACATTAATCATGTCAAAGTTTGTCACATCATAAATCTTCAAGTCATATCTAGACATGCTAGCGCACAACAGGCCATCTGATGACATGGTACCATATGTTAGAGGACCCATAACTGAAGTTTTGTGTGCCACAAAATGTTTCACAAATTCAATATTATCCATTGTCTTTCTCCAAAATTTAACATGACCATCTCTTGACATGGTAATAATGAAAAAACAAGAGCTTTGTGATGATCCAATGGCAGTGGCTTTTGCTGGAGGTGCCACCAAAACAAAACACACATGGTCTCGATGCATGTAAGACCATTCATACATTAATCCTTCAGGTAGTTGTTGTAAATGCAATTGATCAACTTTCTCTTCTTTTGAAAGTTTTTGTGATTTTCCAAGTGCTGTACTTGCTGTATGCTCAAATTTTAAATTTTGCGTGGGCTCCAACTTTGTTTCCGACATTGGATATACTGAAGCAATGGAATCTAAATTTTGATCAGAGGGAAGCGGCTCGTTGTTAGGTAAGCTAGTAGGAATCATTGGTCCATAATCCTCATCTTCTTCATCATCATCTTGATTTGTATTATTCTGAATAATTGGCTGCGGTTGTCCTGTATTATTGTTGTTTTGAAAATTGTTTGGTATCGTTGGTCCGTAATCATCTTCCTCATCTTCATCCTCATGCCCTCCGACAGTTGGAATGGGCATTTGTTGAGGAGCATTCTGTTCGGATTTTCTCTTTTTAACTTCTTGCTCATCATCCGATGAAGAATAATAAGATGAAGACGAGCTACTATCTTGTTCACTTTCCGATGATGAATCTTCTTCCTTCTTGGATTTTCGTTTCATTTTTTTGTGTTGAGATTCTTTAATAAATCAAAGTTGAACCTGAAGTTTAAAACTTTATTTGTAAATTTGAATTCTATTATTCAAACTATCGGCAACATATAATTCACCGTTTCGAGTATTGATGCAGATACCAGTTGGGTTTTGGAACTCATTTTGACCACATCCTTTTGCCCCAAAGCATTTGACAAACTCGCCACGGTGAGAGAAGACCTGAATACGATTATTGCTTGTATCACAAACGATAATGTTTCCTGTAGGTTTGTCAACTGTTAAGCCTGTTGGATAGAGGAAGTCTGAGCTCGAAATACCCTTTTTACCAAACATGTAAATAAAATCATCTCCATTCTTTGAAATAATTTGAACTCGGTTGTTCTGATTATCACACACAATCAAAAAACCGTCTCGATTGGACACTGCAATGCCATGTGGAGAGTTGAATTGCATAGGACCCTTTCCTTCTCCTCCAATGTGTCTTATAAATTTACCACCTCGTGTTAATAGAACCACCTTAGTGTCGCTCACAAAAACATTACCATTCGATTCATCGACGGCAATGCCTTTTGGTTTCACAAATATTTCTGACGATTCAAGGGACCAAACGAGAGCATGAGTATGCAAGCTATACTTGTAGATTCCATGATTTTCACATGACACAATAAAAGTATCGTCTTTCTGATCTACTGCAATGCAAAGTGGCTTGTCTGGTGTCTCGATGCTGTACTTGTATTCCTTTGTGAACAGATCAAAGGCTTGTATTCTCTTATTTTCACTGTCTGCCACTAGCACAAGATGGTGTTCTGGAGAGATTTTAACATCCACTGGATTATTGAATTTTCCAGGCTCGTTCGATGGTGGATGGCCTCCAATGGTTCCTGAATGGAGAAAATTTAATCGGAACGAAACAATATTTGTGGTTGATCGTTCAGCTTCGTGTTGAGCAATTACTTCTCTGGAAGGACTCAAGTGCATGGACATTTTGTTGTAATATCGTGTAAGAATGAGAGGAGGTGTTTGTGTTGTATAAAGAGAATATGAACAATTTGAAATGAAATATCAAATAGAGAAAGCAAGTAAGCTTGTGATTTTGAATTTCCAAAAAAACTAAATATGTGATGATTGTTGCAGCAGTGTTAAACAGCTGTGTGGTTTTTGAAATTGATTTTGTTGTTTTGATCAAAATCCGGAAAACCGAGTCGGTCGCGATGGATCACACAGTAAGCTTCTTCAAGTAGAGGAGAAGTAGTGGTGGTGTTGTTGTTTTTTTATAGGATGAAAATCGGCATTTTGCTTCCTAGGAGCAGAAGGAAGCAGGTATACCGCATGAGTAATCAGAAAATAAGTGCGGTCAAAAATAAGACGTTTATCTACCATCGAAAAATACCGTCGATTAAAATACTGCTGGACGAATACGGATGGAGAATATCCCTGGTTAAAATACTGATGGATATTAACCATGGCATCAAGGACGACATAATACAACAGGGCAATTACATGTGCATAATACTGGTCATCAAAATACCGTCGGAAAAGTAAATGAGGAAAATACTGACCGACGAATATATGACATATTTTACTGCTCGACCAATACTGTCGGATGAAATACCACTGGCAAGATATGGACGGAGAATAATATTGACAAAATAATGATTGAAATTAATTATGATAACAACGACGGACAATACCTTCGGATTGGTTCGGATGAAAGTACCACGAATTATTTTCATCGATACTTTGTTGAATAAGACTTGTTGATTTTTGAAATATTTAGAAAATTAATATTTATTTACAAAAATTATAACAAAATGCAAATTGATTCAATTGCCACTTTAACCCAGATGGCAATGAATAGCAAATACAGCTACATTTAGACTTGACTTTGCTGATATCTATTGCTGATAGCATTAGTTGTGGAATGCATTTGAGGTGATACATATAGGAAACGTTATCCATGTGTTTCACTTCAAAGATCAAGGAACTAAGAACTACCTTATCAGTTACTTGTTTAACGAACGCAATGTTCATTTCTCCTTGATCCGTTTCAAATAGGACAAAAATGTCTTTTTCAAGCTTGAATTCTGGTTCTTTTGCTCTTGGTATCAATTTTCTGCATTGAGGATATTTTGTAAAAAGAGCTTTCATGACCATTTCTCGTTCAGAAGCCCTTTTTTCAAGCTGTTTTTTGTTACTTTTGTCATTGAATTGCTTGTACGTGGAATGTTTTAACTCATAGAGGAGAGTCCAAAACCAAGTAACATGACCAATATCATCGACATCCTCAAATATATGACAGCCTGCATGAAAGTTTGGAAATTTACACTTTTCGGATCCAAAACAGTTTCTATATGCAACTCGCCACGCTACATAGAGTTTCTCGGCTTCTTTTAAGTCGTGGTCTGTATGGTCAAACCGCAACAATCGAACAAAATACTGCAAATGTAAAATCCAACACTCATATAGTTTTTGTCTCTTCTCCAAAGTATTATCTGAATATTTGGTATTTAGGAATAGAAATTTGTACCAAATTGGAGCGCTTATTGCTATAAATTCAAGCATCTCTGTTCCGGATAGTTTGTCAATATCACTGTACATTGTAATCCTTTTGCCATTCGGCAACCTTTCTCTCTCACAAACATCCAAAAAATCGTCCATGATTGTTGAGTAATGAATTGCTTTCATTGTTCTTTTAAATTGGGTTCGAAAAGTTCCTTGGATCTCTAAATGGAAAAAATCAATTAAGGCTTTGTGAAATGCATCCACAGTATTAGGATATTTTAAAAAAGGATTATCTATGATATGCAGAACAGGTAATTCTCGTAATTTTTGCGTTATTTTCGCTTTAGATAATTTCAAATCTTTGAATTGCATTTCTTCCCATATTAAGGGTTTAAAACCCTTGTCCTTTGTTCTGTCATTTGATCTTAAATCGATGCTATTAATAACAGTGTTTGCTTCAAATATATTTCTTTTCTCGAAATGCGTGACATACTTTGGATCTTCTATCGTAGACGCTCCAAATAAACAATCTGGTGTTTTATGTTGATTATCATAAATTCCTTCACAACGGCTACATTCTTCTTTCATGAGTTGCAAGGAATACATCTTCTCGACTGTGTCCCATAAAAACCCTGCAACAACAATCTGAAATTTTCTAGACTCACCTGTAGAGGGATCTTCTATTTCAATTATCTCCCCATCAAGGTGATTAATTTCTTTCATCAAATGGCTTGTCATTGTCCAAAAATCGCAGTGAGTTTTTGAGAACCCAAGTAAGCTTATAGATTCAAGTTTTCTCATGAAGTCGCTATTGAAATTCAACAAACTTGAGTACACTCCACATGTTGATGTTGACTTTGTTCTGAATTTTACAAAATCGTCCACATATATCAGCATCACAAGAGGGAATATATCACTTTGACACTTCTCCAAAATTTTGTTGAATATTTTAGATTGAAATGGTTGCTTGGTTGCAAACTGTTGTTGATGCTTTTCTCGGTTGAGACATAATTGGTTGACCAAATACGGATCCATTAACATGTTTCGAATAGTATCTTGTACAGAGTAAAGGATGAAATTATCATTGAACTGCATGGGTTTTTGGGGATTCAAATTATTTCCTCTTGCTTTCAAGGTATCATAGCTCACAAATAATTTCATCAACTCAGGACGGTCTTTAAATGTTGATTTCAGCATTTGAATCATGAAATTATATGCTTGTTTAGAAATTCCAAAGTGATTGATTAACATAAAACAACATAATTCTTCAAAACTTTCAAAAGGGTGATCTTTAGGGAAGTGAAATTCTTGTTCATGCTCGCACGAGTGATTTGATACATATGGCATAGATTGTTTCAGTTTCTCAAAAAATTCAAATATTGGAAATGGTGTTTGTACTAAATTCTGCACGTCAGCAGTGAGAGCTTCTAAGTTCATCAATAAACCACCAATATCACAACCTTCCTCCATAACAACCACTCCTGTCGTTTTCTTGTTGTTTTTTTCGTCATCCATTTTATCCTCATGTTTGCGTTTTTTTAAAAACGAACACAAATGACCACAATGATTTTTGATGATATGAGAATAATAATGATCAAACTCTGTCGTTTGTTCGGAACAACACTTGAAAACGGGGTTCTGAGCTTCATCTTTGTTTGAACATCTTTTCATGTGTTTTAAAAAATTGGATGCATGAGAGTCGGAGAAGCAATCTTTGCAAAAAGGACAAGTGAAGTAAGTTGTGCCGCATGAAAAACAAGTGCATTTGATAGAGGGATTCAAGGTTTTACACTTTGCCGAATTATGGATATACAATTCCAAATCATGTACATTGCACTTGTGGCACATTCTCAAGGAAACCATGTCAAAGAATTTGGATTCGGCCTTGTTCTGAAGCATGATATTTTTTTTTGTAAAGAAAACGCTTCCTGTGCGCGCTCGATCTGAACTCGCTTACAAAAACTTCTCTCCAATAGTTTCAAAGTTGACCCGTTTAAATATTTTCAAAAATCAAAACAAAAAAAAACCAATCATAATGCCAACTGACACTGTAAGGGGTATCAAGAAGAAACGTAATCGAAAAAACATTTCTTATATAGCTCCATCATTAAATATAACACTTTTTCAAGAAAGCAAGCAATTCTTAACTCAGAACAACGCAAGGTTTGTTTCTTGTCAATATTTCTTGGTGATCATTTCTTTCCATGAAGCATCAAACAATGTTGTAAATTGAAATTTCATTCATTTCTCTCCCAAGTAAGTTGTAATGTTGTTCCTATAAATTTTAATTCTTCAGATCTGTTCTAATCCCCAAACACAAGAGCAAAAGCTTCAACTTTCAGACACAGTGGTTACTCATGTTAAAACATTTTGTTCAAGTCTTCCAAACTATAGTATTCTTTCAGATTGTGATAAATCCCAGGTAGATGAAATAGTAAGTTGTGTTTGTTATTTGTTTGACTAAATTTCACAACAATCGTTTTTAGTTGATAAAGATATGCAGGAAACATATAAGTCAAATATTTGTGAACGCAAAAAAGAAGGCGAAACTTCGTAGAAGATCTGGAGTCTCAAAAAGCAAAAATTCAGACAACCTTTTTGACTTTGAAAACGACGAAGATGTGTATGACATCAATTCTGAGGAATATAAATTGTATCAAGAGCATTTACGTAAATCATCATCAGCGAAAATGAGACGCTCAAGACCTGTCAACCCTGCCAACGTTGTTGAGTTGTAAATTATGATGCCAATAAAATTTAAAATGCATTTGCAATAACAATTTTAAATCAAATATTGAACCAAAAAAATTTCAAATTGAATTAAAATAAAATAAGAAGATTTCTATCATTATCGTCGATAGTAACAGCCACAGGTGTTGTGGTAGGTTATTTCAACAGTATTTCCGTCGTTATTTCGTTCATTAAACCTCCATTATTAGAATATTTAACATGATGCTTCTTCCGGCTGTATTTTGTGTCTTGGTGGATTCTTTTCGTCAGTAACTCCCGACAGTATTTTTTATCTCGAGTTTTACCGTCGGCTGTACCTGCGGAAACAAGCTTGAATCACCTTCGAAATAACAGACCGCAATAAGGAGACACTACTTATGCACAATATGCATTCAATAAGCTTCATTTACTACCGACGATAACTATGTAAAATACAGACGCGATTCTCTGCTCCTAGGTTTATGCGCCTCCATTAATGGGCCTATGAAACACTCACCAAAATCAAACACAAGGAGGCTGTGCGGAAGTCTTTGTGAAATCGAGGAGAGTTGGTTTATCACTTGTTGCAGTTTTAGGGTCCTGAAGAACGATTCTCATCACTTCTTTGACTTTAATAAAAAGAGGAAGAATGCCTAAAATGATAACACGATTAATTCGTCATGAAATACATGAACCAAGCTCAATACTAATGCAGTGGTTAAGCAGCTGTTCCTCTCAATTCATCGCTGATTCGTTTCGAGACCAACGAATGAATAAACTTTTAACATTTTTGACAATTCTTTAAGGTAAACCCAAAACGACACAACAAATAAATTTTCAATTGTTGAAAAACCTTTTTTACTTCAACCACTGTCTCTCTATGCGCTCACAATCAATTCCACAATTTCATTATTGAGCACTGCCTGATTTAGATCCATCAGCACCACTATCAACACTCGAGGCAACATTTGCACTGGCCAAATACTGATCAAACCAATATTCATTGACCATTCTCTTCGATTTGGTATACAATTCTTGCAATTCTCTCAAACTCTCCACTTGTTCGTCAATCAACTTTTGCAAAAATCCAGTGAGAGCAAAATCACGTTGACTCTCTGCAACATGATAAATGTATCGGATCTTATCATAGACCATTCGCTCAGTTTCAATAGCCAATTCAAAGCCTCTTGTAGTAACGGTTGCAATATTATTGGTACAACCAGCAGTATCGCAAGAATTACCTTGTTGTTGAGGTGCTGCTGATGATGATCCGGATAATACAGTACTAAAATCGGGAGGTGCTTGAATGGCAGAAAATTGAACCTTACCACCTCTACTATTCTGATAATGAATCAAGGAATGAGCATGTCTTCGTTCTTCATTGGATTGAGCCAAAAAGTAGTTGGCCACTCCGGGCAAGGCTACTGTTGGTTGAGAGTAATAAGTACCCAAAGCCGTGTAAAAGTAGGAAGCATTCAATTCATGATTGATCTGTATGGGGTAAATTCATGGTGAAGAGAATTTTTTGTTGTGTTTTGGTGTTGTATTATGAATGATTGAATTGTTGTAAAGGACAATCGAAAGTAATAATTATTTTGGTAGAAATTGAAAAATTGATGGATGGGCAACGATATGAGAATCATCGAGAAAAGCATTTAAATATTTACCTGTTCATTGACGAGTTGTTCACACTCATGACTATAATTGTATCGAATCTTGTTGTGAGGACTCGTATTGTCCAAAGTTTTTGAAACACTTGATGAGAAGGAACGAGTCAATTTGTTGACTTGTTACTGCTGGATAACAATAATTGATGATTGGTAGAGGAGATCAATTTTGTAACGAATGAAGATCTTGTCAATCGAAGTGCCATTTTTTTGTTGTTGTTGTTGTTTGATGGATGTCAACAAAGGTTGTGTGAATTTTCGGATTGTGTGATTCAATTTCTCCTGTTGTTGTATATGTGAAAGAAGAATCTTTTTACAATTTATGTATGAAAAAAGAAAATTAGTGTCATCTTGTTGGATAATGATGATGGTGTCGCATTCGGTTTTTCACAGATGGAATAATTTCCAAGTCTATGATTGCTTGTCTGTTCTTGGAATGATATCGATGAATATTCAAATTTAATTCCTCAGGTTACAAGAAAAAGTTTCCTTAATTCAAATTATCCATCATACTCTTATAACTCTTGTTCACTTCTGGGAACCATGATTTTAAGATTTCATAGTGTGTATTAATGTCAGTATTGCTTGTCAATAAGGTTTGAACATTGTCAGCTAGTCGTTGTTGAGCTTGATCGAATTCATGATTGATTGGTTCTGGTTGACTTAATCGAATGTTGCCAATATCAAAATCATTTGACGTGTCCATTATATTATTATTATTAGCTGTTGCTGCATTCAAGCTCGACGAAGACGACGACGACATTTCCATGAGAAATGATAAGCTTTGAAGTTCCGAAAATAAATCTTGATCTTCCTTAGACTCTTGTAACAATTTTGTGACTTGTTCGAGTGTCTTTTGTTTCGAATTTTCTCCAAGCTTCCAATCCGATTGCAAAATTCCTAACATACATTGACGTATGACGCTCCTTTGTGACAGTGCAAATTGGTCTGAAATTTTGAGAGATTTTTGAAAGTGGTTTTTCGATTCATCGAAAGCATTGTTTCTGAGGCAGAGAACTCCCTTAATAAATGAAATGTAGGTCTGAAAGCTTTCAACCTCTCGAAGACCATTCGTCTTCAACGACCTTGTCAAATCATCAACATCGTTAAAAAGATCGTTTGTAGAGAATATCGACTCTGAACAATTGAGTTTCCAAAACAGTTGGAAAATGGTGGCCCATGTAGCGAGTTGTTTGCTCGGACAGTTTTTGATGATAAATTCAAAATGTTCGTTGCATGCAGAATCAGCACTTCTCTCCTTGTCCGTGAAAAAGAGTAAAATTCCAATCAATAAATGAATATTATGTCTATAGGTGATAAATAAATCTGGGAATTGATAAAGAAAATCAATGAGTTTGATGGTGTTTTTCGTAGCTAGAATAAATTCCGATCTGGATAAATGAATGAGAATCATATCTTGCAGTAGATTAAATTTCACAAATAGTGAAAAGAGAGCATTATCATTTCTCTTCTTGTCCAATGCAAATCCAGCAGCGTTGGTCAATTCCTTAATGTACTTGTCAGCTGTTGCAATTCCTTTGGTATTGAACGCTTCAGATTTTGCAAATTGACCCTGAGTTCTATAGTAAAGACTAGCAATAAGCCAAATAGTACTAACAATTGGGACTATTTCAATCCATTCATAGGTAAACACATCAGGATTTTTCGAGTACACTTGTAATTTGGCCACAGAATCTTGAATGGATTTTAGAATGGTTTTGAATGACGCTAGATCACCCAGTGACATTCTATAGAGACATGCCATGATGAGATAATTGAGATAGAGCAAAATCTGTGCAACATGGTTAGAAAATTATTTCTCAACTCAGTCGAAAAATAAACTTACCACATCTGCATTCTTTGGATTATCTAAGAGTTGTTTTTCTTCGTCGCTTCCCATTTCAACACCAATTTCTTCATGGATTTTTGTGAGATAGTTTGAAATGTTTTCATTTTTCTTTTCCAATGTTGTGATACTCCAAGCAACGTAAACATGATCTTGTTTGATTGCTTGATAAACTCTTACAATATAATACGCAAGTACTCTGGTATTGATCGCTTTAGAATTTTTCTGTTTTTCAATCTTGAACAGCTCACTTTCTTCTTTTTCTCCCAAATCCAATTGTTGCTGAATTTCCATCCTCCTGTCATTCATAAAATTGTCAATCTCCAGAGTGTGAAGAAGAGCGATTCGAAAATAGTGTCTCCATGCTTGCATACTCGTTTTTAAAGATTCTTCATGGGACGATGGATTCTTCTTTTTTGAAATCATTCCTAGTATACTTTCTACAAAATCAATTCCTTTCGTATAGGCTTCACAGGCACTCGGAAATTCATTAATTTGAGCATAGACAGAACCTAAACATTTGTAAATTTGAATTTGTAATGTTGTGATTTTGAGAGAAGGATCTAGATAATATGTTTCGATGCTTGTCGTGACTTGCTCGATGATAGCTTTCAAAACCAAATCCTGTTCATGAAAATGTCAACCATCATTAAAACATCAAATGTTAAATCATGGATAAATAATTCATGATTCATCCGAAACATATGTTGACAGACACCTACAGCAGCCAATAAATGATTCTTACAAGATACAAAATTCCGAGTATATTTCAAATATATTTGTGCAAGTCGAACTCTTGTTTCGACTTCATATAATCTCTCCCGATCGAATCCGACGCTACTCAGTAAACATTCAAGAGTTTTTATGGAATCGATGACTCGTCCTCCACTGAGTAATTCCTCTGCCAGGCCCCAACATGAATAAATGATATTTTGTGCCATTGAATTTCTCTATTTTTTTTGTTTTCGAAAATTTCCACTTCTTTGGCGGGGTGAGAACTTTAAAAAAAATAAAAAAAATAGAGTGTTCATCATCATCCATTCTTCCAACGATTTTTTTTGATCTTTTTGATCGTTTATTGTTGTTAATATTATTATTATTAGGAGCACGTGTGTTCATGGGATTTTTTGATTGGACCCAAAAGAAGCTACGAAAGAATCAAAATCACTCAAGATCAAAATCACCTTCGGAATCCATGACTTTGGATGATTCATCCAACCATAATAGGCCAATGAATCTCACTGGTTCTGTGGATATTGTTACGTATGGCGTGCCTTTTGTTATGAACCAAACTCACGCACAAGAATTTGTTCGGAGATCTTTACCGTTTCCATTGGGAGCTCAGATCAAGGAAATTATTGCAGGAGGAACATTCTTTGTCGTTCGTAGTGATTCCGATGAACTCTTTTTTAAATCTACCAGTGCATCTGATGCAAAACAATTAATGTCCTATCTTTCAGAAACAAACCCAACCAATCCATCTTCCATGCATGGAGTGTTGAATTATTGTCAAATTGATTACAAGAAGAAAATTGTAGATTTGAAACTAAAAGACAGTAGTAACACATGTTATGTGTTGAGTGAAGTATATTGTGGACAATATTTTGTGATACTAAGAATGATGAACGATTTATTGGTTTATCTCAGCGTGACCAATTTTACAACTTTGGTAGATGAAAGCTATGTGACTTCAGGCAGAAAAGAGTTGAAACAAATCTATGTTGGTCCTTTGAGCCAACACATGATTGCTCTCAAAACTGATAATACTTTTGACTATTTTGAATGTTATCAACGATTTAACAAGACAACAGACAAACATCTCGTTTCAATCCCAAGAGGGCACGTCATTGTCAATTGTGCATGTGCTGGACGAACCACTTTTATAGTCGTTGAAGATCCATCCAATCATTCTCATCATTTATATGTACACGGAGACAATCAATTTATGGTTCAGAGCGGATTCAACAGCACTGCTAGTTTTGCTGAATTGACGAACACACCGTTCGTAGGAAAGAGAGTGAAAGACATCAAATGTGGCTATTTTCATACGTGTATATTGTTAGAAGATGGCTCTGTGTATACATGTGGTTACAATGCATATCATCAACTTGGTTATTCTGGAGGAGACTCTGAACTTAAACAAGTTCAATTTCCTAACATGCCCTTACAAGAAGACTCATACTCGCATTCAGTACATGATGAAGCCAATAGTTTCCAAACGAAACAGGTTCTCTGTTCGTCTATTGCCACACTCTTCATTAATGACACGGGTTTTCTCATGGTTGGCGATCCAATTTCATCATTGCGTAGAAAGGGTCTATTTGCTTCAGGTGTACAGGCCTTCCATTATTTATTTGGAGAAGACTCAATAGAATTGATACCTGGCTCAAAACCTCTTCATTCCAACTCGGTAGCAGTTGGAGGATGGCATTTTGTTGTTTACAACAAAACCTCCGTGTCAACCAAGTATTTAAAGTATTTCTTTAACAATTTGGAACGATTTTCCAAGATGGTGGCGCATAGTGAGACATCTGAAAAGGTGACGTCACAATTTTCAGACATTTCTTTGTTATTCTAAATGTTCAATAGCCTTTTATTCAATTTTTGACATTTTGCCGCATGATTGTACAATTATCATTGTTTTTCAATTTTCATTATTTTTAAATGTTAAAAAGAATTTTAGATTTATTTGTCACGGTATTGCAATTCTCATCCATTCCATTTAAATAATGGAATTTACTTTTCCACAAAACACAATAGTCTCTTCATGCATGATCAGGAATGCAAATGGACGATTGACCACAAATTCCTTCGAAGATGCTTTGCTTTTACTTCTCCTTCTTGCAACAGCCGTTGCTGCAGCTGCCGTAGTACCTTGTTCATCCACTTCCACCACACATTCATGAAGAATGCTCTGAAGGTAGGGTGGATTCTTTAGAGTTTGAGAAAGAGCCTCTCGAGTCATTCCATCAAAATTGGCATTTCGTTCATTGAAGGCATGAGTCATGTTAAAAGGAGCGTCTCGTAAGGTAGAGGAAAGATCCAACTTGCATTGGAGCTTGAATTTTGGAATGGACAACTTGGAGAGTTTTTCAGAGTACGTTTGAAATACCGTGTTAGGAGAGGAAAGTTGTTGTTCGAGCCAATCGTGGAATTCTTTTTCATTGTCAATGGTCAACTCTGAATGAGGTACAATGAAAAGCATGGAAAAGGTTTCATTCTTGTATGGTAGTTTCACCCAACGATATTGTTCTTCTTCGTCTTGTCCAAATTGAACATTGACTGAAGTCTTGTTCATCATGCTCACTTTTTTCTTGTTGCTTTGTAAAGTGTGAAAAACTTCCTTGGTCGTATTGGCAACATCAAATGCTTCGTTCCAAGTTCCTAAAAAGAAAATTGCATTGGCAAGAACCATGTCTGTATGTTGGGTGACTCCACCAACGGGAATCAAATCACGAATCATGTGGTTGGTGTTGGTTTCAATCCATTTGTTGATTTTACATCTTTCGTTTTCGAAATCCGTTGTGAAACTACATGGTTCAACAGAGCTGTCAAACGTCTCTTTTGTGAAATTAGCATAATCATCTGCCAATTCCATTTTCTGATCCACGAATAGCCTGTTTGCAATCGAAATCTCTTCTTCCTTCACTAAGAACATTAATTTTTGAATATACTTTTTAAAATACTCTTCTCTCCATTCCATGAATTCTTTTTCAGAAATTTCATTTGCACTTCCTAACAAACTCATTCCTTGCAACATTTGCATCAGTGTTGTCTTTCTCGCTCCAGCCATGGTCATGCCCAATGCTAAATAAATGGAGAGAGGTGAAATCATCACAGCCGACGAAGATGGTGCGTCTTGATTGTCCTCTAAATTTTGTGTTTTTTGTTTCAACAGAGAGGAAATTAATTTGGCTGCAAAGGTGCGAAATGCATGATCCAAATGTTGACAGATTAATCCATTTTTCATTTTCTTGGAATCCGAGTTGTTGCAAACAGAGTCATCAGCTTTAATTCCACTGCTTTCAAAATCACGTTTGTGAGACATTGGTGAATAGTGTGTTTGAAATTTCAATTATTTTTTTTGAGAATAAATTGTTGAACATGTATTCACATGCTTGAACTTTTAACTTCCAAAAACAGAACGAAAATAATCGTATTTTGCAAAAAACCTCAATCATGTAACCTTGTAAAAATAAAGTTAAGGAAAACCTCATGATGAGTCACGGCCGTTCAGTAAATGAGGAGTTCCGTCCTGTAAATGATCATTGTTAGATAGTGATGATACCAAACTGTGCTCCATAATAACATTGTTTCATTCTTTCTTGATTTAATTCATTGCTGTACTCATGTCATCTGTATAATGAAGTGAGCCACCATATTGCCTTACGGCATACTTTGCTGTACTCTGTCTGTTGATTTTACATTAAAAAGCTCGGACATGTTTGCTTTTTCATTTCAAATTTTATGACATCTCTCTTCACGAGGAGATCAACTCGTCCCGCTCTTGTTCTATCAGAATATAGAGATCTGGAATGAGATCTTTATTTTTTTGTGCTTTGAAATTACTAAAACGAGTTTGGCGCCATTCGAATTATTTACAGGATCTCCATAATTTTCTTTTCAATTTAAAATGAATCATGCCAAGCCACAAGAAGGACAATTTGTGTTGGTCTTGTTGGAGGCGTTTGAACCGAATGCCCTTCCGAGTTATTTAAGGAAGAAGGAATTAAAGAAGATCTTGTTGGAGGAAGCAAAGAAATTGAAATTGGATGAGCAAAATCGGAAACGGATGGAACTTGAATTCTCGTCGGATCTTGATGATCATCAAGTAAATGATGATGAACACCAAGAATTGAATGATCCTCCTAATGAGAATTATGAATCCACTTTCTCTCCATGGACCATTCCTTCCACAAAAACTCATGAAAATTTGGAATCAGCAGAGCCTCCTCCGAGCTCGCGATTCCGAAGCCGAGAGCCTTCATCGTTACAAAAATCATCATCAGCAAAAAATGTTTCTTTGGGACAATCATCCAGATCGAGTTTGTTTGCAGCAAAAGGACGATCACATTCGTTCCGCATTGTTGGAAGTAATTATTCAAAAAAGACAAAAATTGAGTTGAATTCTCCAACACTACTGAATACATCATGCACCACCGATAATTTAACAATTTCTCCCATGTATAAACTCAATACCAAACCGTCCTCATCAAAGCCTTCCACAAACACAAAAGAAATTAAATTAAATACTTTCCTGACAGAATTTGACAATTCGGATGATCATGATCTATTTACTTCGATAGAAAAATTGGATTTAGCATCATTGGAAAATTCGCCCAAGAAAGAAAAAACAAATCATTCCAAGAAAATGGCAAAATATATCAAACAGCGAGAGTACGACGAGTATTTACATTCAAATTTACAACGACGAACTGACATGTACACTAATGGAGAAGAAAAACGAACTGCAACATTTTCAAGAGCAAAAGCGAACACTTTAACCAAGGCACCTCCAAAACTTCCCAAGCTGGTCCACCGTAATTTATTTACTAGCCCAGTTTGTGGTGCAATTTCTTTAGAGAGTGTAAAACCAAGCAATTTAAAAGTTGGAATTGTCATTGAGTGTCGAGAAAAGGAAGTGGTATTGAGTATTATTTATAAGGATGGGGTTTTCTTGCATTATTTTAATGTGAGAGAAGCTGTGCCTTACAATCGACTCGTTGTGCTCACACAGGACGAATATAAAATTTTACTGGGAGAGGCATGGATGGAGAGATTGGTTGACTTTGAAATGGAAACAACAAAGGGCCATGCCTATTCATTTACTCCTACTGGAGTTTCAGATCATAAGAGCAAAGAATGGTTGTCATTGAGAAAGAAAATGATGACTGCTCTCAACAAACTCAAGAAACGAAAGGGTATTGACGATGACACATTTATACACACGCCCACGTATCATGATTTAATGCAAGAACTTGAGGAGGGAAACGAAGACGTATATTTGGACACCTACCGAGACGTTCGACACGGCACACAACCACGATCCATGAAAGAAGACGACGAAGAGCGAGAAAAAATAGTTGGGAAATGGAATGAAAGGCTGGGAAGCATTCATGCGCTCAAACTTAATGAACATGGACTCTTATCTCAAAAACGAAATACCACACTGAGAGACTTGAGTGAGAATTTATCCAACAAGATGGGCCAACTTCTAGCCTATGAAGATACAATATTGTCATCGATACAGCCTTCATTACAACAAGATGGATCATCAATACTTTCTCCAGATGCATCTAAATTACGAAACAGTCTTAAAAAGACTCCTTTCAGAGCGACTATGAGCTCTTCCATGTTGAACTCAACCATGATGAGCGGAAACAATGTTTCTACCAACATGACAGCCAGCTTTTTATCCCCAAGAACTCCACGCACGTTTTATTTGGAGAATTTATCTGGAAAACTGCTGTCTGGCAAGGTTGTGTTTGTTGATCCCATTAGTCTCATCATGAACGTCATTGTGACATACCATAACAGAAAGTCCTTACATGATCCTGTACTCTCTCCTAGAATGGCAAACTCGCCCAGATCTAAAACATTCAAAGAACAGAGATTAGATCACCACGAAGAATCGACATCCTCCATTATGGTATACCTCTATTTGGACAAAATATCATTCACAGTCGAAGAGGAGAATACTGCTGCAACTGCCTATGGACCCATGACATCTAAACTCATTGGAAAGCAAGTAATGGTCTACATTCCCATGACAACCACTGCTATTACAAAAAAGAACGCTAATGAAGTGAATACTATTGATACTTCTTTACCTTGTGACATGTGGCTCATTTCTGAAGGAGACGATTGCCTCAAATCAAGTCAAATCATTAACAAGGATATTCTCACCATCGATTTGCCTGGGAAAATATGGATAAACAAGTGGGCTGTTGAGCAAGGTTTAGCAGTACTGAATATCAATAATACAAGTGTGAGAAATGAAGAGAGTAACATTACGAGTATTAACAAACCTCATTTTGACCAACAAATGAAAATATTGAAAGAAGCAGAAAACTTTGCAAAACAACACGATGTTGGAATTTGGGGATTTAAAAACATGCAACTAAAAATGGAAAAAGAACAAGAGCGAATTCAAAGATGGAAATTTAGAACAGGTCAAAGTGATACCAAACCACGTGCGCCAACACCAGTCAGAGACCCATTTCAAAAAGAAGGTGGAAGCTTATTCAGAGAGGCAGATCGAAAAAATATTTCCTATCTCGATTTTAAAGGGGACTAAACATGCTTTAATGAATCCAGTAGTATTCCTATCACTCGATAGAATTAATGGTTTGTCAAACAAAAACAGAGAGATCAAGTCACACAACACGTTCTAGCAAATGAAACTGCCAATGACAACAGAAAGAGAAGATTTGTCTGACACACAAATCTGCTCATGCGTTTCCAAGATAGCAGTCCCAATAACAGTGCTGCATTCGTATCCTGTATTGCTGTTCGTTGTACTGCTCGACATAACCGTGCTTTAACAGTGCTTCCAACATAATTTCCGGATCATTTTGCAATTGATCATCCACAAACTTCAATACCAGAGCATTTCTTTTAACGCCTTCCAAAATAAATTTTCGATCGCTTATTAATTCCGGTGGAGCACCTGATAATATGCGACCATTAGCTGCTATGGCATTCAAAATAAACTCTTTCATGTAGACCAATTCGCTCCAACTCTCTTCAATATGGTGCATTTTAAAATTAGGATTTGAAATGACTTGCTGTAAAATGTCCTTGTCTCTTTTCAATTCCACTGAAAGATAATTGTAAACATCATGAGCTTTCTTGATTGCTTCCAACGCAAGCTCCTTGTAAAACTCCACGTCTGGAGGTATGATATCAATGAGATATGGATTACATGTCGTTGCAAGAATTGCAAGTTCTTTGTCAGCTTTAAGCTCTTTGGAGGCCCAGCCCAAGTTCCAACCATCTTGCTCGACCGCCATGACCACTAATTCTCGATCTCGTTTCAATTCATCCGAAACAAACTCTAATGCATAACCGTACCGTTGAATAATCGGAAATACAAAATTTCGATCATTCTTATATGGTTCAGGTAAGTATTTCAGAGCTAGTCCAGTAAAAGGACATGCCTCTAACAAAAACTCAATATTGTTCTTAATAGCGTTAGGAATTCTTGAAAAAATGTCGCTACCGTTACTCAATGCCTTTAAAATTATTTCCTTATCATGTATAAACTCTTCTGGAATATATAAATATACGCCACCATATCGTTCTACAAGATTTAGAATAAACTTTCTGTCATTTTGCAATTCTTGAGATGCATATTTGAATGAACCTGCATACGATTGAACTGCTGCTAATACGAGTTCTGGGTCGTTTTTCAACGTATCAGATGCATATTTCAACATGTCACTATTCCTTCTCACAACTTGCATCATCACTTGTTTGTTGTTACGCATTTCTTTCGGCACCACCTGTAAAACGGAATAATCATTCTTGAGCGCTTCTAATACAATCTCTTGATCGTTCTGTATTTCATCCGATGCAAATTCTATCATTGAAGCATTTTGTTTGATAATTTGAAGCACAATTTCTCTATCATTTTTCATCTCGCGTGGTGCTTGCTGGAAAAATCGGAAATTATGTTTCAACAGCTGTAACATGAACTCCCTATCTTGAATTAACTCCTCTCGATGATACCTAATATCTAAATGCCCAGTATATTGAACTGCTTCCCGAAGAAACTCTATATCTCTAAAAAACTTGGATGGAATAAAAGGACGTTGATCATATTTGAGTGCTTCCATCACAAATGATCGGTCCTCTCTCAATAAAGACGAACAACTCTCGAGTCCTTTTTTGTTATGTTTAATAAAATCCAAAACAAAGGCTCGATCATTCATAAATTCAATGGGAATAAAATAGAGACCTTGCACGTTGTTGGGATGATGCAACCATTGTTCTCGATGTTCGAGCCATTTCTTTTTACCACATTGCTGTAATTGAAATTTATTTCTCAGCAATGGATGAACATGTTTCTCCGATGATGAAAAGTCAATTAATATCAGAATGGTTGAAGCAGTAGAATTCTGAGAACAAGGTTGAGGCATTTTTTTATGCACAGTCCGAAAAATCATGGAAATTGTAACCAACGACCACGATAACCAATAAAAAATGATGCTTCGACATTCATCATCAACCACGCAGTTTCTGTTCCGAAAATTATTATCATCATCTAGGAATTCAAAAAGACAATTACAAAATTCCTCTTGTTTGAAAAGAAATTATACACAATCTCTGATGATTAGGAGTACACCTCTTCCGTTGGATGATCAATATCATAACAAACTCAGTTTCCGACATTTACAATCAACATCTCATCAAAGATTTGTTAAACAAAGTACCACGCTAGACATGCCAGTGGTTAATGCTCCACAGGCAACTCTGGAATTATTGGATTTGGACAATTTTGATTCCGAGACGGCAGAGACTCTCTTTGGCTCGAGTCCATGTTTGTTTTTAAACGAATTTTATGAACCTGCATTTCCGGTGTGCTCATTGAAAAATCGTTCCATACTTCCATTGACGGATGGTGAGAAGGAAATTGTGTGTGAAATTAATTTTGCATTATGGGATAGTCATACTGACAAGATGTTGTCCATGCAAGCGAGCTACGGCCAACAAAAGAAGGCACAGAGTATTCGAGTGGTCATTCATAGAAAAAACTATATGGAATGGATTAAAAAGGCACTTCCAATTCTAGAAGAGCGAAGACAAGTTATTGAAAAACAAGCAGCAGGAGTAGAGTCGCAAAATATTAATTCAATCATTGAAACTATGAAATGGCAATTAAATGAATATGAACAATGCTTGCATTCTGAAGCAGAAGCCTCAAGTGCTTCTAGTCATGAGCAGACAGGAAAAGAGCCAAAAGAAGTTCAGTATGAAGTCATATTTTTCACAATCAAAGATGATGCCATTCTTAAGAAATTCATCAAGCAAATTTGGAAACAACAAAAAGAACCCATAGATACTAAGGATTTTACATCGCACGATCTTTCTCTCAGAATCAATAATCACAATATTGTCATCAATTCATCAAGACAAGACATTTGGGAAAAGATCAACGATGTCTTTATTATTGAAGAATTCGATGGACAAGGACACATTTCAAAATATTTTGAACGACATAACCACATCACAAAGGCAGAAATTGAGCACATTCGTTCCACAGTCCACACCATTATGCAAGCTTATAACTCTAAATTATTAAGAGAAAATTCCTGCTTAGATTTACTCGATTTATTTCACGGTGTTCTCTATTGTCAATCCGGAGCAGATAGAAAAATTCGTGTCAACACTCCAGAAGAAATTTCAAGCGCTCGAAGATTTTATTGGTGGGCCCAGAAAATTGCTACCTTGAATATCAAACCATTGCCTTAATTCAATCCATAGCTATGTATTGAGGGGATTTATTGATAACTATTACATGGATTATCACAAGATTATATTTTTCGACACCACTGAATACAATTTTATTCGTCTCATTATTGAAACGCGTTTTCCTCACACAAGCCTCAATGTAACCTTCAGATTCTATTATTATCATTTGGAAGCACACACAGTAAAAAATTCCGATAAAGAAGTGTGCATTTGTGAAAATAAGTTTCATCCATTTTCAAAAAAAAAATGATCATTGATTCCAATCATGAAGACACAACGATTGAGCTCACGGTTGAAGAGATTATGTGTCTTTCGGAAGAAGATTTAAAAGAAATGGGACTATCCCGAGAGGAATTGCTGGAATTGGCAGCTCCCTCTTCATCATCATTGGAAAAGGATGAAAATCATCTACAACAAGAGGAAGATTCATTGGAACAGCCTCATCATTCGGATGATGATGATCAGGAATATGACGATGATGAATATGAACATGATTATGGATTTACTTCCGCGTTTGATGATGATCAAGATTATCGTGATGAAATAGATCGGGAAGAAGAATTAATTGAAATGGATATTCTTGTTGATGAAGAATCTTTCAAAGAATTTGAACAACAGGAATGTGTAGAGACAAAAATTGAAGAATTACCATGGTTTAATGCCATCTTGGAAGAGAATTATCGTTTAATGTTTGGAGAAATTACATTGGAAGAATTGAAATCTAATGCCGCTGCAACTCAAGAATCTTCAAATTCAACGGATCAAAAACCTCAACGATCCAACATTTCCAAGAAAAATCGTTTGAAAAAGGAAATGCGATTGCAACAGTCTAACTATGTTTCCAAAATGAAGGTACTAGATTTTCCTGATTTTATTGAGCCCATTCAGTTTTGGCCCCAATATCAGCAAATGATTAAGAAACGATTTCATAATTATCACGTGAAGAATATCGAATCGATTGTAAACCCTTATTTATTGGATCGATTTAAGAATGCTATTCAGAAGGAACAAGAGCGATTGAAACGAAAAGTTTCCAGTAGAATTGTTCTATGCTTCCATGGTACACACTCTTCTAATATTCCAAGTATTATAGAAAAGGGTTTGCTCGTTCCTGGAAAGAATAATCACCTTCAAGTTGTGAATGGATCTTCGTGGGGTGTGGGCATTTATTTATCTGTCATGGATCCATCCATTTCTGTCTCGTATTGTGTAGGAGGAAATCAACTTTTTGCATGTGCAGTGTTATTAACAGACACAGTGAACACGAAAAATCATGGAAGTTTTCTAGTGATTATGGAAGAGGCCTATGTTCTGCCATGCTTTTTAGTCACATTTGAACGTGTTGATCGTTCTGCTCGACCCTTGTCACAAAAACAAGATCAAGAAAAGGTTGTGGCTAAAACCAAGAAGGGAGAAGTTGTATTTTCAAAGAAACGAAAAGAAGAGCAACGAGAAAAATTACGAAAAAAGAAGGAAGAAAAGAAGAAGCTAATTAATAATTAATATTTAATGGAAGAACACTGAGAATCATGTGAATTTCATGCAACGTCACGAAAAGTGAATTCGGCGCAGAGCTTACTTGTTGAAAAACTTATCAAAAAAGAACCACCGCACTTGGTAAAACTTTTGTCGTAAATATCCAAACACACGTGAACCGGCCTTAATAAAAGTTGGCATTGCAGAGTAACCCATCTTGTAACCAAAGAAGAGCAAGTACCACTTGGCAATCCATATCATATAGTCTGTAATGAACGATGCAGATAATTTGTGGAATTGTGAATCGGTTCTTCTGGACTCGACCAGAAAAGCAAATAAGATCACTGCATTAATATTCTCCAAAACACGATTCACAAAATCATTACCAACAGGCAATTTTTTGAATCCAAAAAGAGAGGCAAACATTTGAATAAACTTGGATGGCCAGCTCACCATGATGTAATAAATCAACAACCCAATATTCAATTTGAGAGTTTCCTTTGCCATGGAGTACATTAAATATTGAGAAAGTGACATGTCACGACTGTCAGATCCTGCTTCTTTCAACGCTTCCAAATAATCCAAATACAGTTTCTTGTAGGTCAAATAAAAAGACAGTCCCAAAAATGATCCCTTAAATAAGAAATCATTCAACAGCTCGTAGGGCGTACAAATGTAGAGAGAAGGTTTGTTCAATCTCACTTCATAGGCCAATACGGTTTTCGAGTCCAATAATCGTCCTTTGAATCGAATAGAATCTCCTGGTTTGAGTAAGTATTTGAGAGGTCGAATTGTTCCAATGCTTGATGGCCATTTCAATCCATACATTGGATACAATTTTGGATGAATGTGGTACAGAGTCATGATATTGGTTCGTTCATGTTCGTGCTCTAGCACATACGAAGAATCAAACTCTTCAAAAAACTTTTTAACTCGTTCCATGAGTGTTGTTTTCACCTGTTGTTCCAATTTCACATGTGGCTCCACTTTAAACGCAAGTCTCTTATTGTCACGAACATCCATATGAAGAAGAGTGGCAGATTTGCAATTAATGAGTCCAGTCATAAACTTGGAATTGGCATTTTCAATATCAAAATGACTCTGTTTCAGTAATTCGTGTTGATGATAGAGTATATTGGTGAGGATGGTATCTGTTTGATCTGCATTGTAGGAGTGTTGTTTTTCTCGAGTGGTCTCCAACAATTCAAAATCATGAACTTCAATGACATAGAGCTTGAAAAGTGATTGTGTTTGTGTTGGAATGGATAACGAACCGGTGACTTGAATCCACTCTGGCATGATGAACGGATTGTCAAAGGCAACTTCGTTAGTAGTGGATCTCTTCATACTTCCACTACAAATTTCCTTCAATTTTTCAATCTTGTTCTTGAAGAAGGATTTTGCAATGGAAGTGACATTTTCTGGTGTCACACGGAGGTACTTGGAATCGCTTGTATTCGAAACTCCATAATTGATGAGAGATTCTAACTTGTATGCAAGGAATTTCTTTGAAAATCTCAATTGAATAAGGGAAAATCCTGCATTGCTTCGTCTCATGGTAGCTGCATCACATAATCTTGCAGGAAGCATGACCATATCAAGAGTGTCTTTCAAATCTTGACTATTTCGTGTGGAAGAAGACGACCAATTAATATTTTCGTGAAGTGAAAGACAAACATTCCATCTAATGTCATGAATTGTTAACTCTGATGCTTGTTGTTCCAATGGAATGCTCATGTGTTGGTTCAAATGATCAATCGAAAAAGTCATGCTCCTCCAATGAAAGATGATCTTTTTTGCATACTTGACCCATGATCGATAAGTATGAGAAGAGAAATTCAACTCGTGACCTGAGGAAGGTGGTTCATAAATGATTTGTATAAATTCGTTCAATGAAGGTACTTTCCATCGTGTGGCTTGTGCACGTACAAATGATCTGGGAATACCATTCATCACTATTGCGTTATTATTATTATTATTATTCATGATATTATTGTCTTTTCCGAGCATGATACGTTTCAAAACAGTGAGAGCAATATGACTAAAGAAGAGAGAATATTGTTGTTCAATTTCAACCATTCCTCGTTTCTTTCCGATCGGCAACAATAAGGACGAAAGAGAATTTGTGTATGTTCGTTCATCGTTCATCCCTTGATGTTCAAAATCAGTTTTTGAATAAATACTCCTTTCAAAGACTGTAAATAATCCAAACAGAAAATCATAGGGATCTAGATAAGGTCCGATACGATGGAGCCAAAGATGGCACGGAATGAATATGGGTGTTCTTACAAGAGCGGAAGAAGAAGAGAAGACTGAATCATGATGATCCAAAGTGGTTGTTGTTGTTGTGGTGGATGATGTGTTGTTGTTGCTAATATTCTTAAGAATGTAGCAAACAATGCCAAATTCTTCAACATTGGGATTTGTTGGAGGTTCTTGCAGTAGTACTTGTTGTGGGATGGATTGAGACATTTTTTGATGAGATGAAATGCAAAATGATGATCTTTTAAAAACGAAGAAGAAAAACCAAGTCACTTTGTTTTTGATTGAATTCTGAAGGACTTGATTTTGATTGAGGAGCAATATGAAATTTGAAACCTTGTTTCCAACAAGAATGATCATCAATTCTTTAGAAAACAGCCGCGCAATGGCCTTACTTTTCTTAATCCATTTCATGCAAAAATAAACGGTTTAAACACTTCACACAACGACTCTCTCACTGTGAGGTCACGCCCACTCAAATTATTGACATCATGAACTCTTCATTTTCCAGTAAAAACAACAATAAAAAAAAATGTTCAACTCCAACGTCGGAGGAAGTGATCTCGATGCCTTTCTTCTCGGTGCTGCCAGCAATAACAGCAACATATCATCATCATCAAAACAAAATTCCTCTCAAACCAACCGAGCACGAGAAGTATGGCTCTATAATCAACTCAAAAAATCTCGTTCTTCCTTTGTCGAGTCCTTTAAATTTAAAATTGTGATTGGTACATGGAACGTGAATAGTAAAGTACCCAATTATAATAATTTATCATCCTCAATGGGAGTAATGACACAACAAGATTCTACTTCATCGGGTAGTGGTACGGATCCAACCAATATAATGACGGGTGATGCCTCTTCATTGAATCCATCGTCTTTTCGTGACATCGATATAAATTCCAATACGAACACAAATGCCAACACTACTAATACTCTCTCATCCATTGTTTCATCAATGAACAACTCCTCTCTTCTCTCGACAGGAATTACCAACAAACATCCACTCGATGAATGGCTTCATCTCTCCGAACAACCTGATATCATTGCCATTGGATTACAAGAAATTGATATGACTGCAGAAGCCATGCTGAAAAAGGAAACACAATCAAAATTGGAATGGATTCATGTGTTGGAATCTGAGCTTTCATGTTCTTCCCATACCAAAACAAAATATGTGAGGTTGAGTGATAAACAACTCGTTGGAATGTTCTGTTGTGTATTCATTGCAGAGAAATATTCATCACAAGTGAAAGATGTTCAATCGGTAGTTTTGGGTTTAGGTGCTATGGGTAAACTTGGTAATAAGGGAGCTGTTGGAATTCGTGTGAAAATTGCTGACACGAGTATGTGTTTTGTCACAACACACTTGGCACCTCATATGGGCGGAGTTCAAAAGAGAAATCAAAATTTTATGGATATATTTACTCAATTGGGTTTTTCAAAATTGGAAAATTCATTATTGGAATCGACCAGTGTTGCAGAATCAGCGTCCTCTTCAGCATTGACGAGCAGTACCATGACGAGTAGTAGTAGTAATCTCAACTTGACCTTATCGAATGCTTCTCTGAATAGTGGCTTGTCATCTGCAAATAGCAGCAATAGTTCAGGACTTCTCAGCTCTCTGACCAATTCGATTGCGAGTGGAAATAGTGGAACTTCTCTGGCTGGAGGCAGTGACAGTGCCGATGATTTCCATGTGATTAGTGCACCTTCAGAGACTATGAGTTCAGGAAAAACTGGTAGTCAAGTCATGCTACCCGATCAACATGATTACTTTTTCTGGTTTGGAGATTTAAATTACAGAATTGATAATTTGGAGCGTTCTCAAGTTGAAGAATATGTTCGTGACAAGCAATACAAGTCACTTCTCGATTACGATCAATTAACAGTTGAGAAAATGAGTGGCCGAGTGTTCATGGGATTCAAAGAGGGTCGAATTAATTTTCCACCCACTTACAAGTATGATCCTGGTACCTTAACTTTTGATACAAGTGAAAAGAGACGTGTACCTTCGTATACGGATCGTATTTTATGGAAGGGCGTGAAACGTGATCAGGTCAAACAATTGTGTTACATGACTCATTTGAATTGTTTGATTAGTGACCACTTGCCCGTGAGTAGTGTCTTTGAAACTGAAGTTCAAATGGAAGTAGATTACAAATTCCGACAATGTAAGGAAAATTTCTTGCGGGAATATGACGCTCTGTACAATAATAAGGTCATTTCTGAAAATGATCTTCCCAAAATCTCTCTCTCTGCAAGTGAAATTCGTTTCAAAGATACTCGTTTTGGAATTCCTCAAACTCAAACACTCGTTGTGAAAAATACTGGAAACGTTGTGTGTGAATTTTTCTTTGTCAAAAAAGGCATGGAAGAACGATATTGTGAAGATTGGCTCACAGCATCCAACACTCATCGACTGCTCATTCCAGGAGAATCCATTGAAATTGAATTGACATGTTGTTTCAATGCCCAGTCAGCTCCTCCTTTTAATTTAGACGATTCTTCCAATGAAACAGTTCCATTCGAAGACGTTCTCATTATTCATGTCGATAATGGAAAAGATTATCCTCTCAAAATTTATGGAAATTATTTGAAATCTTGTTTTGGAAATTCATTGAATAATCTAGTTCAATGTTTTATGAGTGTGAGAGATCCACATTGTAAAGATCAAATTCAATTCGAATATGAAGATGGAACTGTGTCAACATTGAAATCATTGTACATTCCAAAAGAACTCTTTTTCATGTGTGATCATATTGTGAAATATGGATTAAGAGAAGAAGGATTGTTCCAAGTTCAAGGTACTTCAGATCAAGTAAGAGCATGTCGTGAATTATTGGATCATGGAATGTCTCTTTCGAAACATTTTACTGGAAATATTCATTCAGTGTGCACGTGTTTGATTCAATTTTTTGAGAGTTTGATAGAACCTATTATTCCTGGAAAGTTATATCGGTAAGTGTGTGAAATAATTGAATATTGAACATTTCATTGATCTATATTCTATTAATATGTATATATATATAATATTCTAAAAATGAATATTTATAAACTATGAACAGACTTTTAATGGAAAATTATCTCAATGGCGATGTGTGTCGATATTTAATTGATTCCAATTTATCCAGCACTCATTACAATGTCTGGCATTACATTATGAATTTTTTGAGAGAAGTCTTAATGAACAGTGACGCCAATGGATTAACCATCGATTCGTTGGCACAAGGATTTGCTGATGTGCTCGTTCGATCTCCAAAATATTTAACACCTGAAGTGAAAAAGAAACATTTGAAAGGAAAGATTGTTGTGATTAAACATTTTTTCACAAAGGAATATAATCAGAGAATGGTTGCTGTTGAGGAAGATGCTCATTTGTTTAGAGTTTGAGAAATGGTGAATGGAATTTGATTATTGAAATTTTCAGATGTAATAATTTGTATTTTAATAATTGTTAACATTATTCAAGGAATGATTTGTACTTTTTGTGACGATTTATTGAACGAATAACATCCAAATGTTCAATCGTACATTATTTTTACATTGCTCATGTCATCTGTCAGTTGTATGTATTGAAGAGAATTCAAAAGGAAAACTTTAAAAAAAAATACTATTACATAACGTGCCCAGTCAACACCATGATGCTCCCCGATGACCAAAACCACATCAACCACACTGTCACAGTATTGGCAAATCAAACAACAACTACTCCGGAGAATATCTCTCCAATACCCACCTACGTTCAACAATTGAGAGACAAACATGCTTTTCAAATCGAATCTCTCATCTCAATATTTGCGTGTCTCGTATTCGTGTTAGCACATTCAGCATGGACCTTTTTGTACTTGCTGTTCGTTGGGTTCGCCTCTCCTATTCCTGGTTTTAGTAGTGGTATTCAACCTGAAATATTAAAACGTCACAAGTCATATTTGACGTATGATTTAATCGTTGCAGGTTGTGAGTTGTTTATGTTTGGTTGGTTCGTTGCAGCGTGTGTGAAAACATTCAAGACGAAACCCATTCCTAGCAAGTCTAAATTTTTCATTGTGAACATTTTCATGCATTTTGTTCATCTTGTTCTTTATTTTTTTGCTTGTGTTGATTTGGCTTTGATTATTGGAGAATTCAAAACCAATGGCTTATATAACTCTTGGGTGCAAGCGGCATGTGCATTGGGATTTTTAGGAACTTTGTGGTGGGTTATGAGCTTCGTTTTGAGTATTTTGCAATATGATTTTTGGAGTCGCAACGGTGTGGTCATGACATCTGGAATGATACATGAATTGAATCAAGCTGCCAACGTCCAACCAGCTCAACATGACGATTACATTTCGATTCATGAAGAAGAGGAACCACGAGAGACGCGAAATGAACTAACCTTTGTAGATATGAACTCCTCTACGACAAGTGACAGAAATTTGAATGACGAACATGTTGATCACTACGAAGATCGACCAAAGATGAGTGCCTAAAGGAGTAAAGGAACGGCCTTCTTTTGTTATTACGCTTCTTTCTTGCTTTCGCTCACCGCCCCAAATTTAGTAATTGACTTGAGTTAAGGAAGTCGGCAATTGCCTGATTGCTGAAGATTGATCGCAAAGATTCAGGTGAAACCTTGTAAAAAACAAATTGATTGTTGCAAAGAGAGTTTATACAAAATGTCTCATATTAGAATTAATATTTTGCTTGTTATGTATGTTTGTACTGGTTGTTATAACCCAATGTACTTGTTTTCTACTTTTTGTTACCTTCTGGATTGAAATATAAGAACACAGGCATGGTTGATCGTTCCAGGGTTTTTCCATCTCGATAATTGTGAAAATGCCACATGCCATCCTTTGAGTAATCAGTCGAATATGTTGAGTTTCTTCTGCCAGCATATTGTTGCTGCATTTTGCGTTTTTTCTTAACCTTATTCTGTGACATCGATGGACAATTACGACTGGAACAAATACTTGTGTTCGTGATTGGCACTTCACCAGTGGTGCCTTCATAGATGAAATTTAAGGTCATCGCATTATGGTTACAATTTTGAGGAGTGGCTTGAGTGGAAGATGACGTTTGATGTTGCAATAATGGTACAGAATGATGTTTTTCGTCTTCTTCCTCTTGTGTGTTAAATTCAAAGACTTCTTCCATGGCTGGAAATACTGAGCTATTGTCTTCATGACAATTCTCGTCAGAGGATAATACTTCTGACATGTCGTTGAATGAGACGTCAAAAACGTCTTCTTCTGTTGTGTGATGACTATTACAAGTCACTAATGGCAATGTTTGATTATCATTGGATGGTATATTTTGTTGTAAACATGCCTGATCGAGGTCTTTTCCTTCTTGTGCCATGAGCAAAGAGAAGAAATGATCATGTTGCTGATTGTGTTCAAGCAACGATTGATATTGCTGATCAGCCCACTCTTCCATCGTTTTCTTGCTATTCTTATTATTACTGATGGTCGTGTTCGAGGAAGGAATGGTCAACATTTGATCAATTCCTTGCATCTCTTCTTCTGTGAATCTCAATTTCAAATTCAGAGGAGGCAAAAGTGCAGCTTGCTCAAAGGTCAATGGTTGGTCAGCAATGATTCTTTCCAATTCTGGGTGTTGGGTGTGAAAAACATCCAGTGTTTGCATGGTGGATGAAGAATTCTTGTTGATCAATGAAGAGGAGGAGGAACCTATGGAGGACCATTCTTCTCTTGTTTCTTGTTGAAGTGCCATATCTGATGACATCAAGTCAGGATGGAGAGGGGTCGTTGCGCTGTTCATCATCAATGTTGAGAGCAATAAATCCTTGATAGGATCATGCTCATGGTTGTGTGAATCTTTAAGAAGAATAGTTAACATGGAAGAGGAAGAGGAACACTTGTTAGAGCTCTGCGTTTTGTTTGATATGTTGTTGCTGTTGCTGTTTTGGTTGTTACTGATATTATTCAGGAGTAATGATGATGATGAGGGTAATTTAGAGTTTCTTTCGTTTTGTTCAATTTCATCGGCAACAGCCATTGCAAGTTGAGTAATTCTTCGGTGCCAATCATCTTCTGAAGTACTCTCCTGTTTTGATTGTGGTTGGGCAATGATTCGTTGTGTAAGAGGTTGTAATATTGGTTGTGTTGTATTGCTGCTACTCGTTGTTGTTGTTGTGGTTGTTGGACGTCCATGAAAAAGGCTTACAGAGCCATGAGGATTGGACAACGAGGTTTGTTTTCCTTCTCTCTCTAAAAAGGCAAGAAGGCTTTCATCCAAAGCATAATTGTTGGCTAGAAAACCCTTTGTCGGCATCATGTTGAGAGTATTGTTTAGGGGCGTAGATTTACACGTGATGTTGAATGAAGAAGATGTTGAAGGAGGATTGGTTGGTGGTTTTGTATAAGATGAGGACGATGATAAAAGCCGTAGAGTCTTCTGCAATAATTCATCCACGGAGCCTCTTATTTCGCTGCTATTACCAACAGGGTATGGAGGATTAATATTATTATTATTCATCATTGTTCTTTTTCATGATGATCTTGAATCTCTTGTTGTAGGTCAGGTATTGCGGAATGTTGTTGGTCTCAATCTCAGCAGCACACTGTCTCTTTTTTCAATGTATGGAATGTGATGTGTGTGATGAGTAAGGACTCCGGAGTGCTTCTCTTCCAAGTGTTGATCGTCTCGGGTTTTAAGAGAAGTTGTCATGTGATGGAGCGAGTGTCATTGTGTGAATCTCTTCTCTTTATCTTTTTTTGTTGTGGCTACGAGCGAAAACAGGATTTCCGAATTCAAAAAGCCTAACAGGAATCATGACCTTGCAAAAAAGAGTCCAATGAGATACTAGGTCCAAGGATTCGAAATTTGGATCCAGCCAGACAATAAGGTAGGTAGATCAAATGGCTCATCGAATCTTTTAAAGAGGATCTGGCAGAGTCAGATTCCGATTCTCAATGAATTAAGTATGGAACAAAGGAAGATTGAAACATTTTTTTAGGGTGTTCTGTGGAAGGAACAGTTTTGGAAGAATCCTCAAAAAAAAAGTGATGCATTGCTGTTGCTTTTATTAGAGTCATCTAAGGTTTGGCATGTCGTTTGAATATTCGCATAATCAAAGAACCCTGAGGTTGGATTAGGCTTTTTTATTTCTTTTCATTAAACGGGTTGAAATTGCGAAAGATTAAGTCGTTAGAGGATTTGAGCTTGCCATTCTCATAGGTATGAAATCTCCAGCTCTCTCGATCCGTAAAAAACGAAGAGGATGCAGGGATTGCTGTGTTATTCTTACTGGGAGATGGAGTGGAGGGAAAGGCGTTGATGATACATTCATCGTTTCTAGTTGAGGAGGAGCTCAAGGAGGCCAGGTTTGTGTTCGAGCTGTTGCTACTACTGCAACTACTATTGCTGCTCGTGCGTGAGAGAAGCGTACTCTTCCTTTGTCGATTGAGCATTGAGACCTTGCTGGCTCTTAGCTTTTTCTGCTGACGATCGGGTTTGGAAATCTTGCTACTGACACCTCTCGGAAAAGCAGAACTTGATTCATGATTTGTGATTGCAATCGATGAGGAGGCGTTGCTACAGTTTTGGGGAGATGCTGTGTGTGGCGACGAGTTTTTCAGAATGGTATCATCATTAAGGGTTTGAGGTAGGTTTGAGTTAGTGATCGAGTGAGAGTTAGTAGTTGTGTTTGTTGAAGAGTCGTTGAGAGAAATTAATTGCTTCATAATGGGATTCGAGGGTTGTTGAAATGAAAGTCTGTATGAATTGGAGGGGGCATTGAAATGATGATATAATGTCGTTGCATCATGATTGTTTTTGTCATGCTTGTTTTGCAAAGGCGAGGTCAGCAATGAGCTCAGCGAACTGAAAGTCGTATCTTGATTGGATAAATGTGGTTGATGTTGAGGAGAGGTTGACCGTTGTTGTATCCATGAAGTAGATGTGGATGCTGATGTTATAACATCATTCTGGCCAATGAGCATGGATGAAATGCCGTTACTAGTACTCACAGAATTTCTCCTTGTTTGTTGCAACAAGGGTTGAAAATATTCATCTAACAGAGTCATTTCTGCATCTGTAAATTGCAATTTCAAGTTCAGTGTTGAGGTAAGTGAGAAGTCATTGCGCAGTGGGAACTGCTGATGTTGCTGAATTGCAGAATGATCTCTACTTGTGCTTCTCTCAGACGGCACGGATGATGAGGCTGCCATGGGATAGGTCGACCTAAAGCTCGACATGTTAGGTGTGCTCATGCTTATGGTTGTGGACGAAATGGCCGAGTAAGGAGATGAAGAAAAAGCTGGCGAAGGAGATGAATTAAGGGCAACATCGGTAGAGGAACTCCCAAGGGTAGTAGCAGGATTATTTCCGGTTGGGGTTGCACCGTTCCAGCTTGCAGTATTCAAGGAGGATGAGGAGAAGGGTACTGATGATGATGGTGAAGTGCTACCACTCGTGTTGTTGATCGTTGGGGGTGCATTGGCACCTCCTATCGATGATGATTTGTTGGTGAGGGACTGAATGACATTGAATGTGCTCCGAGAGAGTTTTTCAAACCATTCATCATTGTCCTGTCGTTGTTGTTGTACTGCAGTGGTGTTCAAAGAGGCCCTTGTATTTTGGTGAAGATGTTGCGAGTGTTGGATGGTGGGAATCGCGTGCAACCATGCTTGATTGCGCTCTTGTTGTGCATGTTGCAAGTGTGCATGATGATAACGATCATCAACAGTTGGTGTTGTTGTTCCGTGATGCATCCGAGGAGTGAGGCTTGAGGCAGTTGATACCTTCGTCGTCTGTGATGATGACTGCGTTTGATGACGATTCGAGTCATGTTGTAATGATGATGATAGACTTTGCGTACGAGTGTTTTCTGTTTCCAACGAATTGATAGTATTGCTTGTGGATGGCGAGAGCTGTCGAAGCAATTCGCTCCACAGTTCTTCGACATTATCGGTGTCTACTTCGGGATTCATGAAATGCACAGAAAGAGTGGGAGAACAGTAATCCTATTCAATGATTGTGAGTGTTGATTGGGAATGCACAAAAACTGGGACTGTTCAATTTCTTGAACAAGGAGTGCACAAAGAGATGGAATCAGAAGAAGGTGCAGAGGGCTTTTTATTTTGCTAGGGTAATCTGAGAATCCTCTCTCAGGAAAACCTTGCGATTTTTTTAAGTGATCCTTTTGTGAGAATCCTTGAAAATTAGCGGTCCACAAACGACACAATTTAGATTAGTACATATGTTTTAGGAATTGGGGGGATTAGCTTGATTTGAATTAATAACGAGCTCCAAGAATCCTCACTGCAGACAATGTTGTCGTTTGTGATTTCAAAGGCCTAATGGGATTACGTCTGTTCATGCACTGCCTTATTTCAGATTGTTTTTTCTAAGAATCCTTGTTTTGTGCTGCTTTTGAACAGCATTCGTGTCGACACCCTTCGAAAAGGAAGAGTTTAAAGTGGAGGCATCAATGATTCTCTTTGTTTTGATGTTGCGGAGTGATTCTTTCCTCAAAAGATGTTTCTGTTGATGAACATTGTTATTGCGATTATCAGAAAAATCAAAAAGCGAAGGCGATTGAGGTGTTGTCGACGTGAATTCTGTATTTGACTTGTTGTCCTTGCACTCTACTGTACAAGTTGGAAAGGAAACACAATGGCTTTTCAAAATACTAGGATAGGTTGCTTCAAAGTACAGGTCTAACAAACGCATCTCAATTTCAGAAAAGCTCAGTGACAGAAGAGGAGAGGAAAAGCAGTGTTGGTTTGATTTTGAAATGGGCATGCTCTCTGTTGGGGTTAGAAATTTTACATTGTAATTAGATGTCGAGCTTGAAGAGGAGGTTGCCCAGGTCTCACTTAACCTTAGCCCTTTTTGAAAAATTTTTCGGGAAGCATTGTTCATTTCGGTACTTGAACTGGTTGGTCGATCGTGATGGTTCGAATTGGAATGCAACAAGACTGTGATGAAGCACTTGAGCCATTCCAAACCATTCAGAGGCATTGAGTCGGAATGTTGTGGTGGAACGTTGTTTCCCTTTGACTATTCAGTGCAAAGAACGCTCCACCAATGTGACAAGGCTGTTTAGTTTGAAGACTTTTTGTTTGCAAAGAATATTCTCTTGTAAGAATCATTAGAGAATCATAACTATTTTCTTTTCATTCTTGTCTCTGGTGTCTGGACGATTTTGGTTACTAAGATGTTTCAAGAGGATAAATACCAAGATTCATTTTGAATCTTTTGTAGAAACACAACAAACTGTATCCAGTGTGTTCATAAATCAAACACATGTTGGAATTAACACTCCACTTTCTCTTACGCTTGCAGGATGTTTAATATTTTGAGACTCCTATCAAGGGACGAAGCAAAGAAGAATGCCAAGAAGTGCAACGGCACTTGCAACAACAGAAAAAAATGCTCTCATCAAAGAAAATGTCCTCCATCTCGTTGATGGATTGCCAGAAGGGTAAGCTTGTAAAATATGATGACGTGTCCGACACGACGATCATCGGATTGATTTTATATTTTTCTAAACGGACTTGTACGGCTTTCTACTACATTTTTTTCAATTTAATGCTCATTGTAAAGAGAGTATTTTGAGCATGTTGAATATTGAAGGAACAGATACTCTTTCCGATTTGACCAATAAGAAGAAGAAAAAGAAATCATCATCCTCTTCTCATATGGGTGATCATGTTGTTACTGGACATGAGCTCGGACATCAACTCACAGAAAGAAAAGTGCAACAGTGGAAGGTTCTTGTCATGGACAAGCACTGTTTTGAAATTATCGCTCCCTTGTTTAAAGTAGGCGATTTAAGAGCCATGGGAGTAACATTGGTATTGTAAGTAATATTTTGTGTCATGGCGTCATAATTGTGTGATGACGAATTAAATCATGTAACAAATTTGATCATCTTTAAAATGTTCAAATGATAATGATTCAATAATACTTTTTGTTTTTAATTACCAACAATACCCGAAATAGACCAATTGAAGAAAAACGACAACCCATTCCCGATGCTCCTGCTATTTATTTTGTGCAACCTACTCAATCAAATATTGATCTTATTTGTGAGGATTGTGAAAATGAGCTTTATGCATCGTGTCACATTAATTTTTGTCATAGCAACTACAAGAGAGACATTTTGGAAAAGATGGCAATGCGTCTAGTGCAGAGTGAAACAACAAACTTGTTGAAAAAAGTTTTGGATCAATTTGTTAACTTTTTATGTTTGGAGAAGGACTTTTTCTCATTGTTAGGTCTTGAAAACTGTATGATTCATTTGCATGACCCAACAAAAAAGGAGGAAGAGATTAAATCAACCATTGACCAAATTGCAAATGGTGTGGCATCGGTGGTTCTCTCCTATTCTAGTGGAAAATCCAGCGGATTTATAATGCCATTTATTGTATGCCCTTCTTCACAGGGCCAACCAGCCAGGTTAATTGCTGAAGCCGTTGAAAAGATTTTACGAAGCTTGGCTCAGTCCTCACTGCACGACGCCCAATCTGAATCAAACGTCGCAACAATTGAAAAGAAGAAAAGTAGACCATTATTGGTCATTACCGATCGAACAATTGACTTGACAGTGTGTTTACAGCATCAATGGACTTATCGTTCCATGGTTTTTGATTTATTTCAAATGAAATCGAATCAGGTGAAAGTACCTTTGAAAAAGAAATCGACAGCTGCTTCAGCCACCGAACAAACTTATGAAATTGCTCTGGATGACGAATTTTGGATTGAAAATTCGTCCAAGCCATTCCAAGAAGTTGCACAAAATGTCACTGGTAATTTGGAAAGACATAAGGCTCGATTTAACGAATTCAATAAGAAAAACGGACTTAATCTCAGTGAAGATGATGTCATGAACACTGATGCCGGAGAAAACGCTCAATTGAGCAAGGAAACCATTGACGAGATGTTTAAATTGGCAGAAGAACGAAAACAAGTGGATATGCACACAAACATTGCATATGCCATTTTGCATGAGGTCAATAAGAGAAAACTTGATGAGTTTGTTGCAATCGAAGAAGCAATTATTAGAAGACAAAACAAAATTGAAACTCCAATTTTACACTCTTTGCTTAACATCTCAAGCCAGGAAGAAGGATCTTTGGAACAAGAAAAGGGCACAATTAAGGACAAGTTAAGACTCATTCTTGTGTGCTACCTCTATATCATTCAACAGGAGCGAATGAATCAAGCCCCACAAATTATAACTCGACAAGAGCTGGAAAAGTATGCCCTTGCATTATTCCAAAGGAGAAATGCAGTCGAAAATAAGCTTGACGAAAAGACTCCAAGTAGCCTTGAAACTGCTCTCCCAGAACTATCATTCCTCAAGCAAATTACAATGCACACAAACATGGGAAGAGTGACACAACAACCGCACGTGACTCATCAATCCTCACTTGCAAACCTTACCAAAAAGTTTTCCATTCTTGGTGAAAAAATTTCAAGTATTGCTTCAGGCCTTAATGAATACTATGGCGAGGGATCAGAATACAGCTCTACTCTTCCTCTCACTCGTATTGTGGATGCAATTGTTAGCAATACGCCAAAGAAACTTTATGAGCACGAAGAATTTGTATTTATAGACCCCAAATTACCTCCCTCTCAGTCTGTGATTAAGACATTGTCCAAATCATCTGTTGAGAGTTCCAACAGAGATATCAATAACCCTTCTTCCCCAAGAGGAAGAGGTATGGATGAAACTACAGCCTTCTCTCCTAGCTCCTCGTCTCAAGAAGGTTTCTCGGAAGTCATAACATTCGTTGTTGGAGGAGGAAATTACATGGAATATCAAAATTTAATTCAACATTTCAATGCAAAGAGTATCAAAACAGGCTCTACCTTCAATGTAACTTATGGATCTACAGATATTTTAACAGGAGAGCAATTCTTGGAAGAGCTGAGACTATTGGGTGAAAAGACAAGGCGTTAAATATTTGTCAAGCAGCATTTGTCCGTATTAAAACGCTCTTTTGATGACATACCTATTTAACTGTAGAGGGCTCGTTCAAAATTGTTAACCGTGATGCAAATGAAAAACCCCGTGAATCACGAGATCAAAGAGTCGTTATCGAAATGTTAAAGATTTCAACCTCCTTTTTCCTTTTTAAATGCAACGCGCAAAATCACTCGTCTGATTTGGAAGCAAGGTCTTTCCCTTTGTCACCTCAAATCAACTGCAAACCGGTCATATTTCCTCACGCACAGATCAATGACAATCCATGATTGAATGAGAAAAAAACAAACCTCTACACAATGAAACAAGTCATTTCAGGGACATTTTCACTCTTACTAGTATTGTGCCTTGCCATTTTCATTGCACTATTCAGCGCAACACATGTTTCAACACAAGGCTCTGGTCAATACTCTGTATCGTCCATTGCTGGCTTTTACCATGTGGATGGTTTGAATAATAATTTTCACACCGAAGGTGTGAGTGCCACCTACGCTCCTCTAACCTCAGAGATTTATGATATGACCTTCGCACAGAATGGAGACATGTATGTGGTCGACCAAAATTTGAATCGTGTCTTGAAGGTCGATGCTACTAGTGGTGCTATTTCAACTGTGGCTGGAATCAATGTGGCAGCCTTCAATGGAGATGGAATGAAAGGTTCAAGAACAGCTCTTACTTATCCAAGAGGTGTTGCTGTCCTACCCAATGGAGATGTATTGATTGCTGATACAAGTGCTCATCGAGTAAGTGGATTCTTTCCGTTTGGATTTTCAAATTTTTAACATGACTTTTTATTTGAATTTCATTCATCGTGAATTGTGAAAAGGTTCGACGAGTGTTTGCATCCAATGGTACAGTAGCAACCTTTGCAGGATCTGGTGAAGGAGGATACAATGGTGACAACATGCTGGCCACTCAAATTCAACTCAAATGGCCTCAAAGTTTGGCAGTGACTTTGAACGGTGAAGTGTTAATTGCAGATTCAGGTAATCATAGAATTCTCAAAATCATGTTAAATGGAATGGCAGTCACTGTGGCTGGTGTCAATGCAACCGCTGGATACAATGGTGACCTTAGATTGGCCACTCAAGCGTTTCTGAATTCACCTTTTGGAGTTGCAGTTTCAAAATCAACAGGAGAAATATTTATTGCAGATACGAATAATCATCGAATTCGTAAAGTGTTGAGTAATGGAAATATTGTTACTGTTGCAGGAAATGGTAAGTTTGAAATTTTCACTGTTCTAGTCCTTTGATGTTTCAAATTTTCCAATTTTCAAATTTTTCACACAAAGGATTTGAAGGGTACAACGACGATAACATTCCTGCTACTCAAGCCAATATTGCCTACCCGTACGACATGGATATTTCATCGAGTGGTGAAATTTACATTGTCGACAATGGAAATAATCGTATTCGAAAAGTGTTAACAAATGGAAACATTACCACCTTTGCTGGACGTGGAATTCAAGGATTTTCAGGTGCCTTCACTGGAGATGGCGTTCCAGTCACATCCTCCACAGAAACAGACTCTCCCAAAGCCATTGCCATTTCACCATTGACAGGTGACGTTTACTTTGCTGAAAGGTATCGAATTCGAAAAGTTGTTCTCTCGACCAATTACATTTATACAGTAGCAGGCAGCGGCAATCCACAATATTACGGCGATGGACTCCAAGCACAGAGTGCAGTCATAAGTATTGCCAGCAGTTTTGTGTATCCTCATCCTACGAGTGCACATGTTGATCCCAAAACTGGCGATGTTTATATTGCTGACAGTGGAGCAGCAGTGATTCGAAAAATTCAAAAATCTACTGGAATAATTACCACCATTGCTGGATCTTCACAAGGATACTCCACCGATGAGACTACTCAGTTAGGACAGCCAGGAGACTACATTCTCGCAACAAGCGCCAAGCTCGGTACTAATCTTCCAGGAATGGCCGTTCATCCCATTTCTGGAGATTTGTATTTCATTGATCAGAGTTACATCAAAAAGATTTCAAGTTCTTCTGGAATTGTGAATCGAGTAGCAGGATGGCAGATTTTAAGTTTCTCTGGAGATTTTGGACCTGCTCTGTCTGCAACATTGAATGAACCTCAAAGTCTTGCTTTTGCTCCAAATGGAGATTTGTACATTGCTGACAAGATGAATCGAAGAATTCGAAAAATATTTACAAATGGAACTATTGTGACATTTGCTGGTAAAGATGCAGATGCATCGAATGAGTATGCTCCTTATTCTGGAGATGGAGGCCCAGCTGCAAATGCCGTGTTTTTACAACCAAGTGGTGTGGCTGTGACTGCGAATGGCGAAGTAATTATTGCAGATACATGTAAGTTTCAACTGCTTTTGATCAACCGTATATCGTTTGATGAATGAACGAACTACTTACATCAATGGATGACCTATAGTGAACAATCGAGTGAGAAAAGTATTCACCAATGGAACTGTCATTACCATTGCTGGTACTGGTCCATCCTTTTACGACGGAGGTAAGTTTGTGAAATCTTAATTCGCCAAACACTGAACGATTTTCAAAATCAACTAATGATATAGGACGATACAATGGAGATGGAATGTTAGCTACAAATGCCACACTCAACATTCCTACCGGAGTGGCTGTCACTCCCAACGGAGAAGTCATCATTGCCGATACGTACAATCATCGAATTCGAAAAATCTTACTCAATGGAACGATTATTACCATTGCTGGAGGTGGTTATCTGAAAGGTTATCATGGAAATGGAATTCCTGCTCGATCTGCCTTACTCATGTATCCAAAAGGAGTTTCAGTCGATTCCAATAATGGAGATATCTATGTCTATGGAGATTATGTCTACAAGGTGTGTCGAATTAGTGCTGCAGATGGAATGATTTACACATTGGTTGGAAATGCAAGATATGGCTATGATTATGAACGAATTAATGTGAATGGATATAAAGACGCGGGAGTTAGCTTTTTTAGTGGAGATGGGTTGAAGGCAACGATGGCTCAAATGTATGGTCCTAGAGGGTTGTTTGTGAATTCTGTGAATGAGGATGTATGGATTGCAGATTCTGGAAATAATCGAATTCGAAAAGTGACAGCAACGAGTGGAATAATGACCACTGTTGCTGGAGGAGAAGGGTATATGGGATCGTATCCAGATAATGGTTCGAAAGCAACGATGGTATTGTTGCAGAATCCAATTGGAATTTGGATGAATCGAAAGAATGGTGAATTTGTTATTGCCGATTCTGGTAATTCCAAAATAAGAAAAATTGATGGCAATGGAAATATGTTTACAATTGCTGGAAATGGAACAGCTGGTTACAATGGAGACGGAATTCTAGCAACATTGGCTCTATTCAACCAATCTTCGAGCGTGTTTGTTTCCGAAGCCACCAATGATGTCTACGTTGCAGACACTGGAAATCATAGAATTAGAAAAATTTCAGCAAGCACTGGAATTGTCACTACCATTGCTGGAACGGGTGTAGCAGGTTACAATGGTGATCAAATACTGGCCACAAGTGCCATGTTGAACTCTCCAAATTCTGTCTATGTGACAAGTAATGGAGAAGTCTATTTTGCAGATTCTTGGAATCATCGTATTCGAAAAATTTTCACAAACGGAACCATTATTACCATTGCTGGAAATGGTGTGCCAGGATTTAGTGATGGAACCAATTCACAGGCAATCTATGCTCAGTTGAACACACCTTTGGGTATTTTTGTGTTAGAACAAACTGGAGAGGTCTATATTTGTGACACTTACAATCATCGAATTCGAGTTGTGAATTCTTTTGGAACCATTTCCACCATTGCAGGTCATTACTATTACGGATACAATGGAGATGCTACATCCGCTCTCGAAACCTATTTCAATTACCCGACCAATATCCATGTCTCAAATACCACTCGAAGAATTTATGTCTCAGATTATTTGAATCATCTCGTGAGAATGTTAGAACCGTTGTGTGGTTCAGGACAAGTCTATGATCCATCCTCATCGAAATGTGTACAAGATGTGTATTGCTATGGAGTGAGTGCTTTTACTTGGAGTGTTTGTTCAGGTCACGGTTCCTGCATTTCCGAAAACAATTGTCAATGCCAAAACGGATATTTTGGTACCACTTGTCAAATTACTCAATGCAATTCCAAACTCAGTAACGACTCTTCTGTATGCAGTTCTCATGGATCCTGTGTTGCATTGAATTCATGTTCGTGCATTTCTGGATGGACAGGTCTCAACTGTGAACAATGTGTTGGAAACAATTGTGGAGGAGGAAATAACAACGAAAGTCAAATTTTCACATGCAATGGAACACTCTCCAATTCCACCTCTGTATGCAATGGAAATGGAAATTGCACCAATTCTGAAACGTGTCAATGCATGAATGGATTTTCTGGCAAGTATTGTGAAAGATCTCTCAATTCGGATCCAACCATTGCGGAATGTTTGGTCAATGGATTGAGTTGTGGTGCATTGGCTGGAATTGTGGTTGGTTCTGTCGTTGGAGGGTTGCTTGTGGTGGGAATTGTGAGTGCGGTGATTGGTATACTTGTGTATGTTGTGAAAAAGAAAGGACAGGTCGACCTGAATGGATCGATTGCCAATTCGAATAATGTCGAATTGAGAAATGTTTGAAAATTTTGTGAAATTATTAAAACCATTCAATTTGAATATTTTCTGTGTTGCATGGTGATACAAGAATAACAGCTTCCTCACTCAATTAGGGTGAAAGGGACAAGTGCTGGACATTCAAAGTTGAAATCTGAGCTCAAATTGCCGTTACTCAAAAAAAATGTCAGAAGTCATCTCTGTGAAATGCTTTGATTCTTCCTTTAGCGACTCTTTCAACAACATTTCTTCATTTCCCGATATTGTCTTCACTCTAGAAGGATCTCAAAACAAATCATCTTCCTCCTCTCCGCACATCATCTATGCTCATCGAGTCATTCTCTACAAACATCGATTTTTCAAAAATCTTTTCGATGTCCACGAATCCATTTCCCAACAACATCATCACTCACCTTCGAATAGGTTCGATCATGAAAAATCCAATCGAAATGTCCTATCCGATCCATTACAAGTTCCCATTCAAGAGCCTTTTAAAATATTTTCAACACTGATTGAATATTTTTACAGTGGAATTGTAAAGTGTGAATTGAACGATTTGAGTGAATTGATCATGATGGCCTATCGATTTAAAATTATTAATTTAATTAGTTTGTTAAAAAAGCAATTAATGGGAGATGTGACACATTCGATTCTTGATTCTTCTTCGACGTTTGATAAAAATTTAATTCTTCAATTACCAGAAGGAACTAAAATGACACTCGAAAATGCTCTTTCATTATTTAATGAAATTACTGGATCGTACTCGTCTCTCGAACATTCCATATTTAAATCAGAAATGCATCTCGCAAAAAGAGTTATTTTAAAAAGTGTTTGTTTTGGATTATTATTTCAGAATCAACAATTAGAACGATTATTGAAATTTTCAGTCCAATCCTTGCAAAGTTTATTGGAATTATTGATTCAACATTTGCAAGTGGTAAAGGAAATTCAAAACATGTTGCTGACCATGCAAATGACCAATTCCATCTTCACCACTAGGGAATTAATCAAATTTGTATTGAAATGGTTATGTCACATGAAACAAGAGAGACTCTTTTCCATTTCACAATTATATCCTGCATTGAGAACTTTTGAAGAAGAGATGGGTGCAGAATATTCTCCTAAAATTGGAGGTGGAACCGAAGTTCAAGAATTCATCAAATCCATTGAAATGATGCAACTGAGTGCGAACAAAAAAGGAACGTTCAACACACTCCATTCGAGTGGCAATTCTTCTTTGACATCAGATCATGACAGTAGTAGTAATGAAACGAATCATGGCAGCACGGAAGGTTCTGATCTTCAACAACAATTATTGCTTCGAAAACGAGGTGTTTCCACTCTCTCGAAAATTGGTTCCTTCTCATTTCATCAGGCACAACACCAACACCATCAACCTCCTCATGAACCTCCTGCTGATAGGGCCACAGCAACACCACCCTCGAAGGAAGAATTGACAAGAGACACTTTTGGTGATTCAGGTCGAGACAAGACACTCAAGAGAACCACAACATTTACTTCACCCAGACAACTTCAACTCAACTAGTCGATCAACTAAGAAGATTTTAGAGTTATTGTGATTTTCCAAAAAGTGCGAAAAAAAATCGAGTAAAATCGAAAACGACTTGCTCAAATTCGGTCAACCCTCATTTTTTGGACGTTTCTTCCCGAAAACGATTTTGCTTGATGTTGACGAGATTCGATGTTGATGCTATTCGTGCAAAATCGAAAAAATCGATTATGATCGACCTGAATCGATTTCCTCAACACGATTCATTTCTCAACGTCGATGATTTTCGTCCAAAATCGAAAAAATCAATTATGATCGACCTGAATCGATTTTCTTGATCGTCAGAGTTGAAAAAATCGATCATGAAGAACCTTTAATCAAATAAACTCTGATAATTTGCTTCTATTTGATTTTTCTCCTCTTCCTCTTTTTGTCTAATCTTCTCTTTCTTTACCTCAATCAATTTTGCAACTTCATTCACCAATTTGGTCAAAGGTTTTACATACTGTTCCTCTTGTTTTGCAATATCTTCTTCTTGTTTTTTAAATCTCTCAAGTAACTCCTCCTTTTCTTTCTGAATTTTCAATAATTGATCTGCAATAACTTTTGAATTATTTTCTTCCATGTCTTTCATAGTTTTTAAAAACTTTGTCGAATTTTGCATATCCTTATCATTAGTATCACAGTCTTGTTTAGCGTTAATAAAAATTTGCTTCTTTAACTGATCCAATTTGAAAATCTGGAATTCTAAAACAGGTGATTTGAACGTAGTAACTTGTGGTGTTGACTCAGGTTTTGGATCAAGATCAAACATATCATGCAAATCCATGCCACATATATCAAGCTCAGGAGCCATTGAAGGTGTTTCCTTGGTCTTTGACTCGTCCAATTCTTTCTTAATGACCAATGATTTTTCTTGAATAGAAGCAAGAGCTTTTTTGAATACAGGAGAGACGCTTTTGTCTGTATCACCTTTTCTTGTACGCTTTTTCGCATTGTCTCTCAATTTATCTTGCGCTTGTTTATACATAACTTCCTGCAAATCGTTGCCATTATCATCAATCCAATCCAAATCATCTTTCTCATCATCCCGATCTGAATGTTCTGATTCGCTGTCACTACTGTCACCTTGAATTTGTGAAGCCAATGATTGTTTTTTGTTGGAGTGAGCAGAAATCTCTTTTTCAATCTCGTTAACAATCCATTTCTTGTTTTCTTGAATGAAAGTATCAAAAAAATCTTTCACACGTTTGTCATCTTTTGGGGCGTTGCATGTTGCTGGTAAACCATCTTTGTATTTTCTTGAACCTTTAGCAGTAGGAAATGTGAAATTTGTATTTTTTTTTGTTTCTAATTGGAGCTTCTTGAAAACTTTGCTTGCTGCTTTTGAATTTGTCATTCCATGAGAATAGAGCTCATTTGAACAAATAGGTAATGTGGTTGCGAGTATTTCGCAAAAACGATCAAACGTGTTCCACTTTGTTTTGTCTTTGCCCATTTTTTTTCAGTGAGAAAACCGTTGTTATTGTTTTTTGACGTTGACACAATCGCACAAAAAACAAGACGCCGTTGAGTTTTTTTATTCCGAAACAAATCAATGTCGTTCAATTCAACATTTTCGATATGAGAACATTAAACAATTCAACATAATCGAGCAGAATTGATTTTCTCAACAATTTCTTATCAATTTTTGCTCGAAAAAATCGATTTCCACATGGTAAAAGCAACTCAACATCGATTCACAAACGATGAAAGACGAGTTTTCAAACAAAAGACAGGTGTTCAAATATCTCAAAAACTAAGACCATATATCCAAGGTCAAAAATTAGCCCCAGAACAAATTGAGTTCATTAAATTGGTGTGTGGAAAGTATGGAGATAAACCAAAGGTCTTGCAACAAATTTTACCTTTCGCACCTTCGACGATTTACAAATATTGCAATGAAATACAAAAAGAAAAAGCTCTCGGAAGGCCTCCACATTCAGGTAAATCAACCCACCTCTCTGTGTTAAGATTTATTGATATCATATTCAGTGAATATAATACTGTTAATTATGCAGAAGTACGTCAAATAGTTAAAGATTATCTTGATGTTTCAATTTCCGTATCTCAGCTCTCCAAAATAACGACAAAATATTTGTTCAGGACATATAAGAAATGTGAAAAAGTATCAGTATATCGAAAAAGCCCAAGAGTACAATCTCAAAGAACTGTGTACAGGCGAACTATTCGAACCTACAAAACAAGAATCATGTTTTTTATTGACGAATCGCATTTCTGTTATGACCATTTGATTAGAACAAGGGCTCACATCAAAATTGGCAACACTTGTCAAAACAGTGCGCACAGAGTGAGTGGAAAACGTTTTTCATTATTGGCATGCATTAACGAGAGAGGAGGTTTGGTTTACTGGGAACTTGTCGATACAACTAACAAAGCAATTGATGCTGATCGATTTAATATATTTCTGACAACATTGAGCAAATTGATCCCAAAAGATTGTATTTTAGTCCTTGACAACGCATCCATTCATAAGGAAAAAGAAGTTCATAGTATAATGAATGGCCAAGGTATTAGTGTGTTTTGGCAAAGCCCATACTCTCCTGACTTCAATCCCATTGAATTGCTTTTCGGATGGATGAAAACACAGTTGAAAAACTATGAACATTCGGTTGACTCTCTCGAAGAGATAATGGAGCAGGTGTTTGATCAAGTTACACCCAAGTTAATCAAGTCGTTTGTTCATCATTGCAAAGAAATCTGGCATGATGAGACAAAAACTTAATAAATTTCGAGTTTGATTGAAATCGATTTTGAAGGATTTCGATGTTAATCAACATCAAGTCAAAACGACAACGCATCAATGTCGCTCATTTCGATCTCGAAAAAAATCGCGAAAAAATCGTCGATTTTTTATTCGCACTTTTTCGAAAATCACAATAGTGGGTGAATTTCCAAAAAGTGCGAAAAAAAATCGAGTAAAATCGAAAACGACTTGCTCAAATTCGGTCAACCCTCATTTTTTGGACGTTTCTTCCCGAAAACGATTTTGCTTGATGTTGACGAGATATTGTGATTTTCGAAAAAGTGCGAATAAAAAATCGACGATTTTTTAGCGATTTTTTTCGAGATCGAAATGAGCGACGTTGATGCGTTGTCGTTTTGACTTGATGTTGATTAACATCGAAATCCTTCAGTTGAAAAAATCGATCATGAAGAACCTTTAATCAAATAAACTCTGATAATTTGCTTCTATTTGATTTTTCTCCTCTTCCTCTTTTTGTCTAATCTTCTCTTTCTTTACCTCAATCAATCTTGCAACTTCATTCACTAATTTGGTCAAAGGTTTTACATACTGTTCCTCTTGTTTAGCAATATCTTCTTCTATGACTCAGGTCTTGGATCAAGATCAAACATATCATGCAAATCCATGCCACATATATCAAGTTCAGGAGCCATTGAAGGTGTTTCCTTGGTCTTTGACTCGTCCAATTCTTTCTTAATGACCAATGATTTTTCTTGAATAGAAGCAAGAGCTTTTTTGAATACAGGAGAGACGCTTTTGTCTGTATCACCTTTTCTTGTACGCTTTTTCGCATTGTCATTCCGAAACAAATCAATGTCGTTCAATTCAACATTTTCGATATGAGAACATTAAACAATTCAACATAATCGAGCAGAATTGATTTTCTCAACAATTTCTTATCAATTTTTGCTCGAAAAAATCGATTTCCACATGGTAAAAGCAACTCAACATCGATTCACAAACGATGAAAGACGAGTTTTTAAACAAAAGACAGGTGTCCAAATATCTCAAAAACTAAGACCATATATCCAAGGTCAAAAATTAGCCCCAGAACAAATTGAGTTCATTAAATTGGTGTGTGGAAAGTATGGAGATAAACCAAAGGTCTTGCAACAAATTTTACCTTTCGCACCTTCGACGATTTACAAATATTGCAATGAAATACAAAAAGAAAAAGCTCTCGGAAGGCCTCCACAAAAGCAATTCAATGGGATTGAAGTCAGGAGAGTATGGGCTTTGCCAAAACACACTAATACCTTGGCCATTCATTATACTATGAACTTCTTTTTCCTTATGAATGGAGCAGGTGTTTGATCAAGTTACACCCAAGTTAATCAAATCGTTTGTTCATCATTGCAAAGAAATCTGGCATGATGAGACAAAAACTTAATAAATTTCGAGTTTGATCGAAATCGATTTTGAAGGATTTCGATGTTAATCAACATCAAGTCAAAACGACAACGCATCAACGTCGCTCATTTCGATCTCGAAAAAAATCGCTAAAAAATCGTCGATTTTTTATTCGCACTTTTTCGAAAATCACAATAGTTCACACAATCATCACCATTGATTCCATGTTCTCACTTTAGAACAAATGTTTATAAATTAAGGTTTTAACTCAAAGATATTGACTTTCTTTTCAGAAACAATCCTGAGAGTGTACGATCCACATTCAGCATCTGCACAATTAGTGGTGAAATATTCGTGCGGAATGGCAACATAGGTTCCAGCGGGTAGGACCTTATCGATCACCACTTCTCGATCTTCCATGTATTCATTTTGAACGAGAATGGACTTTTTCTGAATCTTGTTAATTCTTGAACTATTTCTTCCAGCAAATGGTTTGTCATACTGTAATAAATGAATGGCAATGCATGAATCTGTATTCTTCTTATCATAGTCATATCTTGTATCAAATTGAGCTAACGATATGATAATACGATTATTATCTGTTGGATTTTCTATCAAGAATTGTGTCTCCTCGAGCAAATCAGCAGTCCAATCATTATCTGATCGAATATTAGCGTCAAAAAATCCTCTCGTAATGTATTGACTCCAATTAGAAGGATTGAAAACTTCAACACCTTCAATTAAATTCCATTGTACGGCGAAATACTCAAGTGACATGAAAAAGATTCCATCTTGAGTATTAAATTGATTTCCAACAAATTTTCTGAGCTCTGGAGTCCACAATGAACTGCTATCAGACCAATCGCCACGCCATTCTGTAGAGTTTGCCCATGGATTTTTCATTTTGATTAAACGCACTCTTTTTCCATTGGTGAGATGAGATGGCAATTCAATAGCTTCAATAATTGCATAAGCATGAAAATTAATAATACCAGTAAAGTCGGAGGCAGATGTTTCCGATCGAGCTCCCATTAATTTGATAGATTTGCAACGTGTGAGGTCAGTATTTTGTTTAGGAAGAGAACACACTAAATTCCAAATCTCTTCGATATTTTGTGAACTCACTTTACAAGTGAAAGGAATACCACCAGTGAGGTCCACAAGCGAATCTTTCAAATGACCACCCATTAATGCATAATAATTTCCATAGAGAGAAGCATAGGCCTTTTCTAACAGGGGAACCCATAATTCATTGGAATCTCTGGAACATGAAAATAGATAACTTCTCGAAAGGGCATCACAAGGTATTAAATCATCAATAACAACTTGTTTAGATTCTCCTTCTTTGAAAAAGCAGAATGTGTACTTTCCAATGGATGGATCACATTTTGACTCTAAAATAATTTTCTTCATGAGATGAGGATAATTGGCAACAATGGAAAAACCACTCATGATCCAACAATTTCCAAGAGCTCCTTGCATGACATCTCCAAAATCATGACCGTCAACAAAAAGAGAAGGTTTTGTCACACCTGCAATTTCATGAGGCCGAAGCCATACAATTCCCGTTTCCAAATTCTTAATGTGTGCTGGTAATTGAAATTCGGCCAAATTTCCTGTTCCAAGTAAAGATTTTGTTCCTGGTGGAAAATTAGGATCGAAAAATAATTTCTTTCCGTTGGAAGATTGTTCGTGTTCCTCGCTTGGATCCTTTTCTTCCCGTGACTTGGAGTCTTTTCTCTTGAAGAGATTTTTCAAGGACTTGTCAGATGTACCTTTCTTTTTCTTTTGGGCTTCCATGTCTTCGTCGAATGCATGCTCTTCACGCATGACATGGGACCTACTAGAAATTTCACTCTCTGTATGATTTCTAAGATGTTCCATATAATTAAGTGCAATAGCATTGTCTGGATCTAGCTCCAGTATCGTTTGCAATACCTTCTTGGCATCTTCGAACTTTCTCAACTCTACGCTAATCATAACACTGTGTGGCACAAACAAATACATAATAATTAGGTCATTGAATATAATAATTTAACAACAAGGAAAAATCGGTAACTTACATTTCTAAATGAGCTTCAATGTCATTAGGATTAATTTCAACTACCTTTCTCAAATCTTGCATTGATAGGTCAAACTTCTTTTTCTTTAAATAATAAATTAAAGCTCTGTTAAAGTATGCATCTGTGAATTCGGAGTTAAAGGATATGGCCTTTGTAAAATCTGAAATTGATTGATCAGCTTTGTCTGGTAGTTTGTTATTTAACACTCCTCGCTCAAAATAAATATTGGCCTTTTGAGTCTTTGAAATCCATTTTCCTTCAATTTCTGTTTCCATCAATTGAATGGATTTGTCGTACAAGTTCACTAACTCTTCCGAGTTCTTATTCTGATTCGTTTTTTGGAGACATCTTGCCAAATCCAAGTATAATTTAAAGAATGATGGTTTTTGGGATATACAATCTTTCAGATGTGGTATAGCTTTAAGATAGCTTTCCTCAATTTCTTGTTTGGGACGAAAATGGTCCATACTATTTGCAACCAGTATTAAAAGTTGAGAGGCATTAAATCGATAGGGATAGGTGTTGCTTGGATTCAGCTTGATCACCAGGTCATAGTCGTCACATGCCATTTTCTTGTACTTGACAATTTTGGATGTAAGTTTTTCATCTTTGCTGCTTTTGCATTCGAAAATGTGGTCTGCAATGTATTTTTGCAAAATTCTAGCTCTTTGATTAAGAGTTTGAACGTAATTCTCCAAGTTCTGTTTCTTTTCACTGCTATTTTCTGTAAATGAATTGAAACATGAAATGGCTATGGTAAAATCTTCGATGGCTTCATTATAATGTCTCTCCGATGCATGTGCAATACCTCTATTGTGGTAGGCAATGAGTAATTGTGATTGCTTTTTGGCTTGAGTCAATGACGATGATGAACTTTCTTTTTCGGTCATACTGATCAATGTTGTGAAATCTGATATGGCCAATTCATACGAAGCAATGTCATTGTAACACAATCCTCTATTCAGAAAATATTGTGGCAATTGTTCCAAAGTTGCTGTGCAATTGTTCACATTTGCAACAATATCCAAGTGTTGTTTTAAATCTTTGGCCATTGAAATTGCTTCGCTGAAACATGTAATTGCCGTCTCCAACGTGGGTGATGAGGACAGCTCATCATCTCCTCCGTTCGATAATCGCAAAGGTGACCGTTCTTTCATTTGTTGCAGACATCTTGCTTCAAGAAAATGCGCCTTCATACTTGACAAGAACAAATTCAGTGCCTCCCAATCCTTGTAAAGCAAGTACTCGTATTCATTCTCTGCAAAATATAACTTTTTGTAGAGTTTAAAATGTTGGCAAACGTTGTTAAAGTCATGAATTGCTTTTTGAAATTTGAGCTCCCGATCCGATTCCGAAAGAGAAGATGAAAGTGTAGAATTATAAAAGCACAATCCTCTTGTAATGAGTACTTTTGCAACTAATTCCAAAGAAGACTTATCCACCAAAGCTGCTATCTGTTTCCAATTGGATGATGACAATTGAATGAATGAAGAATTGTGGCCATCCAAGTCTTCCAACAATATTCGTTCCGTTTGAAATTGATTCAAACATTGACTCAAAAGATCAATGGCTCTATCATATTGCTTTTTCTGAAATAATTCGGTTCCAGATTGAAATTGTGTTCGTTGGAGAGGAATGGATGAATTATTCTCCAAGACCCGAATGTAATATTCATCATCGTTGTTAATGATGAAAGAAGAGGAGGCCATGATGATGATGAGTTTTTTGATGATGACTATGATACAAGGATGATGATGAAAAGGAATGAAAAGGAAACTGCTGATCTCTCTTGAAAATCACAGAAGAATTGTTGCTTCCACAGTGTGATCTCTGATTGCTTTTTTTGATGGATGATACAAACTTGAAAAGTTCATGATCACAGAGCTGAAAGTGAATCTTCTTTCTTGAAGAGGGTGATCATCATCCTTACTTGCGTCCGCTCAAAACAATCACTCTCTCTACATGTTCTGAACTTCCTTATTACAACAAGGTGAAGGTTTCCGTTTGATTTCCAAGTCAAAGTGTGTTTTGTAGGGGCTTTGAAAAATAACAACGACTACAACAAAACAAAAAGGAACATCTCTCCCCATCACTCCCGAACTGAAGACTCCCTCAATTTGGAACCTCAAAGAGAAGCAAAGCCTTTTCTCCTCTACGCACAACAAGTACAGGCTTGATCGTGTGAAAGCGCGCTTTTGAGGGGATGATGTTCCATGAATTGAGAAAAAGAACAAGTAATCAAAAACAAACATACACCACACAAACATACAATCATCATCAGGGTAATGCATACATTTTCTTGAATCATGCCGATTATAACTTTTCAGCAGAAAAGAACCAAGAACGCCTCCTTGACCAACGGAATTAGTCAAGAAACGCGTTTCTTGTATTCATGTACAATAGTTGTAGCACTACTATTATTATCATGGTTGGGAATGATGAATAGGAAAGACTTGTGGGCGATTAGTGCGGCCGGAATACCACCCACATGCGAAAATATTGAGGTTTTCTTTGCAGAGGATTTTTCAAGACTGGTTTGCAGCGGTTGGGCTTTTCAATTCAGTGATAATGAGCTTAGTGGTTCGTTCAGCTATCAACAAGCCTCAACGAGAAAAGTGCTTCTTTCTCCAGACCTTGTTGGTATTTCAATGAATTATAGATTCATATCATGTGGGAAATACAATGTTTCGAACTACGTAGTGCGAGTGAACAACCAATATGTGATGAATCTCACTGGTTTGAAGCCTCAAACATATTGCAAACAGCAAGATGGATGCAATTTGGGAGTAATGAAGGCAACAGGCAGTGACATTTCATCATCATCCTACATGCTACTCAAAAACTATAACAATATCATGGCTATACAGAGGCCTACCTCTGAGAAGCTTGCTATTGAATCCATGTCTCTCTATTTTTGTTACGTTAGCAGCAGTGTGTCGGTAATTGATCTCAAGCTTTTGCCAGTTGCGAAAGCGAATATAACAGCCGGGTTAAACACAACTGTTGCCAATTTGACAACTCTAACCATCACTAATTCTGGTACTGACAAAGCTTCTGATGTTATTCTTGAAATTCGTTTGTCACAGCCATTGCTAAGTTTATTCAACCTGACCTTCACGAATTTCAGAAAACTTGTAGAAAGCAAGAATTTAACGTACTTGTACTCCATTACAACCACGTTGCAAGCTAAAAGTGCTTCATCTGCTCAGTATTTAATTAAGAATTTGAACATTGCCCAGAATGAGACAGTCTCTTTTGACATATCCAGCTCCCTTAATGTTTCTCTCTTGAACGCCAGCATGACCTCAATCATGAATATTACGATTTCTGGCAATGGCAATTATTTCGAAAAGGAGACAACTAATAACATCCAGCAAACAACGCTGTTCATTAACACGACCTCTATACTACCTTCAGCGAAAAACAACAGCTCCAATTCTCCGCCAACACAACCCACTCCTCAAAATTCAACATCTTTTACATATTCAAACTTTTCAGCCACTCAAGCGTTTGCTCTCAAAAGCGGGGATACAATATCATTGATATTTACTCCCAGCTCCAACTCATCATGTTTCATACACGCGATCTTTCAGTTTCAGCAAGCCTTTAACGGAAGTGTTGGAATTACCTCGTCCATTCGTACTCAATCCCTCATTAACATTTCCACTAGTGGTAAGTAATCCTATGAATACGAAAAAATCAAGAACCTTTCACATTATTCAGACTTTCTTGAAAACTCTCTTAGATTAATCATTCCTTCAAACTACTTGAACTGTTTGAACAAATCAGCCAAGACCAATGTTACCATTCAATTTTTTTCAACCTCGGTGATTAAGGCGCCAATGAATGCCACTCTGTTTAAAAAAGGTACGTTTGTCACTAACATTGAAAAGATTTGCAAGTAACATGAAAATTAGAAATTTCAGTTTTGAACAACCTTTCGTCATCATTTATGGTCAACAGTTCAAGTTTGGGAGATTTATCTGCTTTTGTGATACCAACTCTTGGTCGAGAGTATACTCCTCAAGACATTCAAATCAACACACAAGTTAACTACTATTCCACACTTATTTCGCCGTACTCATTGTTTCTTGTTTACAATAGTTCAGCTCCATTGATCCTAAAGGAGAACAGGGCTCTTCGGCAAACTGCACAATCACCCTTCCAGTTTCTTGTGTCTTCCGTCTTTATTGAGTCGGGAAGCACTCTGATAGTGGTTGCAAATCAAAAAAAGGTAGAACGGGCAAGTTTGGCAATTAAAGTGCCTCAAAAGTATTCCAATCCCCCTGCCATAACCTCCTCTTTTACAGGTGTGGTTTCCCAAACATTCCCTCAATCTCCTTCAGGAATATATCCTGTTGCTGTATCATTCAACCTCCCACAAACAACCACGAAAACCATGACCATAAGCTTTACAGTGCAGAAACTTGTTGCAGTTCAAAGCAAGAGCGGAATAAGTAAGGCACCTCCAATGATTTCCATATTGGGAATTCAAGATTCTGGAGTCAACAAGAGATCAGTTCTTGTTTCATCATTTTCAGCTCAATATGCTTGTCTACCAAACGCTAATGCGGATTCGCTCTATATTAACAGTTACGTTCCTCTCTCAGGACTGAGTGGTGATTGGATGTTTAAGCTTGTCCTTGATCCATCTTACACCTCGGTAGACTCTAGTGTCTCGCTAACTGTACAAACAAGGTCCGAAACTTTCACTCCTTCCACGAACCAAGTAGAAAAAGTTCAGATGGGATACTTGACAGCACTTGTTTCAGATTTTGAGTTCAGGATGGTTTTACCTGTATACCAAAATAAGATGACGTACACCTTAACGTTTAAGAGCAACGAGCTCTATTTAACCAACGGGGACTATGAAATTTATTTTAGTGTTGGGTTTAAACCTACACAACAAAGCTATCATTTGAAAACACCAAAAATGAAGGTTGGAGGTGCAACCCAAACATACAGTTTCTTTTTGAAGTATGACAACGAAAAAGTGATTGTTTCCACCGTTGATTCATCGATCATTTACACAACTGCTACCTATACCAACCTTGATGACAAGAGCTTGAACATTCTGATTCATCCAATTTCTTCAAACTCATATGCCAGTGTTGATTGTACGACACAAAGCTCTACTGCATTTGCTTTCTTCACCATGGTGGCCAACGAACAAGAGACAGAAACATCTGACAAGATCTTGTCACCGGATTCTACTCTTACCATTTACCCAAAAACAACCATTAACGTCAATACTTCGACAGTGTACACAAGAAGCAATTATGGGAAAACATGCTTAATTGAGTTTGTCACCACTGATATTAATGCCTTCTCCGAAACTCAAATACCAGTGATGAAAGAGCGAAATTTACTAACTGAAACAGAGACTAAATATCAGATGAAGAGATTAGAGATGATAAGCTTAGGTCAATCGACCAAAACTCTTCTCAAGTTTTATTTCGAAACGATCATCTCACCATCGAAACCTTTAGTTTCTTACACGATAGAAATCCCTGACGGCTCTTTTACTGAGCTTACCATTCAAGGGTCAGTGGAAGCCTACAAGTCACTACCAAACTATTTAATGGACGAATTCTATATAGGAACATATATTAGTTCTGGTTGCAATCTTGCGTTTGTGCTATTGTACATTTTAATTGCCTTGCTTATTTTCGCCGTTCAAACTTTTAGAGGTATCTTGATTGACTTGGAAGACAATGCTCGTTGGGCTGGATGCATTCCTGCCAAATTCATTGCTTGGCCCATTTTGTGCACCCTTGGTTGCTGTTCTCCTTTCTTTTGTTGTTGCCACAGCCGGATCAACAAGAGAAAGTCTGCCCTATGTTGTGCTTCATTGGTTTGGTTTTTACTTGGAGTTACGATTTTATTTGGATTTGGTATTGTTTTTGGAATTTTAATCTATGATGTGAGTGAATTAACTTTGGTATCAACCGGAACAAAAACATCTCCCAATTTCATAATTACCTCTACGGTTAGTGCATGTTGTGAAGTGCAAAGCACGCCGTACTTCAAAACGCAAAACTTTCCTTTTATTCAAGTTGGAGGAAGTTTGAAATGTATCAACTCGGCCACTGTGGATTACGTGTATCGTTTCACTGAAAATGACCTGAGTCCAACGACACCTGTATCGTATTCACAAATCAGTGGAGGACAAGCAGCGGTTGCAAGTGCTAGAATGTATTGTAAGGGGTCTAAGGTAGCCTTTGTTCCAAAGTATTTGGACCTGTCGAGAATATTTGGTATTGTTGCACCAATTGGATTCATTTTCTTGTTGCTGGCCTTAATACACGTATGCTATTTGGTGCTTGGATCATGCTTGACTCCAACGTCTAAAGAGAGCACTCTAGCAAAGTCCAACACGGCAGTGAACAATCATATCAATGATGTCATCTTTAACCCATTCCTTGTTCCGAACACCAGTGCAGTATTTGATGGAACCATTAAGGACATTGAGCTTCAAGACGCCAAAATTATGAAGCCATCAGCTGTTTCTCAACCACGAGAAATTTTGCCTCCTCCATACGCACAAGCTATGCAAAACGATATGTTTGCATTTGATAGAGCAATAAGTGTGTACAATTTAGATGACGCCCAACAACCAGCTCAATTTGTTGCCTATACACAAAACGTACCTGGCAATATGACTTGCTAAACATTGATGCCTGTCAACAAAAAGATGTTGAAAGCTATTGATAAACTATTTAATCATCCAATTTACAAAATCGTCACCTCTAAATCTGTGAGCCAACGATGAAATAACCATTTTCTTTTCATTACTTTCTGTACTCTCCAGATCATATAAAATACACAGATTATGTACAAGGGTCTCTTCCAAGGTTCTCGACGGATCTTGTCGAATGAATTCTTCAAGAGTTTCAATAGCTTTGGTAAGCTCGCACATGTACAATTCACAAATGGCCTTATTATTAGCTGCATTAACACAGAAAGGATCTAATTCTTTCAAAATAAAATCAAAATCTTTACAAGCATCAGCATAATAGCCCAATGCAAATTTCATGTAGCCATTATTGGACCGAACAATGACTGATCGTTCTGGATTGATAGCTCTTTTCTCAACATTTAAAAAGTGCTCTTTCGCTGGCTTCAAAATTCCCTGTTGCAAATAAAGACATCCAACTAAAGACTCCAATCTTTGATAGGATTCAAAATCTGTTTTTTCCATTGGAGCATAATATTTTAACATCTTTTCTGACAGTTGAAGAGCCAGATAATACTCTTTTCTAGCAATGTGACATGTCACAATAAAGAAAACGACTCGTTGTTCTCTAATTCTCCATTCTTCTTGTGATCCTTCAAATGGTGTATATGAAATGGTTATTTTAGAATGCATTTTAGCTCTCTTACTATACAAAATTCCACCAGTGTGCTTTCCGTTCTCGTCTTTGATTTGATCAGAACAAACTTTTAGAAGAGCATACAATCGATCCATAGCAATAGCTGACCCATCCGTCACAGATGGTAGAGGAGGTAAATTCGGATTCGATTGTTGTTGTTGAATCACTTGTTGTTGCTGTTGTTGTTGACTTGTAGGATTACGTAAATATTGAATCAATGGAATGATGGCCTTGATAATGAGAATACTGAAAGGCATCATATTTCCAGATCTACTGTTGGCACCACTTGTATTATAAATATTTGGATACTTTTCATAAAAGTAACTCGAGTTATTTTCTAAATCTCCCATCATATCCACACATTGTTGAGCATAATCACCAATATTTAATCGAAGTAAGCTCACTAATTGGCACAATCTCCATTGTAACAACTCATGTGGTCTTCCAGGCAATTGCAATTGTTTCTCACACAATTTGAGCATTTCTTTCCATGATTCACTTTGTCCCAATTCCACACATCCATCCAACGATGGTGCTTTAATATCTTGCATTCTCTTCACTAAACGCGGAGGAAATTCTCGATTCTTTAAAAAGTTTTTGACTGCTTCTTGTTGAGATAATGATATGGCTCCAACTCCATACATGGTACTTGAACGTACATTGGTGGGTGTTGTTGTTGTAGCTGTTGTTGGATGATCCGAAACACTACTTGGTAGGAATGTAGGACTACTATGACTACTCAAAAGTGGAGAAGATAAATTAGAGGAAGAATGAGAAGAATGAAGAGCACTGGATCCGCCCACCGAGGGTGATGATGTAAAGGCTTGCAATGGTTGTTGTCCGAGGCCCGAAGCTTGTGAGATGCTTCTATGCATGGAACTATTATAAGGAATTCCCGTAGTGGATGATGTTGTGTTGGGAGAGGATGGATTTTCAAGAGGATGAGAAATAGTGGGATTACTGTTGGTCATGTAATTATTCATGATGATGATCTAATATTTTTTTTACAAAATTAATAATTGATTTTTTTGTAACATTAAAATATCAACAAGTGAATCATTAATGAAATTAATGAGCCATACTGTTGTTTACAAATGAAATTTCAGTAGTATCGAGAGTTCACAAAAACTGTCAGAACATCATTATAATCGATCATGACACTAAAAAAAAATGTTCTTCTTCTCAACACAATCGAGAGCTGGGAAATTCCAACCGTGCCGTTCCATCACTCTTCGACATGGTCATCCTCTCTTCCTCCTCTGTATCTCTTCCATCTTGTTTGTTCAATTTTTCATGTTCACATCATTTTCACTCGCCATCGATGACACTTTTCAACACATTTTCCTTTCTGACGACACTCCACAAGTCCGAGAGGTGACTGGTGTTCACAAAAAACCACAACCAAATTCCATACGCACTCATCCTTCTCCTCTCACAAGTGTTATTTATTCTCTTTCATCCAATTATTCAGTGATGGATGATTTAGATTTTACATTTCATCTTCCAATTTGTCCTACAACACTTTATATCAATCCAAATACTGGAAAATTTGATTTACTCGTTCAAGCTCCTTCCACCTTTTCCATGTATATTGTCATTGCAGTCATGTCATTGTTGTTTGCAAGTATTGTCTTTTCATCCTATAATTCTGTATTTTTACCACATGTGAAAAAACGAATTCGAACCAGTTCAATTTCTAATACGTTGTGGATTGTTTACTTTTTATTGGTTGCATTGAGAGCAGTTCTAAATGCAGTGCATTTTGGAAAACCAACTGAATTGAAACGAGATAATCGATTTTTATATGGAATGACGATATGTGGCATGTTGATGCATTCCTTGTCGGCATTGTTTTTGACCTTGTCTCTCAATTATCAAAGAAAACATCGATCTGGATTTGCTCTCAAAGACAAGTCGTATAGAGCCATGCTTCATTTACAAATTGCAGAAGAACGAGAAGAAGAACGAATGAAATCAACATTTCAGAGAAATACGACGTTTATTCGAAAATATGGAGCTTCCATTTTTTGGACCATCTTTTCATTTGAAGCATTTGCAACGTTGTGTTTTGTGTTTTCAGTGATTGCCATTCTCTTGAGAGCTCTTCATTCAAATAATTTACAAAATGTGGAAATTTACAAATGGCTTCAATTTTCAGCAATATTATTTCAACGCGTTCCAATTGCCATCATTTCGATTTTAATTATTTTCAATGGACTTTTCACAAAACTCTTCAAAAAGAAGAATAGAATGAGTACTCCATATTCCACATTGACTACATCTTCAGAATTAACATCAACCAATCACACCAATGGAGGACCCACTATTTTAACACGTCTCTTAATCTTGATGGCTCTTTTATTGAACATTCCCAATGACATTCCACTCTCTTATTGGAATTATTTTATTTATGGATCGAGTTTGGAGAATTTTCCAAGATGTCTCTTTCATTTTGCGAGTATTTTTGATTGCATCTTGTTACTCTTCTTTTTCTCACTCGTGTTGTGGCTTTTTGTCATGATTATTGAATTTAGAAGATATCGAAAGGAAACTGTAGAAGCTGCTTTATCGGATACTGTAGAGAATTTTGAATAGAAGGTAGGAATTTTTCTTCGAATTTGTTGTTGTGATTGTCGTTCGATTCGAAAGTTCACACAAGTTTTCACAATTCGTTCTTTTTGAAAGGAACAATAAATACACCTTTTATGAATATCATCCATTTCGAGAGTTGAGAGGAAGTACTTTGAATTCGAAGTATTTCCCTTAGTCCTTTTTGTATTTTTGTCTCTTCCCATCACTTGACAGTTGGTTACAAAAAAAAATGAATCTCTTCTCCCGATTGAAACCATCTCAGGTCTCGACCGAAGATCATGCTGAAACTCTATCCTGCATTGAACAAGCCCATCCTAACAATAATAATAACAATAACAACAATAATAATAACACAACCATACAAACAACAAATAAATCTCCACGACCATCCTCTTCCAATAATCATCAACAAGTTAAAATTTCCTCATCCGACACCTCCACTCCTTCTCCCAATTCAGTGTACAATACCTTTGAGAAGAAGTATGATTTGGAATCTAATTTGTCTCATTTAGGTCAAATATTTAATACCGAGTTGTGTCATACGGATCTTTCCGAACAAAAATTTGAAAGAGATTTAATGAGAATGTTAAAGTAAGTGGTTGTAATATTCTTGAGTGTGTGTTAGTGTGTGTGTGTGATTATAATTGTGAAAAACGATGAAATAATTATTCATATTTTGAAATTGTTAAAAATTTTCGGCAATCATTGAATGGCATTGAATCGTGATGAAACTTTTTTCAAAATAGAGTCATTTCTTTAGTGAGTGTCAAGAAACCACTATTGGAAACTGGTTCTGTCACCTCTACAACGATTCTGTCCGATGAGTCGATGGATCAATTAGTGTTACTTCCATCGTCGAAAGAGAGTGGTGAACAACATTTGAATCACATCAACCGTTTCACACCCTTGTCACTGTCACCTCGAACATTTGAAATCATTCCATGAAGAAGTCAACAAGAATCACAGATGAATCACAGCAATAGCTCTTCTGGAATTACCATGTTTATAGAATTGTTAAATGGATTGGGAAAGTTATTTAATGATTCATCCAAACATTCAATTGCCAATTCGAATTCACATAATCATGTCTTGTATTATGAATCACTCACTGAAAATGATTATTATGAAGCATTGAATCATGTTCCATCCAATCTTGACGATTCCGACATGAAAATAGTGTTAAAAAAATTATATTCGACCAATCATCCAGAAATTCTCAGATTTTTGTGTGGAATTGCACAATTAGTGGTCGTTTCAACACTTGGTAAAATTGCATCTGCGATTTTACAATCCAAAATTCCATTGCAACCCAAAGACGTTCGAGGTAGTTGGACGGTTGAGTTTAGAAGATATGAAGAAGGTGCAGATCCACATGGATGTTCGTTTGGAATTCTTCATCAGAGAACAGATTGTATCATGAAGAAGGAAAGTCCTTCAATTTTGAAACCAGTGTATAATTTCCAATGGCAAATTGAAATCAAATTCAAAACCATTGCAATTAGCTCAGTAGATGTTGTCACTGTGAGATTGTTAAATATTGATTGGATTTGTGATCCAACTTTGAAAATTAGTGACACTGAAAAAGAAGAATTAATTGGCATTTGTAAAAAGTTCTTCTCATTCGATCGAGCGAACAACAAATTGCATGAATTCGATCAGACATGTTTAGTACCCTCTGGAAAAGTACTCGTAGAATGTTCTCACAAGTGTGACGATTCTATACTTTCCGCTAATACTTCTGACAAAGATGCAACCACTCCAAGAGGAAGTGAAAAACACACACCAACCATTGCGACCACTCCAACCATCGTTAGTAATGATAAGAATTCCAAGCAACACAAAAGATCAAATGAAATGGGTTGGTTAAAGAAATTATTAATGAGCTCTTCGACCTCATCGGAAGAAATATTTGAAACTCTGTCGAGTTATAAACAACAAGAACCCTCTCCAAGCACACCAAGAAAGTGAGAACATTATCAATGTTCAATGTACATAAATTTTCAAGTTCAGTCCAGTTTTTTTCACACATTGCATGTCGGTGTTAAGAAGGTATGTTAAATCTTTTATAACCATTAAGCGTTTGTTACACCAATCATTACACACAACAAAGTCTTTGGTGCTAACCTTTCCAGGTGGAAGTTTCACACAAGAACTCCATTCAATTATCAAGAGTGGTCCGGACATTCCGTCTGCAGCAATGCAACAATGTCAACAATAGAACCCAACATGGCTGGAATTCCATCATGACTGTAACCTGTCACCAAAATTCCAGCAATTAATTCAGCTCGATTATTGGTCTTGTTTGAGTGCCAATTGTAACAACAAGACTCGATCAAACGTTAACAAATAGAACCTCACCCGTGGAATATCGAACCCAAAAATCGTTGAGAGCATGGTAGAAGTTTTGAGGTAATACATCTTCAATATTACCAGCCGAGAAGGTCATGAATTATTGTTGGTTTCACAAACATGAAAGAGAACTTCATTTTAAGAAAGTATATTTAACCGTGTTGCGGTTCCACACACTATTTACAAAGTCCAAACATAAATTCCGCTGTCCACGGACAGTTCACTTTTGAATTCACTTTTTCTTGGCCACGGTCAAGATGTATTTAGTTCTCAATTTAAAAATGTTTGGAATTTCACCAGAAAACTCAATATGATACACTCCAGGTTTTAAATTTTCCAACATGACCCACCAACCATCTGCTCTTGCAATGGTTCTGACGCTTGGGTGACCAAATATATTTCCTTCTGCAGGAGTTACCTTGTACTTTTTAGAAATAACACGATGTCTTGTTAAATCCTCCTTGTTAAACTTTTTTCCATTAATTTCCAAAGACAAGGATTCCACCAAATTCATGGAAACAATGACACATGCCAAATTATAGTGATCTGTTCCTTTGACTAATCCTGGTACATTCTTGATAAAGTCACAAGTCTCAATTCCAAGATTTTCAACATTAATAATTGGGAAGAAAATACTCTTTCCATAAGGAACGTGCATTTACGAAGAGCGAATGGAGAAAATCCACTCAAGAACCAAACTTTTCCTTTTTGACCAACGTGACAACAACTACCATCAGTGTCAGTCATTGGATTGCATACAGGACCATTTCCCATGGCCCATTGCCACCATCTGGCAGCATTCTTTTGGTAGACTTGATAATTACGTTTAGGAACTGGATCCAAAATGTGGACTTTTGGTTTTTTGCAAAGAACTTGTGAAGCAAAACACAAGAAGGCGAACAAGACCACTAGGGTCAAAACGGTTGTAGTTTTTCTGATCATGGAATTTGTTTCTTGTTTAATCAATTGCAGTCCGTTTCACAAAACAAGTTTTTCAACATCAATTCCTTGTTCACAACGGACCTTTTTGAACTACCTAATACCTTGGATTTGATTAGTTTGATATGAGCTCGCAAGACTATACCAGGAAAACAAGGTAAATAACACCTTGCTTTTTGAGCTCTCCGTATGTTGATGCCACGACAAGAATCCACCACCAAGGCAAGGGCTCGTCATACATGTTTTTCCACTGGAATGTTTTGATTGTTAACATGAGTTTCCGTCACCACCGAACTCAAATCGAATATATCCAAATTCCTTTCCCGACGACCTGCATCAGCATAGACATCAGTTGAACACCATGCAGTGCTGTCATCTGATGACGACATCAGAAAAATTAGTTGTCATGTCTTAGAAATATCAATCATCATATCGCTACTTATGCATGGTGGTTAGATGTGGTTTATGCTTGCATACGTGCAAGCTGGTTTGATGTTACTTTACTGCGTATGTTGTTGATCAAGTTCATTCACAAAGAAAAAAAATGTCTTGTCCTTTCGAGCAACACAATTCTTTTGTGTTTCTCAATGGCGTGCGCTATCAAATCCACACACAGTTCAATACGGAAACTCATGAATTTACCCAAATCATGCATGAAATTTCCACTCCGAATCAACAATACAACAAGAAGCGAAAAGATTCTCCATGTCTGACGAATAATGGCGACAACCAACAATTCAGGAAAATATTGAAAATTGTAAAACAATACACGGATGAAAATTTCATTCCGATTCAACATGAATTACTTTTAAAACAAAAAGACATGTTTTGGGAAGTGATTCAATTCTTGGAAATGAGTGATATTGTTTTCCATGTGAGAAGTGTCTGCAAGGTTTGGAATGATTGGATTCTTTATGAATACAATTCCAATTGGAAGAACATGTATCAACAAAACTTTAACAACTTGCTACCACAGCAACATCACAATGAAGTGAATGGAGTGAAATTCTTTCTTTTTCCTCTCTATTTATACCGAAAGGCACAACGTTATCATCAGGAAAATTATAAACCCAATACAGGGCTCAAGTTATCCAGAATCACCGAATTATTACAATTACCTCAGATGCAACAATTGCAGCGAGCACTCAATTCGTGCTTATTCATCAAAAAGTTCGAACTTTCTGAATTTGAATATTCCAATGATTGCGGCATGACAGAACTCGATGGAAAGATCATGATCCACAACGTTCATGGAAATGGTGTTGTGTTACTGCTTGACATTTCCTCAAGCAATTATTCTACTCAGTTTTCATATGAGGGCCGTGACCATTTAACTATTTCTTATCGTGAGCTCGTTTCACATGAAGAGGGAAAGAATCATTCTCTTGTAGAGATATCTACTTACAATGATGATACAACGTGTGATGTTGAACGAGAACAGATTGAGCTCATATTTGAGAAATTGGGTCTTGATTCACTCGTAGCAGAGCGTAAGAATGGTGGGAAAAAATTGACGGATATTCTTGAAGTGCTTACTTTGATTCCGTTTGATTCTTATCGCAATCGTAAAGGTCATACCTTTTATCCCCGCAAGCGCACCTTAGATTACTTTGACCGTATTGATGACGAGAATGACGATTGAGACGAGCTCTAAAGTGCTTTACATTCTTGTTAGTATCGTTCAAATATATCCGTGACAAGAAATTGAAGATATTCTTGAAGTAATCAAATTAATAATGAAAAGATGAATTTAATGATTATTTCAAGTTTGTTGATCCCTCCTCATACTTGGTCAAATGTCTTAATGTTTTTCTGAGATACAACGCGGTTTGTCTTAACACTTGTGGCACTCCATATATGGAAGCATTAATAATACTGAAAGGAATCCATCCATTGGGCTTTGCTTGATTCACATAGACCATTTTCAAATCTCCATTTTCAAGTTGTTTCAAACGAAGTGTGGAGAAGATATTTTCTCCTCGGACAGCCCCTTTCACAGGTTGAATATTGGATGGCAATTGATACCCTTCAGGAACACCGTGGAGGTGAAAATCAATTCGTTGTCCTGTGGAAAACTTTCAATTCGATAAATATTAATGAAATCTCTCGATGACACCATTGCTTTTGGATAATGGCATGTGACCATTATTCATGACCAAAGTTTGTATAATTAAATTGCATGGCTATGTCATTGCAAACTCACCTAATGAAGGACTTGCAAAATATTGAACAAACCAATCTCCCTCTTCATCGTGCCACTTTTCCACAATGTCACTTCGCATCGTGTGCGCGTCAAACTCTTTCCGAACATTCATATCATTTGTTAAAAAGTCTCCATAAATTCTTGTGCATTCATATTCTCACAAATTCCCTCTCCTCTTACGATGGATGTTTCATCAGTACCTTTGACAAAGATAAGGAGATCATTCTTTGTGTGATAGTATTTGAAAGTGGTGCCATCGTGCAAGACTTCAGGAGAGGAAAGTTTGAGACCCTTTTCCCGAGCTTGATACCAATGTTGTTTGAGAGAAGATCGTATCGATGGATTGGAGGAGTCTGAAGAATTCATTCTGGTTTTTTTGTGTGTTAAAGTTCCATCAACAAGCTGTCATCACGATCGCACTTATCGCAGTAGTAGGATCCGCCAAAGCAGATCGATGAAATAGACCGACCATTCGTTTCCTTAAATTTGTATTCATACATAATATCTGTCTTGCTCTTGTCATGCCAACACGCTATAAAAACGTTTGAAAGGATTGGTGAATAAAAGTTCATGCTCCTCCATTCAAGCTAAAAAAATACAAAAAATGCAATCAGAAGATATTGAAACACTCACATTGCGAGGAGATGAGAAGGCTTTGCGATCACTGATTGAAAAAAGAATTTATCCACCTTCGTCTTTTCCTTTAAATACGGCAGCAGGACATGGCTTGTTGAATATTGTAAAATTATTTGTTGAGGAAGCGAAATGCAATATCAATCAGAAAGATCTGGTAAGGATTGATTGTTTAAAGGGACAACATCGGAATCATTATTTCAAATAACAACAATGATGATCATTAGGACAACATGACACCTCTCGCAATGGCTTGTTGGCGGAATCGACACTTAGTCGTTCAATATTTATGTTCTTTTCAGAATATTGAATTGAATATTAAATTTACTAGAGCTGAAAATACTTGCCTACATATTGCAGCCATGTATGGATATCATGATATTGTGCAATGTTTGTTGAAATATGGAGCTGAAAAAACACTTGTAAATTATGTGAGTATCTTGTAAAATTAATGGCCAAGTGTAATTTCCTTACACATGAATAACAGTATTGGAGAACAGCAGAGGACGAGGCTTTGAAAAGAGGCTACACAGACTTGGCATCATTCATTTCAAGATTTGAATTGGGCATGGTAAGTAATTGGATCCAGTTAGCTGCTTGTTGCTGAGCCATTCGTTCATACAACTCTTTAGGCTATAAAATTAAAACTTAAAAGACAGATACTAGAACAAGACACCTACAGTGAATATCACCTTTCTGACATCTCCCTCATTGCTGTCTCGTAATGATGAACATGTCTCTATCACAAGTTTCAGGTCGTCAATAAATGATGGGAATTCTCATTCCTTCACACATCACGCTACAAAAAAATGTCGAAACAAGAACAACCACCACACACTGTCGAAGACGATGACGATTGGGCTGATGTTGAAGATGATGAAGAAGAGCAACCACAACATGGGGTCTCCAAAGAGGATTATCAAGAATATGATGAAAATTATGATGAAGAAAAATTCGAGGCTGAATATCAGCAATATTTGAAGGGCTTGAAGAAATCGGAATCAAAGACTTCATCATCATCCGAGGCGAACAAGCCATCCACAAATCAATCATCATCAGGTGAGTATAGTCTTGATCACGATCGTATTCCTTCTTAATTGAACACTCTCTATTAATTGATGATCATTACATACAACTTTGTTCATATGATGATCATCAAGGTACTGGCGAACCCAAACAAGGTACCACCACCACTAAACCCACGGGTCAAGATAAGCACCATCATCGAAGACAACTTCAAAAACCAAGAAGAGAGTCCAGTCCACAACAACAAGAAAATGCTGTCAATCAAGAAAAGGCAAAGAGCGAGCCATCCACCTCTAGCACTTCTGCTGCAACAAGTTCCTCTGCTTTAAACCCCAATGTAAAATCCTTCCAACCAAGAAATCAAAACGAGCAAAGCCAGACACACGAGAGACAATACAAACCCTCTTCCTTCAAACAACACAAACCTCAAACTCAAGCAAGAAACATCGTTCAGAAGAAGAAACCATTAATTTTATTAAGAATTTGATGGGAAGCTTACTTCTGGATTCGATAAAGTGTCTAGCGCAGCCAGTCAAACACCACAAGTCTACGAAAGCACACGTCATCACATTTTCAAAAAGTTCTCCTTCTACAAGCAATCACCAACAATGCAACAAGCTTGGGTTGATATTTTGTATGAGCAAGCTGTTGAAAGAGGAATTTATAATACGATTGGTAACCTATTGAAGGAGCAACTCGACGAAAATGAGTCACAATTAGAGGACACAGTAATTGCAGAAATCAAAAAGAAACTCTTAACTACTTGCCAAAAAGGCTTTACGGAAGAATTTAAAGTCACTGATAGCTCAAAGACCCTAGAAGAGGAATATCAATACCAAAGAAGAAGATGTAATAATGTTTTATTTATTGGAAAGCTTGTGTCATGCTTGGTAGTAGACGCATCTATTGGATTTAAAATACTGGATATGTTGTTGAGCAATCCTACTGAGTTAAATGTCAAACTTGTCACACTATTCTTGCCAGTAGCAGGTACAATTCTCGCAAGAATGAAGCACAAAAAGCAATTAGATGAATGTTTTGAGAAAATTAAGAATATCGTTAACAAGGAGGCGTCATTGCCTAAAAACCTCAAGTTTGATTTGCTTTCAATGATCGACCTCAGAGAAAAACACGAGTTCATTAACATTGATAAGGGCTTGATAACCTTGCAAAAAGAGCTCTCTCACCTCAAAGAACTTGAAGCAAAGGATCAGAAAATTAATGAACTCGAGAATTTGCTAACCGAGTGGGATAAATGGTATGAGGATGAATATGGTACAGAATGGAAGCAAGGTCACCAAGATCTTAAGGTCAACCAAGATACCTCCAACAATAAGCAACAAAACAAAGACCGTCAACCACAACAATCAAACAGACAGCAAGTTCAACACAACTCTCCCAACAAGTAGAATTAAATCTTTTATTTATTATCAATAGTGTATTATTTTGTGTTGCTTATTGTGTGGAATTTCCCTTCGTTCCTTCTTCTACTACAAAATAGAAAAAATGAGCGACGATGACTCTCGAATACATGTGGGTGATGATCGGGGAGAATTCAGTGATGAACAACATCAGCAAGAACCCTCCTATCACCATCATGAGGAAGAAGAATTGAGAGAATATAATCCGAGAGATTCTACCGATGGTTTAATTCATAGTGGCCAACAACAAGCTGACGAAACCATTAACCACTCATCATCAAGAAGAGGATTTTCTGAGAATCAACGAATGATGGAAGCGGAGGACAATGGAACCTATTTATATACTGTCGATGAAAGATTTCGTTCGAGACAGCCCAACAACAAGAGAAAGATTTCCAACTCGATAATTGCATGTTGTACATGTTGTTGCTGCTGTATTCCTATCGGATTAATTGTTCTTTTAGTAGTTTATTTATTAGGCTTGTTTTTGATTGCTCCACAAATGACTGCAAATTTACAAGCCATTGTCAACGAATCAAAGAACTCTGGTGTCACTTCAACGACTTCAAATATTAGAAAAGGCACTATTTCTCAAAATGGACTTCAATACGTTCTGTTGAAAAATTCATTTGTTAAGAAACGATTTACATCATTGATGCAAGTATACACAGGAAGTTGCAACGAAGCAAATGGAGAGGAAGGTATGGCCCATATGGTTGAGCACATGGCTTTTGACAACTCGAAAGAATTTCCAGGTCGAGGAGGAGTGTGGAAACAAATTGAAGAAAGTGATGTGGGCGAATTTAATGCATACACCTATTTCAGAAGTACAGTTTATGAGTTGTACAATTCAAAAATCGGCTCTAATGAGGAGGAGAGCTTTGAACGAATTATGGGTATTCTCAATAACCAAGTTCAGCTTTCAGAAGTACTGGAAGACAGCTTAGAAACTGAAAAAGGTGCCGTTCTGGGAGAGGCTCGACGAGCAAACAACAGCTACTATCAAGCTTTATCTGCTACCTTTGAAAATCATGGAGGTGACACATTTACCATTGCTAAACGATTTCCTATTGGAAAAACTGATTCTATACGAGCATGGAAGTCTTCTGATTTAACCAAATTCTACAACAAGTGGTACAAGTTGAGCAATATGAAGCTATTCATCGTTGGAGATTTTGACTTGGACAAGCTAGAATCCATGGTGACAAAATTTTGGTCGACCAAAGTTCCAACTCTTTCACCAAAACCACAACCAGTAGACCCTGGCCACGCAACACCAAAATCTTCCCTCATTTACTTTGATGAAATTAATGGGTTGAATGGAATTAACTTTAATTTAATCACCACTTCAAAGTATGAAGGATTTCCACGAAATTATAACTATTACAGAAGAGAAATAGCTGATATGGTGTTTCAGTTGGTATACACTGCACAAGTGTTGGTAAAAATGTCCATACAATACCCAGATTTAGATTTCACAACCAGATCTGCAGGAGTAGCTCTTTCTAATGAGTATCCTTTTGCATCAAAATTAACCATTCTGTCCATTCTTACACCAGGTCCTCAACCTGAATTGTCCACATGGAGGGAAGATTTCAAGTTGGCCATTGATGAATTAAGACAAATTGCAAACGAGCCATACTCTGCCATCGTTCTTGCTGTTTCCTATGCTCTCGACGTCATACATGCTACTCCAACCTATTACGCCAATACACAAGATTCAAAAACTCTTGCAATTGAGTTGCTCGGAAATGAAGATCCCAACTTTGAATTCTTGAACGTGCATGACTCGTATGCAGCAAGATCTCAATTCCTCGGACTTAGCTTTGCTCTGGGATCAACATTAGAGCATGTGAAAGCAACAGCACAGTACGTACTGCAAGGCCTTTCTGATGTTATTGATCCTAAAAAACCCACCATCTTTGAAAATGTGAAACGTACATCTGAAATATCTGCTGCAGTGTTTTTGGGTCGTTCTGATGACATGACCAGAAATGAAAAGCCAACAAAAGAAGAAATTGCTTCCCTAATCAAAGAAGTTATTCACAGCGATACACCAGCCTCCTTTAGCTTGGATTCCTCAGCTTTGAATGCCTTGTTGACAATGTCTACTTCTCCATCTGTCACCGTACCAGAGCCAATATCAAGTGGAACCTATTCGTTAGAGTTTAAAGATGACAATTTAGATCTATCCATCTACAAACTTTCCAACGGATTGAGAGTGAACATTAAAAAATCAGATAGTAAGATGTCATACAAGAAGGGCCTTTCGTATATTGAAATCACTTCTCTGGGAGGAAAGAATAGCGAGAGCCCAAATATTAAGGGAGCTTGCGAGTTTGTGAACTATAACATTGTTGGAGGGTCAAGATTTTTAACTTCTGAGAAAGAACAGTATTATCCACAGGCCTCTAATGTTGGCTTGAAGTGCCTTGGAGACAACATTATTCTTAGTGCTGAGCTAAGTTCTGCCTGTATTAATTATCCTTCTTCTCTTGATACTCTTTGTGATGTTAAATCCAAGTCTTATGCTGACACCTTCAAGAAGCTAAGACTGTCAATGAACCCAATTTATAACAACAACGTGAAGAAAAAGGTCATTGCCAAGTACCAGAAAGATCAAGGACTTGAAATTGACGACAAATTCGATTCCATGACCTCTATTAACACCTATGCCATTGATAAGATTTTGAGAGCAGCTTTCCCTAATGAACACAGACTTCATCGCGCAACCTTACAAGATTTTAGAAACTTAAATCCTCTTGCTGTTCAACAATGGGTATCTCAACATTTTTCGTTAATTCGTAACAATGATAAGAATGTAAATAGATTTGAGATCAACATTGTAGGAGATGTTGTTATTGAGAACGTGTTGCCTCAATTAGAAAAGTGGTTTGGTACTATTCCAAGGGTCGAAAAACCATCTGAAATTCTTGGACATGATATTTATGACAAGCGACAAGTGAAAAACTTTATAGCTGATTTCCCAAGAGAGTTAACACCTCAAAACGCCTCTTATACATGTGAAGTTTTGTCCTATTCCACTAATAAGGCTCTTGTTACAGCAATTTATCCTGGAAATAGCATTAATGCTGAAAAGCCCTCACACCTCAGAGCTCAACTCTATAATGCATTACTTTCAAGATATGGATTTGATGTAATTCGTTCACAAGGTGGATTTTCATACTTTGCAATCAGTAGACCAATCTCCACAACACTTTTCCATAATTTTGGACTTAGTGCAAGTATGTTCTTAGTTGGTGACTATCCCAACCACACAGAGGACCCTCTTAACATCCAAAGAAGTGTAGATTTCTTAATTTCCTCTTTACAGAAAGATATTTCTGAAGACTTTTTCGATCATGCAAGAGATGAAGCATTGGCAGCATATTCTCTCGAATTAGACACTGAATATGCTTGGCTATCTCAAATCAGAGGTCTTTCCATAACAGCACCAGCCACGTTCCCAGATGACCATCCATTCCTTAGATTAACCAATGACATTGATATTCTCACTTACCTCAGACAAGCAAAACATGAAGATTTCAAAGACATCCTCTCAAAACAGATGAAAGACATTCGTTATGGATTGTCTGCTGTGATGGTTGCTTCGAATACTCGTCATACTCAATATCCCCAATGTTCAAGAAGTTAAAAACTGAGGAAAAATATAAGAGAACAATTCCAAGATAGGACTTTTTGAATGTGAACTCGTCAATTTGCTTTTTCTTTTCCTTAATTCTTTCATTCTTCTTCAATTGCATGATGCAACACAACAATTTAGTACCTAAAAATGCCAATTCTTACGCTTCCAGAATTTGGAAGTGGAATTTCCAAGGTTTTATATTGATGGCGAAGCGTACAAATTGTTAGAAAAATGCTGCCAGAGAGATTGGCAATTTGTGAAAGTGAGTAAAATTAAATTGTTGTGAATAAGAACAGATAAATCACAAACTTACTAATTTCAGCCCATGATCTCAGTGCACTTGCACTCGAAGTTGTAGTACAAAGGATGGAACATAGGGCCCAACATCTCTTTAGCATTGGTATGGTTTTCCTAATTTACAAACAATCACAGCTGTCATCCATCAAAAAAAAATGACAGACCAGCCCACCACGCAGTCTGTGAGTAATAACAACATGATGACCGATAACATTGTTTCGGTCCTTCCCAACATCTTTCCCTTCTTCACTTTCGAAGACATCAACACCATTCTCCTTCGTGTAAATTCTCAATGGTGCCTTCAATCACTTCGTTTTCTCTATCAACTCCTTCACACTCCCAATCGTTGCTGCCTCTTCAACAATATTGTATTTGATGCCTCTACTGGAAGTCGTATCTTTGACTTTAACGATATCAAAACCATACGTGTCGTGTTTGACACCTTGTATCGAAAACATTTTAATTTAACACAAAAAGATCCCAAACGATTGACTTTACTCTACACACATGTTCCCATCCAATATCAAAATACGGAACCTGTAGCACACAAGAAGAATGATCCATCCTCATTGCCATCCAATGATAAAAACAATGCACTCTTTCAAAATGTCGTGTCAAGTGGTTCGAGCTCGTCTACTTCTCAACTTCCACAGTCTCCTTCCTCTCCGGCATTGAAACCATCACAGGGCTCTTCAAATTCTCTGAGTAGTACCAATGGAGGTCAGAATTCAACAAATTTATCAAATTTTGCTCAACAACAAAACGCATCGGGAGGTAGTGGTACCACCAATACACAACCAACGAGTGGAACTGCTACTGCAAACAATCCAAACAGTAACACTACTGCTGCTCCAAAAGGTCTTTGCGGTGAAGAAGTGACACACATGTTCCCGTTGACTGCTTTCAATGATTCTCCAGATTTGGGATATCAATTCACAAATTACAGTTGCTTGTATTTGTACGATGGTCATTTTGTCTTTGTCCTTTATGGAAATATTTTGGGTTGTTTTGATTTATTGGGTCATGTCGTGAGGTGGAGTGAATTGGTCGATGAAAAGTTACCAACTTCACGTCGTGTGAATTACATGTTTGTGAACGCGTTCACACAAACTGAAAATTCAATAATTGTTCAATTACCTCAACAAGTTGTGTGTTTCAATAAGAAGAATGGAATGAAAGTGAACTTGATATTGAATGATCCCATTACAAAATTTCACATGATTAATGAAAAGAGAGAACGAGTGTGTTGTGTCTCTTCATTTACTGAAATTGCAGGAAATAGAAAGGATGAACACTTTGATGGAATGTGTGTATTGATTGGTGAAAATATTGTTCGTGATAAGAGTATTGATTTTACCAAATTGACAAGCATTTGGACTGAGGAACAGACCAAACAAGTTGGAGAAGCTCGATCCTCAAGGACCATTGCATTTACTGGACTTTCTCCAAGTGCTCATGATTCACATCCTTCCAATGCTCTCGTTCCATTCACAATCACAAATACTTTAACAAATTCTCGTGATGCTCAACATTTGATTATTGCTCCTGTCACGAGTAGTGAAATTACTCAAACAACTTCTGGAACTCAGAAAAGTTATACTTCTTCGAGCAGTTCTGAAACGACACGAAGAACTCCTTCCTTTGGTTTCATTGAAAAACCAAAACTTTACATCTTTGATGGTAATACTTTAACAGTGACTGTTTCAGCATCGGGACAATCCAGAGATCGACAAATGTTGTTCCGTCCAAAGAAATCTCCTGTTTTTTGTATCTTGAATGAATACGAAGGAGAAATGAGAATTGTGAACAGAGAAGGAAAGAGAACTCATATTATTAACTTGAAAAAGATTTGTGGTGACCCCAAGTCGAAACAATTGAAACAATTACCATTTAGAGACATTACCAATTGGCATTTCCTTGTTGGAGAAAAGCCAGATATTGCCATTATTCAACCAGATATTGGTAGAATTTTACACTTGAAAGATTTACTTCCATCTGAAATTTCGCCTGACAAGATTTTCATTGTTGAAAAACAAACTAGTGAAACTAGACCAGGAATTTCCAGATTGGACGGTATTGTCACCATTCAGAAAGAAGAGAAATTAATTTCCTATTATGAATTTGTTGAAAGCAGTTCAAGTATTTTGGAAGGAACATTCCAATTGAAATGGAGTCAAACACTGTCATGGAAGAAGGATGCTCAATTCATGTTTGAATTTTCACACATTCAACATTCCATTTCAGCTCCTCTTTGTCCCAACTCGAATGAAGAATCAAGAGTTCTTGTATTTTCTAGACAAGTCATTGATCAACGTAGATTCCTCACCATTCAACAACGTTTAGACATTCAACTCATTGCTGTGAACATGAAAGATGGATCTATTAGATGGCAAAAAGTACATGAATGTTATCACGGAAGTGGAGGAGATTTATCAGAAGCTGAAAAGGGATTTGACATTTCATTTTGTAAACGTTTCACATGCAAGAAGGGTGACGACAAACTTGTCATTACCAATCCTCAATTATGTCTTGTAAGATCCTTCTTTTCTCCAATGATTAAGCCAGATAAGGGTGTTGCCATTTGTGTTGCCTACAAACTCGAAGATGGAGAAATATTATGGAATTACAATGAAAAGAGAAAAGGTGCAAAAATAGCCGATGATTATATTTTCAATGTGGAACATCAAAAAGGGCAGAATAATCCAAATAATAACACGGAAGAGTCAGAGGATGGAAACGATTCAGATTCTGAAAATGGAGATCATGATGGAAAGAAGAAGGGAGGAACAAAGAATGCAAAATCCAACAATAATAAGGACTGTATGGTCATGTAAACTCATCAAATTCACACACACAAACACACGATATGGAGATTGGTGCACGTGCTGCATGGAATGACAACACACACATGAATGTTGTTGTTGTTAAAACACAATAAATTGACAAAGTCTTTCACTTTCAACTTGTATGTGATTTGAAAACGAATAGAATTTCCATGAAACCGTTCAGATGAATCAAATAAATACCCATATTATTTATTAAATATTGAATTTCTAAATTTGATACAAAGGATTCAAGAAAGAGTCGTTATCTATTTTGTAAACCAAGTTTTTGAAAAAATGCAACATTCATCGTCGAACCATGTTCAACAAGGCTCTTCTTCCCAACCACCATCATCATCAACATCTTCATCACAATATCAAATTTCATTGCAGAATACAAATTCCGAAGCAAGCCATCCGAATGGAAATTTAGCCTCGGAAGACCATCATCATTCGGACACTTCATCACTTTCTAGACCTATTCCATCATCACCATCACCTTCTTTCCCCTCTGTTGTAATAAAGAATCCCTATGACACCCCTACGGATGAAAATGAAAATAGTTTCAGTGAGCAAGTCAAGAGGATCAATGTTCCGAAAATGACGGGTCAACATCATCACCCACTGCTTGAACATGTCGATACAAACGTGCCTACAGCCACACAACAGCACCAGGAGAGCAGTAGTGTGCACACAGCAGGTACTGCATCAGCTAAGCTGGGAGATGACAAGTTTTCAACCAAGCATACCATGACAGCATCCACGCCCACTAATTCACCATTTGTTAGAGGTAATGACTTTGAGCAATCGGGATTTCATTTTGGAGTTCCTGGAACACCAAGCGATTCATTTAGGAGGAGACCTGTGTTGAATGTTACTACAGTCAACCCACCCAATGCTCAACATCGAACCAATCAAATAATTTTGGAGCCTATTTCTAATACAACAGCTATTGGCAGTAGTCACGAGGATAAACATTCACAAAGTTTCACAAAAAAAGGTTCTATTAAAATTAATAGAGCTCAAAACAAAAATGCAGAAACTGCCTCTCCAATGAAAATCGGTGATGATGAATTGAAACCTTTTGGAACTGAAATTACTGTTGACGATGACGCGTATAGCACTGAAGAAGAGGCCTTAGTAGATACAGCTCCTCCTCTTGAGCATGACGATCAATCTTTTCGTGGAAATGACACTACACCCACTTTTTTAAGGCCTTCTGAATCGATGGAATCAATCAGTTCATTAGCTATGGATCCAACCTATCAACCTGAAATTTTATCCGACGAGTCCATGAAAAAATATATTGAGAATGAGTTGACTGCCGGTGGAACTTCTGTAATTGGACATTTGTTAAAAAGTGCACATGATGCGGCTACGAACATTGAAAAAAAGACTGGAATGTCACTTAAGGAAAGAATTCCACATGTGTTTTCTTCGAGTAGTCTTGAGCATCAAACAAAACCGTTCAAGTTTCTCAAAGGATCAGGAGATACAGCCGCCCCCATTTTACTTCCATCACAGAAGAGAACTCTAAGGTCATGGTTTCTAAAGCGTTCAAGAAATACTATGAGATTTAAGAAAAAGGAGCAGAAGTGGAGAAAAGAAAATTCAAAATACATTGAGGATGGTGACATGGAAGCAGGAGATAACGATTTTAAATTTGAAAATGATTCTACTACAAGTGATATGGAAGATGACACTGCACCAATTGAAGTTGAAAGAACACAAACTTGGCAAGAGAAGGTAATTGCCTCATTTAAATGGTTCTTTACTGGAAAAATTGAAAAGGTACAATCAAAGATATTGTATAAGGATCTTTCAGATGAGGATAGGAAGAAGGTTCATTCATTGCTTATTGGTAGGTGGAAATACATCGTTATATTTGCGATACTCATGCATATGGTATCAGATTTGGCTTACGCTCTATCTATTTACGGGTTGAGTACCAACCAGACAGAATTTCGTCTAACTCTCATCTCCACGTATTATGGAATTGATGCATATTTTTCTTGCACGGTATGTTTCACTCAAAATTGCGTGATATTAATTTGTTTATTATTTAGCCAAGGTTTGTTTTATTGTTATACAACAATCCAAAACTAAAATTTTTTTCAACGTTGATATTTATAGCGGAATTTGGATTGCATTCGGTCACAGACCTAACGCATCAAATGACAACATGTTTACCTACTTTGTCAAAATTGAGAGTCAAGCTGTAAATATGGACAAATTAACAAAATTAGATAAGGTTGCAAGTAATATTTCACATGGACACTACACGATTGATGACGCTCAAAAAGCGGTCAATGAAATTATTCGGCAACCTAATATTTATGCACATCCCATGATTGCATTATTTTTCCACTTTATAACACCAGGATTGTTTGTTATTTTGTGGAAAGGAAATGTTGCTGAAGTTTTCACATGTTTGATCGTGGGTTTAATCATTGGAGTCCTTAATTATTTTTGCTCATCCATGCCGTTTTTCGCATCTATTCTCCCTGCAGTGGCCTCAGTACTTGGAGGGTTAATTGGAATTCTCATGAAGTGGATATTATTTGATTACTATTATATTTCGGTTGCACTTTGTGGTATGTTGAAGCAGAAATAATATTAGAAATGCTAATTGTATCTCGTCTCATTACAGGCCTATGCACGTCTTATCAATTTCTTCCGGGTTCAATCATAACGACTTCTCTACAAGAGATTTCGATTGGAGCCTCTCTTTCAGGAATTACTCGTTTGACGAATGCTTTCAGTATAATTCTAAAACTAGGATTTGGATTAATTTTCACAGCCGGTATTGTACATCAAATACCAAAATTATCAGAGAGTGAATCAAATGACATCACAAGACAACCACTTGCAATTTGGGCAAGAATATTGGTGGTATTATTATTGACAACGGTGACAATGATTAGTCGTAAAGTACCTCAACACCTTCCTACAATGATTACCATTGCTATCACTTCTCTGACGGCACACTTGATCAACTATTTCTTGTCTTTCCTCCATATTGAAATTTCTACTGCCATTGCAGCAACTGTAGTTGGATTACTTGCAAATTTATACACGGTTATTTCTCATACACCTCCCGTTGTTGTGGCAGGTAAGTATAACAGTAGAGTTTTAAGCATTATGTGAAACAACAACTCAAAAGGTGTTTCTGTTTTAATGCTTTCACCTGGATCACTGAGCTATCGTGGAATGGCCTCTTTCATCTTGACAAGTAATACTCAGTCGAGCTTGACATTTTTCCTTGATGTGTTTTTGATTGGTGTGGCAATATTTGGTAAGTTTTTCATGATTGTGTGACAACTAATCAAATGGTCGTTGTAATATCAAACAACAGTTGGTCTAATGGTATCCAATCATGTGATTCCAATTCGCCAAAAGATCAACATTTAAAATCATCGTTTTCAAAGATTTACAAAATTTAAATGACAGCTAATAATAAAAAAATTACAAAAAAAATGCACAAACGTGTAAGAGGAAATCCCACGCAAATCGAAACAGTATGGAAGCGAAGGATCAAGATTGAGAACAATCAAATGCTTCTCATTTGTAATTATCTTACGAATAACAAGTACGGAGAGAATCAAAGCTCTAAAATTTCAAAACGAAGAACACAAAAGAAGAAAATTTCTCGTGTGGATGATGATGAAACCGATAGTGGAAGCACAACAGGAAAGAACGTTAGTGATTTGTACGAAAATACAAAATTTGCCGAGTATATGAATCATTTTACTTCTCAATGGGAGGTTTCACCCGAAGAATTACAAACGCTACAAGAGCAGGTCGAACAAGAACGGAAATTATTGAAACGAAAGAATTACTTGCTGGAGAATCAGGCCATACATGAACTTGAGAAGGAAAAGGAACATCAACAACTCTCTCAAACCATTCAATCCTCTCTAAAGATGATTGGTCTTCTTTCCAAACTATTGCCATCGGAAGCCGTTAAATCTTCTTCAACCATCATGCCTCCATCATCATCGGCCGTATCAAATCCAACAACAACATCATCGTCCACGATGGCCTCTCCACTTTCATTGTCCTCATCAACAACAACAACAACCCACGAGCAAAAGCCTTCCTCTGGTGTTGTTGCTGGCACATCATCGACCGAAGTAGCAGCCACTCTTGCTCCTTCCAATGTTAAACCTCACCCCGTTGCCGCAAACACAACCAACAGCACCACTGCAGCCACACAGCCATCCACTTCTGCTCTCCATTCTTCTTCAAATTATCATCAACATTCCATCATGTCTCATGGAGATCATCACTTGTTAATGCCCAGCACAAATTCACTTCCTCCTTTTCCTGCCATGCCTTCAGGTTCTGTCATGTCATCATCAGGAGCTAGTGGTTCGGGTCACATGACGAATCCCAACACAAATCTTACTCCAAATCTGTCGGAACAACCTTCATCAACACCCTACTATCCTACACCACCTAGTTTACCTCCTTCTTCTGCTATGATGACTCCTCCAATGCAACATCGACCTCCCTATCCGAGTAATCCACCACCACCACATCATAACCCTCCGATGAGGTTCCCTCCTCCACAGCAACACCTGTACCCACCCCCACCTCATCATTATCATCCACATCCTCCTGTATTTCCTCCACCTCCTTTCTATATGCCTGGCAATGCACCAAACACACAACAACGAAGAAAGAGGTAGAATGATGATCTATTTCACATCCATCAAAGCGTATGCATCAGTAAATAGGCCAACAAATTAATTAATTAAGGATCCTAATTGGATTATCTAAAAACATGCTAAAACACTTGACGTTTCACACAACTGACTGAAAATGAATTTTTGTAATTGCCCGAGCAGAAAACGAACAGGAGAAGACATGTCAACCGATTTATTGTTGTCTTGGGTTTACAGTAAATAAACGGTAGTACATGCCGTCCTTAATATTAATAATTGAGATATTACAAGCTAGAAGTTAAAATTCAAACTCATCTTGAGCTTCAGCAATTTCGTCTTAGTTTGCTTTTACTTTTAATTAGCAATTTGCTTGTTAAAGGTGTCAGTGAATTGAGCACTGTCTTGATTATCGGGAATGGATCTGGTAGTAATGGATGTTTTTGTGAAAGGGTTGAAGCAGCAGCCAGAATATTTGGATGTTCTGCGCTTTTTCTGCTAGGTAAATTATTCAACAGTTTGTTCTTCTTCTTCAGTTAGAGCAAAGTATGTTGTTTCAGCATCAAATTCTTCCGCCTCTTCTGCTTGTATGAGTTTTTCCACAGTGCGCAGGAAACAATTGTGTTACATTTAAGTTTGACTTTGGCGAGATTTAAGATCTCTTCTTTGGACATGTTAAAGCGAATTATCATCCTACTCCCTCCCACTTTCTTACCATATCTCATCACAGTTATAATCTTTTACTCAGATGACGAGACATTTGTAATACCTTTCCTAAAAGATAAATCAATAGGAATAGATGTTGTAACCACGATGTCTTGACCATTTTCTCTTGTTACTATACTGAAAGTTGAAAATAATGAATCATGGTATACATAAATAATCTTCACATGATCAGAACTTTCAGGAAATTCGTAAGGGTGTTGGTCATTTCCATAGGGAACAGTTGTCCAATGCAACACCATTATTATTTTCTTATTGATCTTTGCATTCACAAATCCCTCAATACCGAGAGCATTATGCTTAGCTGTTGGATGTGGTGACTCAAAGTATTTCTATCATTTCTTTTTGAATTAACACAAACGTTTGCACAATGTTCGACCAGTATCAAATGCTCATTACCATTAGCAATTACTGTATCACATTGCTGTTTTGATTGGTTATCGTTTGTTTTTGTTGCACAATCTTAACAGGAAAGTCCTTCAGTAAACTAGAAAAGGCGTTTTCAAAGGCAACTTGATAAAGAATCTAATTGACTCGTGAAATGGTCTGTCCAAAGTATTCACCAACCCAATTTGTAATAGCCACACAGGAATGAAGGGAAAAAACGTTTTTTGATTGCTTCATGGACGATAAGATACCCAAAAAAGTCTCCCTATCAGGTGCTTGTAGTCTTTCAATTGAATCTATTTCATCCATAATCATTATCACCTTCTTGTCTTTAAATGGCCCTTGTTTAGCAAACAAATACAGTAGATTGTTTTCTGTGTATTTGGTTTCCAATTTGAGCCTGGGAATTAATGAATTAACAACAAGAGAAGTCTTTCCTGATTGGCTTGGTGCTATCAAAATGCAAAATTCCCCTCTTTCAATTCTTGACATTAACTCTTGTTCCACGAACTTGGTCTGTTCAATGTACTTGTTTGTGTCTACAAGTCCATTTATGCATAAAGACTTGGATTGTTTCATGTCTTCACAAAGACTAGATTTTTCTCTCTCTTCTCTATTTGACTCAGTGTTGTTTTTCTCCTGCTGGCAATGGTTGTTTATTTGATGAATCGTCTAAGCAAAGTGTGAAATTTTCTAATTTGCTGTCCTTTCTCTAGCAATTTGCTTCTATTGGTTCGCTTCAATAGCAGTTCCTGGAATGCATAGCTGTCAACATAAGATTGGTGTGGCTTTGAGGCTTCTGCTTGTACTTTGATATGCTTCAAACAAGGCACAATGTGGTCATTCATGTTGTATTGGCTGTAGGATGGCAAAATGGTTGAGGCAGGCATCGATACCAAATGATGATGAGCATTGTTGAGATCTAGAGTCATTTTGATCGTTGGTTGCGCCTCAAGAAGGTGAGAATAGTCATGCTTGTTGGGAACTTGTTGCAATTTTTCATTAATTGCTTCTCTAATCTTACTCAGAGTGTCCTCCTTTGTCCAATCTCCAAGAACATGGAAAAAATCTTCCTTAATGTCAAACAAATATCGCACAGGAGAGTTTTCTAGAACTTCTCTTACTTCCTGGATAGGTACAATATGTTTGTTTCTATAATATAATATAATTTTTCACATTACACACATTTTATATCAGAAAAAATTAAAAAAATTCTAAAATATATGAAACAATGACACACTTACTTGTAAGACACACACGAAGACACACAGCACTCCAAAGGCGACAAAATAAAATCATCAGTTTTTGGTACTGTTATAGTGAGACTTGTGTTTCCTTTTTCCAATTCCTTTGTTGCTAAATCTATCACATCATTCATGTAAGGAATGTTTTGAGATTTGTAATATTGATTAAATCCAAGACACTTTCCATGAATATAACTCATAAACCATGTGCACATGGCGAGATAATCAATCACAATATGAGATGTAGATTCATCTTCGTATACTCTTAATTTCACTTTTTTCATCGCAGAGAGATGCTTTTCTACTTGCTCTTCAAAGAAGAAGGAAAGAAATTGATTAAATTTTTCTTTGGTATCAAAATGGTGGATTCTCGCTTTCACTTGCTCATACAAGTCTCCATACTCGTGTGAGAAGAAAATTTTCTTGCATGCATTCTTAAATGCCTCGGTCTTACTTGATCCCTCACTCTTCACTAAAACAGACTCTCCCACTCTGAGTGTTAATTTGTGGATTGCAGGTTCAATGATTTCATATTCCTCAACTGCTTGTCCCATGTTCAAAAGTGTCAGTAAAAAGGATAACACATGCTTGACGGGAATGTTATGGATGCTATTTTCAGACACATCAAGTGCAATGACGTCAGGTGTTTTCTGTTTTTTGCTTGGGTCTTCTGCCTTTTTGACACCATAATGAAGTTTCAAAAGAAAGGGAATATTAATTTTCATATGATGTGGATTTTCCACGTCAAAATCAATTAGAAATTGCCGTTCTCTTTCTTTGTGATTCTGTTGAATGTAAATGTATTCATCCAAGTATTGCTTCGGTTCGTAGCGTTTAAGCCTTGAAATATAATCGTTACCACTAAGCATGGATAAGAATGTAATATCCTTAATTACCCTTGAAAGTTCTTGGTCAGAGGTTGTGTTACATTGTGTAGCAATAATGTTCTTTAGCTTGGTAATATCGTATAAATGATAGGTACTTGGCATGTCTTTCACGAGTGTCACATGCCTGTGAGGTGGTAAATTAAGAGCAAACAGTACAAAATCTGAATCTCCTGATATGATCAAATCTCTTTTAGGATGTCTTTCTTTTGTGTTTGTAGCGTAAATGTGTTCTATAATTTTGAATTCACCCTCACCTTCTCTTTCAGCAGGTGACAAATAGAACGTGAGACCTTTCGAATGTTTTGACTCAAATTTTCCTGATCCTAGCAGTATAGCTCCTAAATGACCCAACAATAGATATGTGTCTTCCATAAATATAGTTCCAGGGACAAACCAGGTGGAGCTTATTGCCTTTTTTTCTTTTCTCTCGTGGATAACATTTTTCTGAATCAAATCTAGATAAATCTTTTGCACGGGTGTGAGTTGAACAGTTTCATCATACTCTGAAATATTCAAAAACGAAACAAAAGTATTTCCTGCATTTGTTGTTGGTGAACTTAGATATCGTCTGGATTTTTGAGTAAGTAATTTGCTTCTAGGTGCAGGTCCGTCAATTGCTATAAAAATTGATTCTCGCATATGAAAATGATTTAAATATCGCATCACTTGATCCAAAACTACAGTATTAAACACCATTTTAGTCTCAATTGGTATTTCCGATTGTTGATCCGTTGAAATGAGTTCTTCGTCCTCAATTTGAATTTCTTCAACATTTCCTTCTTCATCCTCGAATTCAATGCTCGTCGAGGATTTACTCAACAATTCATGCTTCTTTTTTAATTTCATTATTTTCTTTGAGCCATGTGTTGCTTTATAGAGCAATGTATTGAAATCAAAATAAATGTTATCATAAGTATCCCATGACGGAATAGATTTTGATTTTCTATTATTCCTCAACCTCTCCTTGACGGTAACATAGGATTCTCCGAAAAGAGATGCAAGAGTTTTATAAAATTGAGAAATTCCCATGTTGATGATGATGATTCCGAATTCGTTCAACGTTTTTATGGAAAAATTAAACTAAACTTCAATATTTTTTTTATTATTCACAGTGGTTAACTGGATCATATTAACAAGAAATTGATTGGATGGTGTAATAGTTTTGGAACAATAATTTAAAGAGATCATGATACGTTGAATCTTGATCAAAGGCATTGAGCTTGAAAAGTTTTCACATGAAGAGGAGTTAAATGAGGAGCCAATACTTGATAAATTTCATTTTCTTCTGGAGTAAGGCAATGATTCCATTCCATTTCTAGCCATTGATTAAAATCTGTACTTGTCATTGATGTGGAAGAGCTCATGTTCAAGGAAGATTCATCCTTTGAGGAAGAGACACTCTTCATATTATTCGTGTGAACACTTTTCAAATCATCATTCTTCGCCTCACTGTGAGTCGTGGAAATAATATTTCGAATATTCAATTTGGAACTCTTATGCCAAATCACATGTTTGATACCATTGGATAATTCGTCGTTGGAGAGTTGATAGGCTTGTTTCTGTAGTTGAATGTGTGAAGCATGATGAGTGGCTGTACTAAAGGTAGGAGTGAAAGTAGAACTACTGTCCTTCAATTGTTGATACTTGACACAACACTTTTCAATAAGGGATGGAAAACAATGATAATCAACAGAACTGACAAGTAAATCTCCAAAGAATAGCTCACTATGGTAAGGTTTGTTGCAGAAAGTTTGAATAAAGCTATCTCGTTGAGTTTTTTCGCACAATTTGTGATTACAATCAGGATGGTAATAGAGTGCACACAAATATTTGAACCATTCTGAGCTCGAATCAAATGCTTGTTGAGAAAGGAGTGATTGAAAGATGGGTGGAATTTTCAATTGTTCAAACTTCAATGTTTGTGCATTCATGGAGGATGCAAGTTCGACTCTTTTGGAAAATCTTAATTGCCATAAATATGCTTGAGAGTTTAAGAGTGTGATATCTCCTGTCATTCCTCCAAAACAGGATCTAATAAATAAAGATCTAAGAAGAGTGGATTCTATTGAGGTCATGGGAAGATTACTGTTTTGAAATAGAGAATTCACTTCATCTTCATTGATAAATTCCTCAATTTGATTGAGATTTTCTCTAAATTTCACATTGGAAATATCATAAACCATTTGTAAACATGCATCCACAAACAGTTTTGGGATGACAATTGATTCCTCATTTGAAAAATTCTTTCCACTGTAAAACGTCATCATCCAAGCAACAAGAGAAGTCATTGGATGTAAAATAGCATCTTCAACAATAATGATATGAATTCTTCTGAGAAATTCCAAAAAGGAAAATTTGTAAATCATGACAGCAGCAATTCTTACACTAGATTCTGCCTTTCCTAATCGAACTGTTTTTTGCAACGCTGATTTTAAGAAGGAAAGAGAAAATTGAGGAATTTGTCTTTTTGTTCCAGTCGTGGATGCAATAACAACAAGGTGAGACTTTTTGTTTTTGATTGGAACTGAAACATGTGCACAAATCATCGAGTCCTGAAAACATGAAATGGCACAATTCAATTGGAATGTCACCTTCTTATTCTTAATATTCATTTCAGAAGAAAGTTGTGTGTTGACTTTTTGAAACAATGGAGGAGGAGTAACACTTGATGAAGAATGATTATTTGTGACTTGAATATCTTCCACTTTCAATATGGGCATTTTATCAGAGAACCATTTTTCGGAAGGTGCTTGAATGATCTGAGAGGAATGTTTTTCATGTTTGGTTTGTTTGGATTTCTTTTCGTGAGGAGATGATGATGATGATTGTTTGAAATAATTGGTAATACTTTTTTGTTTGACAATGTGCGCTTTGGAAGTGTCGAGTGAGAGGCTTGCAAATTTATTTTCCTTCAAGGAGAGTATGAAGGAGCAGCAAGACTTGCCTGAAGGAGAAGAGGCTGTGTCATCATCATCCACGATTTCGATTATTTGGTCTTGTTTACGTTTTTTCATTTTTTTCATTTATTTTTAACGGCTAGTTTTGTTCGAGTGTTTTTGGAAGTAAAATTTCAAAAAGCACAATCGAACTGTTTTTCACGTACGAGAGGATGAATTCTAAGCCAGATATCATCTCTCTCTTCATTCAAAATCGTATTTGTAAATACAAGATCCTTCTGAAATGTACAGACTTCCTCGTTTGTAATACAGACCTGTCATTTCACAAATATTGTCTACAATGATTTCTTTTCTGAGCGATCCACTTTCAGTGAGAACCAAAATTCGTCCCTCCTTCGTCAGTTGCTTGAATTCGTACATGGACACATAAATATTGCCCTCATCATCACATGCAAGACCCATTGGACCAAAGCTGCCACTGAGTTGATGAAACACACTTGAATGATACACCCCATTCACATGAACGAATCTCAAAATTCGATTTCGCATCGTTTCTGCTACGTAAATAATGTCTTCATTTTGAGGGGATAGTACAATGCTGCTTGGGAATGCGAGACATTCGTAGGCCAATGCTTGGATCTGCTTAAAATCAGGCGATATGCAAAATACAGAACCTTTTGGATTCTCCAGTGATGTCTCTCCGAGAGGTCCGCTGTATTAAAAGTTCCAAATACAATACATGATGAAATTAAATTCTCTATCAACCACAGTATTCCGACTTGTCTGACCTACCTATCCGTGAAGAACATGCGTCCTTTTGAATCACATACAATATTATTCGGGCCAGTAAACGGCTTTCCTCTATATTCTCTTTTCACTACTCCTAACTGATTATTCTCAGGATCCAGTTGTTTAATGCACTGATCTGCTCCATCCGCTACATACAACACTCCTTCATTATTAAAACAAATCCCGTTCGGACCAATTCCTTTCGTTAATACAATAGGTGTTTGAGCTCGTTCATGATGAGGCAACAAAAACACCTCTCCATTCATTGAGCAGAAACATAAATTGGACTGTGCATCAAAGGTCGGTGCAGTAATGGTGGAACCCTTAATTTCTACAACTTTTTCCATTTTTTTTTAAATTGAAAATTTGATGCTGTCCACTCACTTCTTCAGATCTTATCTTCTTAATATGCCTATGGTCACTTTACATCTGCCTTCGGCGATGGCCGTGCAGTTTGCTTTGCTTTTTTGCATGGACAACTTCTTTGACATTGGCCTGTACATTCCCATTACCTTTTCTTGGGTAGGTTGTCTTCATTGATTTGGCTTTCAAATTCCTTTTGTGCTTGTATTCGGGATGAACAACTTATGTGGATTCTCTACATATTTCTTCCTTTGTAGAATATTCTTCAATCCTTCTTTCTCTTCTTGTCATAGCCTGCTCTACTCTACTCATTCTTTACTTTGAATAGTCTGACATGTTGAATATCATCAGACTCTGTGGCTACTTCCGTCATACGACTGGGAAAATCATAGCGTTTTGAAGCCATTTTGCAGATAGAGTTGTTGAAAGACTCATTTGCCTGGGTATTCGCTGATTTCATATAACGTGAAGAATGTTCAGCCAGTTCATCAAACACTTTTTGCGAAGAACTGATCCAATTGGCTTTAGAATTCTTACACTGTTCGCCATCACCATAACACTCATCGTGATCACCACACCAATGTTTAACATTTGCCTTTAGCATAGTTTTCAGCACAGTAGAATTGTTGTTGGCCACAGAAACAGCTACTTTGAACGCCTCTGTACTTCAGATGATTGGAATAAACGCAACGGTTTTTTTTGTTTTCCATCAACTACTTCACGTCAAGACTTCGTAATGTGGAGAATCATAGATGACTGTCTCTATGACGCACTTGTTGTATTCAGGTCGTTTGATGATGTTTATTTGTGACTTGCCACCATTGTAAGTTGCGAATTTTACTTCGTCTCTGTTGATTCAAAATTAGTCATGACAAACATGATGGCTAGAATATCTTGAAAGGTTGCTCGTAATCTTTCGTAATCCTGGAACTGATAAAACAGAGACACCTTAATGTGATGTGGAAGTTTGGGTGATCAGAACAGCCTAACGCTGACCATTAAGCCTCTGAAAGTAGCTTAACTTACCGTCAGATCCCAGCGAAAAATTTTAAATTTAAAAACAAAATTTTACAAAAAATTTCCTTTTCTGGTTCGACCTTAAGATTGTCAATTTAATGTCATCAAAGAAGTGTCACATTACATGTTTGGAACGCTATCGAGATTTGGGAATCCGGCAAAACAGTCAGCTTCAATTCCACATTCATTGACTCCACGCTTAATCTTGAAAAAGCCGTCCAAACCCCAATCAGCAGACCACTAGAAATTATGATTCAATAAACCGTTCAATGCTCGATAATCATCTTCAACAAAATTACACTTACAGAGTTTGCAACCAACCAATACTTGACTCCATTTTCAATACCATAACCAACAATCTTGACGGCATGACCACCCAAGAAGGAACCAGTTTCATGAGCTATTATGTGAGTTCACGTATTTTCACATCAATAAAAATCAAATGCAATTCATGGTTAAATATATGAATGATCACGTTCACAAGGATATTGTCCAAACAACACTTACTATAGACTCCACTCTTGTACTAAACAACCGTCACCATAAAATCACAAAATCCATCATGGTTACAAGTCAATCACATCAAAAAACTCCACTACTTACGGACATCTAAATGAATTATTGTTCGCACAAAACCCCACGTTAATACAGAACCAAAAACACTGAAGTACTTACAAAATCTTGATAAACAGAAAATCCTGTCTGAACTGGTCCGTTGGTAACAAGTTCATTCATAATCTTCTCTTCCTTAATAAAGAAACCACCAATAGATCCAACTTCATACCATGTCTTGGCCTTGTACTTTTGAGTGTTAATATCAATGTTGGTACCATTGCAATACTTTGGACAACTTGGAGCAACTCCATTTCCACTGACGTAAGGCATGCATGAATCAGGAACAATACCAGTATGTTCGAGGTACATCCAAGCTATTTCATGTTTGATCAAGAAGAAATTGTTGGTGACACAAATTGAAATGATTTGAAAACATACCAAGCCACAAAATTCCTCCCTGTGAGATTTGTGAGAATATAAATGTTATTTTTTCCCATTGCCAAAGGTGTGATCAAAGTTGATCAAACATCACAGTGTCGCATGTGTCAGTTGTGAAATTAAATTCCACAAATCTACTTACGTCACATCCATTGTTGTACCAATTGCAAGAAACCTAATGAAAGTTCAAATTCAATAAACACACAACCGTGGGTGTCAATGACATTAAAAATTTTCACAACAATATTCACACAAACATACCAAATCTAATGGAACATGATTGTCATTTTAAAACATGATTGTTGTGGTGTACGTACCTTGTGGTGACAAGACAACATTCACCTTTTTTGGTTGATTCAATGTAGCAATACAGAATCGATCTGACAATACCTCAGAGGCAGAAAAAGCCCAACAAGATCCACATTGTTGTTGATTACGAATTGGATGAATACAGGTTGGCCATTGTTGACGAGCATCAAAATTATCTGGGAGTGCTGATGCTTGTCCTTGCTTGGCAGCATAGTATTGGTTGACGAGAGCCATTTCATCTTCCGAGTAACGGATGGTTGGCTTCAAGCCTTTGAGACCCAACATCTTTTTGACATCACCAATAGTTTTACCGACAAATCTCTTATTGATTCCGGATTCCCAAGTAGTACGTTTTCTACGAATGTGTCTGATGATATCTAAATTCAAAGCAGGAGAAGAATCATCGTCTTGAACTAATAATTTAGCATGGAGGAGAGCAGCTGCTGCAACCAAAAGCAAAAAGCACACCAACAGGAGTTTGCAAGTTTCATATTTTTGAGTGATGCTCCGCGTCTTCGGAGGTGAGGCCCCGATGAAATTCTCAAGCATTCAAAGATAAAAAATCTGTGACCTTGCATTCAGTCATTATCCATGCTGATCGTTAAATTACACTCCTGTATTGAAATTAGGGTAACCCTATTTTATGTAATTTTAAAACTAATTGAAAACAAGGGTCCTTTTCAATTTCTTTTTTTGTGCTTTCTGTTTGAGTTGAGTTAAATGGTCTTGAATTTTCTTGGAATGATGGCTCGAGCAACATTCTCTTGGTGGAGATTGTGGAGGAATGACATAGATAGGTAAATCTGAACGTCCGTGGTTTGGAAATGCAGATCCCAAATTCAAGGTTATTTTCGGTGGTGTTCCTGGACTCTTTTCTGGTGAGTCTAAAAAGTTGATGTTGTTTGGAGGGGAGGAATGAAGTCTTTGCAACGGGCTCAAGAACTTTCTCATGTCACGAGGTTGTTTTACATGAAGTGATGTTGGTAAGGAGAATTCTTCTCGTTGCAAGACTGTGTTTCTCTTTCTCACAACGGGAACCGTTTGGGTGGCTTGAAGAGTGGCTCGATTCCTCAATGGTTGTGAATGAGGTGTTGCATTTTCTTTTTTCAAATAAGGAGATGCTCCAATCCTCAGAGCATCTGTACCAATGGCTGATGAAGACGTACGTGTTGCAGCGTTCATGCTTGAATGCAAAGAATCTCTTTCGTCGACAGCTTTCATTTCAACGGTTAACAATGATGAGGAACATTTTAGCTGTTTTTTCGGATTTGTTTTTTTAAATAAGGGAGATTGATATGTGGGTGTAAGGTATTGACGTGTGTTGGTGTTGGTATGCGAAGTGGAGGAAGAAAACAAAGTATCGGGAATTTGATCTTTCAATTCATGAATTACTTCATGTTGTATGGAAGAAATTGGAGCGGTTGATGATGATGATATTACATGGGAAGAGGGTGCTGAATTTGATACATTAAGGGTGGGTGAGGTAATAGAAGAATATGCGGCGGTTGCTTCGTTCGATCTTGAAATCAAGGTTAATGTCTTGGGAGGAGAAGATCCAGTGGAAGCTCTTCGTTTTGAGTTCTCAAAGCACGAATAATTGGAGAGAAGCTTTCTTCGTGCAATCTCTCTTCTGCAGAAAGCGCACAATCTACTATACTCACTCCAATGTAGATCATCAATATTTGGAACCCTCTCCCGACAACTGCATTCACTAAGAAACGATGAGGAGGATGCACTTCCCATCCGAAGCTTTAAAGAAATTTTTTTAAGGATTAGTTCTCAACGACGAACGAAAATGAGAATCATCATCTTTTGGATCCTTCACTGCTCGGAATCTCGATATCCTTAATGATCAAGCATGAACATCTATTAAGGAAGGAGCTGAGCCTCTAAAAGTGTGTTGTTTAATTCGATAGATCAGCACCAGCTCCCCAAAAAAAATGCCCAAAAAGCCTTCAATTCATTCCGTTGAGAAACAAATTCTTGAACACAAAGTGAATGTTCTCTCCAAGATTGGACAAGAGAGAAATCAATATGGCTACAAAAAGTATCGGGAACGTGAAATGATAGCTCAACAAAAACCATCCATGTACCTCCGATATAAACATTTATATAATAAGGATTTGGCTCAAGAGGAAGATGATGTGTTTAAATCATCCGGAGGAATTGATTCCAAAGATGATTTTTTGCAAGAAATTATCAATCCCGATAGTTCAAAGAACAATGAAGAGGATGACTTTTTTATTGATCCTGAAAAGATGAGTAAAAAGAAGGAGAAGAAGCTTGCCAAGCAATTAAAATATAAACAATTTGAAGAAAAGAAATTTACGACATTGGATGGAGAAGTGATTAATTTTAATGACGCTTCCGAAAAGGGCAATAAGAAGAGAAAGAGAGAATATGGAGAGAATGTGAACACTCCTGATTTACAAACTCAAAAGCGACTGGATCCAAAAAGTTACAAGAGAACGTCAATTTTATTCCAATACCACAAAAGTCAAACAAATTGTTGAAGAAAAAGAAGCTGAAAAAACAACCCGAAAACTCGGAAGATGAATAATTTATTTGGAAAATATTGACAACCGATCATGGTTCTTTCATCACTTACACACCATTTTGCTAGAATGCTTGGTATGAAGTATCAACAGCTCGTTTCTTTGAAAACTTGACTCGAAGAAAGCATATACAAAGAATAGTACCAGCGCATAGAATAAAGAGGCCTAACAAGGAGCCAATAACAATTGGAGCAATAAAGCTAACGGAGTTTTCAATACAGTGAGAAGGTCTGACAGGTTGGCCGACTGACATTAAAAAACCAGGATTGCACTCTGTGACACGACAAATATCAGACAAGTAACCATTAATGCATTCTCGAACTCCAACTCCATTAGGCACGTCACAACCTTGATTCTGACTGCATTGCAGGGATTGCTCAATTGCGACAGCAGAAATGTTAAAAGTTGTGCCGCTTGTTCTGCTCGTCATGGTTCCACTCAATTTTGAAAAAACACACAAATTTCCCAAGGTCCTCACTTGAGAGGCGTCTAATTTCAGTGAAAAATCATAGAGCGTTTGTTGGAAAGTCATGTTTCCATTCCACACGTCTCTAAAATATCGTCCATTCATTGAAAATGTTTCCGAGTATGCAAACCAATCATAGGTTTCTTTGATGAGAATAGTTTCTGTTGTCATTGCAGCACCATTGACATTGAAGATTGTAAAATCCCACTTTCCAATCACATGACAATGTTGTTCCAAGTAATACTTGATTGCGAGGAACGAGTCTCCGTCTCTCAGCAATCCATTATGAGAATTAAACGAAGAAATTCTTTGCGTAGCTTCCAATCCATCAAGCATTGCAGAGGTAAACGTTGCTACTCCATCTCCACTTGTATAATCTCCCATCGAATATTTAATTTGTGAAATGTTTGAAATGGTAAGGGATCCATCTGATTCTAATTGAATACCAGTTCCTGTTAATGAAACACTGAGTGCAGTTCTTCTTCCTTCTCCAAAAATATTATAGAAATATCTTGGTTGAAACGATCCATAAATATCTTTTTGAAAATTATATATCTGTCTAATGACAGAATTTTCAAGCTTGTAACTCAGAATATCAGCTCGAAATGGAACAAGTTCTGATTGTACATTTCCATTCATTTCACTTGTATATTCAACCTTATTGTCTTTGAGAAAAGTGTCAATGGCTTCAATCATTGTTTGATCTTTCACATCGACACCGTTCACACTAATTTTACCCTCTCCATTATTTCCTTTCAAGCTCAATGCCATTCTCTCATAGAATGCAATACTTCCTAAAGAGACACTCCTCACGACCAATTCATTCAATTTAAAATTATTTAAATTATTTCCAAATAATGAAGAAACAACCCAATCCTTTCCAGTTCCTTGCCAAGGAGAACCAAATGCAATATAAATATTCACATACGATGAAAGAGAACCATCTTCAACAAGAGAAGATTTTGTAATATAACCTCCCATGCTGTGTGAAATAATATTGACCTTATTTGATTTGGTTTTTGAAGCAATTGTTTTCACATAGGATGCAAGTCCCAATGCTGTTTTAGTAATGGATTGTCTCCAATCGTATGGGAATGCAAACAATGTTTGTCCTTCTTCATATCCTAATGAATTTTTTAAATAATTAATCATGTCATGAAAATAGAAACGATCTGGACCATTTCCTTGTAAAGATCCAGGATTTAAATTGTCAATAGCAAAGAGACCTGATCGATCCATTGGAGATGTTAAATCCCATCTGAATTTTATCATTACAAATGATTTTCATTTTGATTTTAAAATTTTCAAGTAAACAAATACAATATTACAAATATAATATATGGTCGATATATTATTCAAATATTGTCGAGTATGTTGTATATATGCATTGATTTTCTCAAAAATCACTTACTGTTCATCATCTGCAACAAATGATTGCATTGTATTTGAATTAATAATTTTACATGATAAATACATGAAATCTTGTGTGGAATTTGGATACGATTCATAGAGATGTTTTACAAGTTTACCAGAATTTCTGTCTGATGCTGAAATAATGCTGGCAGCATATCCGGGAACGAGAATGAGTGGAATTTGAGGTTTTAATTGTTGTTCTTGATGAAGAGAAAGAGTGGCAATAACGAATGAAGTGTGAAAAAAGAGTATATACAATGCTAGCGATAGAAAAACAAGTAGTGAGAAAATACTATTCGCTACTGAGACGGATTTCGGCCTTGTCATCGTGATGTGAAAAATTGTGTAAGTATAGAGGAACTTTTTGAATATTGATGATGGCAATTTAGAAATGATAATAAATAATTTATAATATATGATGAAGTTATTCTAGACAATGACAGAAATGTCTTTCAATTTTTTGTGAGAGGAATTTGTGTTACAATATTTTCGTAGGTTCAACAATTTTCTACTTTTTCACTTTCAATGCCAAACAGATAGCATTAATGCAGTATCGAAGTTTAGTTTTGTCACGAGGTCCATCACTGAATACATGGCCCAAATGAGAGTGACAACTATTGCACACCACTTCCACTCGTTCCATTCCAAGAGTACTGTCGATAATGTAACCAATGGCTTTGGGTGCAACAGGAGCCCAAAAAGATGGCCATCCCGAGCCTATTTCATCATCATCACGAAGAATTTGATCGTAAGATTAGATCCACAAGCTGAGTAAAACATTTGAATCACTTACCCGAATCAAAAGACGTCTTTGCATTGAACAAAGGAGCATCACAAGCTGAACAATGAAAGACTCCTTCCTCTTGCTGATTTTGTTTTAATTGATCCTTGAATGTTTTATAGCCTCCACAAAACGATGGTTCGGTTCCGGCTCGTCTCAGCACTTCATACTGTTTGGAAGTTAAGATCTTCTTCCATTCTTCATCGGTTTTTTGGACTGTAGGAGGAGGAAGTTGATTTTCGTCCTCTACAATGACAGATTCATCCGTTTCTACTTGCTTGAGTAATTGTCTTACTTGGTCCGTGTAACCCATGATGAAAATAATCGCGCTGCGTGGTAGTAAGATGAGGGAAGAGGATGATCTAGTAGCGATCAGAAGCTTAACCAAATTGAATTCGATTCAAAAAACAAAAGAGAGAAACTTTTTTTACGTTGGATTTGACCATCATTGATCACCACAAGCCTTTGATTGTATCAACGATCGCAGCGATAGGTTCATCATCAAGTATACGACTGAAAATAATATTGAATGTATTCGGATTCATTTGGAAATTAATCCTTCCGAATTGCTCCTCTCTCATCCTCAACGACAATTCCTGTTCAAGCCATTCAGGAGTTTGCTTTTCAAAAATATCATCAACCGAATACAAATTGGTTGTATTTCTGGTTCATTCGTTTTACAGTTATTGTTGTTCACCTGTAATCCTCTGATCAGTTCCTAATTTCTCCAAAAACAAGCTCTCTTTTATCTCTCATCAAATTCATAACGCGATGAACCCTGAAGCAGCAACGTTTCAAAAAATGGCCCAAAAGCCGATGGTTGCCTACGGGCTCGATAATTTTCGATGTGATAGTGATGATGACGAGGAAACACAAGAAAAGCCAAAGATTGAACTCAATCCTGTTGAACAAAAACCTATTCCACCCAAGAATGAGTTTACTTCTAATTTACAAATTTTGAGAGTCGAAACTCATTATGATCTCTCTACGCCGTTGGCTCAGAAAGCGAGTAAGTAGTAGTGGCAATTGTGAGAGAACTGAACATCATTGCTCACCGTTCATCATTATCACGGAATTTGAAAAATCGAATATGATATCTTCTCGATCAACAGTAAAAGGAACTTCATCAGGACACACACAAACGTTCTACATTGGCCCAAATGGACTAATTTTCAACGATGACGACTCTTCCAATGATGCTAAAAAGAACATGAATATTCCATATGACGATTTGGAATGTTACAAAATGGGACTAGGGGCTGGTGCTTTCGGATCTGTTGTACTCGCAAAACACAAACAAACAGGTCAAAAATTTGCCCTGAAAACTATTAGAGAAAGAAAAGGAGATAATGTATTCTCAGACGACGATGAATCAGATCAAAACAAATTGATTTGGGCTGAATTCAAAGCCATTTACGAAAGTGATCATCCTAATTTACTCAAAGTGCACAATTGTTATTTCAGAGATTATTGTTTTTATATGTTGTTAGATTTTTGCAATTGTGGAAGCTTGAAGGACGTATTCAAAATCACAGAGGGAACCACGGAGCGAATGATGTCTGTAATTGTGGAGAAGATCCTAAAAGGTTTAAACTATTTACAAAAAGAGAAGCATATCATTCACAGAGATATCAAACCAGAAAATATTTTGGTGGATTATGACCTGAACACCCAGCACGCAGAGGTAAAGATTGGAGATTTTGGTTTATGCGGACACAAAAAACTTGACATCAACTCTGATTTAGGAAAGACCATGTTCAATACTGTGAACGGTACAACAATTTATCTATCGCCTGAAAGACTTCAAGGATGCTCGTACAATTACAACTCCGATATTTGGAGTTTGGGCGTATTAACTATTGAATTGATGACAAAAGTTCATCCTTTGAGCACTCTTCCAACACTCTCCCATTTTGACATTGTAGACAAGCTTGAAAATATACAGAATGATATCTCTGAAATAATAGAAAAATACAATGAAACCACGGAAAAGAAGTTGAGCCCAGAATTCAGAGACTTTGTCTTAAAATGTTGCGAGCCTGAAAAAAACAAACGACCATTTGCTGATGAACTTCTCCGCCATCCATGGATTACCAAGTTTAAGGACGGAAAAAATAATGAAGAATTATTCTCGCTGTGGCTAAAACAATTTTTCATCAAGAAAAAGAGCATCACTAAATAAGACTAGCAATACGTCGAATTGGACAATGATTGGAGAAACTCGTTTGTCGAACACAATAACTAGAATATGTACAACTTTACTCATTGATGACATTTACGTGTAATTCGAAATGGTGTGAAAGCGTTAATCATGTGTAACAGGACATATCACTACTAACATGTACGATCCCTAAACTCATCCTTTCTAAACTCGAAACTATTATTATTATGTTACAAGATATCCTTCTCTCTATATCTCAACAAAGTATTTCTGATTGAGTCTAAGGCTGTGAAGTTTTGTCTCTTCTCCATCTCCTCAAATATCAACTTGAGGTCGTCAATCGAGAAAATGTTTGTTTTCCGATCAACCGTCACTCCCTTCGATTCCTGTTCCTCTCTTTCAAGCAAATGCCCAATAGTATTGAAAATATGCATGGATTTCAATAGCCCCAATTGAATGACATCACGATCTCCAAAAACATCACACAGAGTCTTGTATGACAATTTCATTGCATATCCTGAAATTCTGTCGAGAATGTAAGGCAATTCCTTATCTCTGTTTTTAACACATGTGAGCACAAACTTGACCATGTGATACTCTCGATCTTCTTGAGTCTCACAATTACCAATTAATCTTTTGAGAACTTGCAAAGTATGAGGATTCATGGAAGGAATGCCTAAAAATCCCTCAAAGAAAATATTTGGGCAATTCAAAATGAAGTATTTGAATCGTGAGTAGAAGTATCGCTCTACCAGTTGGTTTTCAGCGGATTGCTCCATTTCTTGCTCTTCCTTATCGATAATTGGTAACAAGGTCGCTTCTTCCTTGTCAGTCTCTTCGAACACACGAATTGGAATAGAATTTAACTCGAGAGACAATTTGTTGAACGACTCGGTCATTTCCTCAATGTACAATCTCTTCATTTCTACAATCTTCTCCATCACATAGAAGAACACATTTGGAAGATCCTTCTCAACTGCAATCTCAATCATATTGTCCATCTTCAAGACCTTTTCTTTAGCATCCAAAGGACATGTATGACTCTGTAAATAATCACTGAACAAGGTGTTTGCAGAATTTAAATAATCCAAATGAATCATTTCACCCAATAGAATTGAGAACAAATCAATATGATGGAAAATACTGTAAAATTTCATATCTGTGAATTGAAGAATTTCACCAACATCTCTCGTATTGAGAGTTCTAAAGACAGCATAGGTCATGAAAGGATGTTTCAACACTTCCCACAAAATTCCTTCACAGCCGTGTTGAGCAGCCAACACTTGCAAGATTGGAGAGCAGTGAATGAAGAGAGAAATGTTGTACTTTTGAATCAATTCTGGAAGTTCTTTTCTGGTTTGATCTTGCTTGTTTTTACTTCTTAGATGTTACATGTGTTTGATGGTCAGCATTGATGATTTTCATACACTCTTGAAACTTACCCTTTGATCCAATTCACTAAGTACGTATGAACAACCTTTTCATTACCAAGAAAGTGATTTTGTAAAACTGCTTCTCTTGCAGCAGAGTTCACCAAACTGAATTGATATTTGAAACATTCATAAGGTGTGAAAAACTTGGTGATCTTCTTGAATACATCAAAGAATGGATCGGAAGTGGTCAATGGGCCAGGTGCTTCAATGATATCTTCCAACTGAACAGGAATGTATTCAGAAGAGGTTTTCAATTTTGGTTTCTCTGCCAGATGTGACGCATGAACCTTCTTGGGAATTTTATGAGAAGTTGTGTCGTGAACATGATGATGATGATGTGCATTCTGTTGCACGAGTGGTTTATCAGGCATTTTGAACAAAGTCGAGTACTGAAGTTTTTAACATGTTGAACAAGCAAAATCATGAGCAGCAAAAAAGGTTCTCAAGAATGGAAGCTGTTAAAGGAAATTTCACAAATTGAGAGGAGGACACAAAAATATGCATTGCCCTTTTATTTTACAGTTTCTGGTGTACCATGGTCTTTGGTTGTGTTCATTTGTTAAAAAAGATCAATTAATTAATTTCTTCATTGTTTTGTTGGACAACTTTTTGGGTGGTTTCTGTAAAATGGTGATCGAATTCCAATAACATTTGCAACAATGTGTTGCTATTCTCATTTCACGTGTGAATTGAGAATTAGTTGTTGCTCGTCTTTGGAATCTCTCAAGAGAGAATAATGATTACAAAATCTCACTTTGGACGCGCGAGGACTGAACCGACCTAGCGGCCAATTCCCCAAATTAAGACAAATTCGATGCATTGTAATTGCAAACTCAACTCCAAAAAAATATCACACTATGGACACTCACACCCATCCTGTTTCACCTCTCTTCTTGAATGAGAGTGCTGCTTCGTCACAATTACCATCCAATGGATCCAAGTCAACCACAAATCAAAACTCAAATGCATATTTTGATGAAGAGAGATCTCAATCCAAGGCTGTTTCCTATGAAGAGTTACACGGAATCAAGCCAGTCGACATGGACAAGAAAATTCAAGTTACTTACAATAACTATATCATGACTGATTCATTGTTAACATTGCAAGGTGCTGATTGTAAGGGAGGATTGACTCATCATGGTACGTTTTCGGAGATGATTTATTTTTTGCAATAATCATGATGATGAATGCACATGCATTGCTATGCCTATTGCTGTGCCCTGTTGGAATCTGATGAAACACCGTTCTTGTTGCTGAATCGAATGCATTTGAATTGTTGATCGTGTCATTCCATATCGGAATTAATCCTTTCAATAACTGTTTCGAACATGGCCCTTTGATTACAAATCACAGACGAACATTTATTTATTGTTGTCCATCAAAGCTTTGAACTGTGGTTCAATCAAATTTTGTTTGAAGTTGAGAGCATTCAAAACATTTTGAAGAAAGTGTTCAATTATGCCAAAGAACACCCTAATGAAGATGTTGACCTCACTGTTGAAAATACTCAAATTCTAGTTCATAGATTAGAGAGAGCAGATCAAATTCTTCGTTATTCACTTGGTACATTTGATATCTTGGAAACTATGCATCCTGCAGATTTTTTGGAATTTAGGTATGTTTGTCACAATTGAGCTAGCATGTGCTATTGACCTGTCATTTGGAATCTTACTTTCATTGAATGTCAAACCATTGCAATGACCATTTGGAAATTCCAAATTTTCACATTGTGACTTCCTTATTCACCCAATGCATTGAGCACAGATCTGTTATTGGACCAGCAAGCGGTTTCCAATCTGTTCAAATGAGAGAATTGGAAGTCATGATGGGATTAAGGGATTCCAATCGTAGAATGTGTGGAGGAAGAACAAGCTATGAAACCGATCTTCAACACGACATTTTTGGATTAACTCGTTTGAAGAAGAGACAACAAGAGATGAGCATTAGAAAATTGGTTTATCGGTGGCTTGAAGAAATTGTCTATCCCAAAATTCCAGGAACAGAATTTATTTCCACCTTTTTGGAAAGAAAGAGAGAGAATTTAGCATTCCAAAAGAGTCGATGGTTCAATCCAGAAACTGAAATGGCAATTATCGAACAACATATTGAGAAGGAGATGAAGCCCGCAAGACAATGGATTACCATTGAAGATCAAGATTTTCACGTCAAACAAAGAACTGCCTTCAAGGTCAATAGTAGTGGAGCTCGTAGTTCTGGTGGATGTCCATTCTTTTCTCAACAACAGTCTTCCATGATGGATGGAGAAACCAAGCAAGAAACTTGCCCTGTTACTTCTCAAAGTAATGGATCTGAGAACATTGTTCCTCCAAAGAGATCTAACGAAGAGAAGATTGAACGTATTAAGAAACGTCGTGCTGCTATTTTGTTCATTATGAGCTATAGACATCACTATATGCTTTTTAATTATGCCAACTTACTTGATCGTTTGGTTGCATTAGAGGAATCTTTGCTCATGTGGAGAACTCGTCATGTTCGCATGGTAGAGAGAATGATTGGAACTCGTACAGGAACAGGTGGTAGTTCTGGTGTTGACTATCTTGAAGGTACTCTCAAGTATCGTGTATTCCTAGATCTGTGGGAATCAAGAAGTCACTTTATTCAAACCACTGCACTTCCAAAGATTCAATACAAGTCTGATATTAACCAATTTGTATTTGAAAAGTAAGAGAGAAAGGAGCTTATAAATAAGCTTTTTGTAGCAAAAACAGAATTCCTCTTTCAAAAATTTTTGTACGACATCCTTTTGACAAACTCAAAAAAATTATCATGATCACGTCATTGCTCCATGATGAATCGAAGAATACCGACGAGTCAAGTACTGAAACGTCGTCAGGAGAGATTGTCAAGCCCAAGCATTCGGAGCTGGTTTCTCAAATAATTTCAGATGATATTTTGAAAGTATTTTTCTCTGACTCCTGTAACAACAACATCCAACAAGTCTTTTTTTCGTCTGCAATCAAAAAGATTATTCTCACAGAAGGAGAAGGCGATGTTCTTGCCAATGAGCGATCCAAAGTGAGATGTAAGTTGTTGTTGACAAGACTTTTGGAATTTTACTTTCAAAGATCGTCACTGTTCTAAACTATTTTACAAAACTTCTTCAACTCAGAGTGAATGGAACACACACATCTTTCTTGACAATGGCTTAAAACAAGAGCGAGTCCTCCACAACAAGAAGTTGTATCCTATTCTTCTGAAATGTCTCTACACAATGAAAATGAATGAAAAAGCCATCTTTATGATCCCACAAAAAGTTTGTGCAGAAATTGACAACACCATCTTTATGTCAGAGTCGAAAGAAAACATTTCTCTTTCTTCATGTTTTCAATACTTGTATTGTCAATACTTTGAAATTACGTATTTGGATTACAAACCATGCCAACAAGTTTTTCTGAAAAGTTGTTGGAAATTTCACAGAATCGACAAGCTGCCAATGACATGTATAGACAAGCCATTCAAATGAAGATTCAAAAAGATGAAAGATTCAAAACTCAAATCAAGAAGGCTTTATACAAGTATAAGGATACACTTTTTGCAATGGAAGAAATTCGATTCGAAGGGCCAGACGAAAAGAAGTCCTATTTCGAAGAAAAACACAAAATTCAACTCAATTGGCAAAAGTCAACCTGGAATTACAGGAATTTCAAAAATGCATGCAAATATGTGAACGGGTCTTACATTTTTCTCCAAACCATCATGAAGCTCTTTATCTCATTGCAAGATCATGTTTAGAAATGAAAGACACTGAGAAGGGATTAATATATATAGAGAAGGCACTTTTCAATATCCAGCAACACAAAATCCAGTCAAAAGGCCAATCTTCAAAAGAAGAAGATCTTGAAAAGAATATGAAAATAGTACAGCAACGTTTAGAGCGATTGAAAAAAGATCAATATCAACAAGAAATGAAAAAGCAATCCAAGACGAAAATGTTTGGAGATTTATATCGAGATACCATGGAGGACAATTTCGAAGAGTATCACAGTTTTGATGAAGAGGAAATATTGTTTGACAAGGATTTGCAGATGGAAAGAACACCCTTAATCTTCTTCAATGATGGTCAAATTGTTTACACACAAAAATAGTGCCATTTTTTGTGTGAATATGGTGTTGTAATATAGAGGAGTGGACTGAAGGTGTGAAAGAGCTGAAGATATCACATTCCTTCACACTTTCGTTTTGCACTTTTCGAATCTTTGTCATTTTAACTTTGACAAATTGGCAGCACGACAACCCACACGAATAAAATGTCTCTCTCCGAGGAAGTATCAGTAGAATCGTTGTGTGATCATTTAACCACGACATTGTCTCTTGAAAATCTCCTCGAGAAGGAGAGAACATTCATCAACCAATCACTTCAAGAAAAATACGAAAACGAAAAGCACCAATTACAGCTCATTGAACAAGAACGTTATGAAAAATTCAAACAAGAACAACCACATGAATTCTCAAAACATGTGGAGCTAGTTCGTGCCATTCTCAAGATCAATTGGAACAAAATACGGTCAAAATCAATGTCGGAGGCCAGACGTTCATGACCACATTGCGCACCATCAACAAGCGAGAAAATTTAATGAAAGTGATGATGACCTCGGAGTTCATGATTGAAAAAGATGAGAATGGAGCGATCTTATTTGCAGATAGAAATCCTTTTTACTTTAACATGATTTTAGAGTTTTTGAGAACAGGTAGGAGGTTGATACGTATTTAATATTTATTATAATTTTATTACTGGCATGGTCAACTCAAGGCTCAACAACTCATATCGGGCTATGGAAGGCTGATAGTGAGGTCTCTATGAAGCATTTGGTACAACTGTTTGAAGAGTCCAACTACTTTGGATGTGCAAAATTAAGCGAAGCCATTCAAAATAGACTTAAAAATTGTTCATTATTTAGAGAAGATGAAGATGATGATGCATGTATCACACACTCATTTCTTGAAAATCATATACGAGTAGAAGAGGATGTTGAACCGGCGAAGTCTGAGAAAATTATTTCTTTCAACGTGCGGGGGCAATTACTTTACCCTATTGCCATTGAGAAACTGGTAAAACATTCAGAAAGCCTGTTTCCATCTCTTCTCAAGGAAACCAATGAAAATACTATTTTTCTAGATAGAGATCCGTTGGTGTATCATATCATCTTTGACTTTTTGGAAACAGGTCGATTTGATGAGATTTGCAAGCAAGACCAACAAGTGAAAACACAAATTAAGAAGGAAGCAAAAGAATTGAATCTTTTAGAATTGTTGGAATATTGGAATATACTTCGATATCACATTGAACACCTTGGATATAGCAATAGAAGAATGAAAGAAGAAGAAGATTTATTGAGAAGGTTGTTTGTTTCTGATAGAGACCATGAAATTCTTCAAAATCCATATTTGCATTTGCTGAATGTATTTGACGCTAATCAAGAAGCATTTATGATGAAAAACCCTCCTAAAGGGATTGGTTTGTTGTTTGATTTTGAAAATCCAATGGAAGCATCCAAGTTTAAAGTCTCCAAGCCCTCTATTCCACATCTGTGTCCTGATTTTGAGACCTTTCAGATTCAGTTCGACACTCTCACTTGTGGTATTTTTGATGGCATGAACTGGGAGAATGTATTTTGTGCAGGTGGTTGTGTTTTACGGGCCATCCTTGCAACCCCATTTGCCAACTCTTCCAACAATCCAATCACTGATTCTGACGATGAATTAGATGATGGAGATGTATCGGAGGCAACTATGGACGAGCTTGAATTCTATTCAAATGATTTTAACAGAAAAAAGCATGATCAACACAGTGCTACCTGTTTTGATGAAAATTTCCAGAAAAAACTAATATCATACTACAACAAACACGAACGATGGAGTAACACGGATATAGATCTCTTCTTGTATGGACTCACAGAATGTGAAGCAGAACAAAAACTTGTGGACATTTACAAACACTTTAAGAAAAGGCTTCGAGCCTTTAAAAAAGCAACAAACCAACCAAAAGCTTTTACTGACATTATGTTAATCAGGACATCCCATGCCCTTACTTTTAGATTTTATGAGCCCGTTAGAACAGTCCAAGTTATTTTACGTATCTACAAAAGTCCATCTGAGATTCTTATGGGTTTCGATATTCCTTCTTGTTGTTTTGGTTATGATGGCAGTAACGTGTATTGTCTTCCAAGAGCAAAGGAATCATTGGTCACAAGAACTAATATTGTGGATCCAGATAGACAATCCACCACGTAAGTGAAGAAATATGACAATTTTATGAATGAATAATATTTACCTATATAGTTATGAGTCAAGACTCGTAAAATATGCATTGCGAGGATTTCGGATTGGAATACCAAACTATCAACCCGCTAAGGTTAAAGCGAATAATTTTGTCGACGACGAGTGTAGAAGGAATGGTTTGGCAAAAATTTTATGGCTTCAAAACCGTTATTCATTCACACTATCACACCCTGGAATACTGACCTCAGCTTTTGACATTTCGTCGCCTTCGCCAAATCACGACTACTGTATTGTGAAAATACCAAAAGATCTTATTTCTCCATACTGGTTGCACAGTCGTATTAAGAGTCAGTACACCTATGCTGTTGAGGAGCTCAACCAACATCCTTTTTTTGATTTTACTTTGAATGACATTAATGGTATTTTGAACTTAGCATCCAACAGAAGTACATTGAGCGCAAAGATTGAATGGATCACTCTCGAGCCTACTCGTCAATATATTGGCAGTTTTAATCCAACAGACAGAAATTTTTTCAAGGATGCATATCAAACCAAACAATTCAAATATATTTGGGAGTTTAAAGAAGGAAAAAAAATATTCACACCATTTAATATCTCAGAAAGTATCTCTCTTGAAAGACACTACAGATTAAATCGATCATCGTTTGAAATTGGAACCAATAATCGTGTAGACTTTGAGGACATGGTCCAAATTATCAATGAAGATACTCCTGACGAAATTAGAAGAAAAGTGAGAAGGAAAAAAAAAGTATGCTCCCCACTCCAAAAAGGTGAAGATTAATTTAAATAAAATATATTCATTCGCCTTCTAATCAACAATTTGAACAAAACAAACAAATCGAACAAAGTGCTGATCTTGCAAACAAACACTCAAAGAGTGAAAGCCAGGGGAAATGTGCAGCTCAATTTAATTTCTTTTCACTGACCCGCCAAAATGTTTGAGCTTAAATTACAAACGCAAAAAAAATAATTGAACTCAACAGCAAATTCTCTTTCCACTCAATTACGAACAACAATAATATTTTACGGTGCAGTCGTGTTATCGATCCAAATTATTGTACATGCTACATGACGGAGGATTGCTTATGTTTAATGAAAGATCATCATCGGAATCGTTGGAGAAGGGGTTTTTGCGCCAAATCCCGATGACCTCAGAGGATGATGGCTCAAGCAGCTTTTTATTGAAAGAGTTATTGGAAACTTATAGCATCTCAAATGATGAAGAGATTGAATTTTCGGAACGGTGGAATAGTCACGGTGACAACATTTCCATAGACGGTAGGTATATTGTTGTTTTCATCAACAAACTCATTGACAAATTGAACAGAATACTCTGCGGAAGATGACGATTATCATCGTTATGTAGAAGAGTTTGACAACATTATACAAAAGAGACAAGTCCCAACGGTGATTCAAGAAGGTGATGTATTTCTGACTGCCATCGAAGATAAAGCTAGTTTTGGTATAGATGAAGATTTTGAGGAAATCCACAAAATGTTGGATCAAGATGATTTTGTAGAAGAATATCTCTCCACTGTGAATGAGCTCAAAAATTCGATTGTTACAGCTGTAGGTTATTATTTAGGTAAAAATACACTATCAAAAACATACATGCACCATATTGCGCAGATCAAAGAAAAGGTACAACATGTGCCAATTACTCGAGTTGAAACGCCAAGAGTTGTTAACAAATCACTGTCTTTGGAAAAGATGGAATCGCCTCGAATAACTGAATCGACAAGCACTAGAGATTCTATAGAGACACTCCATTTCAAATCATCTCAAAAGCCAAAACTGAACAAAGAAAAAAGTGCGTTCCAAGAATTATTATTGCAGTCAGAAATATTGAAAAGAAAATTTGAGGAAGAAAACATGAAGAGGATTGAAGAAGAACAAAGAATTGAAAAAGAGCTTCAAGAAAAAAAACGAAAAATCTTGGAAGAAAAAAGAAAACAAGAAGAAGAACGTAAACGAGAGGAAGAGCAACGAAAAAAGGAGTTAGAAGAGCAAGAACGAAAGCTGTTTGAACATCAACAAGAAATTCAGAGAAAAATTGAGATTGCAAACCAAAAAAAACAGCAAGAGCTTCTTGAAGAAGCAGAAAGGCAAACTAAACTGAAAGAACTTATAATTAAGAAAAAGGAAGAGCAAAAAATTAAGGAAGTGCAGGAAAAAGAACGGCAACGACTGGAGAATATTAAAAAATCTGAAGAAAGAAAGCGAAAGATTGAGCTAGACAAACAGAAAAAGGAAGAAGAACGGAAACGAAAGATGGAAGAAGAAAGGAGGAGAAAGGAGGAGGAGCAAAAGCGTCAAGAGGAAGAACGAAGGCGAAAAGAAGAGGAAGCATTGAAACTACAGAAAGAGCTTGAGGTTAAACGACAACTCGAAGAAAAGAAAAAAGAGCTTGCCAAAGCAAAAGAAAACAAACGAAACTTTATTGTTAAGACGATTGCTGAGGCACTACAAACTTCTAAGAAAAACAGCAAGTGGACAGTGTTGGAGCGGTTAACTTCATGGAAAAGTCATGTACAAAAATTCCTCAAATCTCCTCCCATTTCCTCCATGGGATCGACTCAAGATTTAAAGCCAGCTCAAGCAGCAAAGCTAAATGTTATTTTGGATGAGGACATTATCGATAACTCAATGCCTTTTGAGAAAGATAACTCTCAAGTCACACACATCAATATTCGAGGAGAAGATATTTCCTCAGCAAAACATAATTTATTTACGGCCTTTCCTAAAGTGAGGGCCCTTATTCTAGATACTAATTTATTTCAAAGCCTGTCATCTTTGAGCGGTCTTCCCTCACTAGAAACACTTTCAGTGAATGACAACCGGTTATCCACATTAGATATTCCAAGAGAGAGCGCATCAAAGTTGAAAGAGCTGTACGCTCTCGGTAATAACATTTCCTCGATAACACCTCTTAAAAACACGAATCAGCTCAGAAGTATTAATTTGTGCAATAACAAAATTCAGGATTTGAGCGGCATTCAGAATAACAAGAAATTGCAATATCTTCGAATTGATATTAACAAGCTTACGGATTTAAGAATTTTAGATGCATTCACCAATTTATGTTATCTTGACGTTGGATACAATGAGCTGGAAAGCATTGACAAATCACTCATGTTTAACCTTTTGTTGGAGGACATCATTCTGTATCAAAACAAAATCACTTCCATTCCATCATTCCATCACGTTCTCCTTAAGAGTTTGTACCTGAATTCAAATCAGCTGACATCCTTACCCCAGTCATTTCTATTTTCTCCGTTGATACAATACCTTAATTTGAGTGGAAACAAGCTTGAGCATCTTTCTCCACTTTCTAGCTGTATTATGCTTAGAAATATTAATTTATCATTTAACAATTTACAATCTATCGACGAGCTATTACATTTACGATTTTGTAGAAATGTTGAAGAAATGAAGTTGAATGATAACCCTATTGCTAGAGGTGTATTATACAAGGAGCTGTCAATTGCCTTGCTACCAAATCTTACAAATCTAGATGGCGAAGTAGTGAGCTCGCTAGCTCGACAGAATGTGTTCTCTCATTTCGTTTTTTACTCGCCCAGGTTAACTGGCCATGTGGTGTCATTCATTAATCACTCTCTCAAAAGATCAGTTCCATCCATTAACAGTTCAATGTTTAGAGACAATCAATACAAATTTATGAGAGACGCTATCACTCTGGATAAATCTCAGAGAAGTCTACAATCTCTCAAAACGAACGAATGGAACACAAAAACAACCTACTATTACATGTGTTCACGACATATTAACGAACGATCACAATTTAGCAATTACCATCAATGTATTTCTTCAGAGAAAGTAACTGAGAAAAACTTTAAAGATGCACAAATAAGATTTTCAAGAAGACTTGATAACCGATTATCCCAATATGACGCAAAAGTGGATCAAAAGCAACAACACTTTGAGGAACATCTCGGCTTTAATCCAAAACGACACCAGAACGTTTTTACGATAAATGCTGAATACGAAGAAAAACTAAAAAAGCTAAATTCTGCCATTCTTATCCAACGATGGTTCAGGTTATGGAAAATAAGAAGAAAGAAGCGACTTAGGGAACGAGAAGAAAAGGCAGCTATTGAAATTCAACGAAACTGGAGAGGTTACATCACAAGAAAACATAACCTTGATTGGATCTTGCATGCATTGAACAAGCGACACAAAGCTGCAACAAAAATTCAGTCCGTGTGGAAAGGATACAGAGTGAGAACAATTCTGAAGAAAGCAAGACAATTTGAGGCAGATGAAATATTCGAACTGGAATCTGCAGTGGATGATATTGAATATCCCTCAAGCATCTTAAATGATTATCTTCCAATTAATATCAAAATACCTGAGAACAGAACGAAAAAGAAAATTGACGTCTATTATTACAACGTACATACAAAAACAAGTCACGGAGGAGATGAATCTATTAAGGAGCTTTATAGGAGTGCAAATCTAAACATGCCACAACAGTTAACGGAAGAAAATACTATCCCATCTCTTATTGTAAATAGATCCAACAATGAGGTAAAATCGAAAAATGGATGGATGGAGGAAGAAGATGAAGCTCATGATTCACACGAGTCCTCTCAACTTGCAATAGACGAAGGAAATACCTCAACCCAAAGCAGTGTCAGTTCACAAAAGTCATCCAACTCGAATCTTGAAGCTATCAAAAACACCTGGCATTTCAAGAATATTGAAACAGCAAAGGATTTATTCGCTAAAAACAGTCGAGTCCAAAAAATCAAAAAGCAAAAACAATTAAGGGAAGAAATGAAAGATCCTATGAAAAGATTGGAAATGTTTAAAAAGAAGTCAAGCGCAACAACTGCTACAAGTATTCAGACAAGCAAAAGCAAATCTTCTAACAAACAAAATCTAGCAACTCACACGGCTCACATTGATACAGACATGGAATTGAGGTCACTCTCCTCGTCAGAAACAGATTCACGACACTCTTCAGAAAATTTACGTCTTCCCAAAATCAACAACAAACCTCGTGGAAGGTAAGGCAGTAGTACCTTATTGACTTACAGTAATGGATTGGACATGATTTCTCAACCTTTTGATCCTCTTGCTCTCCCACAGTTTTTGTCAATAAAATTGGCTTGTGAACTCTATACGAACTGTTCTTGCATGAAATCTCCCTAGATGCCGTCTTCAAATTTGTATTTGAAGTTTTGAACGGTTGGTTATTATGATCAATTCGGCAATCTCTGGAACATCAAAATTCTATAAAAAAATGCAACCACTGCTAACCCGAATGAATCATGATCCTACTCTATTGGATCAGCATAATCATGTGCAAATTCCAGAAGAACACACTTGGTTTGAAATCCGTTTTAAGAGCCATGACGAAGAAAAACAAGAATTGAAAGGCTTGCTAGAGAGAATGAACGAAAAACCGCAAGTTCCTCTGCAACGATTGTTCCTGGTGAATGGACATCTCACTTCTGACACAATTCGGAATTTGGACAAGAATGGTTGTTCTAAAAATTTGCAACAGTTGGAGCTCATTGGCACTCCTCTCGATGATTTTACCTTGTTGCATTCATTCCTGGAAAGAACCTCATTCATGAAGAATTTGAGATTGGTCGGATGCAACCTCTCCGATGAAGGCTTGAAAGAATTGCTTGGACGAGACAATAACAAGTTTCTAGAGAAATTAGAATTATTAGATTTAACTGAGAATCAACTCACAATAGATGGAGTTTTGAAAGTGTTCGCTGAACACGCTTCTTCTCTCGCTTCTTTGAAATATCTCTTTTTGGAAAATAATTCATTTGATGAAGAAGAAATTGAAATGTGTCGTTCTTCGTTGAAAGAACTCTTTCCCTCGTTAGAAATTATGTTGTTGAAAAAGACAGATTTCTCTCTCGGTGAAGATGAAGTTTTTACTCAACAATTATTCAAATCTATTAACACGGTTTCAAGTCTCCTTCAACAAGAAGAAGAACATACTGAAGACAAAGACAGCACTACTCATAATGGTCTCTCAGCAGAGTACATGTACCAATTGGCTAACATTCTAGAAAATCCAAGTATCTTACCATTTGAATCCAAGCAAGTGACCCAATTATATTTCAAAGCGGCCTTGGCTGATTATCCACCAGCTCAATATCACGTAGGATGTATCTTTTTCAAGAACTATTGTGTGGACGACACAATCATTTATAATCCCATTGAAAGCAAATTCTTTTCAAAAAGTAATCGAATGGCACATTCATGGTTTGAAAAAGCAGCTTCTCATGGTTATGCATTGGCTCTTCTCAAACTTGCTCATTTTCATGAATTTGGTGTTTCTGGAGTTGAACAAGATGATGAAAAAGCATTTGAATTGACTCTTCGAGCAGCCCAATCTGAAGACTGTCCACAAGCATGGATGCAACTGGTGAAAGGTATTTGAGAGGTATTGGAACACAACCAAATGCGACAAAAGCTATGGAATACTTGACCAAAGCAGCGGAGAATGATCATAAAGAGGCCATTCAACTCTTAGCACGTATCTATCATCATGGACTGCCTCAGTCATCTTCTAAGGAAGGTGATGGCAAGACAGTGGTTAATGACGAAAAAGCATTGTATTGGTTTACAAGATTGTGTGAAATCGATCCAGAAAATGCACAAGCGTTTTACATGGTTGGTGTGTATCATATGGGAGCATTTGGTGAGTTTGAAAATCAAGACGTGCAAGAAGCAGTTCGTGCTCTCACATGTGCTGCAAGATTAGGTCACGGACAAGCTTGTTATCAATTGGGTGGATTTTGGTTACACATTCAGCAAAATCCAGAAATGTCCTTCTTTTGGTTTAGAGAAGGATCTCGTCTAGGAAATGAGGCTTGTGTGGAAGCTTTGAAACAATTCACTGTTGTTGACTCGAGAAATCCAGATCTGTGAACAACTTGGAAATTTTGGAATTTTACAAAAAAAATGGCACGAGGCAATCCGAACATTTTCGAGGGGCATAAAACGTTTCATCTCTTGACCTACAATACATTCCTCATTCATATGCTCATTGGAGAATCACCTCCCTATAAATCGGAACGAGTCAAGGGATTTTTACATCAATTAAACAATGATGAAAATCAATTGGATTTTGTATTTTTTCAAGAATTGCACCGATTTGGAAATGTTTGGTTCAAACTCTTTGATAATTCGCCGTATGATGAAATGTTGAATGGATTGATTCAAAAAAAAATTGGACAAAAACTTGCTTTCCATGTGGTGGAATCTAAAAAACCATTTCCACTCTGTCAAGATTCTGGATTGGTGATTTTGAGTAAATATCCAGTGTTGAAATCTGAAAATTACATCTTTAAGAGTACAACTTGGAGATCATATGTTACTGCAAAGGGTATATTATATGCATTGGTGATATTTCCTCAACACAGGATGTGTCTCAAGATGATTCCAGAGAGTCGAGGAACAATTCCAATAATAATAGAAAAACTCAAGTTGCCAACAACAACCAGCTATTACACTTATTCAACTTACACATGGAAGCTTTTGATGAAAATAAGAGACGTCTCCAAATTCAAGAATTGGTTCAATTTATTAAGGAATGTATTGAACCTTTTTTACATACTACAGAGGCTCCTCCAAGAATTATCATTTCAGGAGATTTCAATATTGACAGTATTAGAGAAGAAATGTACAACGAAATGATGAATCTGTTGAATACGGAAATTGGTTTGTGTCAAGATGTTTTTGGCTCAAAAGTTTCCGAGCATCCTACGACTTTTGCTGGAGTGTTGTGTTTGGATCATGTGATAGTGAGTGGAAATTTCAAAGCACAACTGAAATTGTGAATTGGACACACACGATGGAACAGCGAATCATTCCACTTTCGGATCATTCTGGAGTGCAGGTGAAACTTCAACTAAGATAGTTCATGATAGTCATTAAAAACAACCACAAAATGATTCACTTATTATTTGACTAATATCTGAACTGTCACATTGTAAATGATCTTAAATAAATTAATTTAAAAAATTGGACCTGCCAATCATTAAACATCTAACATGGCATCGACCACATTGGTAACCATGCTTGCAATAAGAGAGCGGTCTGGAATAGCCACAGCAAGACCATACACTGGTGCTGATCCCTTGACACTATCAGGATTATTCTTAACTTGAGCTACAGCATCTTTGAGGTCCAAAATAAATTCATCAGCCTTTTCATCTGTTGCTGTATTCAATGTAATACAAATATGGAAGGCGCTAGGGAATTGCAATGCATTCAAAGACCAACCTCGATGTGACAAAAAGTCCATCACTTGGAAAATGTTAATATTACTGTAGGAAGATTTTGTTTGAACAGCAATCACCACAGTGCTTGGATTTCCACATACTTCAACTTCTGGAATTTCTTCAGTAATTCTCTTCTTAATTCGTAATACAGTATTTACAATTCTTTTGCTTGCTTCTAAATATCCCTTTTCACCAATATGCATCATGGAGGCCCAAGCAGCTGCAACAACAGCACCACTTCTAGATCCTGACATGGTTGGAGATGCATAAACACCACCCATCCAATCAGTCGTAACAAAGTACATGTACTTTCTCAGGTCTTTGTTTCTAAACAATAATACACTGCTTCCCTTTGGTGCCATTCCAAATTTGTGGGTGTCCACACTGATGGTTGTCACACCAGGTAGAGTAAAATCAAATTCTTTCACTCCAATGTCGTATCCTAATTTCTTGGCGAATGGAACCACAAATCCTCCCAAACAACAATCGACATGAAGTCCAATTCCATGTTTCACTGCTAGCTCGTTCAACTCGTCAATTGGATCAATAGTACCTTGACTGAAACATGGAGCAGAGCCAACGAGCAAAATGGTATTAGAATTAATTGCTTGTCTTACCAAGTCCATTTTAACCTTAAAGGTTGTCAAATCGACATCAATCAATCGTAATTTCAATCCCAAATAGTGACATCCTTTCTCAAAGGCACAGTGAACAGTTCTTGGAGCAATCACTTCTGGATGTTTAATCCACGGTTTTTCTGCTCTTGCTTGGTCTCTGTATGACTTCAAAGCCATAATAATACTTTCAGTTCCGCCGCTGGTGACAGCACCAACAACTCCCTCACCTGTTTCCTTATTGAATGGACCATTCATGAAAGCAGCTGTCATTCTAATGACCTCAGATTCCATCTTACGAGTGTATAAAAAACAATCGGCATGCAATGGATTTGTATGCATAAAATAACTATAAGTTTTAGCCAATAATTCCTCGTGATGTTTTCTGAAAGCTAAAGGATCAGAAGAACGATCTCCATTCTTTTCTTCAGTCTTATTGAGCTCTTCGTTGTCAACTTTGGCATCAATGTACACAACACCTGAAAGCTTTTTTTCTTGAACTTTTCTTCGATCAACATCTCTCATTCGTTGCAAAAGTGATAACAATTCTTCATAGGGAATTCCTTCAACAGGCAATTGGTAATTAATTTCCTCATTTTCAATTCCTTTTTTAAAAGACAATTTAATTTCCTTTGAAATCTTCACCAACGTCGATTGAATACCAGAATCCACCATCGGAAGTTTTCTCACTGTTTTCAACAACATTCCAAGAATGACTCCAGATAATCCATTCGGATGTTCCTTTGAAGCCTCCCAAAGCTGCTTTCCATAATATGCAGAAGCCATTGCCGTTGCTGTATAAAACATCAAAGTTAAAGGCTTGATATGTTTCAATTGATCATTGAGTTCATCCATTTTTCGGAGAGCTATTTGAAACGGATTCGTCATGAATGAGGAATAGGATGCAACGTTGGTATTATTTGAGAGTCCCGATGATGAAGAAGGAATGGAGGACATTTTTTTTTTAATGTTTGGATGATGATTTTAATTGATGGAAGTTGATTCTGATGATGGAAAATTTTAGACATGACGATGATGAAAGGTTCAATGAGTTTGAAAAAAAAATTTTTCCAATTCTCCATTCTGGTCAAGTGTGGTCATTGAACATCCATTGGTAGGAATAGAATGTTTTTTCCTTTTTACAGGGTTCACCATTTCTTGTTACAATTAAATTGACTTCTATTTCAAATAATGTTAAAAATTTATTTCAAATCATGTGTATATTGATGGATAGATGGAAGAATATATCGATTGAAACATGGTATTAAATAGCATTATAAACACTTCTCTTCAAAATATATTTAAAAATCACCAATTGAATTCCATCCTTAATCAATAAAATTCCTTCCCAACTCAATAAGAGTACATTTTTCCAAAATTCGAATTGAGGAAGTTGTGAAATTCCCCATCCTTCACTCTTTTTCAATACCAATGTATTTAAGAAATATCCAATAATGAAATACAAGAGGAAGAGAATGAAAATGATGAGCATGGTTAGACCAAAGTATCCAAGACCTCCTAATGGAACATCTTCAACAATACATGAGTGTGGAGTGTCCATTGTGAATTCATAGGAAATGGAAGTTTGAGTGGTGACTTCTCCTAAAAAGGAAAAGGATTTGACAGGATCACCATTAGGTTTGCAATTCATGGTAATTTTCATACTTTCTTGTTTGTTCATGAAACGTTCACCATTATTGACTTGAACAGTAACACCTAGCTCTGGCTTGGAGGAATCAATGAGAGAAATTTGATAATTATCTGTACAATGATGGGTCATGAAACATTTCATGATTAAGAAGAGCAATCAACATGTAAGAAGAATAGGGGTGTGTTCATGAACAACACGTAAGGAATGTATCATTGACATTTGACATTTTTAAAAACCTACCTGCAATTGATTTTCCAGCCATATACGTTCCACACATCAACTCACTTCCACGCGTATACGTAGCCACTCCAGCATAATTCTGTCCATTACATGGCACACTAGCATCTTTACATAAATTCACATAAAAATCATAATTCAATTGTGCATTGTAAACATGATAATCTGAATCTGGTCTCGTTGCTCGATTTAAATCAATCACTCGACCATCTGGTAACTTGAAAATGCAAAAAGGTTGAGTGGATTGTTGATGTGAAAAATGAATCATCATGTTGAGAATCATGTGGAATATGGAAATCCATACACACATCATCAAGAATGGAGAAGATTTTAAAAATGGTCGTGTGGGTTGTTGTTGCATTCTCTACGAAACAAAAACTTTTCAAATAATATTATTATTATTTAATAACTTGTCGACAAGTCGCTGGATAAATTTTCGAAATTAATTTTCACACACCAATGATGAAAGAGACCAAGATGCGTCTGTGAGAGAGAGGCGCTGATGGGAATGAGGCTAATTTTTTGATGAGTTTTATTCACACACGCTCCGGAGCAAGGAAAAGATTTTTCGGAAACGGAGATTGGAGGCAAACGGAAGAAAGGATTCTTGTTCGATTCTATTAACGCATCTCATTGAATCTAGATTTCTTTGAAGTCAATGAAAACATCAAGTTGAATAAGGAAGAGTAATAAGGTTGGTTAGTTTTCGAACTTGTCGACATTTTCACCTGCTAATTTAACACCACAAACGTCAGCAGTCAAAACATCATCATCCAACAAGAAAAAAATGGGACAAGCCAGCAGTCATCATCGCAATCAAGAGGATCAACCTTTTGATTTTGCCACTACCAATCCATCAACGACAGCTCCTACAACAACAACAACCACAACCACTCAACCCATCATTCACAAAGAAGAATTACTTCATCACTTGTTGTTGATGGGAAGTTCCAATTCGGGAAAGACTCTTTTTGCTAAAATGTCAAATTTAATATTGGAAGGATCCATGACGAGTCGATCCATGAAATATCGAGAAGAATTATTGTCTTCCATGTTTGCTTGGTTGTTGTTGATTGTGTGTGTGAAAAAGAAATTATTTTCGGAAATGAAATTACAAGAGGTGAGATCGGAAGCATTGATTGATGTCTTGCTCAAAAAGAGAACCAAGAATATGGACTCTACTTTGAAGAATGTGACAATCCATGTAGAAACAAGAGAAACCACCGACGATTTGGATGATCGATGTTTGTTACAATTAGCAATTGTCAAACCTGAATTGTTGTGGAGTAATGACAAGATGATGAGAGACATTTATGAAATGTGGCAGACAGAAACAATATTACACAAAATTTATGCCATTATTTATTTCAACAAAATGTCACCAGAATTGTTGTTTTTGTTTGGTAACACACAAGTAGGATCGGTCATTTCAGGAAATGTTTTAGATAAATTTGGAAATGTGAATACTGTACCAAAACAACCACAATGGCAACACTTTGAGAATTTTAATTATGTCATGAATCATTGTGTAGAAATTGCACATTCATTGAGACGAGCTCAGAAAGGTATTCTCGATCCAGAAATTAATTTCGATAAGGAATTCTTACTGGCCTCCAACATGACTAGAGGATACTATGAATCTGAAATCAAATTGAAACTAGAGAATATTACTACAAAGAAACAAGAACCCTCTCCTACCAGCAGTAAAAAGAAAGAAAGCAAGGAAAACAAAGAAGAGCTTGTCACAATGAGTGAACAATTCAGAAGTTTGTTTATGATTGACAGTGCAGGAGTGAGATCAGATCGAAAGAAATGGCGTAAAATTTTACTTTCCAAATTGTATCCAGATCTTCATGAAAAGAAGAAGAAGGAAACATCCACAGATGCTGGAAAGAAAAAGAAGAAGGATAAGAAGGAAGCATCATCGAGTTCTGGAAACTTGGAGGGCACTCCTTCCTCTCTTCCATTATCTTCTTCATCCACTTCTCAATCTTGTGAAATTTCTCCACAAATTTATTCACAACTCAAACCCAGTGGTGTTGCTATATTATATTTTGTAAGCTTGACGTCATTCAATCAATATTCGGTGGATGACATTTTAGGATTATATGGATCGACCATTTCCATTACTGTGGATTCTAAAACACCTGGAAGTCCACTTCTCAATATTAATAGTGACAAAATTTTAACAGTCGAACGTCCAATCTATGTGAGTAGTAGTGAAGGCGGTGAAAATGCACTTTCTGCTGAAGAAGATCATGAAGAACAAAAGCTTGTGAGCGTATTGAAGTCTCCAAGAGGAACTGAAGTGAATTTGAAACATGTGGATTTATTAGAAAAGAAGAGAATGAAAAAGAAAACATTGAAACCTCCCAAGTATAAGCCATTGATTGATTCTGCATCTTCCATGTTCTTGTCACGTCATCAAAGTTTGAAACATAATGGATTATTGACTCTTAAAAATCAATTAATTGATTCATTAGAATTCTTTAACAAGACTGTGAACATGCCAGAAGTGACCAATGTGCCAATCATTTTGGTATTCACGAAAAAGGAGTCTCTCAAGAGAAAATTAGTATTTTGTGATTTTTCTGATAGTTTTTTCACAAGCTTACAAAATCAAACTTCAGAAATGGTACCCCTAGATCCTCTTCCAGAAGAAATTCTTTTAAAGAGACCAGTCATGATTGGAACTCAAAAAACTCACATTTCTGCAAGAAATTCTCCACTCCCGTCACCATCCATTCTTTCTTTGAAATCAATGAACAACTCTGACGCATCACCAAGATTAATGAACGAGTTAAAGACTTCGAAATTACTTTTGAATCGATTGAAAAAAGAATTGGATAGTGACGATGTTGACTCGACACGTGTGGAATCTCCAGTGATTGAACATTTAGTGATTGCTTCAACAACTTTGGAAACAACCAACGCAATTTCACAATCTCAGCAAACTCAATCGACTACTCCATCTGAATTGAAACCACCACCATTGACTTCTGAACAAGAAACATGGTCTGAAAAACAACTTGAAGAAACACATGATTACACACCAGAGAACGAAAATCATCATCAACAATTTCAGGAAACTAAGGAAGATCACAACAAGAATGAAGAAAATGAAGAGAATCAGACCACCAGTTCAAATGACAATATCACTCGACAACCTTCTGAGACTTCCCTAAGACAATCCCTTACTCGTGATCGTCTTTTGGATGTTTCCTCTGTGGGAATGGCCATTGGAGAGAGAAGACAATTAGACAATCGATGTGTGAGTGTTTCCATTAATTTAACAACTTTGGAGCAACAATTAGAACTTCAAAGAAAAGCCATTCTTGAATTATTGGATGACTCTGAAACCATTCAGGCCATGACAGAGACATGCCTTAAATTTTCAGATCCCTATGAAAAGAAGGTTCCATTAACAGAAGATGATTTTAAGGAACCAGAACAACCAAGAAGTGTTTCTGATGAATATTCTCAGCTTGTCATTGATTACATTGCAAAACAATTCTTGAATCAAGTGAAAAACGAAGAAAAGAGAAAACAAATTGAACAACAAATTATTGTTTTGGATATTTTCAATAGAGATGAAATGGAAAAAGTTCTCAAAGAACTCATTCATAAGACATGTTAAAGAGTCGATAATTGAATTTTTCAAATATTCTTTTCAAATTGTACATAAAATCTTGTTCTTAATTTTATACAAATCTGCATATGCAAAACACTCTTCGAAGCACATACAATCATCTTATTTGAATGAAACTAAATCCTTATGATACACATTAATGACATAAAGTGTTCCTGATTCGTTCATACCCATACTCGACAAGGATTTCTCATTCTTCAACAAGACGTGATTCACACTTGTGGCAAACACAAAATCATCAGGATTATAATTTCGATGTTGACAATACATTTTGCTAATCACACCAAATTTCTTATTGTTCTTACATGAAATGTCACAAGTCAATACTTGATCACCCACTTTTTCTTGAATTCTCAGCTTGACATCTACATGCTTCTTTTTGAGCTTGACAGTTTCACGTTCCACATAATCCGACAAATTAATAACCTCCTCATCATTCGAATCTGATGCACCATTTCCATCATTCAATGCCACCACTCGACACAATACAACACTCAAAGGTTTTCCATTTTCCATCACTCGATTTTCCTGTAATGTTTTTTTATCGACCAATAATTCTTTACCGACAGCCAATCGATATTGATCGATCAAGGAATCCATTAAATGTTCATGAATCACACTCGATGGAAGATATCGTTTGGCTAATAAATAGGAAATAAATATCTTTTTAATTTGTTGAACCGATGTATCGGAAGGATAACAATAAGTGACTCTCACGAAAGGAGATTGATTGGTTTCAAGTTCGGAGAGATTGGATTCTGGAATTTCGTACGTGATTCGAAGGGCAACAATTTCTGGTGCTTGTGATGAGCCTGGTATTGGCGATGATGACGATTCAGAACCACCTCTTGGAGTTGAAGGGACAATCAGTTCAGAAGACGACATTTTTTTTAAAAAGGTAATGATGACATGTGACAGCGACGTTCTGAATATCACTGAGCTTTTTGTGTGATGAAAGAATTAAATGTTTGAATAACGAAGGACCATCTCAAGAATCACCAAAACACATGATACATTTATTAAACCAAATATTTAATTTTAAAATCAAAAAAAATTCTCACGTTGGTCCTTTTTCGCACCGATGAAGAGAAATTTTGTTGACGACAATTGCAAACATGACTCAAATCAAAACTTCTGTAATTTGGTGTCTGATGAAGCTTTAGAACGTTGTTGGATCCACACAATAACGGCAAATGCTTATTTTCCAAAAGCTGTAATGATAAATGATGGTCCGGTAGTTGATGTAGTTTGTAATGATCATCATTCGATTAGTTGCAATAAGATCAGCATCAAAGCGTTCTTGGATTATTTATTGATGATCATTAATTTATTCAGTCCGAATTATTTGATGAATATTGTAACAAATCAAAATAGGAAACCGAGTCTTCTCCGTTGTACATATCATGTGCTCATACTATGTATTATAGTTTCAATATTATTAATTAATATATTGAATGGGTCGTCTTTGGTAATGGCTCAACAACAAGATACTTCGTTATTAACGCCTTCATCACCACACAATCATGACGAAATTATTCGCTCTTTAGAGAAGAAGGTGAAATATAATTCAAAATCGGAAATGGAATCAACCAGTAACCAAAATCATAATCCAATATTATTTCCAGTATTTTCCGAAAAGCCTCAATCCTATCACGCCAATGGAACGGTAGGTATTTATTTCGCAACAAATTCAATGAAATGATTAATGATTTTAGTGGAGAACCATTGACGGATTCTATCCAATATTTAATGAGCAACCCATGAAAAAACGTGTTAATTATCTATCAGAATCTACTGTTACTAGATATATTCTTCGAAAATTACTACAACAACCAAAGTATGGACATGCAATTCATGATTTCATTAATCTCATGGACGTTGGAGAGGAGAATATTTTGGTAGACCCAAATTCTGCAGTAAATATGAATGACTATTTACCTGATGGAATCGACAAGTTAGACAATGTGCACATACGAGGCGCATTGAAGATGGATCTTTCATTTAAAAAAACTATTTTAAAAGAATTCTACTTTGTGTACGGTGCTGTAACTATTCGAGATGGAAGATATTTTCTACAACGAGAAAATCTCTTGTTCCTTGAGGGAGTGTACTCTATTTACACCAACAGATTTTATTTCATTTTGAAGCCTAAAAAGTTTCTGTTCTACAAGATGCCAACCTTTCTGGAGCAAGCTCTCATGAATGATACATTTCTCTTTCATGGAGAAGCAGGTGCTCAACTTGCGTATTACTCATATGTTACACATTATCTTGGAGATTTGAAAGAGTTAGGTATTAGACATGACCATTACTACCACTATAGTAGCCAATCTGATGTCAGTGACAAATCATCTAAAAAAGAAAGTTGTGTGTATCGAGGGTTAGGTGTTGGAAGAATTTCTGCAGACAAATTTGTAGTGCAAGACAATAGAAATATGATGAATCAGATATTTGAATGGAGCGTTTCAGGAGTTATTTCCAGTGTCAACTGCGATCACACTATAATATTCACACAAACATTTCATGACAATATTAGTTTCACTTCTGAACTTAATTCGTTCCTGCAAGTTGGAACGATCCTTTGCATATTTCTTATTTTTGGATTGTTCAGACAAATCAAATTCACACGAACAAGATCAGCAGCTACAAGAGTGTCTATTTTATTTGTGGGATTTACTTCAACTCTTTCATTCATTACTTTTTCAGCATCGCTGGTGTTTGTATTGAATTTCTATGAAGTTTTTACGAGCGCCATTGCACTTTCATTTATGAGTTTTATTTATTTGACAGCCAGTATTCAGTACATGTTATTTATTTGGAAGTCACATCACCCTAATCACTACGAAAATATTATTAGTGCATCTGTGCACATGAGAAAATTATTCTTTTTCTTTTGGGGATTCTCAATGTCAATACTCTTCGGTGGGTAAGTATTACTTTATATAATTGCTGAAAATTGTTAATACTCTTTCAAGATATTACATCTCTCATGTTCATCCCAAGCTAATTCAATACTTGATATTTTTCATCATGTCATTCCTTGTCCCTCAAATATGTGTCAACGTAATTTATAACACGAGGAAGTCAATTGACTTTTTCTATTTAACAAGCCTCATAATCTTTTGCTCTTCAACCATTTTATGTAAGTATTTCGTTAAGTATCATTTTTCTAGTAGAAGATGCTATCAATGATATATTTAACAACCACATGGTGTTCACAGATTTTGGAGCTAGACCATCAAACTTTCTTGAATTTCCCACTAACACTACACTCTGTTACACCTTAATAATTTATTTATTTATTCAAGTTGCAGCATTGCTAATTCAGTATCTTGTTGATCCTCGTCTCTCCATTTTGACGACCCATTTATTTGGATTTATGCTTCCACCAAAATATAATTACCATCGACCAATTCCAATGTCTGTTATCGAAGAAGGAGAATGCAAATGTGTGATATGTATGTCTGAAATTGAAATTCCAAATCAAGCCGTATCAGATTCAGCAAATGTTCCCTTAGATGCCACAAAGAGTAACCAGTCGAACGAGTGGACTGCTTCAAAAGATATCATGGTCACACCTTGTAATCATGTGTTTCATACCATTTGTTTGGAGCGTTGGAAAGAATACAAACTTGAATGTCCACTCTGCAAGAAAGATTTGCCCATTTTATAACCACCATGCAGAGAGACAATAAATCCTAAATTTGGGCTCGATCATTCATGAAGGGATTTTAAAAAAAACATTTTCAATATCGAGTTCATCATGCTCAAACGTTGCATTCATCAACAAGCAACTTGTAGAAGTAATAATCTTTCAAAATTTTCAAAACAATTTCAACAATTATTCCTTCATTCCGATCCTGTATTTTCTCATCACTCCGAACTTTTCCAAAACAAGCTCTCTTTACTCGAGTGCCAATCGAATTCGACTCGACACTACCGTATTACAACCAACGCAATCAGAAACTTTTCAACGACCATTGAACTGAATGAACAATCCTCGAACTCATCATCATCATTGAATTCAAAGAAGATCATTACAACAACAGCAACAACAATTGAAAATTCTTCTTCTCATCCATTTCAAGACGATGATGCCAAAGAAACGAAAAAAATGTCTTCAAGCACTTCTACTACGGGCACACCATTAAAGCAAATCTTACATCCCACTCCAAGCGATATTGAAATTTCGCAACACTGTAAACCAGAATTTATTGGTAAGATTGCTGAGAATTATGGAATTCATGTGGATGATGAATTGGAGTTTTATGGCAAGTACAAGGCTAAAGTAGATGCCAAGAAGGTTCTCTCCCGATTGCAAGATGCTCCAATGGGAAATTACATCTTGATCACTGGTATCAATCCAACACCATTGGGAGAGGGTAAATCAACGACGTGTTTGGGTATCTCACAAGCTTTGGGAGCTCATCTTGGCAAGAAGGTCGTTTCGTGTTTGAGACAACCCTCTCAAGGTCCTGTTTTTGGAATTAAAGGAGGTGCTGCAGGTGGAGGTTATTCACAAATTGTAAGTTTTGATTGACTCGTATCGTGATCTTGAATGAGCTTGTTTTTGCTTCTACTTTGGACTATCTCATCACGAACGTGAATTGATATTAACCGAATGACACCATTGCATTTTGAATAATACTTTTAATATAATTGAATAATTGATCAGGTTCCAATGGAAGGTATGTATTCTACACAATTCATAATTATTCTCATATTTGGAAATTAGAATTTAACTTGCACATGACCGGAGATATTCACGCAATTGTTGCAGCCAATAACTTGTTGGCAGCTGCTGTGGACACTCGTGTATTCCATGAGTCATACCAAAAGACTGACCAATTATTCGATCACTTGTGTCCTGTTGGAAAGGATGGAAAGAGAAAATTTGCTCCTTCCATGATCCAACGACTGGAAAAGTTCGGAATTACTGAAAGAGAAGATCCTGACAAGTTGTCTCCAGAGGAAAGAGAAAAGCTCGTTCGCCTTAATATTGATCCTGCAACCATTAAAATTAACAGAGTGATGGACATTAGTGACAGATATTTGAGAAAGATTACTGTTGGCCAAGGTCCAAATGAAAAGGGAAGAACAAGAGAAACACAATTCGATATTGCTGTCGCAAGTGAATGTATGGCAATTTTGGCCTTGTCCAAGGACATGAAGGATATGAGACATCGCCTCGGAAAGATTGCTGTTGCTTATGACAAGGATGGAAATGTGGTCACTGCTGAAGATATCGGAGTTGCTGGAGCAATGGCCGTCTTGATGAAGGACACTATTAAGCCAACTCTGATGCAGACGATTGAAGGTACTCCTGTCATGGTTCATGCTGGTCCTTTCGCCAACATTGCAGCTGGTCAAAACTCTATTATTGCTGACGACGTTGCTCTCAAACTCGTTGGCGAGGATGGATTTGTTTTAACAGAAGCTGGATTCGGTGCAGATATTGGAGCTGAGAAGTTCTTTGATATCAAATGCAGAGTCTCTGGTTTGAACCCATCATGTGCTGTCATTGTTGCCAGTATTCGTGCTCTCAAATTCCATGGAGGATGTGAATTGAAAGATGTCACCAAGCCAAACGTTCATGCTGTTGAAACTGGATTTGCCAACTTGAGAAGACACATTGGCAATATGAAGAAGTATGGAGTTCCTGTTGTCGTTTGTATTAACGAATTCAGCAGTGACACTCAAGAAGAAGTTGAAACAGTTGTTAGATTGGCTAAGGAGGCAGGTGCAGATGATTGTGTGCCTTCCAGACACTTCTCTGAGGGTGGTAAGGGTGCAGTTGCTGTTGCAGAAGCCATTGTTCGTGTTTGTAAAGACAAGTCCAAGATGAACTTTAAGCCACTCTATGATATCAATATTTCAATTAAGGAAAAGATTGAAACCATCGCTAAGGGTAAGTTTCAAATCGTATCAATGAATAACGGTAAATGTTTACATCATTGGCAATCTTTCACACATTTCAAACTTAGAAATTTATGGAGCTGCCAACGTTGAATATATGGAACATGTCGAAAAGGAAATTGAAAAATTAGAGACACTTCCTGAAAAGTACACCATTTGCTTTGCCAAGACCCAATACAGCTTTTCACATGACGAAAAGTTGAAAGGTGCACCAAGTGGTTTTACTTTACCAATCAAGAACATTAGATTGTACAGTGGTGCTGGACTTTTGGTTCCATTCTGTGGTGAAATTTCTGCCATGCCAGGACTTCCTACTCGTCCAGCTTATTATGATATCGATATTGACCTCGAAACTGGAGAAGTCAAAGGATTGTTCTAATTTTCTTAAACTGACACAATAAATGGTTGTATTTACATGTTGATTTGTTAGTTCTTCAAATAAGGGTTCACAATATTATCGATGAACCATTCCAGTGTAAACTGTAAATGATCGCCATAGACTTCTAAAAAATCGAGTCGACCTGCCAAATCCAACTTCTTCAATCCCAACCAATCTTCTTGGTACAGCTGTGAATCCCTCAATTTCACAACCTCTTTATCTTGACCAGGTTTATAAAACCCAAAATGTTCCGATTCGATCGGTTGCACAAAGGAATCCAACAAAAACTTGACCATGACAAACTTGTTTAAGGAACTCAAATTCGCCTTATAGGTCTCATTCTTCACAGCTCGATAATTATTAATGTCAGGTAAAAACACACATCTCTCAATAAATTCTGCTTCATTCCATGGATCATGCCAATATTCTGCCTGAACGAGTGTATTTTGAATCCATTCCCAATACACTCCAATATCCAACATTTCACGAACGTATTCACACAAGGTATGATTGACACCAATGCATTTTGGAAGTCCATACACACCTTGATGTTGACCTCCAATGGAAATGAGATTATGAACTTTTGGTTGATTGCATCGTTGAACGTATGCTATTTTCCAATGTTTAAAAATCATCATAGAATTGATAAAATCATCATTGAGAACAATGTGTTGTTACAATACTCAATGAAACAACTTTATACAAATCCTTACCTCTCAGAAATTGAGATCCTTGAGAAAATCCAATGGCATTAAATCCATTTTGTAAATTTGGATCTTTCTTTAAGGTGTCACACACCATTTGAACTTGTTTGTTGACATTCATGAGATAACTATTTTCAACATCTTCTGCATCATTGGAACCAATACGAATGCTATGAATGTATATATTCGAATGATTAAATTGTGATCTGATAGTATCTTCAATTTTTCCCATTGACTTTTAAATATTATTAAATATTATTTTAAATATTATTATTTTCAAATATTTCAAAAAAAAACGTACAAATGGAAAACAACAAGAATCTCCCATGCCATGCCACAACACCACTGGCAATGGACTAGCTGCTTGAATCATGGATTCCATATTCATAAGAATCAGTGAAACCATGATCAATAGCCATCCCGATTTGATCCAAGTGACAAAACCATTCGTTTGACAACGTTGAAACATTTTTTATGAGAATTGTCTCATTCCAAGTCAATCAAACACAAGTGTGAGAACAATTATACAATTCATTGGATAAATCACAAGATCAATCTTATTTGACCTTGTTCTTGTTCATCATCATGTGACTAGAAAGATAGGAATTCGATTTGACTGCTGCAACATTCTTTTTGATTTTAGCAGAAATCGTTGACAAGGAACTACTTCTTTCACTACTTGCCATGCTGAGAGTGGTAGAAACTGATCGAACCGAATTTACGGAATGAGCAGGACTGGATCGACCTGTTTCTGTCATGGAATGATCCAAATGAGAGGAAGTGAGAGAGGGTGAGGATGATTTTAAGGAAATTTGAGGTTTGTGGAGAGAAGCATGAATGAGTGGAATTTGATCTTGCAACAAGTGATGATTTTCAGAATGAGTTGGCGTCATTGAATCAACTTCTGTGTGATGGGAACAGTTGGATAAATTCATAGGTTCAAGACGATGGTTCTCTGGATTCAAATTTTCTCGATTCTTCTCCTTGGCATGCAATTGGGTAAATTTGAGCATGAGTTTCTTGTATTTGTGACAAGTGCCTAATAATTTTTGATACTTTTGTTTCAAAGATTCATGTTCTTGGTAGAGAGTGGAGTTGTTGTTGAAATTGGAATGGTTCTCTCTTTCTGCTTCATCCATTTCTTGACATGTTTGAATTTCTTGTTCTTCCACGGAAGAGGGTTCTGTCTGAACAACGACATGCTTGTATATTAGTTTTTCGAGCTTCTTTTTCACAGTAGATGAAATGGCCTTATCCTTTTGCTGAATTTGAGCAGTAATTAAGGTATCTCGTTCCTCGACCAAGGATCTGACTCTGTTCTCGAGTTCTCCACATAAAAGAACAAAATCCTTGTTGAAAACATCTTGTGTTTCAATGACTCTTTGAAGAGTATCCACTTGATTGAAGTGTACTTTAACTTTCTTCATATTCACTTGAATCGAAATGACAAGCTCTACTAACTCATCCAAAAGCTTGGAATCGACATGGGATTCTGTAGAATTTGAAAACTCCTTTTCTTCGAGAACCATGTTAATTTTCTTGTAAAGATTCTCACAACTTTCTTGCAAGTCCTTGACACACTCTTCATTCCTCTCCAAAACTTCCGAAGTTAGAGAATCTTTCAACATCATCATTTGTTTCTCTGTCTTTTCCTTCGATTCTTTCAATCGTTGAACCTCGGCCTGTTGTTGGTCTCTTACGCTTAACAACGCCGAACACTCCTTCTTGAGATCATTAAACTTCTCTAAAATTATTACAGCCTTTTCTCGAGGAGACAACTGACTAATGGTGATACCTTCAATGGAAAGCTCAATCAGAATTTCATCTAAGGACTTTTCCACACTGATTAAACGCTTCTTCAGATCATTTGGCTTCAAGGAAGCTGATTGCATATTTGCTTGATTGTTCAATAAATCTTCAAGTTGACGTATCTTTTCCAAGTGCTTTAACAGTTCGCACTCCTTAGTGGACATTGAAATTTCCAAATCAGTTGCTCTTTCAGAAAGCTTATCGTTTTCTTTCGACAATTTTTCTATCAATTGCTTCAATTCATTGACCTGGTCTGATTCTGGTTGTGCGTTCATCTCATTTAGCTTTCTGAGGTAGTCACACTTCTTTTCTAGCATGGAGAGTTTGTTTGTAAGCTTCATTTCCAAAACTTCCCTTGCGTGTGAACTCTTCTTCTCTAAACTTTCCTTCTCGTTTTGTAATTGGTTAAGCAACTTTACAGACTCTTCTAATTCCTTCCATGTTCTTTCGGTTTTTGCCTTTTCCTTTTGCAGCTCTTCGTGAGTGGCATTAAATCTTTGAACTGTTTCTTCAAGTTCTCGTTCTTTCTTTGATAACGAAGCTTCGACCTCTTCGGTGTAATTCTTAAACCGAACAAGTAAATCCTCCTTGTCTTTAATTTCATCTGCCATTTCGTAATTACTCTTTGTCAGCGAATCTAACTTCTTAAGCAATGAGTTATTCCTGTTTATCATTTGGATGGCTTTTCCAGCTTCTGAGTTTGCCCTTTCTTCAGCCTCCCTTGTTTTCTCTCTTTCCTTTTCAATCTTTTTCTTTGTACGCTCTACAAATATGTCCAACTCTTTAAGTTGACCCATTGTTCTTTCCTCCTTTTGCCTCATTTCGTTCACTTCGGCTTCTTTCTCACTCACTTGTTGCTCCAATTCCTCTAACCGTTTTGCAAATGAGTCCTTAATCTCCTGGAACTCTTTGGAGGAATTATCAATTTCGTTACCCATCTCATCGATTTGATGTTCCAACTTTTCGACCAAATTTTTCAGTTCTGAGTTCTCTGATTCCAATGTTCGGAGATCTTGAGAAAGCTTTCCGTTTTCTGATACCAATTTTTCTTGCAATGATGTAAGCTTGGAAATTTCTTGTGACTTCTTTTCGCTATCCAATTTTTCTTTCAACACTGACTCACAAAGATTGCTCATTTCTTCCCGTAACGCAAGAAGCTCTGAACTTTCCTCTTCACGTTTTAGCTCGCCTTGTTTTCGTTGCTCCTCCAAGTCTTTGCATCGATCATTGGAAATTTTCAGCTTGGCATCCAAAATCTCGACCAACTTGTTCGACGTTTCAAGCTCTTCGCACGTACTCATATATTTAAGCTTAACGTCTTCTGCGTGTTTTTGTAATTCAGAAATTTTAACCTCGAATTCTTGTTTCGTTTTTCTTTCTTTTTCCATATCTTTCGTCAACCTCTCTATCTTTTCATCCTTCAGGGCGATTTGTTCCTGAAATTTCTTGGTTAGCTTGGCAGTGGTATCTTCAACAGCCGAAGCAGATTTTGCCTTTTCGCTTTCTTTCTTAATAAGTAAGGCGTTGAGCTTTTCTTTCTGTTGAGTCTCAACTTCAAGTCGCTTTTCAAGTTTACCTATTTTATCATTCAGAGTCTTCAATTGATTTCTTAATTCTGACTCACTTTTGCTGACAGCTTTCTGTTTTAACTGTTCGATGGCGGAATTCAAAGCCTTGTTTTCAGAAACTAACTCGGCGATTTGTTTTCTGTCCCTTTCTGATTGTAACTCCAGTTTGGCATTCTTTTCCATTTCCTTTTCTAACGATTTGCTCATCTTGTCATTCAATTCAAATGATACGTCCTCATAAAACTCATTTAAATCGGCAAGCTCCTCCAGCTCGGAGGCTAATGATCCCAAAGATCCTGGTGTATTGAAGGCTACAGGTTCGTCGTCTTCGTTTGCCGTCTTTTTTGCAGAGTGTTGAGCGTTTCTCTTTCGATCTTCCACACTTTGAACGACCATGTTCTGTCGATGATGATGTACCTTATTAGAAATGTCTTGGAGAGGTTTTCGAGCGAGTGTTGCACTCATTTTTTTAATTTTTAAATCCTAACGTTTCGAAGATTTTTACAGAGCGGGAAAGGTTTTGGCGCTTTCACATTTTTTAACGGAAATCTCAAATTTCTGCTCACGCTTGGTTCCTTTGGTTTACTTCTAGTGGCCGTTTGTTAAAGTCGAATATGCAGATAATAGCTCAAACTCAAATCCTTTATCATGGATAGTTGTTTGGTGCAAACTCGTATGTTTCCTTTTATTTCTTTCTTAACCCTTGTTGTTTACATCTTAAATGATGAACACATGAAAATTTAGAATCAGTTAGAGAAATTTATTGTTGGCCTTATTCAAGGCAACATAATTGTACAACTAGATGTCATGGTGTCTCTACGAGACCATCATTGGCAAAGGTTGGAAGTGTTTTAAACACGATCCTCTCTTATTCCTTCTTCAACCATCCAGAGTGAGTCAATGGAGCAAAATCTACTTGATTGACAGCATCTCGGTTTTCTCCAGGACGATAAATGTACTTGTTTTCATAATCAATTACAGCTTGGGATGGTCGAACATCTTGAAACATTTTACCTTGTTGTCCTTCTTGCCACTTGTTCAATATAACAGATCCGAGACTGAGCAAGGCTAAACCTGACATCCAAATATAAGGCTTGTAGAAGAAGTATTGTTGACCTGGTCTATAAATTGTCATTGTGCTGTTGAATTAGAGGATAAGTTTGTGTAGTTGTTTTTTTTTTGAATGTTGAAAGAAGATGACGATGGCAAACTGGAATTTATGGAATTTTGTCGTTTGTATGCAGTCGTGATCGAAGGTTGTAAATAACACCAAACTTGTAGTTATTGTTAATAATTTACAAATAGCGCAATTTTTATTTTTTTCTTTTTTTGGACATTGACAAGAGACATCGAAGAGAGGCCTTCTTTTGGAGTGAAGATGAATGTGAATGATGGACCAAAGTAAATAATATTGCTTTTTGAAATATTCACAGTTCATCATGGTATTCTCGTTTTCAAAAAACTCTCTCCGTCAAACAAAATGAGTCAACAACAACATGACATTTTATTCAAACAACAACAACATATTCATACACTCCTCTAAAACGAGAACGCCATCAAGCTCCGTAAAATGAATCATCCTACATCCTATAATACATGTTTAGAGACAATTCCAATTGAATTTCACGCAAGGTCTTTCTCGTTCGACACACTCACTCACATCTCTTCGTACTTGACCACGTTGGACCTTGTTCGGAATGCTTCTCTCGTGAATAAATTTTGGAATGCTGCCTCTACCTCCAACATGACATGGTCCCAAAGATTCTTGATCGAGTTGGGTCCTCCTGAATGGTTCATTGAAAAATTAAATCAAACGTTGAGACGAAATCGCAATGGAGCAGAACGTGGCTCAACGCATGAAAAGTCTTACAAGAAAGCCTTTCATAATAACAAACAAATAGTGATCTATGAGGATGATGAATGGGCAGATGAATTCGAAGATTGTGGAAAATATGTAAAACTACCAAGAAAATACAAATCCAAATCACTCAACACAACCTCTACGACCACAACAAGTACGAAGAATGGAAACAGCAGTCCAAACACAGATGATAAAATTAGTATGGAATTATTCAAACAAGAACTGGAATCATGTTTTGGAGAAGATCAATTTTGGATGAATTTTTATGTGTTGGTGGTTTCCATGATTCCTCTCCAATGTGCCAATCTACATCATAACTATGGAGTAGTTCAACCACCCATCTATCCTAAACATTATGGGCTCTCTGCAGAAGCTGATGAATTAGACACTGACGAAGAAGAAGAAGAAGAAACATGCCATGACGAACAATTACGTGAAATTTCTAGAAAAGTTTGTCCTGAGCTGGATTCATTCATTAAGCAAGATTTTATTCAAGGAAAAAAGTATGACTGGAAAGCTGATGACGTGCATTCAAGACGCTTGGTTTCTCTCAATTATGTTTATTTTTCACTGTTTTTACAAGAAATGAAAAAGAGAATTTCGAAAGCAATCCAATTGGATGATTCCTCACACCAGCACGACACAAAGAGAAAGAAACTCCTTCTTGATGCTCTTAAATTTGATATCAAAACTCACAAACTATGCACCATATTGAGCATCTTTGATCGACATGGAATCATTTTGAGATATTTTGGCAGTGATTTGGAGAATACTGAAAAACTAGTTTGGAAATCCTCAAAAGTATTGGAACAACACAAAGAAATGATGAAAAGCTATGACATGCTCAATGAAGAATCTGCAGCTCTTTTAAGAACACCCTATCTCTTAGAAATGGAAACAGTGAGAGTGGGATATGAATTCGATCATCATCCCATTTCACTACTCAAATTTTGTTATGGTATTTTGTGTGAAAAAGAGCACGAGATTTATTCAGGCATAGCTCGCTCTAAACTCGTTCACAAACATTCTGTTGCAAGTTGTCATGAACAAGAGATTGTAAGAGATCCATCCAAGCATGTTGCCGTAGGTCCACACACAACAGATGCTTTCATGCCATTTTGCAATTATACCTTTGTCGATGAAACCTATGATAGTTTCTATGGACGTGCTGTTTGTGCAGCGACTGTACGATGTGGTAAACAAGCAAAAATTGCTGAATTTGTGTCCAACAAGGTAGAGGGATGGTGTCCTGGATTTTGGAATGCAAATTTTTACTTTTATCATGTCGCTCGATTTCAATGTCAATTCAATGTGGACATGAATATGATTCAGGTCTTGCAAGATCAGAGTAATATTGTTCATGATTGTTGTTGAGCGCAACACAAGATTTAATATGTACAATGTAGCTACAAACGTTCAAAACAACCGTTTAAGTGATACTGAGAGCGTTCCTTTGACAATTGTTAGATAAATTGTCTAAGATACTTTTTAGCAGCAGCTTGACCTCTCACATTGAGAAACAACTTGTGTTCTTTGATATCCTTGTCGACATCTTCCATAAAAGAAAGGATAAAGTCAATGATTTTGTGAGAAAACATATTTCGAGTATGGTAATTGGTGATGAGAAAGCTAATATCATACCCCTGAATTGGCTTCTTTCTCAACAATATCAAATCCTCCTCAGCTCGATTCATTAAAAATTGCATGTAACGAGGAAAGATAATCTCCTCCACTCGATCATGCTTCTTAAACAACAAGCTAATTCGCACCGAGTTGATAGAACCTTCGATTAAACACTTTTGATCAGTATTTCTACTAATGATGACAGGGTTTAACAACACTTCTTTAGATAATCTTGAAACAACAGAATGGATAGCATTCGTGAGAAAAAACTCGAAAACTAACTTACCCCACTTCAATTTCTGGGTGGTTGTGTCGTTCAGCGATTTGAGACTGAAAATTTTCAAGACACAAAGCCGCTTGAAGCGTTTTTCGAATGCACTCATGATAAGGAGCATATGAAAGACTCTGTATTCAAAGGTTGAATAAAAAATCGGTGAGCGCTCAAAACGTACCATTTGTTGTCTGATTTTTTTCTGTTCGAGCAAACGAAGGCATAAGAACTGTGCACTTGATGTGTTTGTAACCTTCTGGCATCATTGGTTTCTGTGTGTTGATGTTCCACTGTAAAAAAGAAAAAAAATTTTGCAAACCAAGCGGTTAAAAAGAGAATAATCATGACTTTGGGCATCCGCAAGAAGGAACATCAAAATCATCGAGCAACTCTCGGTATGAGAATATTGAGAGAGAAAATTCTGTCCTCTGTTAAACAAGGACGGTGTTCGTTCTCTCCAAAATTCAATACCACACTTACTGATCTGACACGTAATGATGATGGAAATTCATCATCATTACTCTCCTCTTTATTTTGGAATCATGATACGAAAAGTACTTGTGCAACAACAGGGCCGATCATTAGTGAAAATACCCGGAAATTAATTGTATCGGAAACTATTGTGGCCAAAGATGATATCGATTTCAAAAACAAATTTGGAGTCTTGTTCAAACAATACTCATACAATACAGGACACCATCAAAAGATTCCGTATGGCACTAGAAGGAAAACTCTCAACAAAACAACAGTGAGGGATTTACCCATGTTAGTGACTTGTTTAGATATGGAGTGGAATAGTTTCCAAACTGTTTTGAACGCTGCAACAGTGATTCGAAAATTACTTTCCATTGAAAGAAACCCTCCGATTAATGAAGTCATTCAATCAGGTGCCATGGAATATTTTATTCAATTTTTGGATTTCAATGAAATTCAAAAATATTTCAATGTCGAGTTTCAATCGTCACAAATTCCAAAACCTTTTTCTCAGATTTATAGACATGTACCAGGGCAAAGAACAATCACTGAACGTCAACTCTATGATTTACTTTTGGAAAGCGCGTGGGCCGTAACGAACGTGGCGTCAGGAACCCACGACCACACCACTTACGTAGTTGAAATGGGTGCTATTTCAAAATTCATTCAATTAATGCCAGTCGAGAATGATGAAGTTCGTTGTCAGGTGATTTGGGGAATGGGAAACATTGCAGGTAAGTGTTTGGCTTCATTCGTGCTCCATTTTGATTGGTATACATAACTTCATTGCAGGAGATAGTTGCTCACTGAGAGATCTTGTGTTGGAAATGGGAGCTATGTCATTATTGCTACACGAACTTGATAAACCTGGAAATACACTATCTTTCCAACGAAACGGTAAGTTGTCTTCCTCAATATATGAGTGAACTAACACTGAAAAATTCTAAAAGCAACATGGGCCCTTTCAAATTTTTTGAGAGGAAAACCTGTTCCTTCATTCGAATATGTCAAGCAATGCATTCCAACTATTTGCAATTTGCTAGATGAGAAAGATGAAGAGGTTTTAACGGACGCTTGGTAAGTGAAACTTTTTGTGATCTCTACTATTTTTCAAATTTTACTTTGTTGCCATCACAGTTGGGCTGCATCTTATGCAACCGATGGACCAATGGAACGATTACAAGCGTGCGTCGATCAGGGGTTTATTCCAAGGTTGATCAAGCATGTTAAGTCACCTTACCCATCAATTCAAACGCCTGCACTTAGAACAATTGGAAATATTCTCACAGGTAAGGCTTGAATCATGACGAAATTGTGGTACGACTTTAATTATTACTATAATAGGTGACGATACTCTTACTCAAGCAGTACTCTCTGCTAATTCTGGAGAGGTGATTTATTGTTTGAAATCTTTACTGGATCATCCAAAACAGTCGTTAAGAAAAGAAGCTATGTGGACAATTTCCAATATTGCTGCTGGCACTATCTCACAAATTCAGCAACTTATTGATGCTGGAGTCGTTCCAAAAATTATTGAGAAGCTTGGTGATGAATACACAGTCCAGAAAGAAGGTTATTGGGGTTTATCAAATATTTGTGATTGTGGATCAAGATCACAAATTGAATATGTTGTGAAGTGTGGAGGTGTTAATCAACTTGTTAAGGGCCTTAACAAATTACAAGATCCAAAGGTTACCTATGCTGTCATGGAAGGCTTGGAGGCCGTATTGAGAAAATATGACAAGGGAGATGCGTCTCAACCTATCACAGATATCCTTTATATCATTGAACAAGAAGGTGGCGTTGAAGTTCTAGAGAAGCTTGAAAAGCACTACTCTGAAGACGTTTCCCGTCTTGCCCAAACATTATTGGATTATTTCGATCAGGAAGGAGAGGAAAATGAGGACGTTCAGACTGTTCACAACCCTTCAACAAACTTGGCGTAATCTTTTTCAACATAAAAAGTAGCAATATTATTTAGACTAATTAGATTATAGGAAGTACGAAAACATGAGGCCTCCTAGCTCAGTTGGCAGTAGCGCTGTCCTAGTAAGACAGAGGTCTTGGGTTCGATTCCCAAGGGGGCCAAGCTAATATTTTTCCTATGTGGTTTGCCTTCTTAGAGTTTTGCTGAAACAATCCTGGAAGACTCAATCTCTAAAAATGATCAAACAAAGCCTTTGCAGATTGTCATCGCACCCATCTTTTTTGCAGCGCCTGGGGCTCACTTCGCTTCATCATCGGAATACAGCCCGATCATTCAATACCGCTCTCTGTTATGTATGTTCTGAAAATACAACATCACCATCATCAACTTCACCTGAAGATACTTCAAAATACATTAAAGCGTTTTCTATACAATCCGTATCTAAAGAAGGAACATTGATTGAATCATCAGCAACTACATGTCGAACTGCTAAAATAATAATGGATGAACCAGTGTCTTTGGGCGGAAAAGGGACTGGACCAACTCCTTTGGAGCTCTCCTTAGCGAGCTTATCCGGATGTGAATTAATTACTGCAAGATATATTGCTAGAAGTATGAAAATGGAAATTAAAACAATCGAATGCACAAAAATGCAAGGTAAAATAGATGTCAGAGGAATGAGAGGTGTGAGTGGAATTCCAGCTCACTTCACTCATGTAGACATGGTATATGAAGTAGAAACGGATGCTGAAGATGATAGAATTCAAGACTTGAAATCACGAGTAGAGAAGGCATGTCCAGTATATCAACTGTTCAAGGCTGCTGGAGTTATAATGAATTGTGAGTGGAAAAAGAAACAGTAGAAACATTGTATGATTGTGAATTATTCAAGAAGGGTAGAAAGAGAATTTAACATTGCACATCCAATTACCAATAAAAATCGCAGCTCTGTCAAATCATTGCCGACAGCTCATTAAGCTCAAACAAACAAGACAAGTTTGTTAAGATCTTAGTAGCAACTTGAATCTGTGCAAACTTCTTCCACTTTATTAATTGAAAATTCTCATAAAGGAAGAGAATATCATACCTAGAATTTGTTGAGCAAATGGAATGTAGGAAATGACATACCAAACCAATCCCACTGCCTGTGTAATGACAAGCAAAATAATCAACAGTGCAATTGGCATTGCAAACACACAAATCAAAGTTAAAACCATGGAAGCAATAAATAATGCAGAAGGAATTGCTCGATCAGGCTTTGCCATGTTTTTAATTTGAGCCACAGGTCCAACCAAGAAGAATGTCGACACGAGGCACAACAAATTACCAAAAGTATAGAAGAAGGCAAATGCTCCCGATGCAAAAAGGATGGATGGCAAAAAGCCAAGAGCAATTATAATACATAACAAACCAAAGCCGAGAGACATGAAAAAGCCATACATGCGTTGTTTGGCAGAGAGAGTGATCATACCATCAACTTCTTTGGAAAGTCTTCCGAGGAACGAATTATCGTTTTCATCAATTGTATTCTGACTGTTATTGTCAAAGAATTGATCTCTCAAAAGAGTCCACTTGTCGTTGGTTTGTGTTTTAATGGAGGCAAAGGTAGAGGAAAGAGAATCCATAAAACCGTTGGATGATGAAGCTACATTAGAAGATGAGGTAGATGGTGATTTGATTCGGGAGGAGTGAGCCTTGGCAAGAGGTCCATCATCATCCGAAGTGGTGTTATTATTGGAAGATGACGAGGTGGGTGATGACCATTCATTGAATTGTTTGGTGATTGAATTTTGAACCGAAGAGAACCAATCGCCAATAGATTCAGATGCTGTTGTACTACTACTCTTCTTCTTCAATGCTGATGATCCAATCATGGATTCTTCATCCTCTTCACTCGAAAAATCCTGATTCCTCATCAGAGGGCGTTTTTCTTTCAACATTTGTTTTTGTTTTTTGTTGAGATTCGTTGGTGATGACGGCCGAGATGATGATGTCATGGAGGACGCAGAAGGCACAATGGTGGAGGATGATGATGGATTCGTGGTGGGGGTAGTAGTACTTGAGGAAGTGTTGGTATTGCTACTACTACTACTTGAATGATCGATCGTGTTAATGTTGGCAGTAATGGTTTGAGAGACTTCATTAAACGTTTTTTGGATGGAGGATGACCACGAAGAAAGCGCAGAAAACAAGTCAGATTGCGATGATGAAGAGGATGCTGATTCACCACTACCAAGCTGCTTGGGAGAACGAGAATTTGAGGCAGCGACTAACATTTGAAAGAGAGCAGGTAAATATCTGATGACGATATACTATCAAGTTGTCTAGCAATTGATGAGAGAGACTATGCACGCTGGAGATAGGTAATGCTCACAATAACCTCGCTGGATCGGAATGAATCTGGTGTCCAACTTTACGAGAGCTTGTTCGGATCGTTTTTTTTAACGTTGGTGATGCTGTCATGCATTTCGTTCTTTGGGTCAGAGAATAAAAATATCTCGAAATTCGAGAAGGAGTTGGATTGAATTTAGAAAGAAATTATGCACGGTTAAACATTCTCCGTTGTTAGTAATTTTGAGAAAATGGAAATCAGAAAAAAATGTGAATAGAATTTGCATTGAGTGTCGAATTTGAAATGCTTAATTCCTCAATTTTCACTGTCATTCATGTTGTCAAATGTTTAGTTGCTTAATTTAATTGTCTTGCTTGTGAATTGAAAGATTGGACTGAGAAACATTGTCCAGATTTTGAAAAGTACTAAGCGACATGTCATCATTAAACAAATCTGAATGTGTTTTTGTTTGATCTGTCGATGCATTTCTCAAAATTTTAGCTTTCCTAATTTCAATCTCTATTTTCTTTCGCTCAGAATATGTTGATCCCTCGTAATTTAATGAAGAGTATAGCGAAGCTAAATGTATGTGCCTAGCAAGACTTTGCTTTAAATCAAAGAGAGTGTCATAATAACCTGTAATTGTTTTTTTCAGTTCCTCTTTGGATCTTTCCATATTAATGTTTTCTTTTGTGGATTTTGTGAGCGTTTCAATGAATGACATTCCATAATCCAATAATTTTAATATATTTTGTTCCTCTCCTTGCAATTGAGAAATGATCGGATAATCATGAAATTGAGATTCCTCTTCTTCCTCCTCGTCACTACTAGTATCCCCTCCGGTTTCATTTTCATCGTCTCCGCCAACATCCATGTTATCTTCATTTCCAGTCATTACAGAATTTAAATCATTTTCTTCGGTGGTGTTTTGTCCTCCGTTCGTAGTGTTGTGCAAGCCAGAAGATGTTGATTGTTGGTCGAGGGTAAGCAAATTTGTCTCGGAACTACTCCCATTCATTTTTTTTGAAATTTTATCCCAAGTTGCATCATAACGAAAGCAGTGTGCACATAAAAACATGAAACAATTATATGGGCCAAAGGAGCGATTAATAACGATACCTTCTTCTTATCTAACCAATGATTTGCAGGTTGTTGTAGCACAATGGGGAATCATTCAATGATTCAACAGGGTGAGTCTAAATAAAACTTGTGCAAAAAAGATTCAAAGTTGGCGTGGAAAAAAAATGTCTAACCAACAAACATCAACCCATAAAAAACACAATACTTCTGCTTCGTCATCCTCTTCTTCTTACGCAAGTAATACAGGTGGATATAAAGCCACTTCTCATACTTCGGGAGAAGGCCGGGGTGGATTTAGAGCACAAAGAAGCGGAAGCTATGTTGCAAGTAAGCCTCCAACATCAAATGACGTAGGTTCAAGCACAACCTTCTTCAGGTGGAAGAAGCGGCGGAGGCCAACATCAAAGAGGAGGAGGCCAAGGTAGTAGAGGAGGAAGAGGTAGAGGAGGAGGCTCCCATCACCATCATCGGCCTCCTACCACTGAAGGCTCTACCTATCATACACACTCAAACACTACTATGGCGAATCCAACAGAAGATGTTGCTTCATCGAATACGACCACCTCTAATAATATTCCATCGTCAACAAGCACTCTATCGACTCACCAACCACATCATCACCATCACCCTCCTCACCATCATCAACAGCAATTACCATCGATACGAAATTCTGATTTAGCAGCAACCATTGGAAGAACGTCGAGTGCTCCTCCTACAACAGGTGATCACAATACCACAACCCGTAAGTAGCATTTACATTTTACACTTGATTTATTAATCTATTATTACTTCACGCTGGCAATAATGAATACAACATTGGTTTTCAATTCGTTCAAAACCATAAAATCAAAATTTTATTGAATTACAGAGCATCCAACACGAATTCCAGAGCACAAGGCACACAAGATACATCCACCTCAACCTCAACCTCAACCACATGTTTATACTAATACCTCTGTCATGATGGTTCCAGCCGGATATGGGTACTACTCAAGTCAACCTTATTATTATCCTCAACAGCGTTCGTCTGGCTCATCAGAAATTGTAAAGCCACAGAGCTCAAAAATCACCATAGTAGATCCTAACTCAGGTTCAGTGGTTGACCTTAAGGAGGAAAAAACTACTGCCACTTCCGACAATACTAGCTCCTCAACAACAGCAACCTCCACATCAACAACAATCGCGGACACAACAAAACAACAACCACCATCAACAACAGCATCGAAGGATGAGGTTATGAAACCAGTGGAGCCATCTGCTGTAGAAGCAACAACAGGTAAAAAGGAGGAAACAATTGAGCAAACGCCTGCCCAATCTGAACCTGTAAAACTTGAGGAACCAGCTGAAAGTAAACCCGAAATAACAACAGCATCACAAGATAATGTTGGAAACGCAGAAAATAGAACTGAACAAGTATCTGACCAAAAAGTATTAGAGCCACAAACTCCAACGTCTGAATACGGTGAACAAACACCAACTGCAGAAGACTCTTCAGCAACTTTTGAAAGCTCTCAAGACAAAATTGACGAGGATAAAGTTGTGAAAGAAGATCCAAATGAAATCGAAGGGTTCGAGGACTCAGAGGAAGAGCCTGAAGATGAAGAATCTGACAAAACAAAGATTTATTCAAGAGACCAACTTCTTCGTTTCAAGGATAGTTGTACAGAACCTCCTGAAAAGTTAAAATCTCTTGAGATTTTCCAATCAAGCTTGAAGTCGACAGGCGGTGCAGCTAGGGGTGGTAGAGGAGCTACTCTTCCAGGTGCTCGACCAGGATTCAATATTTCTAGAGGTGGTGGTAGAGGAGCACAAAGAGGTGGAACACCTGGTGCACCAACTAGAGGCAGAGGAGGTAAAGACGTAAAACAAACTACAAGAAGAGCGCCTGAAAAGCTTCAAAAATCTCAAAATGCCCTGAAGCTAGCAAAGGATAAATCAAAAGAAGAGATGATTGTGGATGAAGTTAAATTCATTCTTAACAGATTGACTCCAGAGAATTATGACAAGCTTAAAGTTGAGTTTTTGGGAGCATGTAGAAGCAAGCCTGGTGATGAAGAGGTTTTGAACGCTATTATTGATCAAATTTTCAGTTATGCAATTAGTCTTCAAAACTTTTCTGCTCTTTATGCCAGACTTTGTGCCGACTTGAGCACTGAACTCAAAGAGAAGATTGGAGAGGAGAATACAAAGCAATTCAAGAGATTGCTACTCAATAAGTGTCAAAGAGAATTTGAGAAAGAAAAGGAAGAAGAGCTTAAAAACGCTTCGGAAAAGTTATCTCCAGAGGAGCTAGAGGAAAAAGAGTTTTTGTTGAGAAAGAAGAAGGTTGGAAATGTGATCTTCATCGGAGAGCTTTATTTACAAGAAATGCTCAGCGAAAAAATTATGCATGAGGTTATCAAGAGACTATTGATTAACCCCACTCCTCATCCTTCTTCTGACGATATTGAGCTTTTATGCAAATTGTTGACAACAATTGGAAAGAAGTTAGATCATGAAAAATCGAAGAAGTATGTCAATTTTTATTTTGCAAGAATGGAAACGCTTTCACAAGAGCCAACTATAGCCTCAAGACTTAGATTTATGCTGAGGGATGTTATTGAAATGAGACTTAATGATTGGGTGGCAAGAATTGAAAAAACAAAGGCAACAAAGACAAGACAAGAGGCAAGAGAGGAAGCTGTTAAGCAACAAATGGATCAAATTAAAAAGCTTGAAAAACATCACCACCTCAGGAAGCCAAACAACAAACCAAAAGCATCCTATGTAACAAAGCAATCTGGAGCCCTCCAAGCTGAGAGATATAGAAAGATGGATTCTAAGAAAACTCTTGCACCAGGAGGTGGTATTGTTAAACAAGCTCCAGCATCTACACAAGGCAAGACTGACGCAAACACCTTTGCCCTTCTTGAAGAAGAAGAAAAGGAAGAAGAAATTAGCGAAGAGGAGCCTGTAGAAGACACTCAACAAGTTGCATCTGAAGTAGAGGAGGAAGAAGAAACCGAAGAGCAAATTAGTACAATTACAGAAAGAACAAAGAAGTTGATGTCATGCTACTTTGAAGAAGGAGAAATTGATGAAACATTGGAGACAATTGAGAAAGAGAACTTGCACAAAACTAAATACTTTATTCGTGGTGTTGCATTTGCCGCATGTGAAAACAGCAAAGAAAATGAAATTAGTGACACGGTAAAATTGTTGAAGAAACTCAAAGAAGGCCCAATAACTGTGGTTGATGATATTCTCATTTACGGATTTATTAGATACTTTACACAGATTGTTGAAGAAAGTTTATACATTGACATACCAGAACTTTTTCAATATAGCGGCAAGTTTTTGGGAAGACTCATTTTCGAAAAAGTACTGTCATTTAGCAATCTGTACGACGTGTTGTTGACCGTCGTGCTTGATGAAGAGAATCCATTGCAAGAATCACACGTTTTTGAGGTGCTCGAACACTTATACGATACTATTTGTTCTGAATGTGAATTTAATGACAATTTGAAAAAACCAGTACAGCATTATCAAGAAGAGCTTGAGAACCACTTAGTTTTGGCAGAGATTGAGGAGGGAAAGCATCTTGTAAACAATTCTATGGATCTGATGGACATATTCAAGCCTAATGGGGAATCATATGCAAAACTGTGCTCATTTATCGAAGAAAAATGTTATGGATGCTTTGAACCATCTATTTATTACAACAAGTGCATTAATGAAAGGGAAAAGTCTCAACTATCTGACTTCATTGCCGTTCTATCAGATGAACAAATATTATCAGGAATTTTACATGCTAAATGCCATGAAGATCCTGTCTCAAATGTTGAAGAGTTTAAAGAAATTTTGTTGGAGGAAGTACGAGAAAAGCTAGAGGAGGGCTATGAAGTATCATTGATTGGCACTGCTCAACATGCATGCTGTACACGTGCAAAGTTTGACAGGTTAAAACCTCTATTGAACCTGTTAGTGGAAATGAAGCTTTTGAATCCATCTCATGTTTCACAATACATTTCCGGAGACTTGCAAATTGATCAACCAGGATATGAGCAAGTGAAACCTTTTTTGCAATAATGTAGAGATGACATCTCACTCTCGTCATCATTTATAAATACTTTTTATTCAGAATTCTTGTTTGGCGAAATTGATTCACTTCCTTACTCTCGAATCGCGTTCAAGCTTGAAAATTGATTTGGAAAATTGAACGGAAATTAAGCGATTCATCACAAAAAAATGTTTTCAACCAGATTAATTTCACGTTCAAACAAAATCCTTGCTGCTACAGGTCGTGTTGTTGGCTTGCGTTCATATTCCATCCATCATAAGAACACTAACAACAAGATAGTATCATCATCATCATGGACAAATAATTTCGGATTAAAATCCTCTCCATCGAAAACTTTGATCGGACACACCGGTATGATGACTCTATCAGGTGTAAACAATATGAGATTTGAAAGTATAACAGTGAAAGTCCCATCTCTTGGTGAATCTATTCGTGATGGTGAAATTGCTGTTTGGTTTAAAAAGGAAGGAGATTCATGTAAAGAAGATGAGGTTATAGTGGCCATTGATACCGACAAGGTGCAAGCTGAAGTGAAAGCTCCCCAAAGTGGTGTTATCACAAAGATTTTAGTTCCAAAGACTGGAGAAAAAGTTGAAGTGGGCAGTGCACTATTTACTCTTGATACTGCAGGTGCAGCAGCAACTTCTCCTTCAACCGCAGCAGCACAAACACAACCTTCACAACCTGCTACTTCTTCACCTTCAACAACAACAACAGAAACATCTAGCACGGAACATCACAAGAGAGAACCAATGATTAAATTTAGATATGGTAAGAGAGATCTTATCGAGCAAGAAATGAAGAACAAGTCCAAAGCAACAGCACAAAGTGTTGCTACTCCTCAAGCCTCCTCACCACAACCAACAGCAAAACCATCTGCTCCTTCTACTCCAACAATTAGCGGTACTACTTATTATTATCAATCTTTGAGCGACCTTCCAGCTCAATATAGAAGAAAGAAAATTTCACAAAAAGAAATTGATGCCATTTCGTATGGTGGTGAGGTTGCCATTCCAGAGGTCAAGAAACCTGAAAAGAAGAAATAACACATTATTTATTATTTGACAAGTAAATGGTGCATATTTGTTTGAAAAATTGTAGATGCTTGGGGTCGTAACTGGGTTTTCTCAAATCACCCCTCATAGTTTCGCGTTCTAATTGTTCTAGTGCATAGAAATTCTGCCTCATTTGCTCAATGACTTGAGGGAAATTCTCTTGCATTTGTTTAGGATATTGTTGTACTTTGAGATGAAGAAGAAGCACTTGTAACGGTGCTTCATTTGGAAATTGATGAGAAACAGCGTCTTGCAACACCTCAATTGCCTTTTCAAATCTCTCTAAATGAAAAAGGCATAACGAATAATTGCAAATAGCTTCTTTTTGAAGAGCTTCTTCCTTCAGTTGGTTGTAGAGCTTTTTGCCATTCTCGAGCAACATGGCATATCCATCAGCAGCTTCTTCAGGTCTTTCCATCAAGAATAAAGCTCCAGCATACGCAAAAACAGCTTTTGGTTCTTTGACATACTCGAACGATTTTCTAAAATGTTGAAGTGCTTTCTCGCCTGTAGTAAAAAAGGCCTTTTCCATGTCATCTACAACAACGGGATCGGAATTGTTTGCAATTTTCAGTTTGCTCTCAACATACTCCTGAATGGCTTGTTGCGACATTTGTTGTTGCATCATTTTGTGAAATTCCTTCTCCATTTCAGAAATGTCACCCAGTTCTTGAGATATATTTGGTTTCACGTATGCTAACGATTTGTACATATTAGAAAGCCACAAATTTAAAATTGCAACATCGCTGTGAATTGCATAATAATGCAACAGATCGTTTTCGTTATGAGGTAAATCCTTATTGTTAATTCCCTTCTTTTCGTAAATATTGAGCGCAGTTTCAAAACATTCTATTCCTTCTTTACACTTCTGAGTTGCCTCGTCCTGCTTAAAGGTTGGAAGCGAAATATCTCTTGCATATTTTTGAAAGAATATTCCCTTCAAATGATACAATAACGGACAGTCACTATTCTCTTGAATGGCGTGATCAATGCTAGAAAATATGTTGTTGTAAAGTGACCTGTTTTTTAAATTTCCGCCAAACTGATGATAGTAATAGACGGCTAACAACACATCAATAGCATTTTCAAGTTTCAATCCATGAAACTCGCTTTCCCAATGAGCAAGGTGCATATCTTTCAGTTTGTTGTTCCATTCTATTTCACTTGCCAATATTCGTTTTTCTTTAATTATGGACTGAATCTGTTGTATAATTGAATAAATGTAATCTTGCTTTTCTTTTGACTGTTCATAGTTCAACTCTCGAGCATTTTGTGGTATGATAGTTTTTACTTGATCAATCAAATTTTCAAACGGTACTGTAGTTGGAGAATCATGAGTCTGTTGATTTACAAGTAAATTGATATGAAAATTATGAAAAGAAATATTCTTCTTAATTATGCTTAAAACACCTTCGTTCTTGTTACCAATAAATTTTCGAAGAGAAGAGGAATAACTCTTATCCATTTGATGCTCATGACTTGTCATATCCCATTTTTCATTTGGAAATATAATTTTCAATGATGATGACTTGCTATTCAATACGGTTGTTAATCGGAAAGAACCCAAAGACGCAGAAGGCTTTGAACGGAGAAGAGACTTCATTTTTTTGTTGCGCTACATCAGAGTGCTTTCGAACGGAAAGAACGCGTCAACAACATTGTAATTGTTTGAATCAATGAGACTCCGATGCTCATAGCACTTCACGGAATGTTCTCATACAGCTTCAAATGAACCTCGTCGTTTAACCGCAAAATTCCTTTCATCTCATAGACTTTGGTTCAGAACTCATCATTACAAAAAGAATCTCCCAAACGCCCCTGTTTCATTAAATAACTGATCATCTGAATTTATAATCATGAAATCAACCTCGTTGTGGTTCCTTGTGATTGTTGTGATTACACTCGCAACAGCAGCTTCTATTGAAGGTATTCGTCCAAAAGTAAATATCAATAAGAGCTCCACAGGAGATTCTGTATGTAGAGCTTTGGCATTGGGAGGAGGTGGCGATCGTGGAGGTGAGTCTCTTTTGGATGATGTTATTATATTTCAGTAATTTGTTACAAATTTATTGAATTTTTATGATGATGAAAATGAATGATGAAAAACATGTTGTATGGATGAAAAACACGTAATAGCCTATGAAGCGGGTGTGTTAAAGTATTTGGGTAAGTCTTTAATGATCATTCTTGATTTCATCAATGAAACAATATGGTAATATGAACGATGGCGATCCTAACAGTTGAGAATTTACCTTCCGAGCAAGTGAAATATCAAGTCATTGGAGGCATCAGTGCTGGTTCTATTAACAGGTAAGAGTTCTTGTACCTTCATTGCATCAGATAGTGTTCATCATGACCGCATCATCATTAGTGTTGGATTTGGTCAATTCCCAATTGGACAAGAAAGACAAGCATTGAATTTCTTGTTGACCCATTGGACTTCTCTCACGGCTTCAGATGTTTACAAGAATTGGCCACTTGGTATTGCTGAAGGTTTCTTGTTCAAGACTGCTCTCTTTAATACAGATCCACTTCATAACTTTTTGACCAAGAATGTGAATTTGACAGGTATTAGAAATTCAGGAAGAAGAATTTTGATGGGAGCTACAAATTTGAATACCAACAAGTATGAACAATTTGATCAATATACTGGTAAGTCATTTGTATTGAGATGCAAACTCTTGAACGAAACATATTGTTGTTGCTGCAAAATATTCAACTCTCAGATGATCTTGTTGAAGCTACACGAGCTTCCTCTGCTGTTCCTGGAGTACTGGAAGCAGTCAACATGAAGGGATCGCTCTATGTAGACGGTGGCGCAAAGTACATGACACCTGTCTCAGATGTCATTGCTGAATGTTTCAAGTTTACCAATGCCTCACATGTGAATGTCGATGTTGTTTTGGCCATTGGTGATTTACAACTTGCTAATTATTTAGAAAATATTCAAACAACTCCATTTATCTTGTTGAGAACTTTGTTCAACGTTGTTGATGATATCTTTACCAAAGACATTACTAATGCTCAAATTGCTTTTGGAAACAAAGTCACTTTTAGAATTTTCAAGGTAAGTTAACATGTGTTCGGGCCAATGCCAATTTGAAACCATTGTGGCAATAATTTAACTTGTTCTCAACAGCCTTCTAAATGGTTACCTGGATGGTTCCTTGGATTTGATCATGCTCAAGAAATGATTAACATTGGCTATCAAGATGCTCACAATGTTTTGAACAGCATCAGAAATAGCCGCCGTGTACAATAAAGTTGTGTTGATGTTGCTATCAACCTTTATTGAATACTAATGAAAAACAACATTCATCACAAATACCACTCTTTCTGTCCTAACGTTTGTAGACAAGACGGTCATTCATTTGTCTGACTGACTGTATGGAAATATAAAATGATAATAATCTAATTTCAATTATCTCAATTGCTACCACTCATCAGTGAATTAACAGGTGATCGATTCCAATGATTCGACACAGAATGAATTTTTCTTAATTAATTTGAATGGAGCCAGCTTGTAATAAAATTTGAGTTGGATCTTCATAGTTGTTCAATTGCAAGCTGTCATAATCCAATACTATGGTTACAAATTGATTTCTTCCAAAAGTAATGCCTTGCTTTACGTGATAAAGAGGATAAATTTTTGGTTGAGTATTGGATGGATTAGTTGCGGTGCTTGTTCCTGGTGTGGAATCTTGTGGCTTTGGTGTGACAAAAATTTTTGGTGAGAAAGTGAAAGTGCTTGTTAAATCCACGTCAGGAATTCCGAGTGTAATTTGCTTAAGTCTTGCAATAGAGCTCTTCTTTTCAGTCAAGAACCAATTTGAAGGTAAAAATAGAGGAATATTTGTTTTTTGAATCATTTCTAATGCACTGGCAGCTTCTTGTGGATATGTTTGCTTGTATAGCTGACATAATTGATCCAATGACAATACATAATCTTTTCTTGGTGTTTCATATTCGAACGCTACTAAAAATGTGTCATTGCCTTCGCTATCTTGGTCCTGAGCCAATTTCTTTTTTTTTCTTTTGTACCTGTCTCTTGAAAGCATGGTGTGAACCTGGATAAAGTTAATAATCTGATTTCCACGTCTAAAGGCCCCATTTCTACCGCTCATAGATCCAAAATCTCCAATTTTCTGCACTGTCATTTGTGAAACAGGGCAATTTGGATAAAATTGATATGGAATAAGATTGGACTGTTGAGTCGTAATGGCTTTTGGAGTGTTAGACTGAAGGAATGTTTGTAGTTGTTGATAATAATGTTGAGTGAAATAGCCACATGCAAAGGTATTGTACTTGGTAATAGAATCATTAACAAGTTCAAGAATTTTTGCGTTACTAGTTTGGGTCGTGGGTAATTTCTGAGCAAAATTATCAGTAGCTAGCTTCAGTGCATGAGAACAACGCTTATCAGAGAAGAAAAAGTTAGGATGAATAATATCCTTGGTTTTCTCCACCAACACTTTCTGCAAATCGTCATTGTTCAGTGAAAATAATTCTTCAAAGGCAAATGTAGCTTGATACCAGTTCAACGATGTTGGCAAAATAAATCGTTTTCCTGCTTGCATTTGTTTGATGAAATAGTCAATTTGTTTTTGAATAAAGTTGACAACTTTGCTGACTCCAACATAACTTTCAGATTGAGAATCCTGTTGCTTCTTGGATTTGTTAGATGCAGGTTTGTTGGTCTTTTTTGTTTCGATTTCTGAAAGCTCACTCAATGAAAATAGAGCCTTTCTTGCCTGATCCAATGACACCTTAGTACTAAAGCTAGAGGATTCAGAAGCTTCTTTGTTGACAATTACAAATGTGCATGTCTGAGGATCAAGCATGAATAGCGGAGTTTTGATCACGTCAGTACCAGAAAACTTTCCTTTTTTTAAGATATGATTTCTAACTTGGTTTTCAATACTGGTTTGCATTCTATTAATCATATATTCTCCAACGTCCTCGAAGGTATTTTCTTTTCTGTTCTGGTATTCCAAAATCATTTTGTCCCATTGACTTTTTTCTTGGACAAATATGAACGAAATAACTGGCAACACTCTTCCAGGACTGTACAAAGAGGACATGACACCACTTCCAAGTATTGTAGTAATCATGTTCATTGTCGGATTCTCGCTGGAGGCCGCCTTCTCTTGATGGATGTCCAAAATCTTAGAGTTAATATGTTGCTTACTGATCTGCAAAGTTCTAAATAGAGATAGAAGGTTTTGGTGAAGGTTAGAACAAACGCTGCCATTCACCTGTGATGTTGGAAGGATAAAGAATATCATGTGACAAGTTTGAAATAAAAATAATAAAGTTTGAAGTACACGTTCATAGTCCACATAATGTTCCAAGTCATAAGCATGATTGGTATTTGGTTGCAAAATATTTTGATAACCATTATTGGTTTGACTTGCATGTGAAATTTTGCTCGGAAGAAACTGTTCTACAAATGTTTTACAGTGTTCCGATTTTTGCATGAGGTCGGCAAATAAATAAACTCGTTCTTGGTCGACATCATGATATGAATCGATCGAAATTTGATGATGCTTTTTGGGATGATCCTGTGGAAAAGAACTTGATCCTTCAGAGCCAGATTGCTGATGATGACTTGTTCCCAAACTATCTTTTCGTTTGTCAGAGAAGATTGCTTTTCTAAGTATTTGGTTTGTAATTTCCATTGCATTTTCATTTCCCATTCCGATAAATGCCAAACTAACAGTCTTTTTCGAGTTTAGTTTCAATCTATCCTTTTCTTGTTTGCTAATAAAATGTGGAATGGACGAAGAACCACCCAAGTTCGGAGAAGAAAATTTAGACTGTTTTGAAGTAGCTGCTAAATTTTGGAGAGGAGAATTACCATCATCAGAAAAGAATGTATAGTAACATGGTTTTAAATTTTCTTGTTGATGGTTAGAAGTTCTTCCAACTAAATTGCTCGTATTAATCGGGCCGCCACCGTGATGATGTAATTGGCTGCTGCTGTTGTCTTTGAGCATTTTTTACCATGATAAAATACAAAATCAGTAAAATAATTTTTACATCATATATTGTTGTCTAGATTTTGAATATTAATTGTTAATGATTAAACATTGGTATTAGAATAAAGAGTTGCGAATTCGTGTTTGATGAAGCGTTTTAAACAATTTAAAAAAATGCCACGTGTTAGTTCCTTGGTTGCTTTATGTATTGCGTTTGTTTTGATGATAAGCTCGGTTGCGACTTGGGTTGATGCTTTGTCGGTAAAGATTGATCCTTTGAGTGAACAATGTTTTTGGGAGGAGGTTAAGAAGCCTAATGTAAGTTCAGATGGATGAATTGATTCGGAATGGCGTGATCATGGAATGATTTTGATGATTTTGTTGTTACGATATTATTTTCAATATTGGATTTAATGATGATCATGGATGTTATTGTTACATATTTTGGAAATATCACATGAATTTAAATTTCTAAATAATGTCAACACTGTCTTTGAACAGGCAAAAGTACTTTTGCAATTCCAAGTGTCAAGCGGAGGCTACTTGGATATTGATTTATCCATTGCATCACCAAATGGAGTTTTAGTTCATGAGAGTAAAGGAGAGACAGAAGGAAAATATACATTCACAGCTGTGGAAGTTGGAAGATACAAGTTCTGTTTTTCTAATCGTATGTCAAAATTGACATCAAAGACAGTCACTTTTGAAATTCATGTTGGAGATCTTTTTGACCCAAACCTTACTAAGCTTGATGAAAAGGATCCAATTGTGAAATCAGTTTTAAGACTTACAGAGGGTCTATCGGAAATTCAACAAGAGCAAAAATTCTACCGTACGAGAGAAGAAAGTCACAGAGATTTGGCTGAAACTACTAACACAAAGGTTATGTTTTGGGGTGTTGCTGAAATGATTGGTATCGTGGTGATGGCTGTTGGACAAGTTTTTGTTTTGCGTCAATTCTTCAAGACAACGAGATCAGTGTAAAAACCAGCGTGTACACATGAACATAAATTTTCTTTATTTAAGATTGTATTTTCAAGGTGTTTGGTATTATTTTACTTCTGATATTGTACATTCATAAAGAAAGTCGATGGCCTTGTCACTTGTTTCTTCAACAAGCTCTTTACCAAAATTTTGCCACTTTGTTTGTTGAAAACAGGATCCATTTGAAAAAACAACTTTCAACAGCTTTCTTTTTTGGGATGGTTCCATGGAGTAATCCTTGGCCATTTTCAATAGACCTGCAGTTGCGATAGGTGAAAGGGTGATTGATTCATATTCAATAGAGGGAAGGATTGACTGGAAGAACATTTTCTGGCAACAATCAGCAACCTTTCCTGATTTAAGGTCGTTCTCAAGATTGTGAACAAATTCTTTTTTAGACTTCATGTTGTACTCGACCAATATTTTCTTAATATCGTCTGTATATGATGCTGCATAAGAAATAGTTACTGGCTGATTATCTATTGTCACTTCCAAGTTTAGAGAATGATTTTCAAGTTGTTCAGGTAACTCCCAAATCTTGTATGAATACTCAGACTCCATGGAGTCTATTAATTGCCTAAATAGCGGCTTTTGATGAAAAATTAAAGATGCATGGACCAAATCCATGAAAATTTCGTCATTCGAAACTTCTGGGTCAACCGATTCACAATAGATCCACTGTAAAATTGCTTTCATAACATTCTTTGAAATAGACGGAAAGGATAGGCTTTCAGATTTTGGGTGAGATTCAAATAATCTGATATTTCCCAATGATAGCAGTTTATCAATTATTATATCATTAAAGGAGATTACAAGTTAAAAAGTTGTAATAGCATGCTTCGAAAAATTCACATACCTCTTGAAAAACGGAGACCTGCAAATCAAAATAATTTTATGGCAATAAAAAACGTCATCTAGAGATGAATCAAACACAATCTTGCAATCAGCCAACTTTGATTCAATTTCATCACGGTTTGATTTTTCATAATTCCTAAACAATGAAGCAATATCCATATTCATATAATTTGTTTTTGCCGACGATGAAGTGGAAGTGAAAATCATTGCTGATCCGGTTGGTTTGAACCTTTGTTCACCGCTCACCATCTTCTTTTCAAATAAATTCAGTACAAGTTGTGCATCGGATTTGACATCATTAGTTTTTTGTTTTTTGCGTTTCTCCATCATATCTTCATATCGTAATTGCTCAAATGAAGTTGAGCTATAGCTTGGCATTTTAGTTATCGATTGGAAATCATAGTTTTGATGATTGGAGGGATCTTTCTCGTTTGTGGGAGCAAATTTCGGCTTTGCTTTTGATCGGGTTGATTTTCTTGCTGGCACTGAAGAAGCGGAGGAGGGAGAAGCACCAAAAGAGAAGGAACTCATTTTTTTGATTGTGATTTCTTTGGTACTTCCACAACAAGTTGGAAAACACTGCGTTCTAGTCGAAGGCTGTCCTTCGGTAAAGACATCAATGTTTTCATAAATTTATAGAGTAGGTAAGGTTGTGCAGAGCTTGCTTTAACGTTGAAACTTCTTTTTGAAGACTGGATCTCTTCTTTGATTCAGCAGCAAGTGAAACTGCCAATTGTTGAACCATGTCGCTTAATTCTATTACAGTCTCTTCTAGTAGTCTAATCTTTTGAAACGCATGATCAAGTGTCTCTTGGTCATTGGTTTCAAGCTCTTCACTCTTTTTTGGAGTCATGTATGCATGTTCATCATTACTTTGCTCTGAAACTTCTCGATTGGGAGCCAGTCCATTCAATCGATGAATAATTTCATTTGCCAATTCTTCATCCACAGTCAGCGATTGCTCAGATATTCGAGAAACATTTAGCTCTTGCAGGGATGACATGCTGGAATTTGTGGACCCAGTCATGATTACTTCCCCGCCCCAAATGTCATTGAGATAAGAGGTTTCTCCATAACCTCCAAAAATAATGAGTTCTTTTCCAAGCATATTGATTGTGTGGGAGTCTCTTGGAGAAAAATTTTCTGGTGCCAACAGATCAACTCGTTTCCAAATAGGAGAATATTTCTTCTCATCTATACCTAGAATAGTGAGAGTCCAAAGAACGTTGTCCTTAAATAATCCCACCATTCCCCATAAACTATCATAGTGTTTGAGCTAATCTTCACGGCAGCATGCTTTGATCTTGGACTTGGAGTTTCATTGTTTAACCATGATGTGTCTTTCGGTTTTTGAATGCAAATCCAATTGCCATCAAACACCCATACATCATTTAAAGACTCTCCGTTGGATCCTCCATACATCACTAAAATATTGGGTAAGTTATTATTCTCAGAAAATGCAACTAGACTGAAGTGACATCTTGCGGGTGGGGAGAGGAAAGTATGAATTTGTGACCACATTAAAGTTTTAAAATCAAATTCAAACATATCATTCAAATATTCTCCGCCATATCCTCCAAATAGAATCATTTTCTCGTTCATTATGACAGCATTGTGAGCATATCTTGGTTTTGGAGGTGTATTTTTTGAAACAATCTTTTTCCACCTCATATCCTCAGCTTCCTTTGCTAAATCCAAAATCCAAATATCATTCAACAGTTCATTTCCTTTATCACCTCCGAAAATTACTAAATGATTTTTGTAAATTACAGCTGAATGACTTGACCGTTTATGCGGTAAGACTCCTTGTACTTCTACCTTCTTCCACTTATTCGCGTCTAGAATCCACAAATCATTAGAATGGAAACCTTGATAGCCTCCAAATAAATACAGTTTGTTTTTCCATTCTGTGAGAGTGTGCCCCTTTCGTTTTGGAGGATTTTGATTGTCTGGTATTTTCTTTCGGAGTGTGATTTTTGTTTTGAAATTGGAGCAAACACGAGGAGAACGAGGTGAGCTGCTCCTTACCGTTCCGACTGATTTTTTTGATTCAGTTTCCAGAGATGATGATTGGTTGAGAGTAAGTTCCGATTTATCTTCTTCATTGCTAGATAACATCGTAACAGATAGTACCCCTTTTTTGCTTGTACTCTCTCCGTACAGAGAGGAATATTTTCTTGGTGGTGAGGATGCATATTCGCTCCTAGAAATGTGGGAGTTTTGAGGAAACAGAGAGGAGCTCATTTTTTATTTAAGGCTTTGAGCAAATACAGGAGCCTTAGGTTTCTCTTTGGTTCTTTGTTCAAAAGGCTCATCGACACACGTTTACACAGTTCGAAATTCTCCACTTGATTCGAGTGACAAGTTTATTACACAACAAACAATGTCTATAATCAAGCTTGATTCTGACTAGGAAAGCAGCAACTCTTTCTCTGTTTAAAGCAGTATCGATCATGATGACAATACACGTCCATTCCACACTTCATTTAAACCCTCCCAAGAAACTCCTATTGAAGTAACCACTCAATTCAGTTCATCTCTCCACGTTGAGCAAGTGGCATCCAAACATGTTTTTTCAGTGTATACAACCTCCAACGCAGTCGAAGGAATCTTCTTCATATCATTCAAATGATTATCATTCCACATGGGATGTGGTGCTCCACTAAAGTACCAATCCTGACCATTATCAGCCATATAAGCTCCATACTTTTTCAGTGCTGTACAAATCACTTGTACTTCCTCTGAATAACTGGAACAATCATAGGATGCTTTCATTCGAATTCTGGCTCCCATTGGTAATAAATTGGGATCTGTGAGAGAAGAGGCAAAATGTGATGCTGGAGAAATGAAGGCCTTCTGAGATTTAACCACTGTGAATCGAATGGCATGCTTAATTTCCTTTTTCACAACTACTTCATCATATCTGACAAGCAATGGGAAAATAGGAAGTCCAGCTGCATCAGCTGATGTCCATCCTAAGGGTCTCTGGATGGCTTTGCTTGTATTTAAATTGAAAATAGCTCCACATTCTGCTGTAAAAACATTGCCACCACCGGTAGTGTCACGATATTGCTTATCAATGACAAATGTTCTCCATGTTTCATAGAGTTTGCAATTGTCCTTATCAATGGCAATGATGTGACGGTCTCCATTAGAATTTGGTCCTCCTTCAATAGGAGCACCTTCTGGAAAAGGATAAGTTGTTATGTCACTTTCTGAAGCGTAGGATGTAATTTGAATTCCAACTTTGGGTTGATCTTTGGTAACAATGATATATGGTATTCCATTGAGAGCTCCATCATACACAGTACCAAAGTCAGCGTGTAAGTACTTTCTTGCAACATTATTAATGAATGCATCGGATCTGGGATGAACAGGAAGATTCGAAATGTCTTGATTGAAAGGATGATCAGGTAGGAACACTGGACATGCAAGATCAAATTCACCAGCATCATCAGAAGTGTAGCCAGGGGCAGACCAAGTTTTTTGATTACCAGTTGGAGGATATCGAATGGAAGCCATGCTAGAACTCTTGGCCACTGCAATTTGTGAAATATTTGTAGGAAGCGTTCGAGGTACATGCTTTGACAATGGACCAACGCTATTGCTTGAAATGACAGCTCCAATATCAATGGAATTTGGATTTCTAGTATTACCATAAAAATCTAAATCAGTCGTTGAAGCATGACCTGCATTGGTTGCCATAGAACTTAATGATGGGGATAAATGTTGTGAATTTAGTTGAGGGTCACCTTCTAAACTGTTGGCTTCGTTACTACCAGAAAAATAGGATTGAATTTTGGTTTTCCAATTAGACAATGAACCACTGAAAGCAGTGTTTTTTCGACCATCTACAAAGAGAGCCGTCTTGTTCTTGTTGTAGTACACATTATTGTTAATGACAATGGAGCCTCCCGTAATAGATGCATTGAGGGATGATCCTTCATCGATTCTAAACAATGGAGAAGAGATGGTCTCCTTGTTAAAGATGAGATTGTTCAAAATCCAAGGAGAATATACAGGAGTAAGAAGTCCATTTCGATGAAGCGTGCTTGTCACATGAAGAGGAGCACTCACTTGATTGGATTGTGAAGCATCTATAATGGTATTGTGAATGACGTGTGCATTCTTTGAGCCGTAAACTCCAATTCCAGCTCCGAAGATGGCCATTAAGATATTGTTACTCACAGTAGCATCAATACTTTCATAGAGCTCAGGATTGGAGTTGGTGTCAAACAGCTGGATAGAATCAGTTCTTCCTCCAACTAAAATTCCTCGATCTGCATTCGAGATGGCATTTCGCTCAATGTAGCTCTCTCGACATCCTCCTTCAATTTTCACACCATCAGCAGCAATGTCATGAATGTAATTATCAGTGCATGTGAAATGATGAGAGGCCAAGGCATGTACTCCTTCACCTTCAGACGGAAGTCTTGAACCAGAGTCATAAACTTCACTTGAGGTCAGAGTCACATTGTTGGCTTTCAAAATGAACACACATTTGGTACCACAGTTGTGAATGATACAATTTTTAACAGTTACTTGGTCTGCATCAATTTTCAAAGTGTAGAAGAATCCTCCTTGAAGTTCAACTCTCTCCAATGAGCTATCAATTGCGCTTGCTTCAAAGCGAATGGTGTGAAGAATGAATGAGTTGTAGATGGATGAAACAATTAAAGCTTCTTTTGGATCATTTTCATAGGTGGAAATTCTAATATATGGAGTTCGAATAGAGAGACTTTCATTATAGGTAACACCTGTATATCGAAGAGTAATATTAGAACCTGAAGGAGCAACTGCCAAAGCCTGATTAATCGTTTTGAAAGGGTTAGAGAATGTTCCCAAACAATCCCCGTCTCTTCCATGGACGTTATCCACATAGAACGTCCTGGGAAGTATAAAGGTATAATTCGAACACTGATTGGATGAACTAGTTTGGATGATGGTAGAAAATGCCGGTGGAAACAGTGTGACTGACGAATTCGACAAGTCCGAAGAATACAACAATGCTCCAATATCGTTATTGACCTTGGTTCGAGAATTTCCATAGAAATCTTCTGTGACCTCTGACAGAAACATTGCTTTACCTCGAGCTGGGCTTTGAATACCAATCTTTAAATTGGAGTCTAGAAGGGGATCTGCGATGGATGAATTGTAATCACTATTGATGTGTTTTCTCCATGAATCTAAATCAGATGTTGATATAAAAGATGTTAATCGTCTATCAAGGAAGCTAATAGATGCTTGAGAATTTCCGTGATAATTATTGTAATTGCTGAAATAAATATTGCAATCAGAACTCAATTGTGATTGATCTAGACCATCTCCATCTTGTACTCTCACTTCATATATGAGTTGTGAAACTCCAGCCTCAGAGAGTTGAATAATGTTATTAACTATCATTGGAGCATGATTCGATTGACCTCGTGACTGAACTGCATTCATCGTATGTGGACTAGCTACGATCAAAATTGGAACTTGCATGGAAAGAGCCACATTCACCAAAGTATTGTGCAGGACCTTACTGTTTTTAGAAGCATACAAACCAACACCTGCTCCCTGTACATTGACAATGATGTTATTCTTTACCACAGCGTCAATGGCTTCATAGTAATCTGGGTTTTGAGTTGGATCCATGTATGAAGTTTCTTCGTAAAAACCAACAGTGACACCTAAACCTTGAACATTGAGAATTAAGTTTCGTTCAATGAGTGCTCGCTGACCTCCACCTTGAGTTTTAATGGCACTTCCAGCAATGTCGTGAATATAATTTTGAGAGACGATCAAATCGTCCACATTCACGGCACGAATGGCATCGGTACTGGCTGCACCTTGATTGGGATTTCCTTGTTGATACGTGGTTCTTTTACCACATTGATAAATTTCAGATTGTGTGATGGTGACTCGCTTTGAAAAGGGAGACAATTTGATGCAATCAGATCCCGTGTGATGAATTTTTGCCTTACGAATGACAACGTCCGAGCGTTCAACCATGACTCCATAGTAAAAACCTCCAATGATTTCTAATCCTTCCAATGTCACAAATTGGGAATAAATTTTAAATACATTCATTTGAGTGGCGTCATTCATGGAACTTGTGATGATGGGCACCTCATTGTCAAATGCCTTAATAGTGACATTGTTGGAAGTAATTGAAATTCCTCCCTCATTGTATGTTCCTCCTCTTAGAATGATAATATCATTGTCCTTCATAAAAGCAACGTTGGTCACCTTACGAATGGTTTTATACGGAAATTCCAACGTTCCATTTCCAGACGAGTCACTTCCAGTTGTTGGAGAAACATAAATCACCCGATACGTCGTTGGAGGTGACCATGTCGGTAATACATCTTTTGGAGGTGCAGAACCACGGTAAGGTAATCTATATATGATATTAGTGATCGAGTATTTCTTGGTTGGATCATCACTAAAACCATCATTCATGAATTGCAAAGCGCCAATAGAAATTTTTCCTTTGATCATGGGTCTTCCAAAATAGTCAGAAATGATTCCAGCAATTTCAACACCACTGAAAATGAGAGGAGATGGGTATTGAGGGTAAAAAGCGATCGTATCAATGAATGGATTTCCTTCACTACTTCCAATATCATTGTATTTGGATTTCCATCCAGAAAAACCTCCCACATAACCAATGGAGTTTCTTTGATCCGAAAAGACTCCTCCACTACTTCCCAAATGAAGAGAATAGTATCTATTGTATGAGACATTGAGGGATTGACCTTCAAGACCACCGACCACAGAGTCATCCACATAGCTGGTAAGTGTTCGAATCTCAATAATTCTATCTCTTGAAGTACAAATGACATTGTTGGTAAGTGTGACATTGATACATGGAGTAATTGGTGAATACGAGTTAGAAACCCATGTTTGAACGAGATTGATCAAAATTGCAGCTTGATTGTCTTGTGCAGCTGCCCATATTGTGTTAAAAACAATTTGTGGGTTTTTAGCTGAATACAATCCAATTCCAGCCCCTGACGTGTTAGCAATGATATTATTTCTAACAATGGTATTCACAGCTTGATAGTAGAGAGGATTTTGATTGGCATCAGAAAAGTATTCGCTCGTTTCATAGAATCCAACCAACACTCCAGCTCCATAACTATTGGTAATATAATTTCTTTCAACGATGGAATTTCTTGCACCAGATTTAATCATTATGGCTGCACCCATTGTGTGGTGAATCATGTTATCTTGAATTCTGGTTAGATAGGTATCGTAGAGCACAATCGCTGAACCACCTGTTCTCACTCTTACTCCACTGTTGTAAAATTCATTATTTCGAATGATAACATTGTTGCATAGTGAGTCAATCTTGATCAAGTGATAACCACTATCATGTATTTTACATCTCTCAATGACAATATTAGAAGCTCCAAATTTTGCATTATTACCTCCCCAATCAATCGATGACTCTATTCGAATGTTGTAATCAAATCCTCCAATGAGCTCTAAATTTCGTAGCACACTGCCACTGGATCCTCTTCTCAAGTAAACATTAATGGCTTGTTGGGGGTTGTTGACAGGACTTGCAATGACAGCTTTCTCCAATCCATATGCTTGAATAGTAATATTTTCTCGATCAATCGTCAAGCCACCTGCATGAACACCTTCTCTAAGCAAGATGACATCTCCATCCTGTGCAAGCGTTAATGCTTTGGCAACAGAACGGAAAGGTGCTGTAATAGTGCCAGACCCTGTGTCATCATTTCCACATGCAGTGACGTTACAATTCGAAGTATTGGACTGAACAAAGAATTTAACAGGTATCTCTGTTAACACCATTGGATATTGAGGAGGTTTCATGGGTTGAAACTGATATGTCACTGTCAATCGAGGTCGATAAGCTATGGATGAGTTTCCGCCAAATATGGTTGGTCGAACAAACGTTCCAGGGACCTCTCTTAATAAGACTCCATAATTTTCAGTATTGTTGTCAAACCATTTTTGAACAATATACGGATCGAGAGAAATGGATTTGATTTGATTTCCAATGTCACTCATTGCCTTTTCCATTTTAGAATAGGAATTCAAGACAACATCTCCAGCAGCGCCCGGAATTCTCCACTCTTCTCTCGTGGCATAATTTTTAAATCTCCATCCAGTTTTTTGAGCAGCTACCCATGAAGTGTTGATATGGTGGACTTGAATTTTACATCCCTTAACCCAAGCCACATAGGTCAAATCCAGAGAGGCAGAACTGACCACAGCTCCTGGAGGAAGTTTACCTTGTAAATTTCTAAACCTCATCAACACGCGAGCTTCATATTGGGAATTGTGTCCAACAAAGACCACATCATCTTCATAAAATGTTTGACCATTCATTTCATTCCAAGTATCAATATACATGGTTGAAATGGTGATGGCTTCTTCGTCCTTATAACCATCTCTACCATTTTGAAAAGAAGTTGTATATTGCTGAGGAGCAAAACTAACTTCTGTTTTGAATTGAGGTGACAACGAAGGATCTTCTTGATTGATATCAAATTCGTAAATTTGTGGAACGAGAACAGTGATGGTTGGAATGGCACAAGCTAATTTTCCATTCTTGATTTCTGTCATGGCATCTATATCAGCATTTAAGAAACTGGAGCTTGTTGAGGCAACAACCAAAGACAATGCCAAAACAAACATTGTGAGTGTCATGGTTTGATGGAATGGATTCTTAAATTTGGAAATGGTAAACAACATGTACATTCCAGTCGACAACATTGCAAAAAGAGAGAACCAGAATATTCTTCCCCCTTCTCGTATCATGGAAGTGGCAGCAGACACCACATGCGATTTTAAGGGTTTTGTTTGATTGGAGGATGGTTTTGGTGTTACAACACTTGTGCTTGGTTGGACTGGAACACTTCCTGAAGCAAGAGGAGTTTGATTCGCTTTTGCAAGCTGAAGAGAGATGGCTCCATTGATGGAATCCAAAGAGTAACCGACATAACCGACACCTCCTAAGGATGAATCATAGGAAATTTGAACTTCAACATTTTCAGAAGAAGTGGTGGATCGTTGTTGTGAGGAGGATGACTTCTTGACCACATTCACTTTGTATTGCAAGTCCTTATCCTTATTGACAATGACACGACTCACAAATGATGCGTACGGAATGGAATAAGTGTCCATTTTACAATTTTGAGAGAATACAAAAGTCTTTGAAATATTGTTGGTCCATGCTATATATATGTACTAATGTAATGTAGATATTACTTACATGGTCGAAAAATATCATCATGATCATCATGGACATGCAAATGATGGACAAGCGTGTCCAGACACCCCTTTGGCGCCTTTGATTTACGGATGAGCGAGCGGGCATGATTCTTTTTTTTTTGAAATTGTTGTATAATGGCTCTTATCTTTGCCGAAATGAACTCTGCCAGAATGGGCATGTACCCTAAACAAGCATGTTCATGATTCAAGAAAATCCTTTGAAACAATGTTCGTTTCCATTGGTAGGTAAGGTTTTAGAGCTTTGTGAATATACTTCTCAGATATTGCTTTAAGGTAGAGTGTAAAATGGAGTGTTATATTGTTGTTAACGTCGTTTGAATTGCTTATTGGCTCTCACGAGCAGTCTGATGAGAGAAAAAGTTCAGTATTGGAACAATTGACCTTCATAATACATCCATGAGTCGGCACATTCCTATATTTCGTCACTTTCGAGCCCTTGAATGAACATCTTGGTTTTAATACTGCCTTGTTCCTTTGCTTTTCTTGTTGGTCTGTTACTTTTGGTTGTTGATGTTTCATCACATTTCTCCTCATCACTACAATCCGAGTACTCATCCCCTTCACTATCTATTTCTTCTTCATAATCTTCTTCTTCGTTTTGTGAGAGCTGCATTGGAGCTTGTTCCATACTACTAGTGCTGTTGCGAGGTTTTAAGTGTGTTAAGGTAGATGAAGAATTCTGTTTGCCTAGCATCACAACACTGTTTACTTTGCGATGTTCTTGATGAGGGAGAGTCTGCACCAACAGATCTTGGCTCCGAAGATGAGCCATTTGGCTCTTTTGAAGATGAACACGGTGTGTTTTTCATCATCTTGGGGTCTTTTTCTTGATTGGCAGGATTAGTGACTTGTTCTAGCGTGCGTTTAGGTGTTGCTGGGTTTGGAGGTTGTGGTGTTCTTCTTGTCTCATTAACTTTCGGAGTGAGAGTTTTGTTAACGAACAAATCGAAAAGATCAAATCCTGACAACGGAAGCAACAGCTGGTATAGGTCGGACATCATCTTTTTCTTTTGTTCTTCTTCCAAAAATTGAAGCGAGTCAAAGACGGATTGGGATGTTGGTGTCTCCTCCCCCTCGATAATATTCATCATATAATCTTCCGTTCTCAATTTAAAACAACGCAACACTAGATTTTGATCATCGTGTTCTGACGGCAAATAGGATGTAAACTCATTCTGTGAATTTCGTGTACGAATGAAAAAAGAAGCAATCAATTCAGAGAACCCTTTCCACTCTTGTTGTTTATTCAAGAAAAGCCGTGTAAAGATTTCATAAAACGCAAAACCATCCATCTTGTGCTCTTATTTTTTGCTTTTGGTGTCAATAATTGGAAAGAAATCTTTGACAGCAAGGATGATGAATATGTGTTCCTCCAAATGTTTGCTGGTTGGTGTGTTTGGGGTATTTACTTGTAAATGAATGTTGGTTTTATCACATAACTGCTGAGGCTATTTATTTGAACTAGAGTAATATTTCAAATTCAAAAGCATCCACAAATGTCCAAGAAAAATGGTAAATTCTTCCTCAGTGAGACCCTTGCTGTGTGAATTTTGGAGTGGTTGTTGTTGACTTGTAGATGATGCCTTTTGCGTTGATGATTGAGCAGTACCTTGAGGTTTGGGTGTGCCTGTGCCACTTGTTTGAACTTGTGGTTGCTTCTTTTTTGAAACACCACCAGCATTCTCAGAATATTTACACCTCTCAAAAGTTTCAATATATTCCATCCAGACATCATTCAATTCTGGATTATTGGCCATGTGTTTAAATTTTACAAGCACAATATTGGTAATGTATTGTCGTAGAGTTAAATTGGCTGGGAAAAACAATTCTGGATCGCGACAAGTAATGGATCTCTCAATTAAGAGGGGTGAATATAAAACAAATTCACGAAATGAGAAATAATTTCGTTGAATAATTCTGTACATTTCGTCCATGTGAAGTGACATGATGTTTTTGGAAGAGTCTGAAGGAATGTTGGGAAGGGGTTGTGATGTCATAACGGGTTGATGATGATGAATGACTGTTGATGTTGAATTTGTAGAAGAATTTAAATTACTTCGAGTATGAGGTAATGTGACAGGTGGCGTTTGTACAGCAGTGGCACCACTTGCAAACGATGTTGAATGGCTCATTAAGGAAACTCCAACAGGTTGTGACATGTATGCGGCTGTTTGTCCTGGAAGTGAAGATTGTGCTGATTTAAAATCCTCTGACATTTCATTGAAATGGCTCGATGTAGCATTAATTTTGGAATATTCCATTCTTCGTTCACTTGCTGCAAGTTCCAGAGATTGATGCCCAGCTGTTCTGTTGAACATGGCAGCCACATCATTTGAAATGGAGCTCACCAATGATTCATGAGCTTTGTAATAAAAAACAAAACCTTCATATTTTGGATCTGAGCTGTTGGCTACGAATAAATGTGGAAAATGAGGTAATGGCTTGAGAGCGAAAACCGGTGGCTTCCATTCCATGGAGATTTCTTTGGATTGAATGGAATAACCTTGAATGGATGTAGAGACGGATTTTCGGGTGGCACTTGGCTTGAAAAATTCCTTATCAAAATCTCGATGTGTTTTTTCTCGTTTTTGAAATTGATAGAATCTGTATTTTCCTATAAATGTTGTTGATAAATTTAGGTCGTCATTCAATCATTGATGACCGAGAAATGATTTCGGTCATTCATTAATTTCATGAATATTCATTACACATTGAAAAAAGGATCCATGGCGGAGTAAAACATAAAAACAAGTTGTGACAGAAATTTAGATGTCATCATCACGTACTTTTTGAGTTTCTTAAAATAACACACGTCACCAAAATCAATAAAAACAGCACCACAAACACCGATCCCATAATAATTACAATTGAAATATAATCAATTTGATTCGGAATTTGTGTCAAATCCACTGCTCTTTTTTCGATATTTGTTTGTGTCAGAAATTCGTAAAGATCCTCTCCGTGTCTTCTTGTTGAAATGAATTTGTTACTCCGCAATTCATGATGATAACGAAGCCAGTCTATCATGTCATCATCATAATTATTCTGACGAGGTTCCACGCTTGTCTTATCGAGC